AAGACGGCAAGCCTGTCCTCCCCACATGCACTCATGGTCGTAGCGGTCGACGACTCCTTAAACGACCAGGTGGTGGGCTTTGCGCTCTGGGACGTGTACTCCGAAAAGGCGTCCAATCAGCCCCAGCCCAGCGCTCAAAAGCCACCGCCGCCCTGTTTTGACCAGGAGGCGTTTGCAGAGCTGCGTGCAATTGTCTCGTCCGACCACCAGGAGATGTTCGGAGAAAGAGGCATCAAGGATGTCTGGCGTAAGTTACTTCCCGGCCCCCCCTGAACTCTCCGGTGAATAGTCCAGAAGTTACCAAAAAACGGGTCAACTAACATGAGTCTCTTCCCGCTAAGATCTTGATTACCTCGGGGTGGATCCGCAGCAGCAGCGGAAGGGGATCGGGAAGATCCTCTTGGACTGGGGCATCAGTCGAGCAGCAGGCGACAAGAAGGATTGCTACCTGCTTGCGACGCCTGCCGGAAAGCCGCTGTATACTAAGACGGGTTTTGAGCACGTCAGGGTTGTACCAATATTTGGCGTTTCGCACCATTCCATGCTGCTTAGACACAACAGGTGATAGTCCATGGTAGATAAATGGGTGTGAGGGAAATTGCCAGGATGCTGCAGCTATCATCCTACAGTGCTTACTTGTATTACGGTGTATCAGAAATAGTATCCACGGTATTTTTTCACTGATTCTTCAAAGTAGTACTTCAATTCTACTTCGGTACATCATGAGCTTCATCGGAACGATGCCAAGAAAGAGAGAGCTTGTCGGACGAAACCTTGGAGGTTGTCTCGGTGAACCTCTCGTATCCGAGCTGAATTGGCCGAGCCTCGTTTACACAATTTTTCTTCCTTGCATTAACGCGTCCTGTAACCCTTGTTTTACTGCACTGTCACTTGTATTTGTCGAATGTAACTAATAAGACTGTCTCCTGAGCTAAATCCAATGTTTCCTTTTGCGATACCGCCGAGACGTAGCTGGCGCTTCCCCATCCAATGGGCAATATGGCCCTAACACAACAGCGGGCCCTCTCCAATGTCTCATGTTTGCATCACGGGCTCAAGTATCATCAGAGTAACCTATGCGGCGGCCATGTCCTTGCTGCGACCTCATCCACTTGTATGGGGGTTAAAGGCACTGACCTGTCTAATCCGACCCAAGCCTGCAATTTGTATGTAGGGTCCAAATTTATCACAACAAGATAGTCCGTAAATACTATTTCTGTGTGATGAGACATTACTTGTATATGCTTCCGTATTCATATAAATGACATGTCAAATATGCCAAGTGTAACTGAGATTTAAAATCCGAGTCAATCCCGGCTCATGGGTCCCGAGTGCATGATCTCCGGAAACAACAACAGAGGCTCGGGCGATCCTTGTTCACATGCCGTTTATGACACGTCAACGGTTGGTGAGTCGGAATTGCCGGACCCTCGTGTACTGCTACTCAATATAGTTTGGGTTATGGAATAGAGTCGCTGGGATATATGGATCCTACTACTATGCTGTGTATGACTATAGAAACATGAAATTGATCTAGAGCGCTGAAACCGGGCCCCCTATGATTGAGATTAGCGGTCTATTGTGCAATAACAACTTCAAGAGTCCCAAGGCTGAGTGACGCAGTGAATAACTTTTGTCTATGATTTCGAGACAGCATTTCTTTCAAAAGAAACATGCTAACATCTTGTAATTCTCTACTGTTCGAGCCAGCAAACGATACTACTCAAATTGAAGTTCTGTCATATGTTCCTTGGGCTCTAAGAGAATGTAGGGAATGCTTTTGTCCAGCCTCCCATATCTCTCTCCATTGGACCTGGCCTAGACCGCTGATACAGCTCATATCTGTTGGAATAGTTGGACTTTATGTTTATGAAACTGAATGTGGTTTTTCGAGCCGTGGAGAAGTACCGTAGAGTGGATAGGTCAAAAAATAGTACAAGTCATTCCCGAGAACCACAATTGTTTTTCATGTATGATCATGACATGGTGGAAACAAAGGGGCGGCGGCATAGTAAGTAGACTGAGCATTGCGATAAATTTGCGCAGCACGGTATAATGAAATCAAGCGTTGCATAAGCCTTTCAATTTTAACATTTTTACTCTCTTCTTTCTCTCTACTAGTGGTGGGCTATGGTAGACTGCCATTTTCCTGAAGTAAAAGCCATTGTATAGAAACGCTAGATCGAGATGCTATTGGGGTGTATTTATACAATAAACTGGATGTTTCAATGTACTCTTACAAAACGAGAGTCGCGTGACATTGCTCCAGTCGATAATAGAGCTATGGAGAAGCGGAATTATTTCCTATTTAAAGAAACGGAACGTAGCAGTATTCATGCACAAGAACTCCATCGCATAATGACTGAATCATGAGCGGTATTGATGAAAAGGGGGTTGGGCGAGGAGACTGCGATGTTGTAACGATCGCTCGCTCGGCCGAGACGACAGTGGCGGACATATTCCAGTTGCAAAATACCGAGATGGTGAATATATGAGCAAATATAAGATATATATATGTGCATCTCCTTCCCTTCTATTTCTTCAGTCGACATCATCAGTTCACAACATCACTTTCACTTCGACAGCAAAGCGTCAGCATAGGACACTCACCAAAAGCATACACACTCTTACGTCTTTTCAGCTCTGATTCCACATAATCCCAATGGCACAAATGAAGGTGTTAATCAGCGGCGCGGGTATTACTGGCAATGCCCTCGCTTACTGGCTCTCGAAACTAGGCCACGATGTCACTGTCATTGAGCGTTTCCCTGAACTCCGAACTACTGGTCTCCAAGTAGACCTACGCGGCCCCGGAATTGAAGTCTTAAAGCTCATGGGATTCGACGAAGCTTTCCGCGCAAAGTCCGTACCGGAGCAAGGAATGCTTATAGTCGACAGCGCAAACAGACGACGCGCCTACTTTGGAGTGAACAACTCGGGTAAAGGACGACAGAGCTTTACCACCCAATATGAAATCATGAGAGGTGACCTCTGTCAACTCATGCATGACGCCATTAAAGAAAAGGTCACTTTCCGTTTCGGAACTTCGATTGAAAGCTTCAAACAGAAGCACAATTTGGTTGAAGTTCACTTCTCCGATGGCAAAACGGAACATTTCGATTTCGTAGTTGGTGCCGACGGCATGGGCTCAAACACTCGCAAATTAATGCTAGGCCCAGGTGTTCAAGATGCACTACGTCCAGTAAAGGGTGCTTATACAGCCTATTTTACAATACCTCGTCCTATTGAGAAAGGAGAGGAGTATAACTGCACGTTTTATCTGGCAACTAGACGACGCGCCATCATGACTCGAAGACACACTCCGGATGAGATCCAAATCTATCTGCCCTGCAATACCGAGTCGGAACGAATGAAAAAGGCTCACCGAGCCGGCGTCGAAGAGCAAAAGAAGGCTTTGGCGGAGGTTTTCCAAGATGCTGGATGGAGCGCAAAGAGTATCCTACAAGACATGTACGATTCCAAAAACTTTTACTGTGAGCGTCTGGGCTTGGTCAAACTCGACTCTTGGTTTGACGGTAATGTAGCTCTTGTTGGCGATGCTGCGTACTGTCCCTCACCACTTACAGGCATGGGCACTACCTCCGGCCTTGTAGGAGCTTACGTCTTGGCTGGTGAAATCAGCCGTTGTTGCGGAAATGCAAAGGACAGGAGTCAAAAGCCTACGGAGGGACTCGATGTGGCACTTAAAGCCTATGACGACAAATTTCGACCCTTCATCGAGCTGGTGACCGATGGAATCGGTGACAATACTGTCTTTTGGAATAAGATGGTATCGTCGTCTCTTGCTGTTGCTATGGTCAACCTGCTCCTTGGTTTAGCTTCTCTGTTTGGAGTCAATATTGGAAACTGGATTCTGCAGGAGAACACGCAGGGATGGAAGTTACCCATATACCAGAATCTCTAAATCACAAAGCCACTATTCTACCTTGCTTCAGAATGCAGGCTAAAGACCTTGTATGCGATGTATTTAGAAGTTTAGCTCAAGATAATCTCTTTGGTCAATCTGTATATATTATTTATCTAATCTCCCCTTCACACATCATCATTATAAATTTTCAAATTAGTTCTAACACGACATTGACTGAACCTTTTCCCGAAAAGAATTAATTGTAGTTGCTCGCAGATCGACAACGCGCCAGCACCAGCGATGCCGCGTAGAATATTAGCTCCAGCGTCATTAAAGAGAGCACGCACCCCATTGCTGGCAACAATTTGTTTGCCTGCATGGAAAGAGCTTTTGTACTTGACTACTCCTGAAGTCATCATCATGCGCCGCCTAATTGTGTCGAGGGGGTAGGCAGTGATACCCGCCGCCGTGGTGACAAGATAGCCTAGGCAGAAAGAGGCCAAAAATTGTTCTCTGGAGCTCCCACCAGAACAAGTGGTTTAAAAGAGTCATGCATGCCAAAGTAAAGACCACGGTAAACAACGGCGCCAAACACAGAAGGGAAGAAGCCGGGGTAGAGACCAACGATGCCATCTGATGCCAATGTCTTTCGATATACGTCGATGAAGCCGCTGAATTTGCGCTGCCCTCCTTTCTTTGCGTCATTCGCCAGTCGGGTTCGCGTGTAGTCGAGAAAGTAAACAAAGAGCCGGCCAGTTGCTCCAGCAAGGCCTCTATCCACATGGCATGTAGAGGAAGCAACTTGAGGCATCTGCCGCACCAAGTGAAGTAATGTAGAGCAGTACTTAAAAAACGAGTAGCGAATTATAAAGAAAGGGCATCTTTATTGCATACACCATCAGTATTCGTAGGTTCACTTCTTTTATCTAATCCGCTTTGAGAGTCAGAAAGGCAACTAGAGAATTAATGACGTCCGTACCGACATTCTGGGACACTTTATGAGCCTCGGATCCCGAATCTGCGGGACGGCGCGCGCGCAAACGATTGGGGGGATAATAGCGGACACCTACGCGGAAGAATTAAGCACAATATTTAAGCATAAAAGACAATTTTTATGCTTTTAGTGTTTAAAGGAGAATGCAGCTGCTTTCATATTCTTCGCTCAGACTTTTGGATGTCGCCCTTGCTTCTCGAAAGCTATGAGTCTGCTAGACCTCAAGTCTAGGTGCCAAGCTGGCTGTATTTGATTTCACGCCATCATGTCAGTCATTCATACAGGCGACAAACAGTTTCACTTCACTCATTGCTCCAGCACACTCGAGTTGCCCTTGCTCCACAGTGGCACAATATCCAATCGTTCAATTCTCCACGTAGACCCCTTCTTTGAAACCGATGCGCTGTACCGACTTTTCACTAGAAGTGAGTTATCCTGAGAATCAGAGGCAAACGCTTGGCCTTGCTTGATATGTTGAGCTTCGCAGTAACAGGTAACAATGGCGTTGTCGTTTTCGTCGTTTAGCTTGACCAGAATGTTGGTCAACGAATGTGTTGTTTCTAGAGCCTTGCCTACTGCTGCCATGCATACGGCAGAAATACTATCGAGACCATGAATTGCCCCGAAAGTCTTTCCCAGCGAGCTCAAAGCAGAGAGGTCGAGAGTAGCATCTTCAGTAAAGGCAGATTCGAGTTGGGCTTCGTCGGCACGGTCGAGACCGTCTACGTATCGTAGCAAAGCATCGATTGCTGCTTGTCTTGCAAGAATCGCTGTAGCGTGCTCCATAATGACCGTTGAACGATTTGTTCTTTCTTGAATCTTTTAAATGAGGGCATGTAGTAGCTAATGTTGGTTCGAATCCGCTGGGGAACAGACTTGACCATCCTATTTATAATGGCTATCATGCCGGAGGCCCTAGGACCCGACTCGGCCCACGGCCGCTACCGAGGCCGACGCGCAGCCTAGGCATTACTTATAATGGAAGACAACCAACTTCGCGGTATTGACGAGCTCTGAGACCGTATTCGCTACCAGAAGCAGCGCCACCCGGGAGACTCCGAGAAATCCAGCCGTTGGGCCCTCGCGGCAATATCACGACTACTGTAGAGCGAACCTTGCAACTAGTGCCGAAACTCGGACTCGCAGCCGTCAATGCAGTAGAAATCAGTGAAGAACCTTTTTTGTTTTCGTGGTTGCGTTATACATATAACATGAGGGTTCCCTCATGAAGGAATTAGTATTGACTTTAGCCTCGACTGGCCATCTTTAGAATACTTGTTATACATGATAGACAAGAGGCTGAGTTGTGCTCCAATAGCGGGGCTAAGTTTCGCATTTCATCGCAACACATAAAACTATCACTGCCGCATTCTATCTGGCTCCTCTTCGAAGCCTTAGAATTCCACGGTTGGTGCGTGTTCGGGTCAAAGCGCATGCAATAAAATCGCTCAGGCGAGCCAACAGAGTTACTTCTTAGGAATGGCGTCCAACGACCTGGATTTAGCAGCCTGTTAACCCCGAACGCTGGTCACCGCTCTCCTGCTTTGTCATCTTAAAGGATGGTGATAGCAGACAATTCAACATGAAGCTAGTCTACCATTAACAGTATTTCACGTTCTTACAAGAATCTCGAATTGAAGACTGAGAGAAAAATTCGATTTGAGCGTCGACTGTATCACTAAGCAGGACGCAAGACTCTACATGACAACTGAAGCTTGTAGCCCCAAACAACTATGCAGCACCTTGGCGAGAAAGTAACAAGCTCATTTCTGCTCAGAATAGCTTTAAACGTTGCCTCATGATTCTGTCGCTCAAGACAATCAGTAATATTATGGGCACCATGGTTCATTTATCGTCAATAATTACTTAAATGTAATCAATAACTAAGAATCGAATAGCTCTCTAGTCGTTTGAACCAAATGTGGAGAGAAGGGCGACATCTACTTTTGCAAGCAATGTGGCCCGGAAATGCAGCAATTTGTAGTGCTATGAAGAGCTTCTTATCTCTGCTGTACATACAAAGAACATGAATGGTGGCGTTGTCAGCACGGGCAGCTAAGCTAACGTTAGCGAGTACAAACGATGAGTGAATCGTACAAGCTAAGGACTCGGAGAATTACCAGATTGAGAACTCACAAGTTGTCTTCACTGTGGCTGTTCACCCCTCTATTCTCCATTTCTGTTCAAACCTCTTCGTGTATTATATCACTCTCTATCTCCATACACACATAGGTATATACAGGTATTAATATTGGCCTCTTGCATTTTGTTTCGCAAATCATAGTTATACCCAGAGATACTTCCAATAGTCTTTGAGAAGTAAGGACACTACTCTGGGAGGGCATCTCTATAAGGCTGATGCCATAAGTGCTATTCACTTCAGAGCAATCTAGGTAGTCAGAACTTTTGTCGCAAAGGAGACATTGAAACAACTCGGACTGTTATTAGCGCCATGACACTCCACTGACTCTAGAAATAGGCTGTTGCTGGGTAATATGCAAAGTAAGATCTAGTCTCACTAACCTCTCTAATAAGATCTATTGATGGCTAGGGAAAATTAGCCAGGTTGCATCGCCCACAGATGCCCGCAATAGCCGCGAAGGAGTCGCTAACCGTGACAGTCAGCTCCTACCAGAACTGCTATAATAAAAGCCACACGGCCTTCATTAATAGCCAAATCCTTTTATATTTTTCTCTACAATTCTATTCTTATTTTCCGAATCGCACATCCCCATGTCCACAGTAACGGATGCGAAGCCGGAGGGGCTTTTTGCCCCTACACTGGAGTCAGAGCGGCTCAGATACGCCATATTCGACATGAAAAATGACACACACATGCAATTCTCAGCTGATATCTTCAGTCTTATCCTAGCAGGAGCCGGACCAACCGATGGGGCCTGGACGAAGAACGACGTTCGTCGGCTCTCTTTTTCGTTGATGATGAAGCCGTCTGAGGCCCACGGGCGCCGGCCAGACACTCCATGCATATATGTCATGTACCTCAAAGATGCTCCAGCCACTCCAATTGGACTCATCTCGTTTTGTCGCCGCACTCCTGATGTCCCCATGGACCTTGGCTGGACGGTAGCTCCCGACCACCGAAGGAAAGGCTACGCATCAGAAGCGAGTGCGAGGATTTCGCGATATTGGAAAGATGAATTCGGCATCAAAGAGATGTGCATTGTCACCAGCGAAGATAATATCCCATCCAGGAAGATTGCGGAGAGCATTGGCTACGTAGATGGTGGCTATGTCATGATGGAGGGCAAGAAAGAAGTTGCCTACGTACTTCCCGGAATGAAGAAGTTTGAAGGGCAGATTTTTCCATTCTGGGGAGATGGAGAAATTCCCGAGGAGGATGACTAGATCAGGGTGACCCTTCTACAACAAAATCGGCTTCTGCAGAGTCTTGGTATTTCTGTTAGCATTATATTGTCTTGTATATATTATTATAATGCTCTTTGCTGTAAGTCACTGAGCGGCTTACACAGACTTTTGATCAAAAGATCTGGTATATGAGCATCTTCCTTAAACAGCCCTATGAGCGTGAGACTAGTATCAACAGTTCATTTAGCTTAACGTGTTTTATTCTAAAATGGATATCGATTTTAACTTGGACTGAATGTGTGCTAATAAGGGTTCCATGAACGCCTCAATAGGTACCTATTTGAAGGCTGGGCTATGGTCAGTAGGGTCAGTAGGTATTGCAGTTGCACAGCAATTTCTATTCCCAATGCGGCGAGGCTACGGAGTCAGTTGCTTTGCAATAACCTCATCCGGAAATACTTGATGATTACTCAATGTTTTTTCTAAGCAGGATCGGACTCAAGATTAATGTTTTGAATGACATATTTTATACATTCTTTCATTATCTTATACTTTTGACCGTGTGTTGCGAAACTCATCTGTCGTTCAATAAGAGAAGACTGGTCAAACAGCAATTAGTTGAAAGTGGAATCAACAGGCATTTTACTCAGCAAATCAAAAACGGAACCGGACGCCGAGCTCCCCAAGCCGATCACCGAAAGCCGAGAGCCGCACATCTCCAAGCTCACTCTCTCCCATCACAGGCCTTCGGCTCTCCGTCTTCACAAGTTCATTTCCGCCTGTAAGACGCTTCAGCAAGGGAAAGCGGTTTCTATCGGATCCATTTATCGCGATAATGATAAGTCGTACGGGTGAAAGCCTGGCTATTCCCTCTGAAATTCCCCGGAGGCGCAACGGCCGCCCCCAGGCCTGCGAGCCATGCCGCCGGCGCAAAGTCGCCTGTGACCACAGACTTCCTATTTGCTCGAGGTGCATACGAAAGAGCGCCCCCCAAAGCTGCCGGTACCTCATCAAGGGCCAGCTTGTAACGCCGGCTCTGTCTTCAGTCGGTGCTATAAGACGCCAATCGGCGGATAGCCGGCAGCATGGACAGCCGGCAGAGCCCAGCCCACCAACATTAAGCCCGACAGCTCTTAAAGATCTTGCTTCACCTTCAGATAGAATTAGTGGCTACCTCGGGGCAACGAGCTTCCCAGAATTCTACCGCGAGACTCAAAAGCACCTCGATTGTGTAGCCGGCCTTGAGCCAACCCGTGATGGCTTAGCCGGCAGCAATAACAGCGGCATGACGTCGACTAATACGGTAGTCCCAGATGCAGCTGCTTTTGAGGCTGCCTTTGCTGTGCTACGGCTAATACCAGAACAGGGAGGAGCCAATTTCTTATACGCAAGGAATGTGAACCCTTCAGACGCTTGGTGCCGCCTCGCCGTGGACCGACTCCACGACTCACTGTGGAAGACGCTGGGACACTTTTTAGAAGGGGAGAGAAGCAACGAGGCATTGTCACAGATGGCGTTGTTTCTTTTTCAAAATAGTTCCAAGCCCCTTCGGGAAGATTTCACAGACCCTGACGAATGGTATGACGCCTTCTCTGGGGTCAATTTTCGCTGGGAAAGCATTGGCATCTTATTCGGATATTGGACTTTTGGAGCCACTTCACTGTTAGAAAACGGTAACCACGAACAGTGCAAACAACTTGGAGACCACAACCGTAGAAACCTGATGCAGATGTACAAAAGTGGCACAACGAAATGCCTCAACCTCTGCCGACTGGCCAACTGTAACAACACAATGATGGTATTCCTCCTACACCTGAGCAGTCTGTCAGCCTCGCTCATCACTGGTGACACAGGTGAGCTTTATTACATGCTATATTACAATAATGCTCAGTTATGATGAATCTCTAATTGTCCAAACCAGGTGCGGAATTCTGGTGTCTGCATGCAGAAGCCGTCGCCATGGCTACTTTTCTCGGTCTCCACACACCTCAGTCATCCGGCTCGCTGCCAGAAGAATCAGTAGCTGTCCAGGCTAAGCGAAAGATCTTTGGTGCCGTCTTCAATGCTGATATGATGTTGTCGACTTTGACTGGCCGGCCGCCGCTGCTTAGGAGCAGGCTTTGTTCCACACCACCACCCCTCGATATCGACAATGCTTCATTATTTGATCCCAAGATCACGGACTACCGTCTGGACAAGGATGGATGGAATCTCGATGGAAAGTTTTACCCCATGACGTTTATACGGGCTCAACACATGAGCTCAAAGATACGGAGCGAAATCTTGGAGATGGTGCTCCAAGCACCCAATGTCGCGAGTAACAACTATGATATTGAGTACGTGAGCACTCTTGAGCCCTCCTCACTTAAATCTGCACTAACTCAGATATGAAAAGCGAACTGCGCAAACGAGAAATGGAAACCATATCACGATTTCCAATAGGACTACGGCTTAGAAGCGAAGACTTTAGTGATCCCGAAATTAACGGCATCACCCTCTACAGCAGATTGATAGTACGATTGGAGCACCTAAGCAGCCTCTTCTTCATTGAGAAGCTGTCGTACAAGGGAGATGGTCTTTACAGCGCACAAACACTTGAGATTAGTCTGGAAATGATTTCACTTACCGTTACGTTCTGGACGCAGCAGAATCGCCTGGATGGTCTACAGGGAGACTACGAGTGGCTCGTCATGGTATATGCCGGACCTGCAGGGGGGATTCTATGCATGGAACTTTTGAGGACTTGCTCTGGTGCTGCAGAATCACCGACGACGACGAAGATTACCAAATCCATGATCATCAAGCAGCTGACCTTGCTGGTCGGCTTTCTTGAGTGGATTGGACCGTCCACGCCGGGCGCTCATCTGTGCAACAGTATCAGGACGGTGGTTGAGAGAGTAATTGAGCAGGCATTGAATCCCACGCCAAATCCAGCACCTCAGCAGGAATTTGAAATGGCATGGGATACGAACTTGCCGGAGGATATGAACGATTTTAATTTTGGACTGCTGGACACTTTTGACTGGTTAAGGCTTCCGCCGACTGCGATGTAGCCGGTATTTGACAGAGGCGATGTTGAGGCTGCTGTTCAATCTTTTTTGAGCTTCATGCAATGTATATGGACATGTTGGATACGATCAGACACACTTTGTAATTGAATTAATGTGGGAGTTTAGCAATGAGAGATTCTTATAAATGGTTATTGTCGACAAATTGCTCGCTATAAGTCGCTTTATCAACTCGTCCGTGAATGCCTTGATTAAGAGCTGCATAATTGTTTCTGTCAACACTCCTTCACCACGGCTCGGTTCCATCAATATTGCTAAACGTCCCTGTCGGCCCATCTTTATCGAGAGTTGCCAACTCGACAGCCCTTACAGCGCCCTCCTCCACGTCCATAGCATTAGACATGTGGTGATTGAAGGCAGTTTTACGGAACCCAGGACAGCAGCAGTTGATCTTCCAGCCTTCATTCTGGAATAATGTCGAATAGCATGCCCCAATCATGTTGGCAGCGGCTTTGCTAGACTTATACGGGACGGATGTATTGCTCTTGTAGTACTTCCACGAGGAGTTGAGCGTGTTCCCCAGTGACCCCATCTCTGAAGTGATAAAAACGATTCGCGGCACTGAGCCCTGGTCAGCGGCTTTCTTCAACAGCGGGATGGCTGCGTCTGTCATCTCCATAACGCCAAACACGTTGACGTCAAAGAGCGCAGCCATCTTGGCCCTGAGGCTCGGCAAATCCTCCACTGCATGTCTTCCAATGCCAGCATTGTTGATGAGCACGTCGAGTTTTCCATGCTGGCGGTCGATTTGCGCCACACAGGCTGCGATTGAGTCATTTGAAGTGACGTCCACTTCGATGGGGGAAACCAAGCCGGCAAGCTTCTCGAGTTTTGATATGGCTTCTTCGCCCTTTGATAGAGCGCGACAGCCGAGGAGCACATGGTAGGTTGGCTGCTCTGCGACAAGCTTCTTTACGATTTCGAAGCCGATGCCTTGATTGCCGCCCGTGATGAGCACAATTTGTTTGTTTGCGGAGTTGCCAGCCATTGTGAGTGACTCTTGCTTGGCTAGGGAATTTGAGAAGGAATATACAGATGTTGCTTGAAGAGTTTAATACGAGAGAATGAGAATGTGACGGTTCAAAATATGGCAGCCAGGCGAGCTACAATTTTCCCCATTCCACCGCTTAATGCTCCATCGTCTCCACAATCATCTCCAACCCCAAGCTTGCTCGCTCCTACGACTGGACAGTATGCTGTTTATCAGAGATTGGATCGCCAAATCGTTCTTTTCGTTTGTGTTGGAGAACAGTACACGTGCAGAAGCACCAAAGAGGCTGCATCAAACATGATTCGCATTTCTTCATATTTCGTTCATCGTATCTTAACATCTACAAATCGGCATCTTAATAGCTGCTCTGTCCCAAGTACGCAGCCATGACACCACCATGGCTCTGCCACCCTCCCGCGTTTGCGGTATCCGTCACTTCAGCCACGTCCTTTCCTCCGGTTGACTCGAGCACCATGGTCCTAACATTATGCGTGCTCACACCGTAACTAAACAGCTTCTTGTTATCGGTGTAAATGACGGCGTTCTGCTGGCATTCTGCAGAGCAGCCGTCGCGGTTGATGCCGTTGAAGAAGACCCAGTAGCCGCCGCCGTATACATTGACGTTGCTAGAGTCGTGGATGTACTGGAAAATGGCCATGCGGCACTGAGCATCGTCGGCTGCGCACCAGCTAAAGTCTGGGTCGCTGTCCAACAGAGAGCCGGTCCAAGGAAGAGGCGTCAATAGACCAGAGTTGTTGCCCTGCCAGTATGGCGTCTCGCTCTGCTGGAAGCCCAGGAAGACGTTCTGCGCCTTGTGGATGTTGATTTGGTACAGGGAGTTGTGCTCGCTGCCGATACCCAGCATCCAGGTCGATCGAATGGATTCCACCAAGAAACCACCGGCAGTGGAAGGGTTAGCACCGTTGTCATCATCAAGATCGTGATCAGCACTCCAACACCAGCTGTTCTCCCAGTACGAGGAAGACAGAGCCGTGAGATGGGCGCAAACTCGCGCAGCCTTGCAAGTTGCGGGATCGTCGCAGTTGGTCTGGACCTTGGAGCCTCGAGCACCTCCCAGGCGGAAGTGGGAGTTGAAGAAACCCACGTCTCCAGCCTTGAGGCCGGCCATATTGACCTCGACGAGCTTGCAGCCGGGGAGGATGTCGGCAACGGTGAAGAGCATGTCGACAAATTGCGCGACGCCAACCTGGCCAGGATATCCGACCTGGACCATTGGCACGGGGTGATTGGCGTTTTTGAACTTGGACCCAGTAGCGCTGATCTCAGACCAAACCTCTCCGTGGAGTCTGTAGTTTCATCAGTCCATGGTTCTAGAGAGGATGAAATTTGATACTACTTACCGGCTTCCAGGAGGAATCACAAGGGTGTCGCTAACAAGATAGGTTCCGTGAGGGAAGTACAAAACACTCCTACCAGCAGCGCTGTTGATGATCTTCTGAAGGTTCTTGGTGCTAATAAACGGTTAGCTTCACACGTTCTTGACAATCAATGGCTCTCTAATAACACTCACTCATCAGTAACGCCATCACCCGCAACGGGCAGGCCGCGAACACTCTTCACATTGATGACCTGGTTCACGCTGTACTCCTGGAAAGTCGGCGGAGTAGCAACGTGGTAGGCTCCAGTGAAATCAACAAGCGCTGCAGGGCGAGTTGCCGGGAAGAATTTGCCCTGCGCGCGCTGGCCGGAAGATTCATAGACGTTGCCCCAAATCCAGGACTGGCCCGGCTTGACGGAGCCCCTGAGGACATTCTTTCCTCCGGCGGTGACGGTCTAGCAGGCAATGTTGTCAGCCTCTTTCTTCCAGAAACGACATGATATCCTCTCACAAGGGCACATAATGACTTACAGAGCCGACAGTGCTGTCAACTTGGACATTCTCAAGCACAATAGAGCCTTGAGCTGTGGGCGAGGCGGCAGCGTTCCACAGAATGCCAACGTTCTTGGCAGTCGAGTCGATAAGAGCAAAGAATCCAGTGTTGTTATTGGTCGTCTCGATGCCGACTTTGCAGGACTCAAAGTGCAGGCCCTGGCCGGTGCCCTCAAAGAGCTTGTCGAGCTTCAGACCAATGTCCTGGTCTAGCAGATATAACTGTTAGCAGGGCTATACACCAAGGCCAAGTGTATACGACGTACTCTTGAAAGTAATTCCCTTGAAATGGTACTGCTGCTCATTCATGCGAATGCCAACAGATCCACCTTGGAACACAACATCGTTGATCATCAGAGGAGAGCCGCCCTGAGGCATCGACAGTCCCGTGTGGGCGACGCCACCGTTGGGCATGTTGAACAGCACGTTGGTCAGCTGCACAGCTTGGCTCACGGCCCAGTTGAGGAGCGTGATGTTGTGGGTAGGCGCCACTTTAGTTGAGTCCAAAACGACATTCTTCAGGGCAATGTAGAAGTTGATGGTAGGATCCAGTCTGGGGTCCCAGCCAAGGTAGAGGAACGGGTCGGAAAAGTCTGGCGAGGCCTGGAGCACCGGCCGGTTGGTGGGATCTCCCATGACGACGGTGTCAATGTACGACTGGAGAGGCTTGCTCAGACGGTATGTGCCGGCGGGTATATAGACAACGGCTGGAGCGCCCGTGGTGCCCCAAACGCTGGCATTGCGAGTATCCGTGGCATTGGCATAGTCAAAGGCCGCTTGGATAGCAGCCCAGTCGTCCGTCACGCCGTCGCCCTTGGCACCAAAGTGCGTCTTGACGTTGCGGAAGACGGTCCAGTCCTTGCCATCGGGGATAAAAGGACTGATTCCATTGTGCTCAATGTTCTCGTACCAGTAGCCGGACGAGTGTCTGGCCTCGACGCCTTCAGATGGTAGAGAGTTGCCAGCTACAACGGCAGCAAGGCCGAGAAAGAGTGAGACGGCTCTCATCTTGCAAATATCACAGGTGAGATGAGCCTCAAACCTGCTTCGTCTTCCCTTTGCCTCAGCTCAATCGCTAGAGGAACCAGGTTTCCCCTTTCACCGCCGATCGGGGCCTCTCATCTCCTTATATACTTGTTTTCACCATTACTAGATATTGTATTATTCATCTCTGCTCGCCCCATCCCATCCCGGCTCTCTGGCAAAATCGGCTCACGGATGGACGGATACCCCAGACGGCCAAAGTCGTGTTAGACTCGACCACAAAGTCCTATCCATGTCTGCGGGTCGCCGTTCGCGGAGAAAGTAGCATTGGGGCTGTAGACGCAACAACATGCCACGGTCAACCGACCGATTCGGCATACATGCTATATTCGCCTCGACTCCACATCCCTGCCCGCCAGCTCAGGTCCAAGGGGCAAAATCTCATCCCATCTCTGCTCTGCCTTTTGCCGGCCAGGCCAGGCCAGGCACATCAACAACAAAACTCGGCCCTTTTCCCTGCTGGCGTGCGGGGGAAGCTCAGGCTAGCAATGGACGTTGCAGGGGAAAGCTACGAATTCCCTGATGCTTCCCCACGCACGCAGATACTTTTCGCCGTCATGGCAAGGGTTGCTACCCAGATGCCGTTGCTCGCCGCAGCTCGCAGCTCTAGATTGGCTTAGAGCCCGGATTAATTCCCGTAAAAAGGGACTCCGCCCTGCCAGTTGTGAGCAAAGATGATCATTTAGGTAGTTGTAGTGGTATCGAGAACCCCACGAAAACAAAAACAGGTCCATGGCATGGTAGCATTGTGTTTTAGCCCTCTGTGTTTCTGTTGGCATCCCGCGTATACGTGAGTTGCAGCTCGCAAAGTGGCATTCGCTACGGCTATCCGAGTGCAACGCCATAATAGACACTAAGGAACAATTGAGTGTACCGGCTTGGAATTATACATGCAATTATCATAAAGCTGGTTGGTAGGTTGTAATGTGTAAGCAGCCAGTCGTTGTTGGTTCCACTTGTACCCCGTAAGTTGTAACAATGAAAAATTAATCCATACAATAACTAGATGTAATAGCAAACCATACAACGTATTAGAATATTCAATCCAAACTGTCTTGACAGAGCAACCGCAAGCAAGATCAAAAAATCAAGGGTTACAAATCTGATGCAGCCCATAGGTGGAGACTCTCAGTCCCCATCGTCCAAAATCTCACTTGGCAACCCTCGTCCATTTTCTCCGCGACTCCCCGGATCTCAGACTCGGCTCTCCGCAAGTCCATCAAAAGCCCTGCACTAGCTTGACTAGCTTCTGCGACAAAAGTTCTGCGTCGCCGGGGTATCTCGCCGTGATGTAATTGAAGTTGTCGTCCTCGACAACAAAGCTAGAAAGCCGTCGATATTCAGCAACTCGATACAAAACTATCTCTTCTCGGAAAAACTCACGGTGAGGGCTTGATGCTAATCTTGAGCAACTCGGGGTCTGCCAGCTCCTTTCGCACCAAGACTTCGACATCGTCGGTTCCCGCTCCATACGTCTTGTAGTAATCCCCCAGGAAGAGGCGAGTGCCCCAAAAGGCCAGCTGCTCAAACCGCGCCGGCAGAGTCGTAGTTGCGCAGTCTCGAATGACGCTGTTCCCATCGGGATGCTTGGATTCCGAGAGCACCATGACGCCGTGACAGACCGCGCCGACTGCCTTGGTGCTGGGCTTCTTGGTGCCGGGGAAGAAGTCGGACACCAGCTTGTGGACTCTCTCCGAGTCAATCACTTGCCGGACTGCTTTATCGTGGCCGCCGGGGAAGAAGGCGAGGTTGAAGGCGTCCAGGGAGAATTGCTCGTCGGACCATGACAGAGGATTCCTCCATTCTTCCGACTCGGCCATGGCGTGGTATCTTTTCACGTTGAAAGACGTGGCGCCCTGTGATTGATTCATCCATCCGTGTTAGAGCATGCAATGCGCGCGAGATGACATGAACGCACCAAAAGGCGCTGCGAGAGGCCTTCCAGCATCTTGGAGTCGCATTGAGGCGATTTGCCCGCTTCGGTTGCAAACTTGACGTCGAAGCCGGCATTCTTAAAGGCCGTGTAAGGCACGCATGTTTCTGGATGCAAGCCAATTAAGCCAATGTCCTGACTTGAGTGTTTGTTTACTCACCCGTCGGGTCATGGCCATAGTCGGCCATTAAGAAGATAACCTTTGCCATGATGATTGATCAAAGTGAGCTTAACAGAATGATGTTGGTGACGAAACATAAAAAGAATTTGATAATGATGACGACTGGAGTGATAAATGGACAGTGCACAGAATAGCATGTGCAACCTAGGCAGACAAACATACTGGGTTTAGTAGTGCTTAGTCTATGGCCTCATTCGTATCACAGACAGCAAAAGTTTCAGTAAAAGCATCAAATACGTTACAGCGATACTACCTAAATCGTACAGAAAAAAAACACCAAGCATGGTTGCATCGTCCATACAAAATCATATTCCAAACCATCCTTTTGTCCATCATAATTTCCAACACATTCTGACCATTATTACTTGATCATAAAAACTCCATCCCGAATCCTTCAGCCACCCAAACCCAAGCCTCCCAAAAGGCCACCTCCCTTCTTCTTCTCTCCCTTCTTGCCAGTGATGTTACCCAGTCCAAGGCCTTCGAGAACCCTGTTGAGGCCCAGCGTTCCGAGGAGGTTGTCGACAATTCCTCCAAGACCGAGACCATTCAGCTGTAAATGACAAAGTTAGCATTAGAAGCTCTAGGGCTATAGTATCAATAGACACTTACCAGCTTGCCAACGAGGCCGAGCACACCGCTCAGCAACAGCCCAACAGCGGCAACGATCTGGAACAAGGGCTCCGCCAAGAGGCCCCAAAGAGGGTTGAGTTCCTTCTTGGCATGGGGCATACCCTCGATCTTGCTCTTGGCGTTGTCAATGGTTTCAGTAATAGTACCCGTGAGCTAACATCATTCACTTGTTAGCTCTCACAAACTTGATGTATAATAAATGAACTTGACATGTCACTCACCTCTGAGAGCACCTCGGCCAGATGATGCTCCTCTGCCGTAGCCTCCTTCGTGCCCGCCTTGTGCTTTGCGTTCCGCTGGATACGGCCGTCGGGATCAAGGCCACGAATAGTGCCGTTGGTCTCGGTGAGGATCTTGCCGCCCTCTTCAATCAGCGGCTTCACCTCCCGCACCAGCGCCTCCTCGTCAAGCTCCTCCTTAGGCGTCCTCTCCGCCGTGTTGATCTTGTCGGTGATCATCTTGCAGATGGGACGCATCTTGTCGAGAGACTGCTCGATGCACCCAGCCAGCTTGCCGGCCAGAATACGATCTTTCTCAGCCTCTTCGCGCTTCTTGATGTCCTCCTCGGTCTCCTTGGGAATGTCCTCAAGCAGAGCAACGTGTCCGACAGTGTCGCCCTTGTAGTTGATCACATCGCCGTCTTCGTCGACCTCCTTGCCGGAGCAGGCAGAAACGTCACCGCTGACGAGCTTGGCGATGAGGTTTCCTTCTTCGTCCAGGACGTTGCCTTCGCGGTTGACGTGGCGGCCTGCATAGGGAGCCTTCTTCCTCTCTTCGGGCTCGGGCTCTTCCCAGCGCTCAGCCTTGCCCAGGACGTTTCCGTTGCCGTCGACAACATCTCCATCCTCGTCGACTTGGCGGCCAAACAGCTTTTTGGGGTCTCCTTCGGTGAGTCTTCCAACAATGTCACCTGAAGGCGTGACAACTGTGCCGTCCTTTGCGACAGTGCAGCCAGAGAGCTCGGCGAAGATACCCTCTTTCATGCCCTCACGTTCGCCTTCGCCAACGAGTTCGGCCTTGCCAAGGATGTCTCCAGACTCACTCAGGATGTTCCCGTTCTTGTCACACATGCGGCCGACGAGAGACTTGACATTGCCCTCAATGACTCTGCCGTAGATGGTACCCGATCCGTCGACGATGTTGCCAGCCTTGTTGACCCTCTTGCCAGCCAATGAAGACATGTCGACTTCAGCCTCGGGTTCAGCCTCGGGCTCATCCCAAGCCTCGGCCTTGCCAATGACATTGCCTCGTCGATCGAGGATGTCACCATCTTCATCAACCTTGGCGCCCTTGAGACGCTTTGGGTCACCGTCCACGACGACACCTACCTGCTTTCCCTCAAACATGACGCGACCGTCAGCCTCAACGACAGCGTCGGGGAAGTTCTCAAAGGGGGCAAACTCCTTTTCATCGCCACGCTCCGCGTGGTTCAATGGACGGCATTTTCCGACCTTTTTGCCAGAGTCATTCCAGATGTTTCCCTCCCCGTCTGCCTTCATGCCGATGAGCTGCTTGGGGTCGCCTTCAAGAAGGACTCCGAGGACATCTCCGTCCTTGTTGACCAGTTTGCCAGCCTTGTTGACCTTGCATCCCTCGAGGTCGGAGAAATTAATTGGCTCCTCTTCTTCTTCTTCTTCTGGCTTTTCTCCCTCTTCGGCGACGTCAGATTTCTTTTCTTCCAAGTCCTCGGTGTCTGGCTGGGGCATCTCACTGTCTTTGGCTTCCTCCAGATCCTTGGTCTCTGGCTCGCCCTCTTTGGCCTCTTCCGTCTTTTCTTCCAAGTCCTTGGTATCAGCCTCAGGTGCCTCGGTCTTGTCGAGCTCCATGCCAGCTTCCTCCGACTTGTCTTCCATGGCAATGGGCTCTTGCTCCTTCAGCTCCTCCTGCCCCTGGTCACTACCCTGTTCCTGGGGCTGCTTGTCCTGGTCACTGGCCTGGATCGAATAGTCAGCTGAACTTTGTTCGTCTTCGCTTGGCTTCTGCGCCCTACTACTGACCAGGTCAAGGCCCTGCGAAACGGGCTTTTGGAGATTACTGGCGGTGTTGTAGGCCGATTTGGTCTTTCCCAATAGGTTCCAGCCGCCGGACTTTTGAGGACTCTTTTGGCCAGATCCAGTGGTGTATTCACCCTCGTCGCCTTCTTCATTCTCCTCATCTCCCTCCTCACCTTCTTCCTCGTCGCCCAGTTCCTCGGTGTTGATGATGTCGGCCTTGGCAAGGACCTTTCCAGACGAGTCAAGAATGTCTCCAGAAGCCATGACAGCGTTGCCCACAAGATCAGAGGATTCTCCGGACTCGGTAATATGTCCGATGGGCTTGCCAGATCTATCAAGAATGTCTCCCGTGTCGGTCACAACACCAGCAGCAGATCGAGGGATGGACCGCAGCATTTCAACTGTAGCAAGTAGTAAGCTGTTAGATGTGCGATTGCCAGTTACAATTTAAAGATGAGTACGCTACCTGGATCTCTCTGCTCTGTGGTAGGACTATCTTTGGCTTGCCACCCCCCTTGGACTTTGACAGGCTTTGGGAACGGCATTTTGGGCTCAGTAACTCATTAAAAATAAAAAATAAAAATTGTATTCACAAAATTGGGCGAGTGTCTTTGGTTGTTAATAGTTGAATTTTACGTTTTTCATCAGAGTGATTTGGATTGCAATTGACTTGTTCTTGCCATTTCCTGCTATATATACACAAATGCTGACGGGAATTAAAGTTGCGCCTTTTCATCATCCAACTTTTCAACATCTGCATACGCAACATTCTGTCAACTTGGCACATGCAAATCTCCCTGCTTGTCCAATAGCGTCACTTACCATAAATCCATCACTTGCACGCATCTCGATGAGAAAGAAAAAAAGCATTCCAATACCACACATCTCAGCTGCAGCATGACGCAGACTCGGACGTCAATTACGTCTTGCCAACATGGATAAACCCCCGATTGAATAGCTTCAACCACTAGAACATAAGATCCCATATATTCAAGGGGAACATCATATCACAATGATATCAGACAAGCCACAAAACTGTCTCTCGAGCTCCAGCATAGGCTCAAGAGCTCTCTGATGCTTATAGTAGTGCGTGTCGCCAAACAGGGATGTCCCATGCGAGCGAGACCCGAGCCCGAGATCTTCTTCTGCACGGGACAAGCCACACTCGCCACAGGCTAACTGAGAAGGTGTCGTATTCATTTATCATGTGGCGTTGGGTTTTTCTATCGTTGTTCAAACAGGTTTCTGATAGGGGAGTATGAATAGAGGAAGTGTGGCGGTGGATTTGCTGCACCCCTTGAATTAGTGCTGTAGGAGATAGATTAAAGCTTTCGTTGACGGCTTGGCTATGACGATGATATCTCGAGCTTATCAAAGATGTGAGGAAAGTTGTGAGAAGCTCGTGAAATTGTAACTATTCTATGTTTTATGAAATGATGCCATCGCCAGATTCCCAGACCAGTTATTGAGCCAACGCCTGAACTGCCCCCTATCCTACGATCCTTGTCTTGCCAGTAAAAGACGCAATTAACCATTTCTAAAAACCGTGGGTATCCTGATAATCAGTTGGATGCCGTCATGTGTTGATTTGACATCCAAGTACACGTCTGACGGGCCCGGCGGTGCCTCTTTCGCTTTGCCAGCAGTATCTTGAGACTTCTTGTCCTCACTCGCGTTCTGCTGCTGCTGCTGCTGCTGCTGCTGCTGCCCGGATCCTTCTCCCTCCTCCGTTGACGGATTCATCTTGCCAACAACCTTGCCCTGTTTGTTGTAAATGTTACCGTCACCATCTATCCTCAAGCCCCCCTCCAGATCCTTCAGCTTCGGCCTCGAATGATTGTCGGAGACATATCCCACCACCTCTCCGGCGGCGTCCAAAATCTCCCCCGACTCGGACACCGGCCGTCCCACCATGGAAGGCAGATCGCCCTCCACCGACCCCAGCACCGTGCCATCCCAGTCCAGGATGTTGCCGAACTCATCGACAAACTTGCCCACTAAGCCCTGGGCCAGCTCGGCGAGCGGCTCGCCTTGCTCCACGGGCTGGATCTTGGGGATCTTGATGTCTGGGTTTTTTTTCTTGTCACCGTTTGGTGAATCTGACTTGTTGTTGTCTTCTGTTGTTCGGGGCAGCATGACAAGTCTATGGCTGGAAGAGCGTCGTGGTGGTCCCTGACGATCACCGTCGGATGGCGGCAAGTTGGGGCTGTCCGGAGACGACTGCTGATGCGGCATTGTTTCCAGCTGAAGCGCCAAGTATCTAAGTAACGTATAAAGTATACGAGTCAATTATTAAGAATGTGAGTTTCTCATACAGAAATTGTACTGAAAAGGTCAGTAAAGAGCAGCGACCACGATTAGCTTAATGCGCTCCTCTACCCGCAAAGCCCAATCGCAGCTCAAGATTCCCCCTAGGCAGCTCTTCTAGTAAACAAGCAGTAGCAACTGCGTCATCGTGTGCAAAGGAGCCTTACGCAAGGCCCGGCATGGGGCAATGACACACTCCCACATCATCCGCATCGCCGATCGTTCCAAGAATACCGCGCCGAGACAGGGGTTCTCCACGCCGGCGCCAGTAGGGCCGTCTAATACTGTGCCGCAAACTGTAGATGTTACGGACTTGCATGGTACTTTTCCATATTGGAAAAAAGAGAAAAAAAGCCCTCACGATACCTGTTTTTCTGAGCAAAAAGACTCAGCTCAAACCTGCTGTCGTGGAACGTTTCCTCCGCATCATCGCAGTTAAACGTCAGTCTCGGTCGGAGGATGCCGAATCGAGACACGGTCGAAAAAGGCAAGCAGCCACAGCATGTCACAAGGTTGTGGCTTTTCCCCATGTTGCTGTGGCTTTTGACCACCATGGCTTGATTGCGTGACTGCGGCTCGCTAGTGTGGCTGGTGACTCTGTGGCTGATACTGTTCTCATATGCTCATCTTCACGTTCGGCACGAGGTGATTCTATTCAGAATCCAAGTAATAGTGTCATTAACTAGAGGCAGAGCTATCATCTTGCTCGTTCACCCCCATCTTTATTTAACAGTACATGCGTGTGATAATCGTAACAACCCAGGACAAGTTATCCTCGCCCTCTCCACGCTATAACTAATTCTCCTCCTAGTGTGAGGCTCATGTAGACAAATTAAGCAATAACAAAAGAAAGCGTCAAAAAAGAAATAGTCGGTAAAAACAAAAAAAAAAACAAAAAGAGGTAAGAGCCATCCCGGTTATACGCCTCGAGATCTGATTTCGGATCAAATCTCTCTCATTATAAGGAAAAGTAGAAGCGCCGGTATCGTCGTCGTCGTCGTTGACAAGTGATGTTTCAAAATCGCTTTGTGATCTTTTTTTCTCAGTTCCTGGTGACGTGAACAAAGAGCGCAACGCCATTAGCCGATCTTGCCCTTGAGAATATATTTTTTTTCTTTCTAGTTTTGAAGTTTTTTGCATCATTTTTCATATGCGGGTGATATGGTAGGGCCCCATAACTAGCCAGTCCTGGAAGAGAGGCCGCACTTGTAAGATAATGTTATAGAACCCAATATGTGTGTAATCGCGACTCGGAGAATTGGGGGTTACATAAAACTTAAAAGGTTGAGTGCGTGTATGATCAGGAAACAGAAAGGAAATTGAGGGGGTTTTTTCAAGAACTTACAACAACGCCAGCTCCAAGTCGCCGTGAATCTTGGCCTTGAGCTGAATCTCGATATCCAGGTTCAAATCCAGCCGTAGCCTCAACGTGTCGCTCTTCTTGTCCTCGCCACCGCCCTGCTGCTGCACCGCATTGCCCGCGACGCCTCCCAGCGCGTTCGTCACGCCGCCGACTGCTCCCTGTGCCGTCTGCCCTACTTGCCCGACTTGGTTTCCCAAATCTCCGGCCACGGGCAGGTTGTCCAACCCGGCGAGCTGGCCGCCGCCGGCTTGGGACTTTCCGCGGCGCTGGGTCCTCGTCATTTGTCTTCTCTCACGGCGGGGAGGCTGGGGAGGCGGTGACTCGGGGGCAGAGTCGGAGCCGTACTCTTCGGCAGAGTCAGTAGTGCGATCCTTTTCAGTAGCATTTGACATGTTGGCGGTTGTGGTGTTTGTGTTGCTATCTTATCTGAAAGGAAAACAAGACAAGACGAGCTGTGAGATGAGATGGGTGAAGAAGAAAAGAGTTTCTCAAAGATAAAAGTCTCTTAGTGGGTATGTGTGTAAGTCGAATATGAAGACAGGAATTAGAGCAGGGTATCCTCTTGGCTATTGCCTTTCTAGTATATCCAACATTCGCATCCCTCCATTCAATTCCCGGAGCATCATAATGATATACCCCCATTCATTCAATACGTTTGGCATCAGACACCTTACGTCGTCGGCCGAACCGGTTTCCATCTTTTTCTTCAGGCAATCTCCACTTTGTTCCATTGCTGCTATTTCGTGATTTTGCCTTCTCTTCTACACGCCCTCACCGTTTACGAATAGAATCTATGAAGTCATCATGAGCCAATACGGTTAATATAAATTAATTAATTCTCTGTATCAAATAGACAGGGATCAGCATCATACTGTATGTACTATTTCGGGCTAAAAGTCCCAGAAGCCACCATTGCGGAGCCAAGCGCACCACGTTGTGACCATTCATTCCGCGGCGGCTATTCCCATTCCAAGCATGCCCTACTTTATACCCTTTTCTATCAAATCAGCAGCCACCGCATCGTTGATGAAGCAAAACGAAACTAAACCCCTGTTGTTCTTTCCAAACAGGCTTTACATAACATTCAATTGCAATTTAATTTTTCCACCTGTGGCTAATCCCTCACATACTTGCTCTGCATGCCCAATAACATGGCCCTCCTCAGCCTCACGGGCTTGCACTCCTCCTGCACCTCCGTCGTGGCTAGAATCTCGCTCTCCGGGTCCCAGTACACCACCCACCGCTGCGAGCCACTCTCATCGCGCTCCAGCTTCGCCACAAAGACATCGTCGCTGCCCTGAATCGTCAGAAACTGCTCGTCCGCGCTCCAGCCCCAGGGCCCAATGACGTGGCCCAGGGTGTCCTTGCGAGCGCCGTACTCCACCGCGTGCGTGTCCTTGTTGATGTACAGCCAGTTGAGCATTGGGGGATCGTCCGAGATGGTGCTCACCAGCCCCAGATGCTGCTCCTCGCTGGGGTATGTGAAGTAGTAGCCACAAAAGGCGTAGCCAGGGAAGCCGGCATCGAGCGGGATGTTGACAAGCAACTGTTTTTTTTTCCCAAGCCATTGTCGTCAAAAGTCAGCCGCTAGACGTTTTTTGTTGTTTGTAGTTCTTGTGGCATACCTTTCCGTCTTTGAGCACGCAGAAATCCGTCTCGTAGTCGTCGTCTTCCTCTTCCCCGTCTTGGACTACTGCCGTCAAGTGAAACTTTTCCTTTTCCTTGTTTGCTGCGTTTGCCTTCTTCTGGGCACTGACGGCTTGGCCCACGCCCGTAACAGTAGGTATGGCCGTGATGGCAAGAAGCCCAATGACCATTGTGTAATCGGCGCTTGAGTGTACGGCTCTGGCATGAACAAAACAAACAGACTATAGAAAGTTTTCCATCTGAATGACGTTTTTCTGGCAATCTTCTTGTGTATATTGTTTGTTCCGAGTGACTCCAGTCCAGTAGTCGTTATTTAGGAGGGCCCTGCATAAAGCGATCGAGATCCTCCAGCTTGCGGTGGGGACTCATGACCCATGTCCTAGCTAAAGTTCCCGGCTAGCTGTACTGTAAGCAAGCATGCAACCCGCACAGGATGACTTCACCTCACATAAAGTCGACGCCCATGGCGTGAGCCTTGGAGCGCTGGAGGCCTGTCCCAGATGACACCTCTTCCTGTATCTCTGCTTCAAGTTTCTGGAGCATAAATGTTGGCACGTCATAAGCGCCACTAACTCAACAGGGGGGGAGTGAAGAAAGCTTGGCCAGCACCTTGTTACCCGGGTTTGTTTGCTGTTGTTTTTTTAGTTTCGCAAAAGAACGAGTAGACACATCGCTGTTGCGTCACTCAATATCAAAGAAATGCCGTAGTGGAACCTGGATCAAAAAGTTGAACCAGAGCCACAAAAGCGAGCGTCGAGGACCTACGCCTCATTTTGACATGCCAAAAGACTGAAGAACTCGAGACAACATCTGGCATTGTTCAAGACCAATTGACAAAAGAAGGCTTCTGGCTTGTTTTGCCTTTACAACTCTTCATTGTTCAACCTCCCTTTTTCACTCCTCTCAACTCCCAAGTAAGACTCATAAAAATTAGCAATCATGTCTTCAGATGAGGTTTGTCTCTCCAGAGCTGATTCATATTACCAATGATGTATGAACTAATCCAACTTGTAGAAGCCCAAGGACCTGGACAACAACAGCCCCCCACCTGAAGAGCACGAAGACCAAGAAGAGCACTCTGGCGCCGAAGATGAAGACGCAGACCAGCAGCAAAACGGTGATCAAAACGGCGATCTGAGTGAAGACAAGTCAGACGACCATGACCAGGACGACAATGAGCCCGCAACACCACCACCACAGCCAGAGCGCAAGCGCGAGAAGCCGCAGACCGAGACCCAGACCAAGACCAAGCCTCGTCGGAGGAGAAGGCCCTTGCAGCGCCAAGTAGAGGACCTGGACGACGAGGACGACCAGGGACAGATGGTCCCTCGCCAGGACCAGCAGAAACAGCAGATGTTGTACCAGCAACAGCAGCAACAGATGATGCAGCAGCAGCAGCAGATGCAGCAGCCCCAAAAGGATGGCGGCAAGAAGGATCCTCTCAAGCTGCGACTCGACCTGAATCTAGATATTCAGATTGAGCTCAAGGCAAAGATCCACGGAGACTTGACACTGGCTTTGCTGTAGGTGAATTCTCTATTAATCTTTTCAGCCCAACTCATCCTGGAACTAGAGTTTGCTAACGCTGGCCATCTCAATAGTGACATGGACTAAGGGTGGGGACTATATCGAAACGATTTCATCTGGCGGTGTTCATTAAAGTTGATACGGTACCATATCCTGTATGACCGAGGAGGTACTCTTTCCTTATTTTTTCTATCCCATTGCAGTATTGCGTCTTGTTGTTTTTCCCTCTAGTATAATGAATCAGGCCTCCTGTCTTGAGGGCGTGCCATCTGCTGTTGTACATGTATATATAGTATATGTGCGTGTATCGATCCCATTATCATTAATATTAACGTTGAACAAATAAAAGAGCTTAAAATGGAGACGCTGCCTGAGCGCTTTCGCTAGCCGTGAATCACGTCCCACAGAGACTTGTACCATACATTGTGTTTGACTCCATGTTCTATCCGTCCCGTTTCGTTGACCAGCGGCATGCACTGAAAGGCTTCGGAAAAGACGTTGAGGCATTTGCTGCGAGCTTCCATGTGGCCTGGTTTCCTGCTGATGCCGCCTGCAGGATCCAGATTGACGTACTGATGGCGGCCGCGGACCAAAAGGGGCCCTGAACCGGTCAACATGGAAGAGACAAAGTTGAGGCCAATATCCTCGCAGTTGAAGGCATCGTCCACGTATTTGCGGATCTTTGTGACAGCAGCATCGTCGGAAAAGTAATAGTCCAGGAACGCAATGTGTGTAAAAGCCAGATTGGTCAAGACGATGGAGTAAACGTCCTCGTGCTCCCTCTGAGAGCAAAAGTTGTAATCCCACTCGCCAGACGGGAGAGCCGAAACACAGCGCGCAAGGGCTCCCGTCATCCGATCTTTTCCAAATTTGCGCCACATCTGGAACACGAACTCGAGATCGTCAGGGCGGTAAAAGACATCGTCGTCGGTGAGAAGAATGGCCTTTGTGCGATATGTGGGATCCGGCCAGAGTTTCTCGTTGAGGCTGTCGCGAGTCGGTTTACGGTATCGCACAGAGACACCGGACTCGGAGACAAAGCTGTCAGGCTCCTTTTCGTCAAAATTGTTCCATATAACGACTATTTCGAGTAGTGATGGGATCTCGGCAGACAGGAGAGTAGTCAATGTGCGATGGAGCTCCTTGGGGCGATGGAAAGTCGACATGGCGATTCTGAAGCAAGATTTTGCTATTAGTACATCTCTACATATAGTAGGGTAGCAGCATATCCAACATACGTAAACTTGTCATCCAGATGCCCGCCATACTTGGTCTCAGCTGCAGCCCGCCATGATTCCAGGGGGTAAGTGACATTGGGGTTTGTGTGATCGCTGCAGAGAGGATATCCAGAGCTTAATGCTTCATCGCCGGAAGATGATGCCTTCGGCCTGCCTTTGGGCAAAGCCGGAGCCGGGCCCAGGTTGTTGACAAGGAACACAATGGTGGCGATGGAGAGTATCAGGCCGGCCAAGATGGTTGTAACTCTCCTGAAACGGCGCGCCAGCAGCCAGTTGAAGCACGACGCCATTGAGGCGAGCATTTCAGTTGTTGCGCTTGGCTTGATTGGCTCCTCTCAGACGGCGATTGGGGCAGCTCAGGTAACAGCTGCTGCATGTACAAAGCAGCTCGAAAGCGGCATCTTCAAGCGATTCGGACTAGCCTGCACCGACGGATCGCTTGTGATGCTGATAATGATAACCAAGATGCAGGGGAAGCAGGGTCACGTGAACTCGGGATATACATTTTTCCCGCTAATCGGGGGCCGATGCCTAAAAACTACACTTCACGAAACGGGTAAAAATGCAAATTGGAATGACGTAGCTGCGGCAAATGCAGAATCTCGCCATCTCAAACGCTGCCGAGGACGCCGATTCACTCAATCTCACATCTCTGGATGTGACCTTGTCCGGAGCTGTCCGCACCGAGGCAGCGTTTAACTCTATTTTGCTTTCCCAGCATTCGGGCCAGGCACGGGAGGGTTTTCTAGAATAATCGGACCCGAGGAGCAACGCGGACCCGCCTCGCTCGGCTTCTGGTCTGCCAGGCTCAGGCTCAGGAGACATGCACAGCGGCCGAGGCCGAGGCTTCTGTCTCTCTCTGGTGGAGGGATCCAGTAATAATACAACGCCCTGCTTGTCAAGCATCTGAAATCAGACGTTGTGTCTTGAGGCGACTGCTGATGCCAAGCAGCTCGACACAAAAAATCGAATCCATCACACCACGCCCACTTCTGCAAGCGGCGGAATAGGTATGCTGCGGACCAGCCGTAGTGCCCTCGGACTCGCTATCGGTCTCTCCTAATTTTCTTCCAGACTTTTCGCCTGTGAATCAGCCACCCCTCAGGTGATGCGGAGTTGGCAAATGCTGGACCCCGTGTGCCGGCCGTGGCACCGTGTAGTCGTGAGAGCCTAATCCTTCTCCGGGATGCTCCATTGCCCCAATCGGTCTCCGTCCACGGAGGTTGTGTTGTACCAGCACTCCGTAGTACACTGGCGCTGAACCTGCGTATGTAATCGGAGTATAGGAACTTTCTCGCAAGGACAGCGCCTATTCCTCCATCTGCCGGGAGCAGCAACGGGTCCGAACCCCGGCGTCGAGCTCTGCCAAGACTCAAAGGAATCGTGCCTATGCGCCGTCATGTTGCTCAGCAGCAGCCTGTCTTGGCATTATCCATCACCACAGAGGGAAAACAACGGCGCAGAGACGCAGCCCCAGCGATACTCGTACACTGCTCACGCTCATTCGTCTCCGCCGCTCGTCGTGCCAGGATGCGCCGATCCGCTGAGACCTCAGCCAGGCACCTGCGCCAATCACGATGCGCCTGGTCCGCGCTCTCCCTGCAGCTCTGCCGTGAAGCCGTTTTGGACTGGACTCTACTGTAGAGGCGCGCTCAGCCAGTTTGGTTCGTGCAGCAGCCTCTGTCAGACAGCCAGGCTGAGCGTCATCAGCCAACTTGGACTTGGAAAGATGCCGGTTCCGAGGCTTCACTTTGGGTCTAGACGCCGCCAAGTAGACGGTACGCACGGCAAATGTGCCGCTGCTTCAGGTACCGCCCAAGTATGCGGTACTCCCCACCGCAGCGGCACATCAGCAAGCCCCGAGGACAAGGGGACAAGGGATGGACAAGTGCTTTGGCGCCAGACCGGGGGGCTACCCACCAGCTAAAAACTGGACCATGTAAGTAGGTATTTCGATTCGAGCGAGGCTTGCGCTTCCACGGCAAAAACAAACCTCCACGGCGAAAAAATGCAAGCGAAAAAAGAAAAAAGGGGGGTGTGCCGGGCCCCATAATTAATTCGTGGTGACGGAGTCCGAGCGATAGTATGGTGCTAGGTACGAGTATTTCTGCTGCGATGGCCTCGCTTGGCAGGAAACCTGCGCAAGGATTAAAAAGTAAAGGAGCTGGCTGGAGAAAAAGGGTTAAGGGGAACAGCAGATCACGCCGCTATTCTATTCTTATCTGCGCACGCTGAATCCCGTCCCTGTTATGCTACCAGTACCCTACGAGCACTACAAGTACATGTACCTACAGTATTCCATCCTACAGGTGCTCAACTGCCTATAACGTAGCGCCGCGAAGCTCCACCAACCTCTACTCTGCTCTTCTCTCCTCCATCTCTTCTTCCTCTCGTCTATTCTTCACCTCTCACAGCGTCTCATTCCTTATCCGCATCCGCATTTGCCGTCCGCACGAGACAATCGAATCGAGCCGAGTCGAATCTTGGCCTCTCTCTCCCGTCCACGATGCGGACCCGAAGTATCGTGGCCCTGGCCGCCATCGCCGTCTTCTGGCTGGTCGTCTTCTTCCGCCGTCACATCCACGAGCTGGGCGAGATCGTCGTCACCTACAGCACCTTTTACCCGCTGCTCAACAGCCACCCCGACCTGCTGTACCGACACCCCGAGAACTCGTCGTCGACGCTGCTCGAATCGCTGCAGGACCCAACGTCGGCCTCGTCCACGCTCAACCCCGTCGTCGTGCCCAAGATCATCCACCAGATCGCCCTGGGCAACGCCAGCGTCTCCAAGTACCAGGCCGCCATCTCCAGCTGCACGGCGCTGCATCCCGACTGGAAGCACCAGCTGTGGACCGACGTCAACGCCACGGCCTTTATCGCCGAGTTCTACCCCGACATCCTGCCGCACTACACCGGCTACGCCCAGAACATCCAGCGCGCAAACATCCTGCGATATGCCCTGCTGCACCACTCGGGCGGCATCTACGTCGACCTCGACGTCACCTGTCGCGTGCCCCTCGACTCGACGCCCATTGTGCGTCTGCCGTACGTCTCGCCCGGCGCGCATCCCGCGGGAGTCAACAACGCCTTCATCGCCACCCAGCCCGGGCATCCGTTCCTGACGCAGCTGCTGGAGAAGGTGCCCAGCCACGACCTGCACTGGGCGCTGCCGATGCGCATCCCCTACGTCGAGAACATGCTGAGCACCGGCTGCATGTTCTACTCCAACCAGTGGATGTCCTACGTCCGCGACTTCAACGCCGGCCGCCAGAGCACAAAGGTCCATATTCTGTCCGACGAGCACGGCGACATGGCGCCGCACATGCTGCGAGGCAAGGTCACGACGCCCATCTTTGTGCACGCCGGCGCCAGCAGCTGGCACGGCTGGGACGCCGCGCTGTTCCTGACGATTGGCGAGCACTACACCTTTTACCTGGGCCTCCTGTTTGTCGCCCTGACCGTCATCTTTGGCGCCGCCTACATCTGCACAACGTCTAGGAGATCGTACCGCCGCAGATGTCGCCTGTTTGGCTTTGGCGGTGTGGCCGCAGCCCGCAACAGCTGGTCACCCACAAGACAGCGAAAGCCCAGCATCAGCCAGTCGATGGTATAGAGCGAAGCCGGCTTTGACGATTTCTTGATTCCTTTATTCTACACTTATCTGGGCCATCTCATCACATCGTTATATCAAAAGAATACGCTCCATAGGCGCGATTCACTAATAATTCTACTTAACCACCAGTAGTACCGTACCTGCATACTTGTTTCGATTCAGCCGCTTGCTTTTTTTTTTTTTTCTAGAAAGAGAAGGATACTCGCTTGTCATTATGGTTCTTTTTTTAACACAACTTTTGCTTCTTCTTCTTGTTTTTACACCAGCTCATCCCACGGGCTATTTACGATAAAAGGGCGAAGCGGAACACCGCGGGCGATGATTTTCCATTCGACTTTTTTTTAAACGAATTTTCCTTTTTACTACACTTTTTTCCCCCTCCACAAACGGTTTCCTGGAGGGACCGACGATATACGGAACGGATGGTACAGACGGAACGGCATCTTGGCTTTGGCTATCAGCTCGGCGTCACGGGTCACGGTGAAATCTATCTATAGGGATTATGAGGCATTCTATGCTACAGCAAGAGCGGGAGGGGAGAGAAAGGAAGGAAAACCCCGCATTGCAGTTTTGGTGTATTGATAGAGAATATTACCGACAATACCAAATGGGAGGCCCGCCTCTAGGGTTAATGATAATGCTTGTTGTTATTTTACACTGCTCATCATGACTGTCATTGTGTCGAGTCCGCTGCAGCATACAGTGCTATCAATAGCTGTAGCATCTCATCTGCATCTGCTGACCCCGCGTCAGACTGCGGCTGTGGCTATGCTAGGCCAAGTGTGATGATCTGATATGATATGCCTGGTTATACCCTGCCCAGTCTACTCCTCAACTCGAGTCATTTACGCTGCAGAAGCTGCATATCCCCAACATACCACAGCTAGACAGCTAAACCACTACTGCATCAACTAACTACTGCTAACAACCTGCAGGCGTCCACGAATTGGCGTCTCCACATCCGAGGCAGCCAAGTCCAGCCCGAGTTGTTGGCCCTGCTGCATTACGTAGTGCACTGAAAACGGGCCTCTTTATCTCTGGTCTTGTCTCTAGTTTTTCCCTCGATTACACTATTGTGAGTCGATGCAGATGCTAATAGGTAAAAAGTTACTCTCACGCAGCTGATGGTTTTCTGGTCCACCGTGACATGCACGCATGCATTAGAGCTCGCAGTTTTGTCAAAGCCCGGGTTCTGATGCATTTGGGCGTGAGAATGGAATCATTTTTCCCTTTTTTGCGGGATGACGGGAAAAACAAAAGAAACGAAGAAAAAATAAGGGCTAGTAACTTCAGGTTGGGAACAAAAAAAAAAGAACAAGTACCGTCTACCTGCGGACGCATGCCCTTCCAGCCAAGGCGTCATGGTTGCGATTCTCGCCAAGGCCGTCTTTACTGATTCTGCCCCAAATATGCTTTCTTGGCTTTGTTTCGAGGGGCTGTGCCTGGGTTGCCCAAGACGCCACGGGCTTGGTTTGTCAAAATTGCAATTTTGGGTTGATGAGTAAGTTGCTGTAGGGATTCGTAATGTGGCGGAGAAGCAAGATGGCGGGGAGCTGGGGTGATTTGCCGGATACACGATGGCTTCATATTAGAGGTGTAGACAGAGTGCCGTTGTTTCTTCTCGACGTGAGCACGTTTCATCGTCTTCTGTCACATTGCTTAAGCTCCATCATCTTTTCGTGATGGGGACTAACTGAACTTTAACAGTCGTGTTGAAGCATGCGCAGTCAGCACCTAAAAGACCCAAAACATGGTACTTGTCAAGGCTGGTAGAGCTGTTCACTATACCTACTAGTACCTACCTAGGTATATAGCCGTGAGTGGAATCTGATTAAGAAGCATCAATCCTTTCAATTGACAGCTACTAGCAGGCTCTTTATGTACAGCAAGAATCATGGCTCTTCGCTACGGTAACGCGTATAGCCAACTCCAGTACCGCCTGAATACTCACATCTATACCATTTGCAGAGTAAAGGTATTGGAGGAATAAGGTATCGTGTATTATCTAGATGCAAAGACTGAGCGCTCAAGATGCAAATGCTTATTACAACCACCAGCCCGCTTCTATCAAAACTCTAACAATCGAAAACTTGGATATCGCAATGCCAACAATCAAACAACACCTACCACGGCACATTCACCCCGAGATCCCTGGCCACGCGCATCGCAGAAACGACACATCCCTCCAACAGCACCATGCCATCCCAGCACCACGAGCCCACGATCCACACATCATCCTTGCCATTCACCCATCCCGCATCACCCGCCTCCATGGCCTTGCGCACCATGTTTCTGCTCTCCGTGGTGCGCAGCGTCCTGGTGAATCTCGCCGTGTCCAGCGTGCCCTTTACTTCAGCGACATCACCCGTGGGACTCGTCCGGACCACCAGCCCGCCTTCAAGATAGTGCAGCGACTCGGTCTGGACGATGCTGTCGGAAAAGGTGGTCCGAAAGGCCATGATCTGGGCCTCGCCGCGCCGGTATGAGCATCCGCCCGACGGAACGTGCGTCTTCTCATCGACCAGAGAGATTTTGGTGTTTGGAGACGCCAGCACGGTGCTTGTGACGGGCACGGTGGGGATGACGCCGAGCAGCGGCTTGGACGGGTTGAAGATGGCTGCGGCAACGTTTGGCGATACGGCAAGCACCACGCGATCAAACACCTCCTCAGCAGAGCGTTTCTCGTCCTGGCTTTCATAGCGGATCAAAACACCGCCATCAACTCGCTCGACCTTGTTCACTCGAGTCTGCAGCCTCACGTCCTTGATGCCTCCCGCCAGCGTCGCCTGCACCCGGTTGATGCCCCCCTTGGCCACATACGTCTTGCGCAGAAAGGACCCCTTCATGAAGCTGGTGACGTCGCTGGCGGGAAAGTCCAGCATCTCGGCGTGGGAGCAGCTGCAGATGATGCTCAGGATGGGCAGCAGAAAGTACAGCACATAGTACTGCGGCAGCCATATGCGGTCCAGGTACTGGCGCAACGACTCGCAGTTCTGGCCGCTCTTGGCCGCAGAGCCCTTCACCTTGACATCCAAATACCGCTCGGGCCGGATCATGCGCGGCGGCAAGAAGAAGCACGCGGCAAAGAACCAGGCGTGGCAGAGGGCCAGGTAAAAGGTCAGCAGCACGTTCTGCAGCGACCCCCTGAGCCAGAAGTGCGGCGAGACCAGCAGCAGCTCGTGCAGCCGCTTGCCGTAGACAAAGTAGCTGCCGGGCATGGATTCTGCGGCATCAGCGCTGGGGATCTGGGCCTGCGCTGCGGCAGAGACTTTGGCAAAGACCCAGATGAGCTGGATGCGCTGGAAGGGCACGCCCAGGTGGTCGTACATGCGGCAGAGGTTGGCGTAGTAGCCGCGGCAGAAGCTGCGCGGGGGGATGTCGATGCGCTCGAGCGAGTTTGTGGCTTCATTTCTGAGCGTGACTGAGGCGGCGTCGAGGGAGAATTTGGGGGCCTGGGATGGATGTTGGTATTTACATGTTGGGGGTTTTACGGGTGAGTGAGTGAGTGAGTGAGTACCTGTTCAAAGAGCGTCACCTCGTAGCGCTTCTGCTTGTCGTGATGCAGCAGATATGCCGTTGTGAGGCCAGCCAATCCGGTGCCGATGATGGCAACTCGGCTTTTGCTGTGATTCTGATGCATCCCGAGTATCTTGAATGTTGCTGAGGTACCTATTCATGCAGTCCTTACAGCAGCCAAGACCGCTGAAATGCCTATTCGTAGTCGCCAATAATTAAAGTAGAGATTGGAACAACAACCTTGATAAAGGGCTCAAGTAAAAGTTGAGAATCAAAAGCAAAAGCAACGCCCCATCAACGCATCACAGCAAGCGCGTCCAACACCGATTCCAATACATGCCACGTCTGGACATTTTAATGGCGCGACAATCTACAGCACAAGTAATCAAGTCGGACGAGGCTGCAACCCCCTGGCAGTTCGGCGCCAGCTTTGGAAGCCAGAGTCCCCAACAAAGTTGCAAATCGTCCGCTGTGATTGGGCTGACTAGGGCGTTTCAGACCCCCCGACGGCCATTTTCTTTGCAGCACAGGCCGAGGGACCAGAAGCGAGTGCGAGTTTTTTTTTTTTTTTTTTTTTTTTTTTTTATCTTACTTGGTCCCCTACTCTACTAAGATTGACTAGCACGTGCTAATGAATAAAGTGAATCCACCGGGTTTGCCACTTTTGAATTGCTGCCAAAAGAAGTTGGCTGGTGTCTGTCAGAGTTGTATTTACAGCACTTTCGCTCGTTGCTGTCAAATCGGATCTTGGCGGCGGGTGGCTGCGCACCATCAGCATCTAAAAGCAGGGCGACGTAAGGCAACGTCGGAGCCAAAATGAATGTATGACGATATACGGGAGCACTCAATACAATTTAGAGTGACGATTTGAAATCTTACACCCACCCGCATACTAACAACTTTAGTCTGGCCAATCTCATCAAATGGCCGCTGGAGACTTCATCCTTGGGTTTCTGGCAGGATGTGCGGCCATCATCGTCGTGCTCGCCTTGGTGGCCTTTTCGCTAATCAAGTCTGGTGATGTATACGGGCTTGGCCACTGGAAGTTGAATGTCAAGGCACCATTTCCGTCAATGTGGATGAATCTGGGATACTGGCAAGTTTTTGTTTCATTACAGATACATAACTCATCAATAAAAAGAAATGTACATCTAACTCAGCCGGACAGGACAAATGACGACGGCTCATCCATCCAGCACCTCGACGAGGCTGCGCGCAACATGCTCCTCCACATCCTGAAAGCCGCTGGCCTTGTATCCAACAAGACGGCCCGAAACTCGGTTGCCGTCCTAGACGTGGGCTTTGGATGCGGTGACCAGACCGTAGCACTTGCAGAGCTCATCCAGGCTCCATCACGGCCTCTCCGCTACGTCGGCCTTACGCTGAACGAGACGCAGCGGCAGGCAGCGCAGCAGAGACTCGATGCCTCCCTAGTGGCAGCCGACAGCAAACACGTTGACAACCTGTCAATCAAGCTCTTTCAAGCAGATGCCGCAAAGCCACAGTCCTGGGACAAGGCAATCACCACCGCCGTCGACACCCTCTCGGACAAGGCCTCGGAGCGCTGGCTCCTCGGCCTAGACTGCCTCTACCACTTCTCGCCCTCCCGAAAGCCCATCTTCCAGCACGCCTCCCAGACCCTCGACGCAAACGTCATGGCCTTTGACCTCATCCTCGGCGACAACACAACCCTGTGGCAAACACTGGCCGTCCGGCTGCTAGGCTTCATCCTGCTCTGTCCATGGCAGACCTTCTTAACAGAGGCGCAGTACCGCGAGCAACTGGTCGAATGCGGCTACGACAGGGGGGGTATCGAGATACAAGATGTTTCGGACCATGTGTTTGCTGGCCTGGCGGGCTTTCTGCAAAGACAGGATGCTGCGCTGAAGCCGTATGGGATATCGCTGACGGGGTACAGTGCAGTTGGGAGGGTGTATGATTGGTTTGATCGGACGAGGGTTCTGAAGGGTGTGATTGTTGTTGGGCGGAGGAAGAGCAAGAGTCTGTAGAGCGGAAGTTGTGCATTTGTCTAGGGGTTACTTGAGGCGCTCAGTTCTCACAAAACTACAATTTTGATAGAATATCTACAGTCTGGTTAAAAAACCATTCAATCATCCATCTCGGTTTTTACAATTTAGATTAGGTTATTAATAAAACAAAGAAATCAATTCACAAAATTACGAGATAGACGGCTGTCTAATACAACGTATAAATGCATAATCCATCATCCGGCAGTCATGCATTTGGCTCCTCTCCACATCCATGAAATTGATCCAAAAACCCTCCGAATACTAAAAAAGTCGCGAGCAAGGACCATGCATCGGGGCCAAATCGGATTCGGATCATGGCTTATCGGCATCCATCTCCAATAATTTCCTCTCTGGGCGAAATGTCCAAATTTATACCAGACGTCAGCAAGGCATGCCGCTGCGAAACCTTTCAGCTGTCCGGAGATGGATCTTGATCTCACCCAAAAGAGCTTCCCGAGACGAACAGTGGTGTTTTTGCACTTGCTATTGAATTGATGTTTCGTCGGTGTTGGGGATTTGACGTCCAAAACAAGTGGGGTTATTGCTCAAGGTTCACATCCCCGCATACGGACCTGGTTCGTTTTACATTCCAACCGACTCTTCTTTTATCTTTTCTAGAACCTGACTATTGACTGCATCTCATCAACAAACCAGCCACGAGAGGAGACAACAGCAAAATGGAGACATTACATCTTGGCACTCGTCTTTGGATCGTGTCTATTGGTATTCTTTCATATACGTCTAAGCTCTAGCTTTAATGAATTCATCTTCTTTCAACCAGCTCTCAAGACTCTGCAGGGATAGGGCTCACGCGATCACGCGACTCCTTCTCCACTGGCCAGAGAAGCGAATACAAGTCCACTTTAGAAGAGTCTACTTTTTATTCTTCACAGTCTCAAATTTCCATCATTTTCCATTTTCCATTACCCATTCCATTCCCTTACTCGGGCTTGGGCATCACCAGGGGCTTGGTTCCCAGGCCGTTGCGGTTGCGGAAGAAGAGAACGCCCTTGCCGGCGTCCTCGGCATCCTTGCTGGGCTCAACCCACTGGCACATGCGAGCGCTGCGGTACATGGCGCGGATGAAGCCCAGGGCGCCGTCCTTTGTGTCGGAGCGGTAGTGCTTGCCCATGACGGGGCGGATGGCATCCGAGGCCTCGTCGGCGTTGTAAAAGGGGATGGTGGCCACGTAGTGGTGCAGCACGTGGGTCTCGACGATGCCGTGCAGCAGCTGGCGGCCGACGAAGCCCATCTCGCGGTCAATGGTGGCGGCCGCGCCTCGGACAAAGTTCCACTGCTCGCCGGTGTAGTGGGGGAGGGTCGGGTCGGTGTGCTGGAGGAAGGTGATGGCAACTAAACAAGGTCAGTATGTGGTTATCAAGAGAAGCGAGCGATTGAGACTAACCGAGCCAGTGGTTGACCCAGAGGTACGGGATAAAGTACCAGACGGCCAGGTTGGACCAGCCAAAGGTGCTGCCGAGGTAGTAGAGCGCGGTGCCGGCCAGGGCGAGGCCAATGTCGCTGTAGACGATGAGGAGGGCGTCGCGGTGCTCGTACAGCGGGCTAAAGGGGTTGAAGTGGTTGACGCCGCCGCCGGCGCCGTTGTGCTTGCCCTTGCCGCGGCCCTCGCGCTGGCGCTCGTGGTAGTTGTGGCCGGTGACGTTGGTCAGCAGGTAGTTGGGCCATCCGATGAGCTGCTGCATGACCAGCATGAAGAGCGTGTAGGCGGGCGCGTCCTCGGCGAGCTCCGACAGCTCGTGGGCCAGCTTGCCCAGACGGGTGGCCTGCTCCTCGCGGGTCCGGGGCACAAAGACCATGTCGCGCTCCATGTTGCCGGTGGCGGCGTGGTGCTTGCGGTGCGAGATTTGCCAGCTGAAGTAGGGCACCAGCAGCGCCGAGTGCAGCACCCAGCCGGTGAAGTCGTTGAGCGTCTTGGAGTCGGAGAAGGCGCCGTGGCCGCACTCGTGGGCAATGACCCAGAGGCCGGTGCCGAAGAGGCCCTGCAGCACCGTGTACAGCGCCCAGAGGCCCGCGCGGACGGGCGTCGAGGGGATCAGCTCCGGCGTGACGTAGTTGTGGAAGACGAAGAAAGTGGTGGCCAGGCAGGCCATGTCGCGCAGGATGTAGGCGTAGCCCTTGAGCGCGGACCGCTGGAAGCAGTGCTTGGGGATGGCGTCGCGGATGTCCTTGATGGTGAAGTCGGGCACCGTGAACTCGTTGCCGTACGTGTCAATCATGCGGCCAAAGTTGGGCTTGGCGGCGTTGACGTCGACCGACGACATGGACGACAGCGACGTGGACGAGGCCGAGGGCCTGGGCGAGTCCATGGGCGAGACGGCCGCAGAGGACTCGGTCGAGTCGGTGATGTTGCGCCGCAGCGAGGCCTTTGCAGGCAGAGGCATGGCAGTGGAGGCCATGGCTGGCAGCGGAAGAGGAGAATGAAGATGGATGCGGTGGCGGTGAATTGGAAAAGAGGAAAAGAGGAACAGAAAAAGACAAGGCTTGAAAGGAAGAGCGAGAGATGAAGAAAAAGACCACCAAGTGACACGAGCACAGCTCACTATCAGATAAGATAGGCGGCGTGTGGTTTACGGGACCTCCAACAGAGAAGGGAAAAGCAGAGAGTGCCGGGACCGGGGCCGCCTTCCTTTTGTCCTTTATGAAGCAAACAAGCAGAGAAGAAGAAAGAGGAGAGATCCGATAGGGATAGTCCCGTTTCACAGGGTACAAACAGGAATGGAGGCGAGAAGCAAAAGGCCAGCCCGAGTTGCACAGAAGCCCAATCCACAAGCTGCATGTCACTACGAAAAGATACACACTCAACAGCCTGGTGTCTGTGCTCTGACAATGTACATCAAAAGTACACTCGCACACGCCGAGCCTGGCCCCTTCTTTCTTGTCAGGCTCGCTCCGGGAGTGGCAGATCCAGCCGGAGGTGCAGATGCGAGTTGAATTTTTTGTTGGGGGGCGTTTCCTCCCGCCCACCGTGGGGCTGCGCCTTTTCGCTTTTGGGAACATTGGAGGCAAATAAAGACTTGACCTGTATGATTATTCATTCTGCTTGTCTATATCTTACCAATTTTTATCTCCTCAATTGAGTGCCATCTGTATCATTTGCAAGCAATTCCTCTTCCATCAATTCGTAAACCTCCGCGTCGTTGGAAAAATTAAAGCCTGCGTTGCCAATTGGAGGCGAGCTTAACGCCAGATCTGGCGCTCCCCCCCTCATTAACTGGACCCTGGATGGACAGCCTGAACTGCCTACTCGGGTCAACTTACCCCTAGCGCCACTCTTTTTTTTTTTCTCTAGGCTCTTCCAACTTTTTTTGGCCAGGGTCTGGGTGGTTGCAGCGTCGTCTCGGGAATTAGCTGCGATGCTATTCGAACCACTGTAATTTCTACGCTGCAGCTATAGCTTTGGAAATATTGGGCATTGGGCATTGCAAGCTGCAGTGTGCATCTGATGTAAATCCGGCTTCGTCGCATCTTGGAGACTGAAAAAGCTACACGCAGAGCCTCGCCCACGCCACCGTCACATGTAAAAAAAAAAAAGGACAGGCAGATGGCGGAATAGATAAGCCATGTCCGATATAACGCTCCCATGGCGCACTAGGCTGACTCAAATTCCCTCGCACAAGACATTTGACGGTGGAAATGCATCATCGACAGCCGTCACTGCGTCCAGGTGATTTGAGCAGCTGTACAGGTAGAAGACTTTTTTACGCCGCATCACTACATTCCATTCATGGTTGAGCTGCATCTCTCTGTGTCGGTGCTTCACAGCAAGCAACGCTACGTGGCCGTCGCAGCATGATGCTCGCCCGCACCGGACTTACAAGCACATCAAGCCCTTCATGTCTCTTCCAACAAACCAAAAGACACGTACCAGGTGCGGCGGGGAAGCGAGACACGGCCGTGCCGGGGTGGCTGGCTGAGCGAGCCTAAAACGCACCATGGGCGATGCGATCTGCAATTGATGCACACAGCAGATGGTCAGGAGAGGCAGCCAGGCATGTGAAGCCGAGTTTTGCTGGGCGCTGCAGCGGTACAAGCAGAGGTACTTTGCAATTGATGCCCGTTGCAGCGTCGTATCTACGCCCGATGCATTGGTAGCGTCCCGGTAGTTCACTCGCCTTCCCCAGAAGTTGCCTCTGAAGCAGATTAGGCATGCCCTCTTGCAAAACGCTTAAACAGATGAGCAGACGACATTTTTTTTTTTCATCTTCAGCCTCGGGCCATGTGAATCTCACTTCTGCTCTTGGGCCCCCTCCACTCTTCTGTTGGAACCGCTAGCAGCAGATTTCATGATGCCACGATTTCTCCTGATGGGCTCTGCGATTTCTCGGAATCTCGCACAGCCGTGTCATGTCACGCAACGAGGTACCCTCATCAGGCCACAAGGACCAACAAAAAGAGAGAGAAATTCATGTATGTAGATACTTGTCTTGTTTACTTCGTGGACCTGCAGGTGGCGAGACGGTGCTTACCTGGGTGTACATGTCTCAGCTGGATGGATAGGTACTGCCAGGTATCGACTCTCGCTGTGCATGTAGATGATCTACCAGCGAGTACTTGGCAGTAACTGGAGACTTCTCTCCACTATTACTTGTAGATTGCTTGTGGAGATGTCTGCAATTGACTTTTCCATCTTTTCAACAAGCACAGCAATACAAGAACCTCCCAAGACAAACAGCTATAACTGCTGTCTAAAAATGAAGAAATGTAAAATAATATCCCAAACAAAGAGACACCGCATCTGTAACACTGCCAGCAGCAGTAAGGAGTACATCTCTGCAGCACAAAAAAGCAACCCTCTCACCTGTCTCTCCCCCACATCTGTTGGGATTTTTGTTGAGGCCAAGGGCTCTCTCGCTTCTTCTTTTTTTTTTCCCTCCCTTTGCCCCGTCGATCTGGGCGTGGGGCCGATGCGCCGCAAACCCGCAAACAAACCCACGTGTTTGGATGCCGCAGGCTTAGTAATGGATGCAGCTTTGATTGGCTTGTTCATCTCCACACGGAGAATACTAGATGGAAGCTGATAAGGGAAATATACCGAGTTGGGATTTGTGTTTTCCCCCCGCAAACAAGGAATTGCCAGTTGCATAGCTCTCGATGCATCAGGTGCTCTTGATTGGGCTCTCGCGTGTCACATCGTACGTTGCCGCCCAACAGTCCTACTTGACGTGCGTTTGCTGTAGCATTTGCCGAGACGGGGAATATCCACTTGGAATATGTCCATGACAGCCTGGGCTTGTATAGGTATTCTGACATGTTGATTTCGGAAAAAGATGGCTCGAATTGGCAGTATTTGTCAATGGGATCAAGTAGAAATGCAGTCTTTTCCTCATTGGGTGTTTGTACACGAGAGCACAGCGTTGAGTTACATGTACCTCAAGTAGTTCACTTCCAATGCAAGCTACTCTCCAACCTGCGAACATTATACTACCTAGGTATTATAACAAAAAGACACAGCTTAAATTCCACCTAGTAATTTAAACAATTACCACGGATTAGCAGTATTTCTTCATGGTAGACCCAACCCAGTCTCTTCCTCATCTTGTGTTTGAGCAAAAGCATAGCATTGATGGGATACTACAGCAGATTGCTCGTAGTTTGCTTCCGATGCAAGCTCATCTACTCTCCGGCTGTAATATCAAAGTAACACAACAACGTAGCACAACCTAAAACCCACCTTTTAATTCCAATAAATGCTACTTAATCAAAATGGCTGAAATGGCAATATTCCTTGGTAGCATCACATTCAATTCCCCATCAGGTTGCAGTACAACGCTTGCCCTCGATATTGCTCTATGAGTAAAGCAGACTAGTCTACTTCCACAAGCTCTCCAGCTTTTCAACATCATGCCATGTCACACATATATCAGAACGACGCGACTGATTCCATGTGTGAATTCACATAAATGCCGGTTATTTCAATTTGATCCCATCTACCAATGCTTCTCGCCAGCAAACAAAAACCATACACGCCAAGTAAAACAATAAAACGCATACTCTCCAACAAACTCCATATAAAATGCCATCAACCATCATAACACGCCCTTGAAGCTCGCAACCTCACCACGCCACCATCCTCCCCTCGCTCTCCACCACCTGCTGCAACCGCTGCGGCATCACATCCACCCACATGTCAATCTTGTCCTGCCCAACCCCCGCCCACGCCTCCCTCGCCGCCCGCCGCAGCGTCTCGTCCTGCCAGTCCGTCAGCACCGCCGACGTCCACTGCTTGCCCGCCGGCCACACCAGCGAGTCCAGCGGGCTCAGGTCCGGGCTCTCGCCGCAGCTAAACGTGCACCGCAGCCCGTGCGTGTCCTTCCACTGCTGCGCCAGGTTGACCTTGCTGGCGCTGCCGTGCGCAAAGACGTCGGCGTCCTCCTCCAGGATAAAGGATCCCGGCCCGCCCGCCGTGAGCCACGGCTTGACCACCTTGTCGAGCACCTTGTCGCAGTAGTCGGCCATGGACATGGTGCCGCTGTCCTTGGGGCTGGTCGACGAGTCGTAGAAGACGAGCTCGCTCTTGAAGCCGTGCCCGACGGCGACCCAGGCGTGCAGCCGCCGAATGTCCCGCGGCCAGTCCAGGCCGGGCTGCTGCGCACACGAGCTGCACAGCTTCTCGCCCGCCCTCGGCGTGAGGCGCATCTTGCCGTCGAGCCCAAAGGCAAAGTGCAGCTCCGCGCTGAACCGCATGCGCCGCCAGTCCTCCAGCAGGGGATACGCCATCAACGCCTTCCTCGCATAGTCGCAGCGCTTCTCCCGATGCCTCTTGTGCGTATGAGTCCGCCCACACGCAAGACACCGTCGGTACGCCAGCGTCCCCAGCGTCCGGTGCAGCGTCCTCCGGTTGCAGTTCATCTCCAGGCCCGCAGCCTTGGCCAGCCCGTTCCAGTTGAGGCTCACGTCTTCAAACTTGTCGTCCCACAGGATCTCCTCCATCTTCTGCTGGTCCGAGTCGGAGATTTTGCTTGGCCGCCCTCGCGTCTCGCCCCATTCGGGATCCTCACGCTTCGGCTTCGGCGATGCGCTCAGCGCGGCATATCCCTGAGACCGTGAGAGCTCAAAGTGCCGGAAAATGGCAGATTTGTTCACTGGCAGCCCCTGGGATTCGAGATATGAGATGGTGCCGCGCACCATGGCTTTTGCCGGAGTGTCGCCATGTTTATACCCAGCCGGCATATTAAATGTTAACGAGGACTGCCTCCAACAACAGCTCCAGCACTATCAATGCCGGGCAAGGCTTTCAAGGTTGCTCTCGCAGCGCCTGATGAAAACAAGCAGAGGAAGCAGAAAAGATGAGGCGGATGATCGCAGAATCGGTGTGTTGGGCTATTTTTGTCCGGCAGCGTTGATGACGCCAGCTTATCGCGCAAAACGGGGTCCTGACGTAAATATTGCCCACACATGCCCTCACGTGATCTTATTCCGTCACTTCAACCCGATCCATGTCTTCATAGATACATTTCGGGATGCATAAAAATTGAGCATACAGATGGTATGTAAATCTCCATTTATACATGCTTCATCATCCATGATTTGTAAACATTGCAGCAGTGTCCGCCATTTCACATTCTCGCATACTAAATTCTTCACTGCCAAGCATCTCATATACAGTATTCGTCCATGTAAAAAGAGCAGACAAATCAAAAAGGAGAAAGACGCATATTGTAGAGCCATCAGTTTTGTCAAAAGCGAGCTGAATAGACACTATACAAATAGATTTAGGATGAAGATTGGCTAGCTCCAGTCATGCCCATATGATAAAATCCCTTGCTTGCTATAGAAAGGTTTCAATGAAAATTTCACGCCAGTTTTCTTCAGATAAAAAAATAAACAAAACAAAGAAGAAAGAAGAAACGTGCTCAACGTTGCTCGACCAAATGTCTGAGATGTGTGTGTGTGTGTGTGTGTGTGTGTGTAACCTGACCAACGCCCGACCTCACATAGCCAACCCTTATTGTCTCCATGTCTATATGTCTTGATATACATTACCACCGGGTTTCAGACCATGTCACGGGCATCCATATGTCTGACAGGGCAGGTGAGGCCCCTAGATATCGTCTTGATATGCAAAGAAAATAAAAGAAATAAAGTGACGCAGAGCTCGCTGCTGCTTCCGTGTCTTTGAAAAAGAAAGAATATAGCATCGTCTACTGTTTCCCTGCATCGCGGATGCTCTGCATGAAGCGGTCTTCGGCACCAACTTCGCTCACTGCTCGTGTTGATGAAGCACCGGCGCTGGTTCGTGAGATGACAGCTTTGACTTCTTCAGCAGTCTTGCACACCAACAAATCCGGCTCTCGGTTGAGGAGTATGGCAACGACTGCTCGAACCAGTAGCGTATCGCCTTCGAAGACGTATACATCCCACAATCTGGCTGCTTCATCAATGGCCAAATGTCCCGTGAAGAGGCTGGTGAAGATGTTTGCGAGGTAGTGGTCAAGCTGGACGCCGGGGACCGCCCTAGTCAGGTGGTGCCACAGGGTATCCGACTTGGCCTTGAGCGATTCAAGTACTAAATTGTATGCTGATGCTTGCGCGCCGCGATCAAAAGTATAAAAGGACAACGGTAGGGGACGGTTGAGTACGTTTGCGAGGGCAATAAAGGTTGTTTCGGGGTTTGGTAGATTCAGTAAAAGCAGGGCGGCTATGGTCTGTTTGGTCATGTCAGTCAAGATACGTAATCAGAGAGTTGAATCACTCGGGAGCGAAAAAAGAAAGAGACGCGCTACTCACATTACACCCAGACACATAGCCGATATCGTTCCTATACATGGCATAGGCTCTCAGCACGTCCACCAGGCCCTGGTGCAGAGGACCCGTCACTTCAAAGATGCGCAGATCCCTCCACGTCTTCTCGGCAACGTCTTTGCGAATCTGCTCAAACCACTTGACTCGCCTCAGGTCCTCGGCATCTCCCCTGTCAGTCTTGACCCTCTTCTCCAGCTCGTCTGACCGGGCCAGTGCTGCCTTGAAAGATGCCTCTGTAAGGCCAAGCTCGTTTCCAATTGCCTTGGCCCACACAGCTCGTCGACTACGGGGCGCCACTCCCTTCCACCACAGCTCTCTCGTCTTCTTCTCGCGTATAGCCTGGTTCCACCGTGGAAGAATGTCGTCTTCCCAGACATGCATGGCTCTGTCCGCATTGGTGTCCCTCGCGTTTGCCTTGCTCTTTCGCGCTGCTTCCCGGCGCTCCTCGGCCTTGACACTGGCCAGCATCAGTTTCTGATATTCGCGTAAATGGCGGCGTTCTTCGGCGGGATCCTTGGGAGGCAGCCATGATGGCCTTGTGCGGCTTAGAACGGCTTCCTTTTCCTTGGAAATGGGCAGCGGATCAATCATGATGTTGGAACGACGCAGAGGCGGGAGCTCAGCGAAGGAAGACTTGACGCGGCCCTTTTTGATATCGTGGATGCCATCAATCTTTACCGACTGGTTCGGATCCCATGTGTTGGGCCTTGCCACGGCGCCATGTCGCTTGGCTTCGATTACATGTTGCTCGTCGGCGTGCTCCTCGAGTTTCTCCGTCAGAGCCTTTGTGTCGGCATTCAATTCCGAGAGCGCAATGTTCCAGGTCTGGGCTTTGCCTCTGAGAGGGCTAGGAGGCTGTCTCGGTGACCGCAGTGAGCCTTGTGCCTGGGCGACAGGCGGCGTGCCGGCGCCGACGCTGCGAACTCGGGGGCTCTTTTGTCGGCGGCTGGGAGAGGGCGAGGGTGATTTCAAGGACGAGGGCCGGCTCGCGGGTCGTTCATGCTGTGGGCGTGGAGAAATGGGAACGTTATCGAGGAAGAGGCCGTCGGGGATATCGTCGTCATCGTCGTCGTCGTCGCATTCTTGCTCCAGCTCGGAAATGGACTTGCGGTCTCGGCTCACCTGCCAGCTGCCTCGACGCGGCCGGCCAGGAAGATTCGGATCGCGAGGATTCAGCGCAAGGCCCGGGCTGGTGCTGCGATGGCGGCGAGACTGCGGCACCGACGAGGTGGAATAGCCCTTGGTCAGCGTCGAGATGGGCCGCGGGTCGGACAGCGTCGGGAAGTTTGGGCTGCGCGGGTTCGAGCCCTGAGAGGCGCCGTCAAGGTTGGTCAAGGATCGCTTGGGGTGCGGCGCTCGTTTGGCCGAGGCGAGATCTCGAGGCTGCCGGATGGGCTGTGGCGCAGCCTTTGGGGTGACACGGTCGTCGAGGCCAATGTCTTCAAAGTGCCCGACATCCGCCATGACGCTGCCGTCGTCGCTGTTGAGCGAGTGGAAGGACGACGACTTGGAGCTCTTGGACGCCGTCATGCCGGGGGGCGAGTCCGAGTCTGGGCTCATGCGGCCGTGGAGCGAGACGGCAGTGTCGAGGCCGTTGATGATGCCGATTCCGACGCCATGGTCTCGAAGCATCGTCGCATCCGCAGGGCAACCAGCTGCCGTGAGTCGTCGAGTTTACAGAGGAAAAGTAACGGTCCAAGGGGACGATGGGCTCGTCTTTTGTTTACCGCGTCCAACGCGGCAGAGTTGAGCCTCTTTTGCTGGCGCAATTCGCCTAGACAAGGTGTCTCGTGGTCTGAAACAGCCAGGCGCTCTGATATGCCCGGAACGGTTTGAGGGGGTGTTTGTTTATTAGTGGGAGGCCACTGCGTAAAAAGTGAGGACCGAGAAGAGAGAAGAACAACTTGAAGTAAAGAGCGTTTAAGGATAAGCAAAGCGACTGAACTGAAGGCTTGGGCCCTCAAAGGGTGTAGATATTATAACGAGTGTGTGTTGATACAAGAAACAAGCAAGGAATGGGGAGAAGAACAAGAAGAGAAGAGTTGCGGAGGATCTGGAGAGACGGAAAAGCCCAGGAGGCGCCTAAATCGAAGCTCCAAACCAGGAGGGGACGCGGTACTTGCGCAAGTGCTGGCGCTGCCACCTGTGCGCCGGTACCGGGTACTGCGGGAGTGGCAGGCATCAGGTACCGGGTACCCAGCGCCATCCCCTCCTTGGTTTGATTCAGGCCTTGATTGCTGGGCGCTAGCGGGCATTGGTGCGCTGCTACAGGGCAGTTGAGGGCTGCAAGGCACCCCGGGCTGTGCACGCTGTGGATTTGCTGCAGCGTGGCATCGGCGTGCGTGCCTGGGGGACATGTAGCGGATACAAGCGCCGTTTGTACATGATGGCGCCGTGAACTGGCGCCACCGCCGTCACTCGCAGGAACCGGTACATGTGCCTGGACAAATGCAGATGCTGCAGCAATCAAACGCACGGCTGCGCACCTCTGACGTTTGGCAAAGACGAGGGTGGCATCCCATGTGGCTGACTACTAAGAGGTACTATTTTCCGAGGATACTGTACAACACCAAGTTTCTTATCGAGGGTGCACCACATGCGCATTTACACCTGGAATCTGCTCATCTCTCATCTCTACTCGCAAAAGCCCTCGACTTCTGCAAACAGGGAGGCACCGCAGCTTGCCCAAAGCGTCGTGCCAGGCAAGCCTAAGCTTTTCTGCACTGTATCTGATACAGGACCACATGCAATTAAGCATCATCCCTGCCATCAATCTCAGTTGCTCTGCACAGTGGGTGCTCGACGGCACAGTGTCGCATCAGCAGCCCCTGATGGGTGGAGATGATCAATCTCGGCTGGTTCGGTGCTTGTTTTGCCTGGCAAGGCATCGGTGCAGTATACTTGTAGACAATGGTGCAGATGCCGTAGCAGTCTTTGCATGTAAGTGAGGAATAGCGGTAACAACCGCCTGTACCTGATGCTGTAGGCACGCTGATGTATTCAGCATGTTCAGTGTATACAAGCACATGCTACATTGGTAGTAGTACTAACTTGCTGTATTCAGACACCAACCCAAAACAACAAGAGTCCAGTCAGCCCTACCAGCAACGGGAATAACTTGACCGCTACCGTCATTTTCTTCATGCACGGCCCCTTGCACATGCTGTACATAGTCATCGAGTCATCCAGGCCAAAAATCTCAATTCGCCACGGGCCACTGCTGCCACAATTATAGCATACACTCGCTTGTCTGCAACTTCTCTCGGCTGCCCAAAATAGCACATTGTCTGATTGTGATGCGCCCAAATGACTTACATCCAACATGGCACCCCCATGCTCTACTGCTATATAAAGATTCCCGATGAATCCTACAAATCATCTCTTCTTCAGCTGTTCCATCTGGCGGGCCAAACCACGTTCTAGAATCCTTCGGCATGTCCAGGCCAGAGTTCCCCTTGCCATTGGGAAATAAATCGGCCTTGCCCGCCCCACAGCCATTTGGCTGCGATGGAGGCGGCCCCTTCATTCTGCAGCGATGCCGATTTGGACAGCTCAAGGACTTGCAATTTGGGACAACCAGACATGTATTTCATATGGAGCGTTTACCTACATTTTATGCCATGTGTGAAGAAGAACAAAAGACACTGACTGTAAAGTAGCATCAACAGATCTTCACTGTTGGCAGCGTCACTCCTAATAGCAGTACAATGTATATCCATATTTCTCAAAATCATCCCTGTCCACATGCTCAGCTCTCGGTAAACGCTTCACAGCGCAATGCAGCCAATGCCCATTATTGCCATCCTTGCTTCTTATTCATCTCTGCTCTGTCTTCCATCATATCGTCATAAGTCACAGAACGAATCATGTCCTTCTGCTGCGTAAACAGCGGCCCAAGCAATGTTTCGTATGCCCCAAAGTTGATAATCGAGCTCCATGCCCGTCGCTTCCCAACCCGAGGCAGTCGGCCACGAGACGTGGTTGATACCCTTCTGATTAGCTGTAGTGAACTGGCCGCGACATCTTGAGATTCCTCTGTCTTGATAGCAGCTTGGACAGATTCTTCTGGCGCCAATCTCAGGGCTACTACAGAACAATCTTCATTTGGCAAGACAGCCGTGCAAGCGAACTGATGCGGATGATTGGCACAATCGGCTAAAACTGTCGGTTCTCCAAGTACAAGCCGGCGTTGCTCATCAAGCACATCAGAATCAATCCCCTGAACATCTCTCTCAAACCCCTGAATGCCCCCCCGTTGAGCATCAGCCCTTTCCAAAGGAAAATCGAGAGTCGCTACAGAGCACGACCTAGAACGACTCTCTCGCTGCTTGTCTTTGTTGTCTAGAGTTGATATCGGGTTGCTGGCATCTGGCATTTGTGACGGAAATGGTGGAGGCAACATGCTCGTCGGCTCCAGATCGGCGGTATCATGTCGGTTCGCCAAGGAATCTGTCGGATCGACACGCGTCGTCACAGACCTTTCCGTCTTGGCATCACTCGTCTCATTAACAACTGAAAGATCGGCCATGGAGCCAAAGCGCAATGTATCAATGCTCTGGTCCATGCTTTGGGAACAACCGTTGCGAGCGGCATCGCCACCCACTGCAGTCAAATCTGCCTCATAATGTTGAGTGTGCCGATTCGATGTCGGTTTCTCGCCTTGGAGATCGTCATCAACGTCTTCGTTTCGCTGGCGTGGAATATTATTGCTCCTTCTGCGCCTTGGCAACTTGTAAGGCTGGTACTGCCACCTCATTTTGCTCTTGATTCGACCACCAAGCGACGGTCTGACTTTCACGATTTGACAGTCCGAGTCATCATCAGACGAGGAAATAGATATGACATCGTGTGTTGCTTCAGCCATGTCTACTGTTGTAGCTCAGGCTAGATGAAAGGAAAAGCTGGTTGTGTAGTAATTAGATAAACGTCAAAGAGTGTGTGGTGTTCCACAAAGTTTTGAAAGGAAAAAGGGAAAGCAGGAGCGAAAAAGAAATAGCATGCAATAACCAGAGACGAGCCAAATGTGAAGCAAGAGTGACCTTTCTGATGTGCAAACAAATCACCAGTGCGCAGCAGCCAAATTCACTCCACCGTCACTACAGCCTAAAAAAGGCTCCCAAAAAGTTTGTTGTTCATGGCATTGCATTTTTTGTCCATGTTCATGCGTCTATCATATCGCTACAATCCATATTATGTAGGCCTCTAACTCGTCGAGATCCGTGGCGCCCTGAACTTTTCATTTATTTTCTTCCCGGCCCTACCCTGTCATCTTACATGCGCTCCCGTCTCCGAGGGGCGGACCGAATAATATCGTCCACTCTCAGGAGAAGCTGTTTCATAGTATTAGCCTTTCATCATGGAAAGATGGAAAAGTGTTGGTACGAGTAGGAGTGAATGTCTTACCTCTGCTGCCTCGCTGGCAGATGATACAACCGCCTTCTTCAGCTTGTAGCTCTCAATAACTCCAACCTCTCGCATGTCCGCAATACCGCCGCCAGGAGTCATCAGGTCAAGGCCATAAGTGGTCAGACCGTCATAGATGGCCTTTCGCAGGCGCGCAACCAGCTCACCAGAATCCAATCCAGCGTTGTCAGCCAGGATAGTGGGCAGTTGTCGAAGGGCAGTCGCAAAGCTAGAGACGGCCACTTGCTTCTTGCCCTCCACTCGTGTGGCCGCACCCTCAACGGCCTTGGCCATGAGCATCTCAGCACATCCGCCGCCAAGCGTTGTTCTGGGCTCAATGACCGTCTGGGACAGGACAGCCAAGGCGTCGTGAAGACTTCGCTCGGCCTCGTCGAGCAGCTGCTGTGTAGCACCGCGCAGCACAATGGTGCAGGCCTCACCAGCCGCCACTCCCGAGAACTTGATCAGTGTGTCCTCGCCAATGATGACCTCCTCGATCAAATCGCAGTGACCGAGCTTGACCTGGTCGGGGTGGTCAAAGGTGGAGGTAATCTCACCTCCCGTGACCAGCGCCAGCCTCTCAATGCCGTCAAAGTCGGCGTGCTCGATGGACATGATGCCGGCATCAGTAAAGAGCTGCTCGGGCCAGTTGTAGATGAGTTGGCGGTTGATGAAGCAGTTGATGCCGTGGGCCTTGATCTTGTCCACCTTGGCCTTCATCTTCTCCTTTTCAGCCTTCTCCAGCTCGGCCAACTTTCCAGTCGAGGCCACCTTGACACGTGCGCCAAAGATCTTGACCTTGTCTGTGTCCATTGATGTGTTTGCGACCAGGATCTTGGCCTTCTCCAGTCTCTTGGGCTGGTTCACACCAATCTTCTTGTCCAGGATGAAGCCCTCATCCAGATAGGAGTCGCTCAGCTTTCCTCCGGCCTTCTTGATGATTTGGATGTGGCTGAGATCGGAAGATTTCTTCAGTCGAAGGACCGCATCGACGGCGAGCTGGGAGAACTGGTCCCGGTCCTGTGATAGAACCTTGGAGCTCAGGGTTGTTCGTGCAATGGCGACGAGGTCCTTGCGGAAGGCCTCGGGGCTCTTGCTGTGGTCGACGGCAGACTCCTCCAGGGCCTTGAGAGCAGCCTGGCTGGCTATCCGGTAACCCTCGATGATGGTCTGAGGGTGGATCTTCTTGTCAACCAGCTTCTCGGCCTCTCTGAGGAGCTCGGCAGCCAACACAGCAACGGACGTGGTGCCGTCACCGACTTCGTCATCCTGGACCTTTGAGATGTTGACCAGCACCTTGGCGGCGGCATTGTCGAGGGCTATTGACTTGAGGATTGTGGCACCGTCGTTTGTGACCATGATATCGCCGGTGGAACTGCATGGAAGGATAGGTCAGGGGCTGGCATTTGTAATAGGCAAGACAGGACAGGCACTCACGCAGATTGGAGAATCTTGTCCATTCCTTTCGGGCCAAGAGTGCTCTTCACCAAATCTCCCACCGCGATGGCACCAACAAAGGCAGCCAGACGCGCATTCTCACCCTTCTCCTCGGTGGTGCCCTCTGCAAAAATCTGGGTCGGAAAGAAAGACTGTATGGCGGGGAGGTTTGATAAGTCAGTTGGGCAACAGATACGATTTATGGTCACGAGCCATTCAAAACGCGGTAAACGGCAAGACGTACCATGATGTGAGTGTTCTAGCCAAGACAACGGAATCAAAAGACAAAAAGGTAAAAGGAGGCTGTATGGATCGAGCTGGCCACTGCTAGCAACGCCTCGGTGCCTGTTTTTCTGACGACGCCGCCAAGCTCTCCTGAACCTCGACGCAGTTCCCATCGCAAACCCCCACCATCCCAAAAAAGCGGCCACGTGACTTGCCCCTCTGTCGGATAATTCGCGGCCCAGGAACATCGCTTCTCCGCCGCACACTTTGCAAAGTTGGAACAACAAATTTGTGCTAGTTTGGGTTATCGCCGCCGAAAAAAAACACACGTCTGGAGTGTCCACGCCCTCGCTCGTTACGCAAACACCCACGCCCCGGGTCGCGAACGCATCTCAAACAAACCTCATCGCCGCTCCGTCCTTGGAGATTCAGCGTCCATCTGCCCCTGAGCCGCCTCCCAATCCTCAGCTTTTGCCGCGCCGAAGCGGGGCAATCTCGGCACCCCTCCCCCCAAAAGCAATCATGGCGCCCTCTTTCGACCAGCTGCGCGAGGCTGACCTCGACGACGACGAGTTCAACGAAGATGAAATTGATGTGTCCGACCTGCGCGAGAAGTTCGAGGTCCAGTTGGACCAGGGCTACGACACCTTTGTGGTCATCGATGGCCTCCCCGAGGTCACGGAGGACCAGAAGCCCAAGCTGGTCAAGTTTCTGCTCAAGAAGCTCAACAGTGTTGGAAAGACCAGGGAGGAGCTGATTTACATGCCCATGGGCGAGGATGGAAAGTCTCAGCGGTAAGCAGGGCCATTTCTCTTTTCGCAATCTCCATTTCTTCCCAGCTGTCTATATCGTCACGCCAGGAGACAAAGATATCTAACTCATTCTCTTTCCCTGGTTTAGCTTTGCCTTTGTTGAGTACTCCTCACCGGCTGAAGCTCAGGCTGCCACTCGTCAGCTAGACGGCGTTCCTTTGGATAAGAAGCACACCCTCCGCGTCAACAAAATCACCGACATTGAGAGATATGGCCGAGAAGGTCGAGTTGACGAGAAATACGTGGCCCCTGAAATTGAAGAGTTCACCGAGAAGGAGCACTTGAGATGGTGGCTGAAGGACCCCTCCGGCCGCGGCAGAGACCAATTTGTCATGTACCGTGGTGAATCCGTCGGCGTCTTCTGGAACAACGAAAAGGAGCAGCCCGAGAACATTGTCGACCGCCAGCACTGGACCGAGGCTTTCCTCCAGTGGTCACCTCTGGGCACATACTTGGCGTCGGTTCACCAGCAGGGTGTGCAGCTCTGGGGTGGCGCCTCTTGGTCACGACAGGCCAGGTTCGCCCACCCCTTTGTCAACCTGGTTGCCTTTTCTCCGAATGAAAAGTACATTGTCACTTGGTCCAACCGACCCATCTCCATCCCCGAAACTGGCCACCCTGCTCTTTCAGTTGACGACGAGGGCAAGAACTATGTCATCTGGGATATCGAGACGGCTGCCCCTCTGCGATCATTCGCCAACCTAGATGCTCCCAAGGGAGAGGAGGGCAAGCCTCCGCCAAAGATGCAGTGGCCTGCATTCAAGTGGTCTTCGGATGACAAGTACGTCGCTCGTCTGACCCCCGGTGCTTCCATCTCCGTCTATGAACTGCCCCGAATGAACCTTCTCGACAAGACCAGCATCAAGATTGAAGGCGTGGTCGACTTTGACTGGGCTCCGGCAACACCTCAGCGTGAGGGCATCAAGACATACGAGCAGCTGTTCACCTACTGGCAGCCTGGCACGGGTAGCAACCCTGCCAAGGTCGGATTGATGAGCATCCCCTCCAAGGAGATTGTCCGCAGTCTCAACCTTTTCAACGTCAGCGACGCCAAGCTGCACTGGCAGTCGGATGCGGCCTACCTCTGTGTCAAGGTCGACCGACACTCCAAGTCAAAGAAGTCACAAGCCACAACTCTGGAGATTTTCCGAGTTAAGGAAAAGGGAATCCCCGTGGAGGTTGTCGACATCATCAAGGACACCGTCATCAACTTTGCATGGGAGCCCAAGGGTGACCGGTTTGCCCTCATCACCACCACCGAGCCCGTCGGCCCCACCGCCGTCCCTCCCAAGACATCCGTCTCCTTCTTCTGCCCCGAAAAGGCCAAGGGCTCATACGCCGGCAACTTCAAGCTGCTGCGTACCCTCGACAAGAAGAACAGCAACGCCATTTACTGGTCACCAAAGGGACGATTTGTGGTCATTGCCACAATCGCCAACCAGCAGAGCTCGGATCTCGACTTTTACGACGTCGACTTTGAAGGCGAGAAGCCAGAGTCCGCCAAGGACCTGACTGCTAACCTGCAGCTCATGAACACAGCCGACCACTACGGTGTCACGGATGTCGAGTGGGATCCCTCAGGCCGATTTGTCGCCACGTGGGCATCGGCATGGAAGCATGCGGTACGTATTTATTACATTCAAGATGGCATTGGTAATTGCGGGATAAGATGAGACTAACACCAAAATCACAGATGGAAAATGGATACCACATTTACGACTTCAAGGGTGAGGCGCTCCGCGAAGAGCCCATTGAGAAATTCAAGCAGTTCCAGTGGCGTCCACGACCGCCCACCATGCTCTCAAAAGATGAGCAGAAGCAGATCCGCAAGAACCTGCGTGAGTACAGCAGAGTATTCGAGCAGGAAGACGCCGACCGTGGTGCGTCTGCCGATCTCGCCGTTGTCGAGGCCCGCCGCCGCGTCCTGGATGAGTGGCATGCTTGGCGTGCGGAGGTGGAGGCTGAGGTCGCTGAAGAGCGGGAGGTCCTGGGCCTGCCGCAAGATCCACATGCTGCCCTTCTAGAGGCAAAGACAAAGGAAGTGGAGGCGCTCGACGGCGCCAGCACCGAAGACGACCGGGTGATTGAGGAGATTGTCGAGGATGTTTTGGAGGAGAGCGAGGAGATTGTGGCATAGATGGATACGGGGTGTGTCTCTCTCTCTTTTGTCTAGCATGGGTAGGCATTCCGGGAGTGCTTTGCGTGTATGTATGGGTAGATTTTCCACCGGATTTTTTTACGGAAAATGGCACAAAATAATGACACTTTTTTTTTTCTTGGAGAGAGCTGGACAGTCTCATTGGCCTATGGAGAGACGATGATGTGTGTGTGTATGTACCTATGTCTGGTCATTAGCAACAGACCATACAGCTTATTGTGTCACCATTAGTATTTTATTATTGTTATTCTATTATCAAACCACCGACTTCATACTGTACAGGCACTCGTTTATTGCAGTGCTTCGTAATACAGCCGGTGCCAGCAGAAGTGCACACGTATGCCGTAACTCGTCCGCCTGCCCCGGCGACACGGCGATGCAATTTTACAGGCTGCGCAAAAGTTGTTTTGGTGGGCTGCAGGGAATGCAAGACAGGCTCTGGCGGCGCGGCACACATGGCTGGTCGCAGTGGTATTACGGCAAATGGCACCAAAATATCTCGCGATCCTCGCCCGTGAGCGGCCTGCAATTGGCTGCGGCGCGCTCGAGGATCCAGCCCTGGCGAAGCGGCAAAGACACAGGCCTGGGGTGTTGGGGTTTGCGAGGTGCTGATACGCGGGGCTACCTGCTGACTCGTACCGCTGCCGTAGCAGTACCTCGCGGGCCCGCAGCGCGCCGCCGCTGAGGGGGTATCAGCGCTGGCGAGGAACCCGATCAGCGACGAGCTCCGCGTACCCAGTAGTTTCGGGCCAACCCACAAACCCGCACCACACCATCTTGCGTATGAGCCACTGGCCTCTCCCTCTCCCTCCTGGGTCCGGCCTCCTCACCCTCGCCATCGCCATTGCTTGCTCCTGAATCTCCGGGCTGGAGCTGCAGGATTTGTCTACCAGCAGAGCAGCAAATACGAAGGAGCTACCTCTGGACCTGGACGCGCAAATATCTGCCGACCTGAAGCGAAATCCGCCCTAATAGAGTATCTACACAGCTCCAACGGTTTCAAACCACAGCAACCCGATCCGGAACCCGCAGTCTGCGTCACGCCTCCTGTCCGTCACAAACGAGGCCCCAGGCCGTTACGCAGCGCTTCTTCAGCGCTCTCGACTCGCATCTGGCCGTGCCACGGGTCCTTCGGCGGTTTTTGTGCCTGGTTCTTTGAGCGGGGACCGGTTTGTGCCCAGCCCCCAGCTCTTGTTTTCTTTCATCGCCCCCCCCTGAGATCGAGGACGCGCGACATCTACCCCGATTCTTGCCTGGGGATGGCTACTCTGGCTACTCTGGCACCGCAACAGCCTCTACCTCTCTCTTGGTAGAGCTCTAGCATCCATGTGATCCATCCTCCGACAGCCGACTCTTTCGTCTCACAAAATGCTTCGACGACCCCCCGGCCAAGGACGATGGTCCTCGCAGCATCAGAAGCTCTTGCTGGCTTTTGCCATCATCCTCATCCCCTGGATTCAGCTTGTCGACGCTCAGCAGCAGCCCGTGCAGCCCCAAGTCCAAATTCACTCTCAGAGAGGCGACAGTCCTCTTGACTCAGTATCCGAAGACGCCACCAACAGCCAGTGGTACGCCGCACAAGTCGACGATGTGCGAGATGAGGCGGACTTCGATACCATCAACAAGAAACAAAAACAACCACGTCAACAGCAACAGCAGCCGACGCCTCTGCCGCAGCAGCGTCAACGAGCTCGACGTGCCCCGTACGATTACGCCAACAAGGCCCCGAATCGTTCCCAGCAACCCAAGCAGGAATCCAAGCAGGAATCCGATAAATCAAAATACGTAAAAGTCCCTAGCGATGCGAGCGCCCTCGCAACTTTAGCTCCGGCTCAGCCCGTTCGAGCACCACACACTTCACGACATCTCTGGCCCAGCAGTAGCGCTTCTGGGCTGGCATCGCCGCAAAATGCGCGGAGTCTGGAGGACTGGGAAGTTGAAGACTTTGTTCTTCTGGCGACCGTCGATGGAGACCTCTATGCCAGCGACCGGAAAACCGGTCGGCAACGCTGGCACCTCGAGGTCGACCAGCCAGTGGTAGAAACAACACACTACCGAACAAACAACTCCGTCCTCGACGACGATTACAGCCCCGTTGATCATTACATATGGGCTGTCGAGCCCAGCCGCGATGGAGGCCTTTATGTATGGATTCCAGATGCCGGCGCAGGCCTCATCCGAACTGGATTCACCATGAAGCGGCTCGTGGAAGAGCTTGCCCCATATGCGGGCGATGAGCCCCCGGTCGTGTATACAGGAGACAAGAAAACGACCATGGTCACGTTGGATGTGGCCACCGGACGTGTGCTCAAGTGGTTTGGATCTGGCGGCTCCCTCGTCAATGAAGGGGAAAGCTGCCTCCGACCCAATGCTTTTGGCGATGCAGACAACGAAGAGTGCAGCTCCATGGGCACCATCACTCTGGGGAGAACAGAGTATACCGTGGGAATCCAAAGACGTGATGGCCGCCCAATCGCAACTCTCAAATACGCAGAATGGGGACCAAACACTTTTGACAGTGACCTCTATCAGCAATACCATGCCTCGCTAGATAGCCGCTACATCACCAGCCAGCACGACGGCAAGGTTTATGCCTTTGATCAGTCCCGGTCTGATAACCATTTGCCCCTGTTTAGCCACAAATTCTCCTCCCCGGTGGCACGGGTTTTTGATGTGTGCCGTCCATGGGACGCTGCTGCGGGCAGCAACCCTGACCTTGTTGTCCTTCCTCAGCCACCAATGCCATCACAGGATGAAGGTGTTGCCAAAATGCGAAGCAACAGCATCTTCCTCAACCAAACCGAAAACGGCAGCTGGTATGCGCTGTCTGGCCGGGCCTATCCTCTCATTATCGATGCACCGGTGGCTCAGATATCGCGACCTGACTGGTGGGATACGGCCCCCGCGTTTGATACAATTAATCGTTCCAAAATCTCAAAGGCACTGGTGGGCACCCACTTCTTGGACGCACTGCGGAGTGGCAGCTACCAACAGCAGCATCTGACACTGCCCCCTGGCCTCCTGGACGATTTTCTCGATGAATTGGAGAATGGCTCGAATAATGCTCATGCGGTAGCCCCTGCTGTTCATGAAGAGCCCACCATCATAACAAAAGTCAAGGCTCTTCCGCAAAATGCCGCCAACAGCGTCATTGATTTTGTCAGCAACCCCGTTCTGATTATTCTCTTCGTGGGCTCGTTGATATACAATGAAAAGAAGCTCCGACGAGCATACCACCGATTCAGGACCGAAGGCAGTCTCAAAGATATATATCCGTTCCTCACCCTAGATCATAGTGCTGGAGACGAATCGGGCGATGAAAAAGATGCCACATTTTCCTCCTCCTCTTCCACTACTCCGCTCTCTCAACTTGACAACCAAAAAGTGGAAGAGATTTCCAAACCTAAATTAGAGTCAACCACTGGGGATGAAGATAAAGACAAGGATAGAGATAGAGATTCTTCCGAGTCGTCAGAGCGCGCCCAGAATACAGACGACAAGGTGATCGATACGGCTCTAGACACACAGGCGCAAGACTCTGCCAATGGCGCCGCTCCTGAGAAGAAAAAGAAAGCCCATAGAGGTCGTCGGGGTGGTGTTAAGCACAAAAAGAACCGCGCCGAGGGCCAATCGTCTCGAGACGACGACGGAGGACTCAGCACCGTGGACGAGGCCGTGGATGAGGCCGTCAGCAATGCCAAAAAGCTAGGCGATCGCCCCAGCCTTGAGCCTGACTTCCGGATGATCTACAACGACATGCAAGCCGTCACAGGCTCCATCATTAGCATCGGCAACATTGAAGTGGACACGGATGTAGAACTCGGCATGGGCAGCAACGGCACAGTCGTCTTTGCCGGCCGATTTGATGGCAGAGATGTTGCTGTCAAGAGAATGACTATCCAATTCTACGACATTGCTACGCGGGAGACTCGGTTGTTGCGCGAGAGTGACGATCATCCTAATGGTGAGTTATCATTTTTTTTGGGGGGGGAATCAAATGAGATACATACTAACAAGACACTCGCAGTTATCCGATATTACTCACAGGAGATGCGAGGAGATTTTCTGTACATTGCATTGGAACGCTGCGCTGCCTCACTTGCAGATGTGATTGAGAAGCCCAACCACTTCCGTAACTTGGCCAATGCCGGGCAGAAAGATTTGCCTGCCGTTCTGTACCAAATCACCAACGGTATCACTCATCTACACTCTCTGCGCATTGTCCATCGCGATCTCAAGCCTCAGAATATCTTGGTCAATTTGGACAAAGACGGCAGACCGAGGCTGTTGGTCTCTGACTTTGGGCTGTGTAAGAAACTGGATGGTACTCAATCTTCCTTTGGAGCAACGACAGGCCGAGCAGCTGGAACAACTGGATGGCGTGCACCCGAGCTTCTTCTCGATGACGATGGACAGAATCCCGCGGCCCAGGATGGAAGCACGCATAGTGGCTCCGGTACCATTCTCGTTGGCGATCCTACGCTCCTCAATGGCCGACGCGCAACGCGAGCCATTGACATTTTCTCCCTGGGACTTGTCTTCTTCTATGTGCTCACAAACGGCTCACATCCATTCGACTGTGGTGATAGATATATGCGCGAGGTCAACATTCGAAAGGGCAACTACAACCTCGATCCCCTGGATTCGCTAGGCGATTTCTCATACGAAGCCAAGGATCTAATTTCGTCCATGTTGCAAGCGGATCCCAAGCTACGGCCTACTTCCGTAGAAGTCATGGCCCATCCTTTCTTCTGGTCCCCGAAGAAGCGTCTGGCTTTCCTCTGCGACGTATCGGACTCGCTTGAAAAGGAAATCCGGGATCCGCCTTCGGATGCGCTAATGGAACTGGAGAGACATGCCCCAGACGTCATTCGGGGCGACTTTTTGAAGCTCCTCACTCGCGAGTTTGTCGATTCCCTGGGCAAGCAGCGCAAGTACACTGGATCGAAACTGCTCGACCTGCTGCGCGCCCTGAGGAACAAGCGCAATCACTACGAGGACATGTCGGACTCGTTGAAGCGGAGCGTGGGGTCCTTGCCGGATGGGTATCTCGTGTACTGGACGGTCAAGTTCCCGATGCTGCTGCTTACGTGCTGGAACGTGGTGTATAATCTGCATTGGGAGACGTCGGATCGGTTCAGGGAGTATTATGAGCCTGCGGGACTGTAAAAGAAGGGGGGAAATGAAGAGAGAAAGATGGTGAGAGGGTGTCTTGCATGGTGGATAGCGATTCCTGTCATTTATCAAGATGAATAGGACAGCATAAAAGCGTTTTGATGTTTTTTTCTTTTTTCTTTTTTGAATGTATTTTAGTTTTACATGTTTCAATAGTAGCTTCAACTTTTTTATTTCACAATGTGACAGCACTAGCATAGGTATGTATCATACATGGTCTAGTAACTGTCATTTAACATGTCTCTCTATATGGTGATTTTATTTGCTTTTCTCTTTTATTTAATGTTGATTTATTCCAACAATTCGCTTTTACAAAAAGATATCTTTTGCAATTAGCCCATTTTACACTTTAATACGCTGCATTAAAATGTAATCAACCAAATCCAACGCCTAGCCTAGCCAATGAATATCCGTCACAATTCGTCACAGTCCCTTTTATCAATAGCAAAAATAGCAACAAGTTAGGGAAGGGATACATGGAAACAACATTATTCCGTAATGAAGAAACAGAGTGAGACAAAAGAACGCGAGTTGTCTCTAACCCCCCCTTTTTTCCAAGTCTTGTTTCTTTCTCTTTTGTTCCTTTATCCCCACTGTACCAGAATCTGCTTTTTATTCTTCTTCCCCTTTTTGCCTTTTCCTCCCGTCCCAGCATCATCTGCTTCCTCCACCGCGGACGACGCAGCGGCGGGGGCAGCAGCAGCAGCTCCCCATTGGAAGTCAGACTCCCGCTGGCCAAAGTCGCGTCTCACGCCGCGGCCTCCGCCATAGCCGAAAATGGTGGTTTGGGGTTTCGGCGCTGCGGGAAGTGAAGGGAAAGCGTCTTCGGCACGAACGTTTGGCGGTGCTGGGCCTCGGCCTCGAGATTGTGAGGAGGAGGAGGACGAGGCGGTCCATGAGGGTGCGGAGGCGGTCGTCGATACGCGGGATGATGAGGATGCAGACGGCGTGGGCAGAGAAGGAAATGCTGATGCTGCTGGAGCTCTGGATGTGGAAGATGACGATGACGATGCTGCCACCCAGCCGGGAGGGCCTCGTGAAGCGGTGGGCGCTGGGCCGCCGAGTCGAGTGCTGTTCTTAAGTTTCAAGACTCTGTTCGAGTTGCGCTGCGAAGGCGCAACAACGGTGAATCCCGTGTTGGCAGCCGCGGCGCTCGCCCATCCGCTAGAACTGGAGGTTGCCCCTTGCATGCCGCCGAGGCCCGGTAAGCTCGGGTAGTCCTCGTTGATGGCCCGCCAATCCTGCCAGGCCTTTCTCAGGCCATCAGCTTTGGCCTTGTCTTCAAAGAGATCTGCCAGCTCTCTCACGAGAGTAGCCAGGGCATTTGATGAGGCATTTGAGAAGAGGGCAAAGAAAGCTTCGATGAGCTGAGGAGCAGTGAAGCCGTCCTGGCGGTATGTCGAGATGTGGCTCCGGAAAGCAGCCATCTTGTGCGAGTCGTTGCCCAGGAGGTTCGCAGCCCGCTCAATGACGCTGCCATGGCGGACGAGGCGAGCTCTTTCTTCGGGCGAGAGATTGGCTGTGTCAGCGAGGCTGAGGGCCTCGATGGCGTTGGTAGCGGCTGCAGGACCGGCGCCTGGGCCAACGCTTCGGGGCCTTGAAGGGGGCGTCGCTGCGGCATTCCGGGCTGCTGAAGATGCTTGAGCTGGCGAGGGTGTGAGCGTAGGGGTCACCGGAGCGGTGGCGGGCGTTGGAGTCGACAGCTGTCCTCGGAACGTGCGGTTCGAGCCCGAAGGCGCCGAGGCAATGGCCATTTGTCGCTGAAACGCCAGTTCGTCTCTCCGCAAGGGGACAGTCGAGCTCACAGTTGGCAGAATGCTGTCCTCGTTGGGGTCTCTTCCCCTGTTGCCCCCTCGTCGTCCCTGTCCCTGTCCCTGAGCCCGTCCTTCTCGCTGGCCACCGCGTCGTTCCGGCTGATAGGATTGGCGAATGTCAAAAGCAGAAATGTCGACCAGTCTGGCGTCCCTGCCCACATGTTTGCCGGCGTGCTCGGCGAGGTTGTGTGCCTGCATGTCCAGCTCCGACTCGAAGACGACAAACTTCTTCTCCATGCATCCGCGGTCCGAGCACAGGAAGTGGTCCTTTTGGAAGTGCCTCTCGAGCTCCTCGTAGTTGAGGAAGTAGTGCGGCTGTCGCGAGTCCCGTCTGTCGCAGATGAAGCAGCGCTCGTGCTTCATGCGGCAGTGCTCAAACAGCTTGTCGTCGTCGTAGAAGCGCTGGCCGCAGAAGCCGCACAGCGGGTGGCCCTTGAAGCCCGTCTGGTCGGCGGCGCCGGGCTTGTCGTCGCCGTGGCGCATGTGCTTCTCCAGCTCCTTGTCGCCAAAGAGCTCGTGCTCGTGGGTGAAGACCTTTTTGTTGCGGGTGCAGAGGTCGCACATGCGCTTGTGATGGGCCGACTTGACGTGGCGATGGAGATCGGCCCAGCCAAGGCCGGCAAAGTCGCAGGACTCGTCGGGGCAGTTGTAGCGCAGCAGGAGCACGGTGTCGCCGACAATGTCCTCGTTTGTGTACTTGATGCCGATGTTGGTGTCGGTCGAGGTGAAGTCCCTGTCGGCGTAGTCTTCGAAGCGCTTCTCGGCGTCGTCGGTGAAGATGACATAGGATGCCGGTGTCTGGGATACAATTGTTAGCATCAGCACACATCAGCGACCGCGGGATGTTTCAGACATACTCGGCAGTGGGCGCAGTCCTTGGTCTTGTACAGGGCCCTCATGCGCAGGCCGCAGATGTGGCACGTCTTGTGGTTGCAGGGCGCAATCGAGTGGTGGGCCACGGGGTTGGCGCAGATGAAGCAGACGTCGGCATCGTCGTCGTCGTCGTCGACGTCGGGCCTGGTGGCGGCCATGGCCTTGTTCTCTTTGGCTGCCGCCTCTGAGCCCGTCGACGTCGCAGCAGCAGCAGCAGCATCTTGTGTTCCCTTTTGGCCCCGTCCCTGTCCTCGATTGTTGCCGCCTCGCCCTCGCTTGGCTCCCCCGCCGCCTCCTCTTCCGCCACGGCCTCGTCCTCTAGAGCTGCCGTCGCCGCGGCCGGTCTGAGCTGCTCCCTCTGGGGCCGTCATGGTTGGCTCGGAAATGAAATAACGCTGCAGATGGAGATTCGGGATGTGAGGCTCTCCGGAGAGGCAGCCTCGGTGGGTTCGGCTTGGGTGTAGTTGAAGAAACGGTGCGGCTGAGCCCCCGCGAGCAGAGCGATTGCTTATCGTTTAGCTGCTGCTCCACGGATGCACAATCTACGCAGAGGCAAGTATAAGTATGTATGAATGTAGTATGCAGAAAAGAAGTAGAGTGTAACAAGACAAAATGATGTGGCAGAATTACAAAAGACCAAAGAATGATGGCGAAGAAAGAAGGCGTCTTTGCTGCCTCCTTCCCCAGAAGCTGATTGCGGATTTTTTGGCCTCTTTCGTTGCAGGACCCCTCCAGCAGGGCCACCGCCGGGGTTTTGTACCGAACGAAATGAGGCAAGCCGTTTGCCTTGTCTGCTCTAAAGCCCTGGGAGCGCCAAAAAAGCGAGGGACAAGGCCTGGAGCAGCCAATCAGCAGCGCAGAATTCAAACCTTGCAAGGCTGTAATTTTTTACCCGCACAGTCCGCCCTGATGACTCAGCTGCTGCTGGCGTTTTATTCCAAATGCCGGGTAGGTGGGAGTCATTCGGCAAAGGACAGAACAAATAGGGGTGACTTTACAGCCCTGTTGTTGCACTGGTGCTGTAAATCAATGTGGCTGATGAGATGAATGTATTACTGCGTTTGATTGCGTGTGATTCATTTGCGTTTGCACTGTACGGGCATTCCGGTCGTGGAATAGGATTATCAAAGCATCAACGGCGCAAAGAATGTGCTAGCGGTAACAGGGTAGAGTGTTATGATGCCTGTATATGGAATCATTTACTTCAACTGAAATCGTTTGATATAACTTTACATTGTAATGAACAAGACATAAAATACTGCCAAAGACGTAGCTACTTGGTCTTTTCGCAACACGGCTATTCCATTACCAATCACTTATTTATTCTGTTCCATTAGTCCATCGCCTTGCTTTTGTATCTTTCCTTGCCATATTGTAAAAGACCAACGAAGCACATGCAATCTTGGCACCATTCACCACTCGGCAAGACCATTGTAAGCTCTTCACTCTTATTTATTTCCTCTTTATTCAGGATTCTCCCAAAGAAATCCGCCAAAAGTAAAAATAAGGATAAAAAAAGATGTCACGGCTAAAAACACCAGATGAATCCAGTAAGTCCCCTCTGACCTGGCCCGTTCCCTCCACCGCCCAAATTTCCATTTACACCAAAGAAAATTCCAAAAGCCACTCTTCGCTGAATACTCCTCTCCTTCCATCCCTCCTTCTTTCCCTCCTATACGGATGACTGTAAAATGAAATAACGATGATTGATAAACCCAGCCTTTGTTATATAAACCCCAAATTACGCCGCCGGGCGCCAAGAAAAACCCTCACTGCAAATCGATCAAGTCGTTTGCTTCATCTTTGGCCGCTACCGGTATAAGTGATGCTGGTATTGCTGTTTTTGTAAAACGTGTCTTGTCGCTTCCCTCCGCCTCTCGAAGCTTCTCCCCCCCTTTACTCCTCAACGGGGTAGAGATGGCTTCCGATATCCTTGTTCATTCGGAACATGTCGACCTTGGCCTGCTTGAACACAGCCTGCATCTTCTCGTCGCAGCGGATCTGGCGCTTGTCTGCGGGATCTTGGAGATCGTTGGCCTTGATGTGCTCCCACAGCTTCTTGACGACTTGAGGACGGGAAAGCTGTTGCCATGGCCGTGTTAGCAAAAATGTTCCAAAAAGACAGCAGAACCGCATTGCCAGGCTAGCTCCCTCCTTACCTGAGTTTCACCGCACAGCGCTGACAAGGTCTCGCTCAAGTTGAAAGGCTTCTGGAAACCACCGCCGGCCTTACGCTTCTTGATGGAGTCTCCGCTGGCATCCACCTCGCTGTCGTCATCGCCTCCAACCTTCTTGGCGCTCTTCTTACGGGGAGCCTTCTTCTTTGCCATCCGCGCCTTGTCCCCACCGCCACGTGTGGTGCGGCTCCTTGCGAGTCTGTTTTCCTGCGCTTGGAGCTGGGCGGCCAGGCGGGCGTCGGCATCTTCTATAGACGAGGACCGCTTGGCCTTTTTCTTGGCCGGCTCGGGAGAGGCGGAGGCGTCGTCGTAGTCGGAGGCACCGTTGGCGGCCGGCCGCTTGTTGCTCGATGCGTCGGGCAGGGGCGAGGGAGGAGCATCTCCGGCATCAGCGCCAGAGACGGCATCGAAGCGTTCTTCTATAAGCTTCTTGATGGCATCCTACAACACGCCCGGCGGGTTAGTTTTTGGGGGCCAAGACGTGGATTTTCTGCTCCTGGCGCGTCATGCTTGCCTTTTGCTCGCTCAAGTCCTTGCCGCCCAGCGCAGCTTCCAGGGCCTGGCGGACCTTTTTGCGCGAGATGGTCTCGAGGTCGGCGGTGGAGAGGATCTCATCAATGAGGGCGGTGTAGCGCTTCTTGTCGTCGGAAGACACTGTGATGGGAGCAAGAGGAGGATTTTGTCAGCCACACGTCGTAGAATTGCCATTGCCATTGCCATTGCCATTGCCACTGCCACTGCCGTCTCGCCATCTTAGTCATCGTCGTCTCCGGCTAGGAATGGCGCCGATGGCAGGTTGCATCGAATCGCATCGAATCGAATCACTGGGCATTGGCTCACCGGGGTCGATGGTTCAAGGGAGGAAAGAAGCAAAGACATGAACGGGCAAGAGACGAACGATAGCCAAAGGCAAGGCAAGGCAGGAAACGCAAACGAGGACAGAAAAGAAAAAACGCACATGGGACACTCATGTTGGCCGCGTGATGAGCGTCGTCCGCAGATTCGGGCTTTGTCGCGCGAAACGAGGTGGATCGGCGCGCGCTACACGCCAACGGAGACGGGCAGCTTCAGAGCCCGGCAAACGCAGGCAGCTGCCAACAGAACAGCTGAGGCGTTGGAAAAATGGACGGGAGCGCGCAGCAGCTCTGCGGCCTCAGAGCATAGCCTGCGATGCGGAGCGCGAGAGGATCCGGTGGGCGTCGGACAGTGTCTCTGTCTCTGTCTCTGTCTCTGTCTCTGGGCTCTTGGCCAAGGTTCAAGTAGAATCCGGCGGCTCGTCGCCGATGGGGTGATTCGTCGAGAGGACGGCACGACGCAGATCAAGCAGCAGCTGCAGGGTCAGCAGCAGGTTCGGCAGCTGGACGGGGCACGGCGTCGGGGCGAGCTCGCGAGGCTGATGCCGGATCGATGGGGAGAGAAAAAAAGAGTTTTTGTCAGGACCGTCTCTGAAGCTTCGCAGCTGGCGGTTTTTCGGGTCGGTACGTTGCGGTGACGTTCCCCGTGCGACGACGGATAAAGGTGGATCACGAGGCTCGCTGGCTGGCGATTTTAGCGGCACTTCAGCCCTCTGGAAGGGACGGGGAGGGCGCTGTGATTGGGCGGCGGGCCTGTTTTACAGGGGAGTCTTCTGGGAGCTGCTAGCGAGGGCGATAAGGCACCGCCGGCACTTGGGCGGTAGCTGAGATGGGATTTGATTTGATTTGATTTGATTTGATTGCTGGGGCGCAGTCGATGGGCGTGACGAGAGAAGGAGAAGAAGGGAGAGAAGAGTCGACGTTTAAATAGAGAGAGACAAAGAAAGAGAAACAGAGAGAGAAGAGAAGAGAGTCAGCAGCGAGAGGCACGATTTATAAGGCGCCGGGCCGGGTCAGCTGCAGCGCTGCTTGGGCGCATGTCCAGCGTCCCGTGGTGGTTGCTTGCAGCGGAGGCCCAGATTGGCGGCCAGGCCCTGGAAGCTGGAGGTTACTTGTTGTTCACAGCATGTTCCATTGGCTGCAGCAGCGCTAAAGGCCGCTGCTCGAATCGCCGGCACAGCAACGGCGTCGCACGAGCTGAGGCGGTTGATGCGGTTGATGCAGGTGGTGGCTTCGGTGAATGCAAGGTGCATGTGGCTGGCTGCAGCGTGCATGTCGATTAAATTAATCAAGTAAAATTGATTTGGTCTGTTTACAGGTACCGTGTACGACGTGTGAGACAAGAGACATGTGAAACAAGATACAACGCGCGAGGTCACGGCAGCATGGGCAATGCACTTGGTACTGCGTGTCTATATGTGTAGAGGCATTTATTTACTCTTTCATTTCACTTCTAAATACCAAGCCCAAAAGCTCAACACCAACCTATGTAGAGCTTGACGCGGCGGTAGTGGTCGGGTAATGAAAGGTCCACGGGGCGAGTGTACTCGGCGGGGGGCCTTTGATAAGCTGCCATTGCTCGGTAATTGTAGCATAACATTTTGTCTGGTAAAAGTATTAATATACCTCGAAACTTATAAAGAAGGGGAGAAAATCAAGAGAGAAGAAAAAAATTGGAAAATAAATCAACTTACATGGGCCCAATCAAGATCTACGCAGAGTGTATCTATAAATCCGACTGGTTCAAACCCAGTCTTTGTTATAGTAGTCCAATGCGTCGTAGGATTAGCCGTTGTGACAGTTTGTATAACAACTTTTGTCGAAACATCTACTGAAACAGTTGTCGGAGTAATAGTGGTTGTCGGAATAATAGTGGTTGTCGGAGCGGGAGCAATAGTTGATGGAGTAGTAGCCGTTGTAGTGACGGGCGTGAGAACATACGTGGTCGATACAGAAGCGGTTAATGGAAGACGAGTTGATGAAGAAACAGATGATGAAGAAACAGATGATGAAGAGACAGATGATGAAGAAACAGATGATGAAGAGACAGATGATGAAGAAACAGATGATGAAGAAACAGATGATGAAGAAACAGATGATGAAGAAACAGATGATGAAGAGACAGATGATGAAGAAACAGATGATGAAGAGACAGATGATGAAGAGACACTTGATGAAGAGACACTTGATGAAGTAAGAGACGACGACGTCAGAGACGACGACGTCAGAGACGACGAAGTAAGAGACGATAAAGTGTGAGACGATGAAGTAACAATCGGTGGAACAACATGCGATGGAATCCCAGGCGGTGGAACACCAGGCTGTGGAACAACAGTCGGTAGAATAACAGTCGGTAGAACAGCAGTCGACGACGAATTAGCAGTCGTCGCCGGATTGTGATTCCACGGAAGTGCAGTCGGATAATTGCCAAGCATGGAAACAAAAGTCGTGTCCGAAAGCTGGGCGATGATGATGTATTGAGTCGTCGTTGTCACTGTTGCTGTCACTGCAGGAAAGTCCGGTGCGCCATAAGACGGAGGTGAGTTGGGCACACCGTTATGCTTCGGTGTGTTTGGTGAGGCCAAAGTCGGGGCAGGGGGAGGAGAAGGTACGCCGAAAGATATCGGCGGTAGTATAGGCCGCGGCACGGCGAGAGCCAAGGGGAGAGCGGCGAGAAGGAGAGACGACTTCATCTTGGGTGTAAGTGAGTTGGATCTACAGGTTCTAGACTCATGCGGAAGAGGGGAATTGGCACTTTCTTATAAAACGGGTGGATAAATGTGAGTGAGGGAATTACACTGCTATAGTCTACGAGTTTTCATATTCATCACGGAATAATGTCGTCCGCATAGACACCTATAGGCCCGTGTTTCCATCTTGGTGTATTTAGCTTATGCTGCTTTGCTCCGAGATGTTGACATTTTCGTATAGCACCGCTAGCCGCGAACAAGCCAGTTCATGTATCCACCCATGTTTCACAAAGCGATGGCCAACAATGGCGACAATGAGAAATTTATTCTGTGACTGTATAAAAGCAGGGCAGGCATCTTTTTCTCCATTGTCAACTGACTTGGCACAGCTGTTACTATTGCTGCTGCCGTCTGATTCTCTGCTATGTAATCGATTACAACATCTAGACAGAACATGACATGACATGATATCTTTGGCTTCACAAGGCATCGTCCCTTTGCATCACGCCCGTAAGTACCTGCAGACCGGCTCTCCCCACTGCGGAGCGCCCTTGTAATTCCACATGCCCGGTGCGTTGCCCGTCTTGAGGCCCTCAATGGCATCCGCCACCTGCGGGCCCAGCCCTTCCTCTCTGAGTTGCCGCAGCGAATACAGATATGTCTTGAAGGAGAAGAGGACGGCCCGAGTCTTGGGCAGGCGGCTTAGAGTCTGCAGCTCGACGCGGGCATAGGCCTGGGGAGATTCAAGTCAGTATATTGTGAAGCGTGTAAGTTGGCGATTATTATACATGTACATGTAGTGGGTGGTACAGATAGTGTACGGCCACATACATGCCTGTGCGTGATAAGGGTAACACCACCAACGGCGTTGAACGTTCATCTGATAAAGTGAAGAAAAAGGGCTCTCACCTGGCTCATGTCTGTCTCTGCCTCAACTGTCGATGGAGCATCGCTGGTTGGTCCATCGTGTCTTTCGTAATGAAACAAGTTTCCATCTGTCTGTATGCCCCACTACAAAGGAAGTTGATTAGTCCAAGAGCAATATTGACCCGTTCATGTACAAACATGGACTTCAATCTGAGCTTCAGCCTTGACCTCAGCTTCAGCCCCAGCAAAAGGTAAATAGAAGAATAGAAGAAGACGATTAAAAAAAAGAGAAAAAGAAGGGCAAGAGAGAACTCACATTTGTTCGCTTCACATTCTTGCCCACCTCAATCTTGCCAAAGAACCTCTCCATGCTCGGCCCAATCTTGTCATACGAAGGCACCGGCGCGTGAATCTCCTTTAGCAACTTGCCCACCTTTGACGACGGATCAAACCCCGACGGGAAACAGCACTGAAAAGCCACTGCGCGATGGCCCTCCGGCTCGCCAACCAGCAGAAACATGTCTTCTTCGACCGTCTCTGCGAGAATCCGCAGGGCTGCGGCTGGATCGTCCGGCACGGCCGTGGGGGATGACTGGCCGGTCACGAGATTTGCGAAACGACGGCCTTTGTCTTGGAGCTGGAACATGGTTGGGAAGCGGCTGGGGAGATGGTCTTGGAGGAGGAACTGGTAGAGCTCGCGGACGGCTTCGACGCCGGCGGGGAGGCAGCCGTGGACCAAGGATCCGTGTTGGGAGATGATTTGGCGGCGGAGGGAGACTCTGTCGAGGTAGTCTGTGTCGATGGTGATGAGCTCTGAAGGCGTGTCTGCTTTGAGTGCTTGTTGTGTTTTGTTAGTTGTGGAGTTGTAGTTGAGTGTATCATCACATTCGATACATGTGGTTGGGGGCATATAAGTGAGATAGGGCTATTAGAAAAACTTACCCATGGTGATGTGGTAAATGGGCTTGAACGGTCGGTACTTGGCAGGCTCAACGGCCTTCCAGTCCAAGTCATTTAATGGATCGATTTTGAGAGGATCCTTGGACTGCTTTTCAGGCCGTTGAGGGCTGGAAATAGGGACATTACGGCGGCTTGATGACATCTAAACATTGACGCAGTGGTTAGTCAAAATAACTCTTTGATTGTTTCGCTCGTAATAATACTTACGAGTGTATACATCACACTCAGGCAGAGCACAGCAGCCCCCAGAGCCATAAGCGGGTGAGTCGTGGACGTCTCCAGCAGTCTGCCAACAGACAACTCCCGAAGCCTGTCCATCTTCAAAGCGCCGCTGCAGTTAAGAAGCAATCAGACCGACAAAGTGCGCTCAGAAATTGAAAAGGAAAAATGATCAAGTGAGAAGCGATGAGAAAAAGCCGCTCGCAGAATGCTTCTCAAAGAACGTAGTTGCTAGCTTTTATACGCTCTCAAGCATGCTTCCTCCGACATGTATTGCATGCACCTATACCGTCACCAAAGCCCATGTATGGTGTTGAAACGCAGCACGTCTGTACCCTTGCCGGCAATTCGTAATGCGTCTCTTCTCTCAGGTTCTGCCAAAAACAGGCAATACCGCGACAGATTAAACGCCACCACAATCTCCACAGATCTCTCTCCGCACTTGTTCGGCCAATCCAACCGCCTCTGCGCTAGGAATCCAGCAGATAATTTTTACCCTTTTTGGACAACTGCTCGATAGAGTCTGTTCTTTACGACGCCCTCCGCTTCTCCGCATAATCAGTTCATATACAGCGAGAATGCAACTCTTACACCATCCAGTATCGCAAACGGGATGTTGTTCAGAGACGTGAATCTTTCATGTCTACTGCTTAGTCTTGCCTAGCGTGCGTGTATCCAGATAAGACTTGAAGCGGCCAAGACGAGCATCATGTACACGTTTCGACATGACCACTTATTTGTCGAGTCAAATGGCAAGATTTGTCTAATCTTGTTTAGTATTTCATTTCTATGAATATTGCAACATATCTAGCTGGCAGGGACCAAAAACTCCATGCAAAAAAAAAACACAAATTATCCCATCCCATCTCATTGCCAGTGTCCCATGATATCCCGGCCCCTCGGTTCATCAATTATGCGTAACAAAAAACCAAAATTTACACTCTCTTCAATACTCGTCGTCCTGCGGCCACTCCCACCAAAGCTCCACAACCTCATCCATCGCCTCCGTCTCGCCATCTCCATCCAAATCCGAAGCCCCATGACGCACAAACACCTGCCGCAGCTTCCCATCAATCTCCTCGGCGTCAATAAGTCGATAGCTCTTCTTCTTGCTGTCATCCACCTTGTCTCTCATCGCGCCCATTGTGTCCTCGTATGCCCTCGCTGCATCCCAAGTGGCCTCGATGAGGTCTAGTTCGGGCTGGGTGATGCCGCCCTCGTAGACGCTGATGCTGTATCCGTTGGCGAGGACGGTGTCGCCGTTGAACCGCCACCGCTGCAAGAAGCACTCGCCGCAGAAGTCGGCAATCTTGGCCATCTTGTCGACGGGGGCCTGGTGCCACGACTTCCAGTGGTGGAGGCTAAGGGGGAAGACGCCCGATTCGTAAAACCCGCCGAGGTCGCCTCGCATGTCGAGTTGGTAGAGGCCCGGGACGGCGGTTAATGCCGTCTGCGTGTGGTTGTATATGCAGCCGCTCAACAGGCCGTCTCCTTCTCTGGTGAGGCTCGCGGCTAGACATTCGTCGACGTGGGAGTCTAGCTGTCGTATTAATGGCATGCTCATGAAGACGCCAGCGCCTCCGTAAGCCATGACGCCAAAGTAGTCTATTGCTCCCTGGCTTTCGGTGAGGCCGCCGATGTAGGCTGGCACAGTCGAATCGTGTGAGGCCAGGAGCTGAGTGATGGAATATGGCGAGGGGAAGAATGTGTCGTCGTCAATGATGGCAGCCCATTGAGTTTCTTCGCTTGAATAGTCATGGAGGTCTCGGATGATTGCAAAGTGCTGCTCGTTGACATCAAATGTGCAGTTCCATGGTCGAATGGCCGTTAGGTTGATGTCGTGGCTGTCGTACAGCTGTTCCAACGAGGCAAGACTATTGTCGCTAACCGATTTGTCAACGACAATTGCCAAAAAGAGAGCTCCCGTTCCGGACATCCAGTGCGAGATCTGGGGAACCGAGTCTTGCAGACGAGAGAGAGTCGTCGCCACGCCAAAGATGACGTTGGAAAGATTGGCCGCTGGGAATGGCTCTGATATCGGAAACGGAATGGGCTCGCATGATCTAGCCTGGTCTAATGGCGCTGAGGAGGAAATGATGCTGCACTCATCGTCGAGATCCAGGATATCTGCTCTCGATCCCAGCAATGGCTCGTCGATGTCGGCGACAGACTCACGCGGGCTGGTCTCGTTGCTATATACGCCACGAAAACAACGCTTCTGGTAGACAACATTGCGAGTTAAACCATACTGCTTGCGCCTCAGATGGTCCAGATCTGAGGGACATGATTTGATTGCTTGAAACCCGTCCTGTGCTGAGATTCCAATACCCAAGCCAAAGGGCAGCTCATATTGCCTTGTCCCGTTGCTATGTTCTTTCTTAGCCAAGAGAGTAAGAAGAAACACCGTTACCACAATGATGATGATTGTGAGACTCCTATTTGAGACGGGCGAGTGGCAGCGTCTAATTAGCATTATGGATCATCTACCATTCATGATCTTCGCTCAAACACGGGCTGGCTTTGTCGTCCAAGTATAACCTCTCTTTTTTTTTTTTGTTCTGCAGTTGTTGTAGAAGCAATCCCGCTCCATAGAATCGAAAAGCAACAATTCTGCATCACAGCAGAGCTGGACGTTATACCTTCATCGCCCTCCTTGATCCCGGCGTATCAGGGGAGACCCCCAGGGCTGCGCCCAACTGACGCCGCGCTGTCAACGCAAGCCGGAGCATCTCGTCTGCAAATTAGATCCTGTCGGCTACCACTAACGCCAGATGCCCTCCACTAAGCCGGCAGAAACAAGATGATACAGGCCATGATGCCGCCTAGCAGCAATGCAGCCAAGTATGAATTGCCCACAACCCGAGATGGACGCGCGTGCTGGGAGGAGCAGAGCCGTCTTAGCCGAGCGCTTGGCGCTGCCAAGATGTTAAAGATTAGTGGGATAAAATTGGGACAGCAATAACGGGCAATGAAGCCAAGAGGAACAAAAGGGAGGAAGACGCCGGGGAAAAGAGTTGATCCTGGCTGGGGGCTGTTGGTCTTTGATGGCCCATAGATTGATATCCGGAGCGCCGTTATCGTGATCGGTCGCGTGCGGGCCACTGTTTCAGCGCAAAACCATCAACTCTGTACGCGGAATCGCAGCGGCCAGGCCAGGCCTATTCACAGATAAGTGGGTAATAAAACTGCCGTCTGTACCGGCAATGGACCCTATCGTCAAGATTCTCAGCTATAAAAGTCGCAAAATGAAGGACAAAACCGCCGGTGGTGACGTGCATGTACGCGCAATCATTCAAGGCACAGCGCCGAAAAGGGGGACCCGCCTCAATTGCGATGTTCACTCCACATCCAATGGCGAAGCCTGTTTCATGAGCCCAAGACATTTTATTGCACTTGGCAACTTTTCTCCTTTTGCCGATTGAGAATTTTGGTTGCTGCAGTTGTATGGAGGTTTCTGGGGTTGTCCAGTCTCAAACGCGCATTGTCGTTGTGAATTCCATTCTCTTTGAGATGGTTTGTTTGCGTTGGTATGCCAGGCGTTGTCAAGCCTCTATCCACACAAAGAGGCGAAAGACCTTGTAAAGCCGTTTGCTCTAGAATCTATGGAACGCTTCCTCAGGCATATGCACTGACCCGTTATCGACACATCATATATACCTGTAGCATCATCATCTGCTCCACCGCCTAAATGTACATCTATGCCCACTTGACCTGCAGCCACCCCTTGACGTTCAACTGCCAGCTATCAATCAGCCCGGGCAGCGAGTCCATCGTGAGGATGCTCTTGATTGCATCCTCATCTTCTAGTACCCATTTCTTAAGCTTCGGCTCAAAGTCTCGTGACACGGTCTCCGTCTTGAGCTCTGCAATCCACGCCTGGCCCTCTTTAATGCTCTTTTCGGCTGCCGTCTGCAGATCTTTAATCTTAGACGCCAGTTCCTTAGGAAGGCTAGACTTTCCTGATCTATCCCGGGCTTTTTCTTTCTCGTTGTGGCTCAAGATCCATTGAGCAGCCAGCTTGATTGCCACCGTTGAATCTCGAAGCATTGCAATGTTGTGCATTGACCCAAGCATGGTTAGCGTGCGCTCAATCGAGGGTTTCTCACTGTGTAGTATCTGACTTTGCTGGTTCTCAAGAGATGAGCTCAAGGCATCTGTTGTCTGATGTAATGCATCGGTAATATCGGAAGACCGATCAAAATCGATGCACAGAGACATGAGAGTGCAGAGCAGGCTAATGGTCTCAAAATAGCAGAGCTCTGGCTGAGTCATCTCATCATCTGGACCGGCCAAGAACCTGGGGAAAGAGTTACTAAGGCGGGCCAAGGTTTCAGTGATGAAGACATGGTCGTATTCCGAGCTCCCCGCTGAGGCCTTGTAGCTAGCCGGAGATTTGTAAGTCAGCAGCTCGTGGAACGCCTCGGCTAACATGGACAGATGGCACCGGCGGTTCTGCGAGTTTAATACAGTTAGCACAAATACTATCTAGAGAAAGGGAGATGAAATTTGACTTACGGATGGCCCTGGCCCAAGCCGAAGGTTGAGGTGCATTGGCTGAACTGTCCTGCTGTTCCAGGATGGAAATGATCCGTAATCAATTGTCTGAGTGAGGTCCGTATCATCGTTCACCTCATCTATCCGATTGTTAGTTCAATTTCAGAGTCAAATTTCACCGCTCGAAATCTTACTGAATCGCGGATCTGATTCCAGCTCGCGTGAGGGCTGTCCTAGGAGTCTCTCGATTCTTCGCGCTTCCGCTAGACTCATTGCTCTTGTACCGCTCGATCGAAGGCTCTCAATATACTGTGGAATACCCACCACGCTACTGTAGCTTCCTGATTCAAAAGCGTCTATTAAGCGTTGATGCATCCTTAGCTTCAGGGAATTCACGTAATGCGATTGCAAAAGATCCATAAGATGGCTACCCCAGCTGTCATAAGTTGACAATAGAGCAGGGGAGATTGTCGATAGGCGATCGTAAAAGATGGGGCCGAGCGAGTCGATTATGGTACGCTTTACACCAATGACATCCCAAATGTCGCTGGCTCTAGCGCCTGAACCAAGGCGTATGTGTAGTTGTGTCAGAACAAGAGACAGCTGGCTATGACCTGAATTCTGAGCGAGTTGGTCGTCGAGCAAGAGAAGAGCGCGGATGAGATGGCGCGTTGCTTGTGGTTTAAGAGACTGTCTGGCCTGGTCCTCGCTGAAAGCCAAGTTTAAGCTGCAAAATGCAATCAATATTGCGAGTTCTGGCATGATCTCGGCGTTGATCTTGGGTTTTTCACCCTCAGATTTTATGACGGAGCTGTAAAAGGTTACACATGCCTGTGATAGTTGAGACAGGCATGTTTGGCACAGCGTTGACTCCACTGTAGAATCACAAACTGTGCATTTGAGCTGTTGGTTTTGGTCGCGATACTTTGTCTTTCGGTGCGTCAATAGTAGATACTGCGTTTTATGAGCCAGCAGTCGCGTGCTGGCTGCCTTGAAGTCGTTTGAGTCAACTTCTGCCAATTTGGGCAAATGATCAAACGCCAGATACTTTAGTCCGGCAGCATCGAGGCTTTCCATTAGAGACTTCACGTCGCTGAAGCATGCTGGGCTAGTATACTGATCATCAATGTAGCGGATCAGCTCTCTTAGCCGTAATGAAGAAGGCTGACCATCTGTCAAATCAGATTCGTCACTTGGGCCAAGGCTAAATACGGCCAAAACTCTGGCTAGTAAGATGTTGCGCCGGTACATGGGTCGCATGTGGCTAGACGATAGTAGCTTTGCCAGCAACTTCTGGACAACATTCGTAGAGCTAGGATGCCGAAGTTAGCAGAGTTCTAGGCAGTGTTCTGACGAAGGACGTGGCGCATCACTCACTCTGGATTTGTTTCCTTCATATGGCTAGCAGCAGTGATTATATGCCGCCACATGGCAATGTCTGATGCCAGTAGGGTCAATTGTCCATCGGCATCGCAGTCGGAGAGACAGTCGTTGCAGAGGTTGAATACCGCCGGCCAGTCACCATCTCGACTAAACTTGGCAATGGCGCGCATTACTACCTCCTTTCGACCTCGGCGAAACTGAACAACCGGAGAGAAAATAGAGCTAGAGATGAGTTTGCGGAAGTCTTCGGGTGTACCGTGTGTCTCAACAATGTCATAGAGCAATAGAACCTCTTCTTCCGTCTTCACACGCCTAGATGGGGCTTTGCTAGATGCCTCATTTGAGTCTTGAGCCTAGATAGAGAGTCGGCATTAGTATTGCAATGGGCCAGATCGCATTTGAAGAGTGTAATACCTGTTCTGCGGCTTGAGCAGCTCTCTCGATCTGCTTTTGAGCCAAAGTACCGTACAGCTTCCGTTTGTCGGGCGTGGTCAGTGGACTTGTCTATGGCAATATTAGCAAGCTAGAGTTGGGCACATGGATAGTGGCTCGAGTATGACACTCACAGAAAGAAGATGCGTGATGACAATATTCCAGAATAGCCAGTCCCTCTCCTGCGGGAACGAGCGATCGATGATGGCCGCAATCTTGATCTGGTCAGCGTCGATACTAATCTCAAAACTGGATACGCGGCGGGTTTACCTGTTGAGCACTGGCCAAATCCCAGTGAAGCAAGCACGATTCCAGACAGCGTGTAGCAGCAAACTTGTCCTTTGGCGAGGCCTTGACGGCGCGCACTCTCAGCGGCCCCAGAGTCTCGGCAAAATCATCTGCATCAATCAAGTTTGTCGTGGCCCACTCCATCAGCTCAATTGCCTCTACATCCTTGATGGTGCTGCCGTCCTTGACATGCTTCCAGACAGCAGCAACGGCAGCAAATTTGGTGCTGGGATCATCAAGCTGGCTCTCGGCACATATTTTGAGAAACTTCAGTAGCAAGATGCTCAGTCAGCTTCAGAAAGTTGAATCTATGAGTTGTAAAGCTCACCTCATAGTACTGGTCGTTTGAGATCTTGGCTCGCTTCTCGGCAAGGCGGATCACGACTGGCCAGTTGCCATCCTGAAAGGCTGATTGAAGCTGGAGATCAACCCCATTCTTAAGGCGCGGTCGTTGGCGATTCATGAGGAGTGTGGCGCTGATGTTTCTCAACCACACGTTCTGGATCGTTTAGGCTTCAAAACAGCAGACGGGATGAGAATCGTTGAATGGCTTGGAGGGGCTGCTTTGGTTGGGAGAGCAAGACTGGAGCTGCGCAAGGCTGAGGATCAGCCACAATAACCCCACCATATGTGGCTGGGTGGTGGCGGTGCACGATGAGGCTGCCGTTTGCGCGAACAAAAGAGACAGAATTGGGCATCACCAATTGGTAGATACGATTAGGACTTGAACTGTTCATATTTTCTACGTCTCCAACATAGTCAATTCTTATTGAGTTATCAATATTTTCATCAATTTTTTTTCTTGACCCTCCTCCGCCAACTTCGGCATGTGACGCTGTTTCTCCATTTCCTATCCCCATCACTTCTAAGAGTCTTGGCATAGGCCTACATGCCGCAAGCTATAGGCCTCGGACAAAGATTTGCCGCAAATCGTTTATGCTTTGTTTGGCACGTTACTTAACGGCCTACTACATTAGGCATTTGTAGATAGGCATCAGCCACCATCAATGGTTGATCCACTCAAGTAGCAGGCTAGGGTCATGATTAATAAGAGGGGTGACAGATCATGTGCGGTTCTTTGCGGCATCGGCATCGGCAGTATCAAGCCTGCTGATAGGACGAACCCATTCGATAACAAAGCTTAACCACCTAGAATGGAACTGCCTAGGTTGTCATTTAGGATGGACTATGCTCGAGGAGTTTTTATCCCATCTGCCATTCATGTTGTTTGCTAAGCAGGACTTCACTGAAATTCGCACGAGACTTGACCACGTGCAAACTAAAGAATGAAAGCAATCTACAAATGTAGTAACGGAAACGCGCCGAATTAAGCATTCGCCACCATCGCTAACAAAACATTGAACCGTGTCAATGTCCCAAGACAAGGCGCCAAAGCTCTCCACCCATGAATTCGACTTGGTCATCACGAAGCGGCGAAGGTTCCGAGCAGCAAAGGCGTGTTATCCGTGCAGGCGACGCAAAGTCAAGTGCAACTTTGGCCAGCCTTGCGAGAGTTGCGCCATCCGTGGACACCCCGATCTTTGCAGTTATACTCTAGCTCCGGATGTCAACCACCCGTCTAGAGCTAGTAACGTCTCTAATCCGGGCTCATCCGCACCCAGCGAAAGCGATGTCACGGCCGCTAGCCTTGCCAACGATATATCTCAAGGACTTTATGTGAACCCGATTGCCCCGTATAATACTAGGGTTCATCTGGGCCCGGAGTCTCTTCCCAGCCTTCTTACGACGTTTCAGAATCTCAGCTCTCTTCAACGGCTTCAGGGAGGAAGTAGCCCGCCAATAGCTGCTTTTAAGCCCTCAACGAATCCGCAGACCATATTCGAACTTTTGTGTCTTCAGGACTCCGGGGCTTTGATGCCATTTGCCAATCTATGGAAACCGACAGACGGCCCTGAAGTAATTTATAGTGCTTTGCCTGAAGATGAGCAGATAAAGAGGTGAGTCCTAATCGCAACATCTCCGTCTGGGTGCCTCCCAACTAATACGCAGAAAGCTACGTTCAGTACTTTCAGACATCGCTATTCCGTATTTTGCCCTTTACCATCAATTTCGTTCAATTTGAAGCTGCATTGTCTCGTTTTCTTTGCGCTAGAAGAAATAATCCGGATGCAGCGTTGCAAACTCCACCAGCTGAATGCACCTTGACCTGGTTCGGATTACTATTTGGTATTCTCGCATGTAGCGCGCAGCTTCGCTACGACCAAGAATCTGAGCTGCTCAAAGCCGGCGTGTTTGGTAAGTCTCTTTTTGTTGGTCATTATGCGAGTCACTATTTCTGACGGATGCCGAAACTCATAGCATGCTGCTCTATGCAGTGCTTGCGACTGAACAACTTCATTTCTTTTCCTGATACCCACACCATCCAGGCCCTCATACTGCTCGTCAACTTTTTGCAGAACCAAGCGAATGCTGGGGCCTCTTGGTCCATTTTAGGTGAATACTCTTTGGCAAAATCTGATTTAATGCGTTAAGAATATGGTGCTAATTATACGTGAATGTACTCCAGGGCTGACTATACGTCTTGCGCAAACACTCGGCCTTCATTGTTCTCCAGACCCCGACGATGTTGCCATAAAACAGAAAGGCGAGGCGACTGTAAATTACTACATCTGGTAAGTGATACATTTAATTTATTTAAATGTCAACTTATAATGGCTTCCATTAACAACTGGGTAGGCGGTCACTAATATGGCAAGACACGCTGGTCTCTCTTTGGTACGGGCGGCCGTCTTGTATTACGGTTCTGGATGATATCTCGCCAGCCCAAGAGTCATCTCGGCAGTATCCCTTCACGCACAGCTGCAATCACCTCTTCATAACGGCCAATAAGATAAGCCAAGCTACCAATAAGGCCAAGTTCTCCAAACGGCAGCTCTCTCTTCTTGAGATTCGCGATTTCAAGAAAGTAGTTGATCAAATTGTCGCGCGGTCTGCTTCTCACCTTCAGAATGCCTCGGTATGCAGAAACCGAGACGATTGTATCCAGCATCATTTCTTCCGCGAATTTGTGGATTCGGTGGTGCTCTGTCTCTACCGTCCAGTCATGCTCTCGTATGGCGATGAGTACAGCAAAGAACTCACAGACACCCATCTGGAGCGCTGCCGCTCTGTTCTTCGCACGTATCTGGAACTGCTCAGGCTCGATTGCCCGATTCGGAGATCGTGGGTTTTTGTTCACGTCACGCTCAGCTGTGCCCTGACGCTCGCGTTGGCTGCGAACACGCAGGAAGATGTTTCCGATAAGACGTTTCTATATGAGTTTTTGGAGACTTTCTCTCAAGCAAATATTTTTCCCAATGTACCTTCATACCAAAATGCATTACGACTGCTTCGACAGTCATTAAATGCATGCGATTGACTGAGCATGAAATCTATTCAAAAATGCCCTGTTAATGCTCTGATACATCAGATGAACCGAGAGACTCAAACTGCCTATAAAAATATATACAAAAGCCATGCATCATGGCACGCTAGGGCACGTCGATATCGCGATATCTTCTACTAATCGCTAGCCGTCTTCCCGATTTCTCTCTGGCGATATTCTGGCAGAGCCTCGCCGGCCCGCCACTTGTACTGACTGCCTGGGTGATCCTCTGGCAGCCTCTTCGACCCAATAAACACTTCTCTTGCCGTTGCGCCCTCCTTCTCAACATCGCTTCGGAAGACACCTCGCTTCCTCAGCTCAGGAAGAAGAAACTCGATGATGTCCTCGAAACTACCCGGATTTGTAACGTGAGCTAGGTTGAATCCATCTACTCCAGATACCTCAATCCACCTCTCTAGCTCATCCGCTACTGTTGTTGGGCTTCCGACTGCCTTTGCACCAAGGCCGCCCAGGCTGAGATATTCCACAATTCTTCTCTTTGTCCATGGAAGATTGTCAGTACCTGGAACAGTGTCTGACCACCTTCTGACAATTGACTGCAATCTTGGAGACTCTGTGAAGCGAAAATCTTCATCGTCGGAGTAGCCAGAAAGATCGACGCCAGTCCATCCACCGAATAGAGCTAAAGCACCTTCTTGGTCGGCGTACTGGAGATAGCTTTCCCTTTTGGCTTGAGCTTCTTCGTCTGTTGCAGCAACGATGATGAGCATACCAACAATGACTTTGATATGGTCTGGGTTCCGCCCTTCCTGTCGCGCTACATCTCGTATGTTATCCACAGTCTTTCTTACTCCCTCTGGCGTCTGGCCACCAACAAAGATGGCCTCTCCATGCTTTCCTCCGAAACCGTTGCCTGCCTCCGACACGCCTGCTTGGAAGAGGAATGGAGTGCGCTGAGGAGACGGCTCGCAGAAATGGGGCCCAGGCACTTCGAAATATTTGCCCTTGTGCAGGATCTGAACAACGCCGTCACTTGCAATGTATGTGCCGCTTTCACGGTCTCGAAGAACTGCGCCATCCCGGAAACTCCCTTCCCACAGTTTATAGAGCACTTCCATGTACTCGTGAGCAATGGCATATCTTTCATCATGAGGAATTTGCTCCTTGAGCCCGTGGTTGCGAGCTGCGCTGTCGAGATATGATGTGACAATGTTCCAAGCAACACGGCCCTCGCTCAAATGGTCTACGGTAGACAGACGTCGAGCAAGTGCATAAGGCTTCTCATAGGTCAAACTGGCTGTAACGCCAAAGATCAGGTTTTTTGTTACAGCTGCCATTGCAGGAACAAGGTACAACGGGTCGTTGACTGGATACTGAGCGCCAGACGCCAAAGCTGGCACGACGTTGGCAGGTCCCTTGTATACGTCGTATGGCCCCAGAGTATCTGCGATGAACATGGCATGAAACTGCGCTTTATCCAAGAGTTGCGCAAGGTCTGTCCAGAATGAGAGTTTTGTGTACTGGTCCGTCTTGTTTTTCGGATGTCGCCAGAAGCCAGGAGATAAGTGGCCTGGAGTATTCATGACGAATGCGTTCAGGATGATTTGTTTCTTGCCTTTGGCTTGTAGGCCATCGGCCGCGGCTGGTATTTTATCGCCCATGGTTGCTTCAATATTATTGTACAGCAATATCTTCAGAAGAGACGGATATTACTCTGTGATGCGTATATCATAGCAGAGTTAAGATGCAAGACTGGTTTATTTGAAGATCGGAGGGCTTTTGAATCAGAAGTAGAAATAGCATATATTAAATACCCCAATAAATTATCTCAGCTACTCAAATCACCCAATTGGTCGCATTGAATCATATTAGATTGGTTCAAGTCATAAATAATATCTCGCTAGTATTTTGTGCATGGAGCAATACCTAGCATCGTTGATGTGCCGCTATAAAGTCGTCACACTACGCACATAGCACGCAATTCCCACCATGATCTCACATCAACGGCCGATCTCGCATACTTGATACAATCGATTTCCAGTAAAATGTCGAATTAAATCGACTTGCAAACTTCATCTCATTTAGCCGAATCGTTTTCTGATTATTTGTTTTGTCGGCAAACATCTACGGGCAACTACCGAAGTCCGTTTGTCGGCCGCTGAAGAGGCCCTGTATTGCTTCATCGCAACACCACGCTTGCGGGTGAGATTATGAGAGGCTTCTGTGTTATTACGGATCATATATACAAGCTAGTTGAGAAGACAAAATAACGTCATTGCTTCCCAATGCAACGTGCTGTGTTTATGGGCCTACGAGTTCCACGATTCCCCGAAACGGTGCAGACTCAAGATAGTAAGATCTACAAGTGCGAGATAAGAAGACGGCAGTGGTCGATGAACGGCAGATAAAAAGTCTCTTGGGTATACTTGCCTCGTTGATATGTTTAAAAGTCTCAACAGATCTCCCATAATTTGAGAGGCATCCTTTCATTGAGGCTCGAGGAACTTAGCGACGATTTAAAAAGCCCACTGTATCTGGCCTTCATCATGTCGGTCCAACTGGGCGTATCCGGGGTGCCTGTGATCCCTCAGGGAACGGCATATGGCCTCCTGATAGGATTGGGTGTTGGCTTTTGCGGCATCGTTCTGGTGGCCATAAAAATCCAGCGGGCTTACCTTTCAGAAGATTCATCGACTTCAGAAATGTTCATGGTCGCCAATAGATCAGTAGGGACAGGATTAACAGCGTCGGCGGTGTTTTCATCCTGGATGTGGATCAACGAAACGGTGTTTTCAGCTGCATTCTGCTATAAATTCGGGATGGCTGTTCCTTTTGTAAGTCTCTTTTTTTTTGACTTGTACTATTCTATAGTCAGGTTCATCACATATTAACAGACGTATGTTGTTTTGTAGTGGTGGGCTACAGGGCTGTGCTTTCAGATTGCTTTGATGGCAGCTCTTGGCGTGCTGGCCAAAATTCGCGTACCATATGCACACACATCATTGGAAATTATCCGGATGCGTTATGGCAAACTTGGTCATCTTGTGTTCATTGTCTTGAATATCACAAACAACGTCTTTGGATGCGCATCCATGATCTTAACTGGGTCGCAACTGATCTATGGTGTGTCTGGCATGCATTTTGTTGCAGCCACCATTCTCATTCCTCTCGGAGGTAAGTGTCACTAATTTGCACCTGAAATGGATTTAAACAGAACACGCCTGCTGACATTATGCGGCAGTGGTCTTGTATACGGCAGTGGGAGGCCTTAAGGCGACCTTTTTGACAGACTACCTTCACACGACTATTGCTTTGATCCTAATCATTTACTTCACCCTAACAACGTTAACTCACGATGCAGTGGGAGGCCTTGGAGGTTTGTATGACAAGGTCATGGCGACGGCCTCGGAAAATATTATTGCAGGAAATTACGAGGGATCCCTGCTTACAATGAAGTCCCTTGACTCGATTATTTGGGGACTGATTCTCAAGTTCGGAAACCTTGCTCTCGTGGTCATGGTAAGAATGAGCCTGTGCTTCAAGTTCTTTTGATGCGTAACTTTGCTGATTCTTCGCCCGACAGGATACGGCATTCTGGCAAAAGTCATTTGCTACTGAGGTCAAAGCTACCGTGCCTGGCTATAACCTTGCAGCAATTGCTATATTCGGGATTCCATGGGGCCTCGGCACCGTTATTGGTCTCACTGCCAGGGCCATTCATAACACTCCGATTTTCCCGACATACCCCGGCGAGTTCTCTCCAGACCTTGTTAATGCAGGCTTGGTGATGCCGTACACAATCAAGGCTCTCATCGGAGATAAGGGAATTGTGGCCTTCTTTGTTCTCTTATTCATGGCTCTTACTAGCACCGTCTCTTCTTCCATGATTGCCGTCAGCAGCATTCTATCATTCGACGTTTATAAAACGTACATTGACCCAAAGGCATCGGATAAGAAGATTATGAGAGTCAGCCACCTTGCCGTTGTTTTCCATGCCATTTTCATTACCGGCATCTCACTGGCACTCAACTATGGTGGAGCTGACATGACATGGATCGGCTACTTCAGGCCAATCCTCTCCTGCCCCGGCATCATTCCCCTGGGTCTGACCCTTGCGTGGTCGAAGCAGACGAGACTAGCGGCCGTCGCATCGCCAATTCTCGGATTCCTCACGGGCCTCAGTGTTTGGCTGGCTACAGCCAAGTCGCTCTACGGCACTATCAACATCGCAACGACGGAGGCCAGTTTCCCTGCCTTGTATGGAGCTATTGCGTCCTTCTTCTCTCCTGCTCTTTACTCAGTTGTCATTTCTCTTTACAAGCCAGAGACATTTGATTGGCGACGATTCTTGCTCATTGAGCTTGCAGAAGCACCAAAGCTCGATGGACCTGAACCATCACTTTCGAGCAACAGGGAAAAGGATGCCATAACTGATAAAGATACCAGCGAGTCAAATAGCCATGGTATTGGGGCTTCAAATTCACCAAGCGAGAATATATCAGTTACAGCTTCCGATCCAGAGAATGCCAAGACTCTTGACATTGGAGAAAAAGGTAATACGAGCGTGTCGATAAATAGCGATCCAAGCACACTCGACCTTGACAATGTGCAGCATCCATTTGATGAGGCGACGTTACAAGAACTGCATCGTTGGTACCGCATAGCTTGGATCTTCTTTGTCGTAGTCGTTCTCGTCACTTTTGTCGCATGGCCAATGCCATTATACCGAAACTACATCTTCACCAAATCCTTCTTTTCCGGCTGGACGACGGTTGCGATTATATGGCAGTTTCTAGCATTCTTCGCGGTGGTCATATATCCTTTATATGACGGAAGACATGCAATTGTCAAGGCATACCGGGGTGTTTGGAGTGCGATTAGCGGTACCTTTAGCAGGTCATGAATGGATAGAGTATCGACTTGAATAAATTAAACGCACGTGGCGTGGCTTGGGCATTCATGCTAGACATTATGTCAATACTTGTCATATTAAATACGCCTTCTTCGTATATTGCTAATCAACATGCAATGCATTTAAACGTATTCAGGAGTGCATATAGATTAGTAGTATTCATCATTGTGATTCTACCTTGTTGAACGGCATGGACGACAACTTCTCTACGATAGTCTACTGCGTTGACGTATTAAAGAACTCTACAAATATACAATAGGACTAGAGTAATCAACAGACATACAACGTATTGCAGCTTGTGATATATACCGCCCTAGAAAATCCTCTACGCCTCGCTTCCCCCTGATCCGTGCCAAATATTGTAGACGAAAGATCACATAAGACGCATAAGGAATAGTATGTAAAGTTGATGTATATTCATCAATATTCAACTATGTGCATGAGGTCATTGAAAGAGTATGTACATCAATATATAGAGAGAATCGAAGGCAAGCAAAATTGTAACAGATCAGTCATGCTGATCCAGCTGGTAGGCTTCGTGATGGACATTTAGCACTGGCCGTTGGTGTTGCAGAAATGCCTAAATCTTGTCAGTACAGATGTCTCGAACCAGCATGCGCGGATACTTACCAGTCAATGTTGACGTTTCCGGTGGTGGCACCGTTGGTGAGCGAGCTGAAAGCTCCGCGAGACAGATCAATGCTGTCGGCAGAAGGGCAGCCAGGGCAGGTATCCGCAACAGCGATGGTGACGCTGTTGCCCTTGCCACCAACACCATCACCGCTGCCAGTGTTGGTGATGAAAACCTTGCGGCCACAGTACTTGGGGGGCCATGAAGAACCCTGCCAGGTGGGAGTAAGAGCGCCAATGAAGTCGCTGTCAGCGTGCACTTGGCCGCAAGATCCAGCGGCACCGAACTGGTCGTAAACGGTAGCGAGACCGGAGTGACTGATGGTAGATGTTAGCGATCCGAAAGCATCTACTCATCTCTCATCTACAAAACTCACGTGGTTCGCTTGGCTCGGGGAGCAGACTCAACACGAGACGGAGGCTCGGAGCTGGGGAGAGCGCTGACAACGCTGGCAACAGCGGCCAGAATAACAACGGCGGTCTTGGCGAACATTTTGAAGAGTTTGTAGTTTGTTTATAAACTCGTGTTTGTGATATCAAAGATGTTGAGCTGTAATGTCTCGAACTGAGTTGTTATTGCAAGTGAAGTGTGAGATGATTGGGACGAAGAAGGAAGAGATCGCCAGCTCTATATATACTCGATGCTCTCTGCCGTTTCTGACTACTATTGCTCAGCCTAGCTATTGATTCATCATCACGATCGACAACAAAGGCTTTTTCGGGTATCGCCAACCCTTGGATATTGCACTTCGTATAGTCCAGGCCAAGCTCGGCGAGCCCGGTACCTGGCTTCAACACTCATCATGCATTCATTCGGTGTAAGACGTGCAATTTTTCCGCTGCCGCGATTCAGCATGTCATACGCTCGAATCAATCAAGTCTCAGTTGTCTTAGCCAAGTAAGCAGGACTTATCAATTTTTCTGTAAACAGCAGCTGGTTGGTTGGGCGATGGTGTTTTGGGAAGGTCGTTAAAAAATAGACTTGACTAAGGCCTGTTTCTTGTAAGGCGCAGGTTGCCTGACAAACTAGATCAGACGAAACAAATCGATTCTAGGCCGTGCCCCTTGACTAAAAATGCCCGTATGAATAATATCTCTCCATTTTGTCGCTTTTTTTGCAGGGGGCACGTGGGTTTGTGAACCACAGATCTTGATCGCCATGGGACGCCCATGGGTTAAGGGGCAAAGCTTACTGGTGGATTTTCTCGCCTTGGAAGCGCAGTTTAATGTTTCCTATTCAGGTGCGCCAAGGGCTTGAGGCTGACGGGCTGTGCCTGCATTTAATTTATTAATTTACCAAAGGCGAATAGCGCTGCTAAATTATAGAAGGCACTTGTTGTACTTGGGCAGCATTGTAAACGCAACTCGATCAACTAGCTCTGTACGTTAATCTAAGACTAAACAACGGTACTAGCCAACTCTGACACATGAAATTCCACGACGCATTTTATCCATTTCTTTTATATGATTTATTTTGGTTTTAGTAAGTTGCAGTATCCCAGTCAAGAAGGCAGTTGCAAATATTAGACGCAATGCATGAAAAATGGTCTGACTTGAGACGGCTGCCTGTAAGATCTCCTGCACATTAGCGTGCTCTGCTCGCTTGTATTTCCACTATGTAATTTTTTCTCTTCAAAATTGTTTTTAGTAAACTGCAATATCTCAGTCAAGAAGGCAGTCACCAATATTGAAAGCAATGCGTCAAAGATGGTCTGACTTGAGACGGCTGCCTGGAAGGTATCCCCACACATTCTTGATGCAGAGCGCGCTCCGTTCGCCTGGCTTCCTTTGATCAATGACAAGATAGTCTATTTTTGCTTGTATGGTCTCGGATTTCTGAGCTTAATGATAATGTTCGAGTTTCACTTGGATAAAACGTAAGTCATCGTCATCTCATGTAATATTGTAGCAAACAATCTTCAGACTACAAAGCTCTTGGATTCTATTACCATAGGAGCTCAATAGTAAACCCGACGTCCGAGGTCTTTCTCCAGACGACAATTTTTCCATGAGATTCGTGCCTAGTACGGATGAAGAGATATATTGGCCGAGTGCTGCCGAGGAAATAGGCAACTCAATACATGGCACGATTACGGATATACGGAAATGCAAGAACTCACAGAAGAAGAAGCCTACAATGACTACATGCAGCGTGGTGGCAGAGACACTTGACGGAAACAGTCGTGGTCAAGCAGTTCATAGAATGGAAAAAACAACACATTTTCCGTGCCTCAAAATAGAAGCGGCCTCATTAGCTCAAACTCCGATTCCTACGTTTCTAAGGATCCCCTGCATGAAGCGATGCTTGGCTGCATGCACGATGCAGGGCAATTGATCTTTCTGGCATTGCAGGCCTAGCACAAAGGTGCGTAATATATTTCTTGCAGGGTACCGGCAGGCTGCCACATCCAAGGCCTCCAAGAAACCGTAACCTTGGAATTTAACGCCCATGTTAGCGGTTGAGTATTCCGGATTACCCACCACCCCAGCTCGTTTGTCTCGTGCGGTCATGACTCAGGGCGGACTCGCTAGCATTACTCACGTCAGGTAAAACATCAATAGATGTTTGAACCCACAATCGGGACGACGATACTAGCAGTAACGCGGGTCATGCTGCAAATATTTGATGCGTTTAGGCTCAAAGTTCATGGACGGGCGAGTTATTTGCTTCTGGTGAGCAATACGAAAAGGGGAAAGTTCGTATTTCAATCTTCCGCCCGTATAGGCAAATTGGCCCGGATGCTAACGTCTTGTCGATCCGGGTATCTCCAGGGACGCGGTAGAGCCCTGCAGATCCGGCAATGGCCTCGATGAGTTTTCGCAAGCGCAAAGGATCGATTTCCTGGTGAGCAGGCGAGTTCCAACTGCTGAAAAGACACTCAAAAGACTAATCATCAAAATTCATCACTATTCTAAATGCCACAACTTCTACCAATACCCCTTTTTCTTATACTGCAGCGGGTTACGAGATGGCAAGCATGACAAGCTTAGGGGGCTTACTTACTACTACTAGTACTAGTATGCAGCAGTTTCTGATTACACGTACCCTGGAATAGAAGAAAAAAAAGACTCTTTGCGGCTAGTGATTGCAGAACATATACATGACCTCATATATTATTTACGGTAGGTTAAGCATGTTACATTTTAATTTGATGTCATTCAACGGAATATTAACTCCATATTCATGAATCCTCTATTGTAAACGTCGCTGTAATATAACCTGGAAACCTTGGTCTAAAAATTAGACCTGCAATACCAAAAGTGTTGGCCGTCTATTAACGATGTATACAGCTTAGCGCACTAGTTTAAAAAAGGCCAAGCGAAATCGCTAGAAGCCGATACAGGATGGACTCTTTAGCATGAACAGCGAAACTTAACGCTTTGAGATAATAATTGCTTTTAGAGTGAGCTGTACATGCGGACAACATATACTCTACTGCACCATACAGCCAAAAGATCGATCTCGACTCTAGTTGAGGCCTAACATCGCTGCCAATGTTTCTCTCCTTCCGACACCGGCCTCTGTGCTCTGCCGATGGAAGCCGGTCACGGGACTGGGCCTTCCCCACAGATGGCCAACTAGCAGCACAGCTATTGTTTGATGATTCATCCATCGTCGAGATTGCACCGACTTCAAGCGTCCGGGGCTTCTCATAAGTGTTGGCTGTTGCAGCATTCTGAGGCTCGATTCCCCTAATTTGGCAACTGGTCATTCCTTTCAACCAATTTCATACCTCAAGCACATACAGTCATGGCGTCACTACAGAACAGCAAGTTGGCCTTTATTGGAGGGGGCAACATGGCCTCTGCCATCATTGGGGGACTAGCCAGCCAGGGTATCAACAAGCAGAACATCATTGTATCTGAGCCGTGGGATGTCAACAGAGACAAGATTGCCGCCACCGGCGTGCGAACCACAACGTCCAACGTCGAGGCTGGCCAGGATGCCGATCTCATCATCATTGCCGTAAAGCCTCAGATTGCCAAGACGGTCTGCCAGGAGCTTGGCGGATCGTGGTCTCACCGCACCACTCTGCCAATTGTCGTCAGCATTGCTGCTGGCATCACCCTGGACAGCCTGAGAGAGTGGCTGAAGACCAGCGAGGGCAAGACTGCGCCAGTTGTTCGTGTGATGCCAAACACGCCTGCTCTGGTTGGAGAGGGTGCATCTGGGGCCTATGCAAGCGAGGACGTCAAGGAGAACGAGAAGCAGCTTGTCGATGCACTGCTAGGTAGTGTAAGCAAGGCCACTGAGTGGGTAGAGAAGGAGGAGCTGCTCGACGTTGTCACCGGATTATCTGGTAAGTTGCCCATATGCATTGTCGTGAAGGATTTGGCTAACACGAGCATCAGGTTCTGGACCCGCATATTTCTTCGCCATGGTCGAACACCTCATCGCTAGTGCAACTGCTCTGGGACTTCCAAAGGAGCAGGCTACTCGACTGGCCAAGCAGACATGCCTGGGAGCCGGTCAAATGCTTGTTTCATCTTCAGAAGAGCCAGCCCAGCTACGCAAGAATGTCACAAGCCCCAATGGAACGACTTATGCTGCTTTACAGAGTTTTGAGTCATCGGGCTTTGCCGAGATTGTTAACAAGGCTGTCAAGGCCGCCACAGATCGATCTGCCGAATTGGGAAAGTCATAGATGGAAAAGATAAGAGATAATAAAAGCTATCTTGACTTCATTTCTCAGGGTATTGAGTGAGAACTCTTAGGAATCAAACAAAAACGAAGCAACCTCATTAATAAACGCTGAGGATCAAATCAAACCAGTAAATATCAGTGACTCCCCTTCTCAGCCTTATCCTCATGGCTCGAGGTCTGGGTAGAAATACGGCGACCAACAACATCCTCGTAATCTGCCACAACTAAATCTTGCTATAATCGTCTGTTAGAAACAATGGTCATTGATTAACGTAGGATGGATCTCAAGCTTCACTTACCGGACCCAAAAACGTTTTGCCAAACAAAAACCAGTATCCCGCAACGACTATCGCCCAAATGCCAATCACAGCGCATACATAATCTGCTGATGGTCATTATGCTGTTCTCAATACTGCGAGCCAATATGAACACTTACTCATAGTATTCGTGGTGGCGGGAAGTGACGTAGGAAAGCAGAAGAACTGTACACGGCGTTAGTTGACTGATTTAGAACTTGCTGATTAGTTCCAACTTACAATCGAAGTAATAACCACGTAGAGTGCTCCAATAACATTCAAGATGTAACCAAAGACTCTACCCAACTTGAAATGAGTCTTTGGAGTCTGGTAAAGGTCAAGCACCTTGCGTCCACGGATGAGGAGGACAATGATGGGAACCGAGTAAGAGACGTTCAAGAAAATGGTGCAAGACGCGACGTATGCGCTGAAAGCTACTGCCGGTCCTAGATATAGAAGACCAAACAGGATGTTGAAGACGAAGCAGAACATGATGGTTCGGACTGGCACGTTCAAGCCAGCCTGAATATGAGCAAAGTAATTGTGAAACACGATGCCACGGTCACGAGCCATGGCGTAAAGCAGTCTGCTGACACTTGTGATACTGGCATTTGTGCCGTTGATGAAGCACACAGCGAGCATTAAGCTGAGAATGGTGGCGGCAGCTCGGCTCTTCGTGGCCTGAAGGATGAGTTCGACAATAGGCATACCTGTCGATGTGGCAAGGACAGTCTCGGCGTCGACAAGGCAGAAAAGGATGACTAGAATGAAACCGAAACCCCTGAGAGCAGTGTGTTAGTCATGTTTCGAGGTTATATACGATTAAGATGATGGCATTCGACTTACGTGACACCACCAATGACAATGGAGTACATCATAGCTCTTGGGGCATCCCTAGATGGATTTGGCATCTCCTCTGTCATGTGGAGAACGACATCGAATGCAATGAGAGAGAGAGCGGACTGCAATAGGCCCAAGATCCAGGCCATGCCGTCGGACCAACCAGTCTCATTGTTGAAGTCTGTAAAGACAAACTCTGCGCTAGTCTTGTCTGACATGGAGAGCAGAACAATGCTGATGATGACGAATCCAAAGATGGACCAGTACACTATGTTGATGCATTAGCCATCAGGTTGAAAAAGCCTTGTTGAAGCACTTTATTGACTCGACTTACAAGCAGCATCGTTCCATCTGCCTAGGATCCTGTTACCCCAGATATTTGCCACAGTCGTAAAGACGAGGATGGCAACAAATATTCCGTAAGTCTTCGCCGCGGTGATTTGATAGGATCCGTTCGAGGCCACAACTGCTGCGGCAGAAATAAACTGGGCTGTGTCATCTCAGATTAGCAGTGTCCGTGTAAGTCGGGTGGTGAAGTTTGATTCTTACATCCGAAATAGTCCTGTACAGTTACAACGACAAGCCAGCCTACAATATTGGCCCATCCGACTACAAAGCTCTGGAATAGTATTGGTGGTTAGAGTACAAGATGCAAGATGCAAGACTGCTAGGATTGGAAATTGAGTCGCACAACTCACCATTGGCTTTCTCCATCGTTCTGTGCAGAGGGCGTATACAAAGTGGTACTGTCCTCCGGCGGTTGGCCAGATGGCACTGAGCTCTCCAAGGCTTGCGGCTACGCAAAAGCAGCACATGACACAGAAGATGAATCCATATAATAGAGCCACGGAGCTGCCGGAGGGCAAGACAAGGCCTATTGAACCGGCAAGTGCTATCCATGTGCTATGTAGTTTGTTGATCATTAGCCATCTTGTATCATTCAATTAAAGGTAAAGACATGATGAACGTACTTGAGAATGGCAAAAGCCATGGCCATTGTTGATAGAGTTGACAACCGGGGCTGAAGAGCCCCGTCACCCGCTGCAGCGGCATTGGACCCGAAAAGCGCCATTGTTGCATAAACCAGGCGAAAGTGTAGATGAGGAAAAAGAAAAAGACAAAGAATGAATAGCAAGAAATTCGAGGCGGTGATGGGCCTGATTTGTATTCACCGATTGCCTTGAGTTCTCGGTCAAGAAAGCGGGCTCTCTGGAAACCGCGGAAAGGACATTATAGCCGTGTCTCGTGCGTCCCTATTTCATTAAAGGCTTTGGCCGATTGTCATAGTTTGGCTAGCCGGGTTATCTCGCAGCAATGTCCTTTGATATCGGTAGAGCAAATGTTGAGGCTTGTTCAGTGACAGTCGGTGGCGATGAAGCCTCAGTTGTCTCGAACAAGTTGATACGAAGCGTGGGAGAGTATCCCAAACAGGCAATTTCCCGAGAAACTCGAAAGTGCTTCCCCAGATCAATTCAGACAAGCCACTAAAAAACGCGGGGTAGAAGGGTGCTATCTAGATAAGTCCCTGAAGAATCGAGAACTGATCACGGCCCTTTTCTCAGAATCTTGCCTAAATAGGATAAAATGAGTATGTTGGTTGAACGGAAAAGATAGCAAGTGTGGTCCTATCGCTGCGGTCCGGATAGCCTCAAGACAGCTGTGGATAAGGCCTAGATAGCGTGGGGAAGATCCGTACCGAGCTCTCAGCTAATATTCTGCAGGCGGAGCTGCGCGTGGAGCGCGGACCGAGACGTTATTTCTCTTCCCGTTGTCTGGATAAGATGGTGACACGCGGAGATCTGTTTATGCGGCTCTGAATGATGTGGAGGGCGCCACAACCAGGCCTAGAACCGAGAGCTTCTTGTTGGACTTTTGTTGGTGGTGAAGAAAGATGACATAGAAGCCCCCTACGCGTGCGCTGAGGGTTGCTTTTATACATGCTAGCAGTCACTCTTATATGCACATACATAAGCAAACACCCCGGGCGCGCGTGCTTCAGGGGCCGGAGAAGATAAGAGCTGCAGTTACTGGCCGCTGTCAACCAACGCCATGTTGCATTGAGGCTATTCTTGGAGTTGACTCCGTCTTATCGGCAGATACAGCTGCTATCTACAAGCTATCTCCAGTATCTTGTTCCCTGACGCTGAAACGAGGCTCGGTTTATGATTCAGTATCTGGGGAAGTGGATCAATCCGCTCCACCAACAGCTTGTGGATTCATTCTTGTGAACGATAGATAGTAGATGATAACTTTTAGCTGTATCGTAATTGGTGTTGCGCTTGCTACAGTTCTTTTTACTGAGTGGACCGCCGTCTATCTTTTTGGTACGGAATGCCGGCCCGCCTACCACATTGGGCAATTCTATGAGAAGGCAGCGAGTGGCAGCACTTTGGCATTTTGACCCCTCTGGAGCAGGGCGCCGATTCTCAAAATATTGCCACTTGAGGCGAAATCTAGAGCCAGTCTGAACGATTTATGGCCCGACATTGAGTTTTCTCGAGGATCGTCCAAAATAGTTTACACAGACGTATGTATTAATAGCTGAAGCGCGCCCTGAGCTTTGCAGAAATGTGTAAATCGCGCCGGACTGTGCTATTCGCTCGCAACTTGCCTCCTATCCTTCCGTGATCGCAGCACTCAATGACATCCAAGGACGGCTACTCGTGGACAAAAGCCCAAGGCCTCCGGGCTGGGGTTCCATCTATTGGTGTCATTGAACCACCCTCAAATGTCAAGAGCACCGATACAGTCTACGATGTTATTGTTGTAGGCGCGGGCTATTGTGGCCTCACAGCAGCTCGTGATGCTAGCTTAGCAGGTAATATCATCTCAAGTCAAACCATCATGAAGAAACAAACGATGAGAGAAATCTGACATTTTTCTTTTTCCAATTAGGCCTGAAAGTGCTGCTACTTGAAGCCCGCGACAGAATCGGCGGTCGATCGTGGTCATCCAACATTGAGGGATACCCGTACGAAATGGGCGGCACATGGGTATACTGGGGACAAGCCAACGTGTGGCGCGAGATTGCGAGATACGGCATGCAGGATGAACTCGAGATTTCTTACGACTTTTCCAGAGGAATCAATAAATATTTACTATCAACACCACAAGGCGTACAGAGTTTCAGCCACGAAGAAGAGGTAATGCAAACATAGCTTTTGTTCTGCCGCTGGATTGCTATAGCCGTAGAAGACAATTTCAAAGGAAGCTAACAATGACCAGGATGAACTCATGCAATCATCGCTTGCCAAACTCGTCAACGTCGATGGATGCTATGGTCGAAACGTTGTCCCTTTCCCTCACAGCGGAGTTCTCAGCCCCGAAGCTCGCAAGTACGACCACATGTCCGTCGCCGACCGGATTGCAGAAATAAAAAACGACCTCACTCCTAACGAGCGCCTCTGCGCAGAAGCATTCGTCCTGTTGTGCAGCGGAGGCACTCTTGAGACGACGAGTTTCTACGAGTTCCTCCACTGGTGGGCACTCAGCGGCTACTCTTACGAGGGATGCATTGACTACCTCGTCAAGTACAAGTTCCGCGGTGGCCAGTCGTCATTTGCGATCCGGTTCTTCCGCGAGGCCCTGGCCTCTGGAAACTTGACTTATTCTTTCAACAGTCCTGTTGCAAGCGTCCAGCATGGAGACGAGAGCGTTCAGATCACGACACGTGCTGGCAAGACTTTCCGGGGAACCAAGATGATCTGTGCTATTCCCTTGAATGTCCTGAATGATGTCAAGTTTGATCCACCCTTGGCGACGGGGAGAAAAGCAGCCGCCACCACTGGCCACGTCAACCAATGCGTCAAGGTTCATGCTGAAATCAGTGATCGAGATCTTCGTTCGTTTACGGGCATCAGCTATCCGCACAACGGGCTCATCTACGGCTTTGGCGATGGGACAACGCCGGCTGGTAATACGCATGTTGTAGCCTTTGGTGGACAGCACAATCACTTCCATCCGGAAGAAAACGTTGATCACACCAAGGCCGCGTTCGAAGGCTTCGCACCTATGAGTATCGAGAGATTGGTCTTCCACAACTGGTCCAAGGATGAGTTTGCAAAAGGAGCCTGGTAAGCACTGAATTCTCTCCTCCTTTTCTCCTTTGTTTGAGTCGAGCCTATTGCTAACGTTGTGATTTGTAAATAAAGGTTCTTCCCAGCACCGGGCTTGATATCCACACATTTGAAGGATATGAGAGCAAGAGAGCACAACATTGTATTCGCATGTTCCGACTGGGCACTGGGATGGCGTAGCTTTATAGACGGTGCTATTGAAGAGGGAACCCGCGCTGCCATTACTGTACGAGCCGATTTCGCTGGTCGATCCAAGCTATAGCAGAGGCATGCGGGCGGGTGGCTGTAGAATAGCGGAGGCACGGGCTGTAAAAAGCCGAATGTACAAATAAGATTTGCATATAGCGAGAAATATTGCATGCGTTGATGGCGTTATATATCTTCACATGATTAAGATTGGGCGGTGTCGGGTCACGACTTGGGTCCATCTCTGAGAGCCTTGATTCGCCCATATGTGCTCAAGAGTCTGGACGGCAATGGGAATGGTTCCAAAGTGGGTGCAGCTGTAGAGGCTTTGGAGTCGATGTGAGAAGAATTCTCGATGCTCGGGTGTGATGCTCTCTGCAGCAGCCACAAAATATGTCCAAACCAAAGCGTGGGACCCATCAACGCTTGGGTCTAGATCGAGAACCGTCTCTCGGAGCCGTTCTACTGATTTGATAGACTCTTCGTCGGTGATGAGGTGGAGGGCGCGATTTCGGTACAAGTCGCAGGCCTGCCGAATGGCTTCCTTCATGACAGAAACATTGGCATATTGCTCCGGGTCTTGGTTGAGTGATGGACTTGAAGACATAAAGTCCAGGTAATAGTCGGGGCGTTTTGACAACATTTGCAGTCCTTTGGTTTCACTGGACAGCGGAAATCCAAAGAGTTCGAACCTGGGAGTTTTGATGCGTCAGCTTACGCTTGTATTGCACAGGAAAATTACTCTGAACAACTTACATTCGTGTTTGCTCTCTGATGAATTCCCTTGTAGTCATTGATAGAGCGTCTACCGAATCGGACATCTTTGCCAGATTTGAAAGAATCTCCAGCAGATGCACGTAGTTGTTCGCGCCCGTAATCGTGTCCCCCACAAGCAAAACTAGAATGGTCGCCCATGTGGAGAGGCTGAAAAGTCTCTTTGGCTCGAGTTGAAGCGAGTCGCGGAATAATTTCGATAAAATTGCTTGTTGGCCTACTTCGGCTGCCATTCGCATATGCGGCGCCTGTTGCGATAGGTGGAAAGCTGCAATAACGGAGATGGCCTGACCAACAAGCTCATCTTCGCATGCTAGAGGAAGCAAGATGTTGCGATAGCCGTTGCCACTAAAGTCAAAGACGACCATTTTGGGTGCGATGGTCTCTGAAACTGCAATGCGAGGAGATTGTGGTCAGTCAATCCCTTTCAATGGAGCTAGTTTGTGCAAAATAGATGGAGAAGCATCAGCTTACAATAGTTGAAGAACTGTCTGGCTTGGGGAGATAGAGCTTGAAGAGCAGTCTGCGGGCGGGAGAGTTGCATCTCTCTTGACGGAACTTCTTCCACGTCATCTTCCAAGCTCTCGGCCGAAGAATCTGTGTCAGATGCGGGTATGTTGGGAAGAGCAGGGCCAACGATGGGGCGTTTATTTGAAGTCTTGGATGCGGTGGTGGAAGCTCGGCGAGAAGCCAGTCGCGCTGTATCCGACGATCCTGGCTGTTTGCTGTTTACAGTGACCCATCGTAGTCGATTTGGGGCACGCAGCGAGGCTTTAGGACCATCTGCAGCAGTGCGAGTTGCGGGTTGTGAGGGCCGTGGCGAGCTGCCGTATTTCATGTGGGAGCTGAAGCGGCACTCGATACCCTGGCCCGAGCACTTGATCCCCTTTTTATAGCACTTGAAGCATTCGGGCTCCGTCTTGTCGCAGCGCACTCGGCGCGTGCGACACTCGAGACAACCTTGTCCAGAGTTAAATTTCACGCGTTGAGGATTGGCGAAAGCGCTTTACAAGGAGCGTATCACGTACCGTCGTTTCTCTTTGCGAGCGACATGATGACGCGGGTGGCATCAAACTGGCCGTGTCTGCTACGGGAGCACGCCGGGAACAGTGGCAATTTTTCAAAACCAGCTGCTCCCACCGCGCAATTGTCTGCAGCAGTTGTTAGGAGCTGAAGGGTGGGCTGTCTGATGCAGATGCAGCTACATGTATGCAGCTCGATGCGGCCTGTGACAATGACGGCAGGGCGAGCTCCAGACTGGCGGATCAGATCAGATCAGGGCAGCTTGACAGGGGCGAACTCGGCCCTTGATGGAGGGTCACGAAATACGGAGAACGAGGCACGGACTGCGGCGTCGAGATGGAGGAATGCGGAGACGCCTTTGCTTGCGGAGGGCCGTCAAGTCCGATAGTGCTAGTCCCAAATCACAAAGGTTAAGATTCGGCTCTTCTCAGCCGCGGCTTGATAGATGGCAACGCTGGCGCATCGGCATTAAAGGCAGCTCATGGGTTGTGGACTTGTAGACACTAGTACTGCGACTAGAGACATGTGGGTTGTAGAGTATGTTACTGGGTAGTAGCTTGTGCTAGTTGTTGTCTTATCGTAAAATAAACAGAAAAGGAGAGAGATCTTACAGGTCATAAATCTGCAAGTTTCACGAGGGGCCAAGTACAAGTGGTGTAGCATAAGAAACCGCTCTGCATTCATCTCCCGCACGTTACATAGCCTAGTTGCTGAGAAGGGGTCCTCTGTTAATACAGGTAATCCATCCCCTCTATGTCGTGTATACGTTGGTGATGGGACCCAGCCACGATTCATAATCTTCAGGGGCCGTGCCATTGTTTCCATAGCGCAAAACGCGCAGCAATGGCCGGAAAGCTCCAGACGTGATGTTGAAGTCCGTGCCGTTCTCGTACATGAAAAGCGGCCATTCCAAGATGAAGCCACTTACAACGTTCGGGTTGGGCCAAGCTACAACGGTCCGGGGGTCTATTCCAGGAGGGATGTCGCCAATACCCCACACGGACAAGACCCCATACGTTGGAACGCCCAGGAAGCCCTCATATAGTGGTACATCTACATCTGAAACATCAAACTTGACAGACGGATCAAAGCCGTAAAATGTCGGCACAAAACTGGTATTCACAGGCACAGCATCCAGGCGAACCAGGTTGGTGGGCTGCACGACGGTAAAGCCAGTGACGGGCACAAGCAGGTCGGCTGGTACTGAGCCATCGCGGCCCAAGATGCTGTAATTGCCGATGTTGACTTCACCCGGCTCTGTTACATCTGACCCCACGAATGGTGTGTCGTTTCCTACCCATGCCGTCGTATTATGCCCAAGGTAATCCACATCATTTCTGGTATACGGCACACCAAGATATGGCACGACGTAGCTGCTGCTGTCGGTAGCAATCTTGACATAGCCTGAGTAAACAGGCTCTGACTCTGGGTGAGGTTCGTCGGGAGCCGTAAACTGAACCTCTACCGTCGTTGACTGACCAGGCTGTAGGGATAGCCTCGACTTGGAAAATTGAGCGGTAGCGTATTTCGCCTCGTGGCCGAGAGTGAATCTCAGGAATGACGCTTCCGTCCCTCCCGTGAAATTAGTCAAAGTGCGGATATATGAAGCACCCGAATGGGAGATGGAATAGGTCTTGGCTTTCTTGGAGGTATTTTTGATAGTGATGGATTGCTTTGCTGGCTTTGGCGAGTCGAGCAAACTCAGCTGAGACGGCGATATCTGAGAGTCGGCAGCAACTGCTGCATACGCATTAATTAATCCACCTCCTTGCTGTGTGACGGAAGAAATAATGTTCAGATTTTGTGCTTTCATGGGCACTGCGGTTGACTGCATAAGAGAAGTGATCTCCGCGATGCTGAGTTTTGGCGATTGAGACTTGATCAAGGCATAAACTCCAGCAGTAAAGGGCGTAGCCATTGAGGTACCTGACAACACGGCATAGCCTCCGGCTGAAAGCGGGAATGTTGAGAGAATATTTCCTCCTGGAGAAGAAAGCTGGGGCTTTACTGTCATCTCAACCGTCGGACCGATGGAAGAGAAATAGTCAATGGTGTGGCCAGCTGGATTAGGCAAGTCTTGAACAACAGAAGACTTGAAGCTCAGCGTGTACTTTTTACCAGAACCAAGACTGGCAATATCCTTGACAATCTGTTGCGATTGGTCATATGCAAGGAAGAGAATATTGAATGGATCCGTTGTCCCCGGCTCGTCCAGGAGAATCGGAGTGTTTGGGTCATCGGTGTAGTATATGACAGTTGTCACGTTTAGTGCCAACAGCTGATCTGAATAAGTCCCAAGCCCACAGTATATCGTATTGTAGATCAAAACCGCCGTGTGTGCTCCATCTGTAATGGCACTCTGTGCGGCTGTCCATACGCTGGGATCACACCCACCGGTCTGCTCCTCCGTGATAGGTATGTCTAGCCCACTGCCAGCCTCGAAAATGGTAATGGGCTGGTCAGAGATGAAGGGTAAGACTGAAATGTACTCCAAAGCCTTGCCGAGATTGTTTTCTGCCTTGTAAATGGTTGGATAGATTTCGCTCTCTGCAGAGCCCACTGCCAAAACTTCCGGAGCCAAGCCTGGAGCTGATACTGCGTACGGGCCAAGGTCGCCGTCGTTTCCAAGAGCAGCAACAATTGCTACACCACTTTCCACAATACTCTGAGCCAGTGGAACATACGGTGATGCCTGTTCCCAGTATGTGAGGCCGCCGAGCGACATTGAGATGACATCGACGCCATCCTCTGCGGCTTGCTGCATAGCTGCCATGATGACATCGTCGCCAGAGTCACCCTCGCATCCAAACACCCTGTACATGCCGAGACTTGCTTCAGGAGCTACCCCAACAAGGCCAAATCCTTGGTTGGCGGCGTCAGTCATTCCAATAATACCTATACCAAGTGTTAGCTGTATCCTGATATACTTGAGATGAAGGCTGCCAACTCCTTACCCGCTACATGGGTGCCGTGTCCTCCAGTCGCACATGAAGCCAATGGATCACTGTCTGGAACTGGCGTATTATATCCGGTATAATCATCTCCAACAAAGTCGTAGCCAAAAGATACCTTGTACCCAGGCCCAAATCCGCCTCCAAGAGAAGGATGAAGATAATCCACTCCGGTGTCAATGATGCCAATCTTTACACCTTTGCCTTTGATTCCTTGGCTGTGTACTTTATCTACACCAGCCATCTTGAGTGGTCTATTAACATCCGAACTGCCCTTGATATGCGGCAGAGTGCCATTGCTTAGCGGTGCTGGCGGAGCGGCAACAAAGGGATTTGGCCGCGGCACAACTCGAACCGGCCAGACATTTTTGACGCCGCTGACCTTGAGCAGATCAGCTTTGTGAGATGCATCATCCGCTAGGGTCAGAGATAGCCCGTAGAAATATTTGGCACTGTTGAACTCTTTGCGGACTTGATACTTTATTTTTCCACCCTGCTTCTGAGCAAATCGAGCCGCGGCATTGATGCCAGAGGCTTGGTCAAGCTCCACGATATAGGTGTTGGGAATGTATGTGGTGTTCGGAGCCGTACTTTGGCTCGATCTTAGATATCCATCTCCGCCAACTTCCGGCTTCGATACTACAGCAACGGGCAAGCCGAGAAAGAGGATATTAATGAGCTCAGCCTTGAACCACATTTTCGTGAGATGGCCGATGGTAGTCTCTATCCATGACTACTTGGTAGGGCGTTGAGTAGAATTGACTCCTTATATAGGTACCTGTGTCTACGCTCTATGCAATCACAATCGCACAATAGGGACGCGGGGTCGATGCAAGAATATGGCGATCAAAGATAACTATCTGTAGGCCTCAAATAGGAAGGTGAATGGATTTAGTGCCGCTATCCGACCAGATTTCTCATCAAAGTATGTTCAAAAGCGCGTTGAGTGGTCAAGGAATACGAGATGTGACATCGCGATCAATACTTGCATCATATATTCTCCGATCAGTCCATATTCTATAGCCAACTGGACCATTTGGTATTTGCCCGCTTTGCTAGAATAGGATAATAAAAGGACTATTCGATTCCCAATTGGGCTACGGATGTATCGTTATCGTATCAATCGCGGTTGATATAGTATGCTTGGTGAATGATACAATTGCTTACTCAAATAGCCGAATCATTGCCTCAGCACACCAAACCGCGGTAAAATGGCATTGTGATTGGCTTTAGCAATGGTAGGATGTCCATATGTTATCCATTGGGTATAAGCGGTGAGTATCTAAGAGTGCATTTGTGAAGACGGTTTTCAGGTGACACTCTTTGCAGTTGCCTAACTGAATCATAGGAATGCTTTGCATAGGCTGTTACTGTCTCGAGAGTACTATCTCAAGAGAAGAAAAGACATACCGCAAACAAATAACGGCTGCACCAATTATTTAATTCAGTCGTTAAAATTAACCCAGAGCTGCTATGTAGAGCTCCTGAAGACAATTTTCACGTTCTAGACCTCTATCATCCAATGTCATTCATGTCGGATCTTAGAAGCACCGATATCCGAACTTCGTGCCTAAAACTCATCCATCATAGCGTGGAGGGGGAAAGAGTCTTGTTTTCCTCGATGAACTAATGAGAAATAAATTTTCTCAAATTGTTTTATGTCAAGCGGCCGGATTCAAAGATATATCCATGATACTCTTCGCAAAACGAAATATTTCACCTCAGCGCCTTCATACTTGGACAAATCTCAAATCTGAGACGGATATCCAGTGAAGCTCTGGGATTGTGCGGGTTTGTAGAAGGTAAGTTTACATAACTGGCTCAGTAGAGATGAACGATGAATCGGCTCTGGAGCGGTGGAAGCGCTTCACCTATGTGGATAATCTCCCAGAAGACATTGGCCCTTTTCGGAAGCTGCTAGAAGAATATAGCAACATACCACCTGAGGAAGTTGACGGCTTACTTCTTAGAACGGTAAGGAGTGCGTCGATTCGTTATCCTAGATGGAAATGACCTTCTAATGTCTTTCGGCAGCGTGAGAGACTCTGGGAAGTGGCCATGTACCCGTGCATTGGCCGATGGAGCTTTCTCAACCTACAAAGTGTACGCGACCCTCATTTCTACACTGTAGTCGAGCGGTTGAGACGCTCGGCTGATTCTGGTGCCGCATCAAGCTACCCAGAGGCGCTCCTTGATATTGGGTGCTGCGTTGGCCAGCTACTGCGAAAGCTGGTGCAAGATGGAATCGACCCGACGCGCCTCTTTGGTACAGACTTGCACCCTGAATTTATTTCCATTGGCGCAGAGCTATTCCGCGATGAAGCCAGCGGGTTGACTTTTGCGGCCGGCGATATGTTGAATCCCGACGATGAGGCTCTCGGCATTTTAAACGGCAAAATCACGCTTGTGCATGCTGGGAATTTCTTCCATTTATTCACGTGGGAAGAGCAAGTTGTCATCGGAATGCGAATAGTGCGCTTCATGCATCCAGAAACCGTTGATGCAATAATCTTCGGCAGACAGATTGGGACCCACAGTCCACGAGAGAGGCAGGGAAGAAGAAAGTCATTCTTACATAACGAGGAAAGCCTGCAGAGACTGTGGAACGAGGTTGGGGCGAAAACGGGGACTCGTTGGCGCGTGTCGATGGATATTAACGAAGAGAAAATGGTTGACATTCCTGGATTTGGAGAAGAGGATAGATACGTCCGTTTTGGCATATATCAATTTCCAATAGAGAAGAAGGGCTAGCTTCGGCGGAAATATGAGGAAAGGCAGTCGTGTTATTTGTTGAGATAGAATAGTGATTGCGGGTTTAATCGTGACTCATCTTCTCAACTGGAAGACGCCGAAATCCAGTCCGATATACGGTCCATGGTAACGGAGACTTTGCTTGCTAAATTATGGCGATCAGCTAGCTTAGGTGTCTGTTGCTCTCTAACTTGATGTGTTGCTTTCAAACTATAGGTCTCGCTTTCTATCTAAAGGCCCACGCTACATATAATTTCCCTACATTCAAGTCAGTGCGTGTAGTTGCTGTGTACTCTGCACTAGAAGGGCCGCATCAACAGATGGAAGATAAAGCTGGCTTTAAAGTTGCTTGTAGATGCAGGCGTATCGTCGTTTTACATGTCATGCCTTATCGAGTACAACACACTTTGCATGTAATGCTACAAGTGGAAAGACGCCACAAAAAAGGCTTCCACTGTTCTGCGTAGTTTGTTTAGCGCTCAAAGCAGATCGATCAATTTCCCCGGTTCTGCGCCCTTCGGCTTGTAGGGCGTTCCATGACATTGGGAGCCTGGAGATAGCTGGCCCACTTAGGATGCTTGAATCAAGCAGTCCGTCTCTAGCCGTTGTGAACAGATGCTGGCAAAAAGTATTTATCTGTGCTCCATGTTCTTTATTTGAGTTGCTGTAGATACTGTCCAAACCTGCATTTAAACATAATTTTCAACTCCGAATATTCAAGCAGCCATGAAGACAGTCGGGATCATTGGCGGCAGCACCGACCTGGCCACGGCCGAATACTACAAGCTGATAAATGCCCACATCCGCTCAAAACTGGGCGGGTTCCACACTGGCGAAATCATTATTAACTCAATGAATTTTGAGCGCAGCGCTCATTTTGTGACCAACGACCTTTGGGATGAGGGAGCAGAGTACTTGCATGGAAAGGCGCTCAGTTTGGAGAGAGCCGGAGCCGATTTCATCATCTGCGTTTCGAATACTTGGCACAAGGTTTCAGAAGCGTTCATGAAGGATATCAAGATCCCCCTCTATCACATTGTCGATCCCACGGCTCAGTCAATCTTGGACCAAAAACTACAAACCGTCGCCTTGCTGGGTACTAAAGCTACGATGGCGTCAACTTACTTGCCCAACGAATTCTTAACCCGCTTTGGAATAAACGTCATTGTGCCCACGGAAGAAGAGCAGAAATATGTGGACGACGTGATTTTCAACGAACTCGCCAAATCACAATTCACCGAGGAATCTAGACAGGGATACCTCAAAATCGTCGACAGCTTGGTTTCTCGAGGAGCTCAGGGCGTTATTTTGGGCTGCACAGAGATCCCGTTGCTCATTGAACAGAAGGATCGGCCAAATATTCCGATGTTTAATACTTTGGAACTGCACGCTAGAGGTGCTGCAGAGAAAGCATTGTCCGATTGAAAGAAGAAATAAAAGATAATTAAAACATCATAATAAATCTGAGCGTCAGTTCTTTAGTTGTTGAAATATGACTTGGAAACTCTAAAAAATAGCTATAAAGTGTGTATGGACGACTGTTATGAAGAATTGGAGAGCAAGTTTTCATTCTGTAAATAAAGCCACTCCGCGCTATAAATCTACGTCGCATCTGAGCAGTTTCTGTATATTTCATGAGAACATCATGAGAACGCCAAGAGAACGAGTTTATCAAACCTTCTCTTCATGATCGACATCGGCTCGCTGCTTGGCCTCCTCAAGTCCTCCCATCTCCTTCACACGAACTACTTTCTCTTCAAACGTGCTCACAGCGCTTGCACTGCGCCATGCGGGAATATTCCCATCGAAGAGCACGTCAATTTCTTCGAGCGACTTCTTCACCGTTTCGGGATACATGAAGTAAACGTGGAACACCATAGCTATGCAGAACGTGCCGAATATCATGTACGCTTTCCACTGGATATTTGTGAACGCAGGAGGGACAAAGAATGCCAAAGCCAGGTTGAAACTGCCACAGATGTTAGTACAATTGATCTTTGGGTAAACAGCAGACATCGAATGGCGGCCACATACGCCCAGTTACCTGCGGCCGCTAGGCCAACGCCCTTTGCGCGATACTTCAATGGAAAGACTTCTCCGCAGTAAATCCATGCTCCTGGAGCCCATGTAATTCCTAGATAAAGAGTCAGCCAGTTGCACATATAGCAATATGCGAGGAAGTAATCAAGCGTTTCCCCATACCATCTATTCATTATGTTAGCTGTAGTTTTTGCTGCCTGATGGGGTAAATGTTTGACTTACAAACTCCAACAAAGATATAACAAAGAGCAATGACGGCTTTAGCTGGAGGGCCACTGATCTGCCACTTGAGTATATCAATCCCTGCATCGTCGATTAGTTAAGATTGTTGAAAGGGAAAGGTTGCGCGCCTACCATCTACACTATCCACATGATGTCCATAGACAGCCATTACGGCACCGACAGTGAAATGAATAACACCACATATGATCGCTCCAACAATGAGCAGCCATCGGCGGCCCATACGATCGATGACAAAAAGAACTCCTCCGGTAGTTACGAGGAAAATGACGTATTGGATGATGGACGATGTAAGAGCGGCATTCCCCGACTGTTTCATTGGTTAATAAAAGATTTCGGTGGTATGGGGAGGTGTGGAAGGCTCACCATGCCAGCCATGTTGAAGATGTAAACAAGATAATAGAGCATAACATTGCCGCCGAGAAGTTGCTGCCAAACCTGTGCACTGACACCGACCAGTGTTCGCTTCCACATCTTGGGAGCGAATAAGCCCAAGTAGCCGATCTCTTTTGACTCAGCAGCAATCCTCGCCGCTTCCCTAACCTCCTCAAGCTCAGCAAGGACCTCGATATTACTTCGGTCGCCTTTGGCATGCAGATTTGCCAGGATTTCGTGACATTCTTCCCAGCGATCCTTGGATGCGAGCCACCTGGGAGATTCTGGGAAGAAGAAGAGGGAAACAAATAGAATTGCTCCAGGTACGGCTTGCAGGCCCCATGCTATTCGGAAAGCTGCCGGTTTTTGGATAGAAACAGAACAGCCGTAAGAAATAAGGTACATGATCAGAATACCTAAACCTTGTTTTAGCTGCCTGTCCATTAGAGTCATTATAAACGCAGAATCAGCTCTTACCCCAGTCAATAGACCACTGTTGAATGCCAACAACTCGGCCGCGAATACGAGAAGGAGCAAGCTCGGAAAGATAGACGATGCACTGAGAACTAGTTATGCCGATTGCAAGCCCACTGACAATGCGGCCCACTACGAGGTGAGCCACATTTTGAGAAGAGCACTGCAGCACAGCACCTATAATCCAGTCCACAGAAGCAATTTGGATGGCTAATCGGCGACCCAGGCGATCAGCAAGCCATCCAGATAAGAGAGATCCAATAAATGATCCAGCGGACATGGACGCAGTGATGCCGCCTTGCTGAGATGACCCTGGGTGGTTGAAGTAGTCGAGATATTGTTCAGAGCCAATCCAAGCACTCATGGAGCTGATCTCGAAGCCGAAGATCATGCCACCAATGGTGCCAAAGGCAGCAAGAACTATGAGGAAGCCGTATCAGTAGCGGTATTTGATGATATTGGATTCATTAAGACCGATGGGCAGCAGTTTGAAAGACCATGCGTACCGTAGATGTTCCAAATGCGATACATCTTGACAGGTTTTCCACATAGGTGAACTCTTCACTGCTGTCTAAACTTTCTGGACAGCCCACCCAGTACGATTCGGGCAGAAGCTCAACATGTCTACGGTATGAAGTTCTTATAACTTGTCAAGTAATCGATGGATAGCGAACAACAGATGTAATGGTGGAGCCTTTACCGGCGCGGTTATAGAAGCGCACGTATTAGCATCAAGAAACTGCTTCTGGAGAATATCTATACATGTACAATGCTTCTTAAAACAAGCCAAGATCTGCGAGATACTCGGAGAAATGGAGACTTTAATGGGCTGTCAGTCTCCACATTCTCCGGCATGTAAGAAAGGCATATAGGCCTCAAGATCGTCATGCATGGCATCTGAGCTTGGTATAGTCAATGGAGTAATTCGTACACCATCTTCGGCATCGGAAATTTTAGAAAAAGGTAAAGAAGACGAGATAGGTATATGAAGAGCGTATACAAGCAAGTTGATTATATCCTTCTATAAGGAGGCATGATCCATCGTTTACAAGTACCAAGGACATGGCTCTACGGTCGACGGTTATATTCTTAGCTGTGAGCTGAGGCCACAGCTCTTCCGAAGCAGGGATATGATTCTTTATCGCCTGATCATCAGGAGATGTTGTTCAAAGGCATGCGCGTGGTACTGCATATTTACTATAGGTACATGTGCTGACTGTGACCTATTAGTTCAGACATTTCGGAGATCTACAAGCAAACCGTTGTGCATACCATCGTTGCTTTTAGCCTAATTTCATGGCTGTATATTAGCCTGCAACCAACAACTGACTCAATCGGCTGCAGCTATAGCGAGCCCGATTGCCCAAGCTTGCCAAGTGAATTCTCCGCACTACTCCCCCACATTAGTGCTACAGCTCGGATTGACAAGAGGGTCTACGGTTGAAACTGTCGTCATTGGCACGGATTGAAGGTTCATTGGTCTCGTACAAGTAGCTCTCCTAGATCCTTTATGCTGCGGAATTGATTGTGAGATACATGAGCCTCATGCAACATAAAACTCGTAGTGGCGCGCTGACTATGCGACTCGGGCCAGATAGAGGGATGAAGCGATTCGACGCCACTATTACAGCTGCTCACTGTATTCCTTTTGACCTTAAACACGGACGAAAATGATTTCTGGTGTTTTATTCAATTTAAAAACTGCGCAATTTGACATTATATCTTAGAATGCACGAAAAGAAAGGAAACATTATTCTCCTAGTATAAGTCTACCTTGCCTCCGCCTTGGCACATGCTCTCAATACTAGCGAGATCATTCAATGCCTCCTCTGGACCCGACCGTTTCTCTGCCTTGCCAATTTTGATAGCTTCTAGAAAAGCCTTGATCTCGAGTTCAACGCCTTTGCTGTTTACTGTCTCAGATCTACTCTCTCCAGAGACAAGGTCAAGAGTTAACACAAAGCCGCTGGGACCATCAACAATTTGGAAGCTCCCCTTAGTGCCGATGAGAGTGAGCTCTCCAGCAGACCGTAGCGAAGCAAACGACATTGAGATTGTGCCAGTTCCTCCACCGCTGAGAAGGATGCCTGCATTGAGAGTATCAAGGGGTGGGAGGTGAGGTACGACTTGGCGAGCAAACCCCTGCGTCTCAACGACTTCTTGGCCCGTAATGAAGCGGAGCAGAGCAGTTTGATGCACTCCACCGTCAAGTAAAAAGCCGCCTTGGTACTCTGGCACTTTTCTCCATGGCGTTTCGTACCATTTGCCAACTGGTGGCTGGTTGCGCCATACTCTGAGATGTGCCTGGGTAATCTCACCGATTGCCTTTTCTTCCACGATCCATTTCCGACCAAGCTCAAACTCGTGCATGAATCGAAACTGCTCGGCAATGCTGAAAATGAGTCCTTTATCTGCATATAGCTTATTGTAGTCTGCAATAAGATCGCGGGCCGTTTTCACATCTTTTGCAATCGGCTTTTCACAGAGCACATGTTTGCCAGCAGCTAAACATTGCCTAACAATGGATGGTTGAATAAGGATTGGCAAGACAATAATTACTGCGTCAATATCGCTGCGCTGAAGAAGATCATCTAGCGTATGTCCAGGCTTGTCGTCCGCGTACAGGTCAATATTGGCGACTCCAAGCTTAGTTGCTTCCGTAACAAGGGTAGAGGCGGTAGATGTAGAACGAGAATATACCGCTTTGAGGTTCGCTTTATTCGCAACGAGTGCTGGTAGATGGGCTAGTGACAGGGTCAGCATCCACGCCTCTAAGCTCTGCTAGCTACTACGTAGAAAGTACCTTCAGTAGCAAAAATGCCAGCTCCTAAAATTGCAATACCAGCCATCTAGAAAGTCAAAATGAGATACTTGGAAAGCTGCTGTAGAGTAAAAGCATGCTTTTTACGCCTGGGAAATGGCAGTGAGCGCAATACTCGATCCAGACACTGGCGGGGGAAGGCATTATATATCGCGCGAAGACTATCAGACACTTGAGGGGTTAAGAGACGCTCAGCAGTACGCTGATTGCATCTTTACTTTCCATGATAGCACGAGGTACCTTCGGCTATTGTCAAATTCGGTTTACCCGAGTCTTACTACACAATAGACTATCAGGTTCCCCGTTCAGGCCAACTTAGCCGGCCGACGCTTGAGTATTGGAGAATATTTGCTGGTTATTTCCGAACGAAAATAGCGGGTATCTCAAAAGCGAATAGAAAAGGTCGCAAAGACAACCTTTTCTCGAAAATAACGAGCCTCTGATCATTAGATAGAGTCACTGATTCCAGCCATCACCATGAACAGTTGCACCCGCAGCCACTGTGGCTGTTCCGCTGGATTAGTAATGGAATTCGATAACTCGGGACATGACGGCTCGATATCAGATCAATAGAACAAAACTTCCTAGATATGCCATTTACTCATTACTGTAGTTCGGATCTTTCTAACATCACAGTGATTGTTTAGTGATGGATAGAAGTTAATCCATGGCGTGACGCCAAAAGTTTGACGACTAATATAACTCCGCACAGTGAATTCTCCAGCTCTCTTAAGGCACTACGCAGAAAAACATTCGATTATTAAACAACAAACATCTTCAGTGCCTTCTTATTCCATAGCGTCTTGCTCAGTAATATTACAATATCAAGTGGCAGAATAATCAGTAATTACAGCCATGTAAATCTGTGAGTATAGACTATATTGACGTAGCTCTGTGCAGAAAAGGACAACCTTCTTCCATGTTGTACAAGTATCATAACCGACCGCAGGCTAACGCCACTCTCTGTGGTAGTTCCAAGCCAATAGTATCCTTAGTTTTAGATTGAAGTACTGCACTATGCCCATTCTAGATAATAGTACCCTTGTGAGTTTTGTCTGCTATAGCCCGTACTATCTTGAGGGCGTAGTAGTGCTCCATCTTCCAGCATTAAGAGTAAAACAATTTGGTATATATTGGACGTTCACGACTTGGAATCTTCCAACGTAAAATATTCTGAGTCATACTACTTCATACTTCCCTTTGAGTTGTCCTGTTCATTCAATCATCTATTAATTTCTATCCCTTATATAACGCATCTCCTGTTTCCAGCTACTACGTTTTAATAGCTTCAACTTCAACAAGACTATTATCTCGCGCTCGTCATTAACGGAACATAATATGGCGCCAATAAAATCCAACATTCTTGAATCCATTGGAAACACCTCCATCTTACAGCTTCATGCTGTGGTTCCTTCAAATGGAGTTCGCGTCCTCCTAAAAATTGAAACCACCAACCCAACAGCGAGCATGAAAGACCGCATGGCCCTTGCAATGATTACGGCTGCTGAAAATGATGGCCGTCTAAAACCCGGTGGCTCTGTTGTTGAGTATACTGGAGGTAGCACTGGCGTATCGCTGGCTTTGATCTGCGCCGTGAAGGGCTACCCGCTCCATATAGTGACATCAGACGCCTTTTCGAAAGAAAAGCTGGACCACATGAGACTCCTTGGTGCTATCTTGACCGTTATACCAAGCGACAATGGCAAGCAAACTGAAAAGCTTACCAAAGACATGATCCGGGAGGCCCGTGCCATAGCTGAAAAGACTGGAGCCTTCATCACGGCTCAGATGGACAATACGGACCAACTTTCGGCTTACACAAAGCTAGCCGATGAGATATATGAGCAAACAGAGGGCCAAATCGATGCTTTCGTGCAGGGCGTTGGATCAGGCGCGTGTCTTCGGGGCACATCAGAGCGCTTACGCCAGCTTGACAGCAAAATCCGCTTTGTCGCAGTCGAGCCCGCTGAATCGGCTGTTTTAGCAGGTGGCGTGTCTGGATCCCATAACATTGACGGCATGGGGCCTGGATATGTTACGCCAATGTGGAAAGATGGGATTGCAGATGACTTTCAAGGAGTCTCAACTGCTGATGCAAGGGCAATGGCCTTTCGGCTAGCACGCGAAGAAGGCTTGTTCTGTGGTCTTTCGACCGGGGCGAATGTTACTGCTGCATTACGTGTGGCAGAAACTCTGAAACCAGGATCTACCGTTGTCACAATCATGTGTGATTCAGGTATGAAGTACATGTCAGGATACTCTAAACAATTATCATCTATGTAGAAGTATAGGATAGGACTTCCATAAGACCCTTATACATTGTATGTTCTGAATTCGCTCTCTTCCGATGTTATATCTAAAGCCTGGGGTTCAAATGTTTAGATTACTTCTTAGTTTCATTGCCTATGAATAAGTATAGGCACCATAGCGTAACTTTCTAGCGATTAGCCAGACTGTGTCATATATAGGCCCGCAAGCTGAAAATGTTCCTGCGTCAGTATTTGGTAATTATAATGAGGTAGTATGTTACCAGTTATTTCTGTTCCAATCGCGATATATCTTTCTCTAAAATGCGTGTCCAGTTGTTCGCTAGAGTGAATCTCATTCATGGTACGGGTTGGCGGAGATTGAATAAATACTTCTGCCCCTACCCTATCAACCAAGCCAGAGGGCCTAGTCAATCGCTACGATGATCTCCAGCGTCTCACATTATAGTTGACAGTATACCACCGCATTTATTTCATTTTGTGTCAGTCCACAAGCAAGTCAAGTCGCGACTTAGAAGCCGATGAGGGTTGCAGAATAGTAAGCGTAAGGACAAATCGCAATGTGTAACAAATTCCGGGAGTCTGGCTTAATTTTAGCATCATTGGTCAAATATGCTTAGTACATGTAGTATTACGATTGCGTAGTACCTGGCTATGCGGTGCTCTTCTCTAGAGAGATCAGAATCACAGAATCAGGAACACAGCTATACACCACGAAACACATCCAGGTGTGCAATGCTAAGGCACTAACCGAATTCTTTTTTGAGATCTTGATTCATACGAGCCGAGACTTATAAGAAAGCACCGATGCAAGGGCACAAAAGCTGCAGTAGTAAGAAACGTCGCCAACGACAACATAATTTTATAAGTCTATCTCTATTAAAAGAGACGCCCGATACCCATATTACAAAGAATATTTGACGTATCATTATTATTAGCTCATACTCTAATTATATTGATGCGAGAGTTGGTGTCACTCGGCAGATGTCAGGAGAGGGTGCCACAAGCTGCGTGTAAGATGGCACTACTTGGAAACAGTTAGCAAACCGCAGCACCCATCTTGGCATAAGCGAATAGTGAGCGCGGATGAGAATTTAACGTTTATGCCATACTTGTATGAGTAAAGGCCTGTGTTTGTTGGCATAGAGCTTTCTGTCGGTACCTTCTTTCCCTTCCTGTAGGTTAATACCGCTTATACTTTGGCATGAAGATCAAAGCGTGTAGTACGAAGCGGCTGAATCGTCAGTTGAGTTGCAACAGCAGTTACTAGGTAGCCTGCCTGGTGCTTAGACCGTTTCACCAGCCCTAGCCTATATGCGAGCTAGCAGTCTACTTTGAAAATTTCACGCCAATAAGCATTACGGCAAAGTTCACTTCAACTTCGTGCATGTCCGGGGAAGTAGCCAAAAATAGGAACGGAGTAGTACTAGCCGCTTCAAGGCATGTTAAAACCAATGCATACAAGTTCTATATTTACTTCTTTCTATCTCGATCGAATGACAATGATCAAGTGGGCTGAAGCTACGTTTGAATAGAATCGTGAATAGAAAAATGGATGTAGAACCTCGCGTAATAGGCGCGAGAAAACTTCACTTAAGGATAAATGAAGCTGTGGAGTAAGCGAAATAGCAATACGACGTTGGAGAAAAAGAATAAAACAAGTCAGTAGGCAGGTATACCAGTTTCCAAAACCTAGCAGCTTTAATTGTTCTGCGAGAAGCTTCGCGACGGGTGGCTTCATGGCCGAGATCAATCCAGCCTGCTCAAGTTAGCGCACATTGATAAGATAGACCTGGACTCGACAATGGAATCCTTTGAAAATCCTCTGCAAATTCATCCTCGCCATTGGACCGGGTGGTGCAATGATTGGCTACCGAGCCGCACCTCGCTGGGATTCCAAACTTGACATGTGCCAATAGGCCAACACATGATCTGACGCTGATTAACACTCTCACTGCCCGTTGGTGCCACGTTAAACTGCCCAGACTTGTGGTTTCCGCTCCTGGAACAGCCTAGCCTACATGTACGCCATACTCAGGAAGAAGATTCTGCCCGACGCTAGCAGCATCGTGGCTTTGCTGTTTCCATATTGCTGACCAGCCCAAGAGCTAAGCCCGGTCTCGGCACATGCTCCAATAGCAAAGGCACACGCAAACAGGCACCGTCGCTCCAAGCGCTGGCAGGTCTATGCAACAACAAAGAGTGCTTTTCAGGAGTTTGTTGGGAATGAAATGCCAAGCAGAGTACGAGACTGAAAAGGAGATGTTACCTTTGCCGCCCCGTAATCACGATGATAGGTACGGAGTAGTATACGTTGCATTCGTATTTCCATGAATCTACTCATTGCGAAGCATCCCGGCAAGGGCTCTCCCTGTAATGCGGCATGTGGAACTGCGCGAAGTTGGGGAGAGAACGGAGCTCTCCATGCCGTACGAAGGGTCTGGAGGGTCTGAGAGGGCCGCTTAGCCGCGATTTACGAAGTCGCGAATTGCTAAGATTAGCCCAGGTTCAACGTCCAAAACGCATCTGCTTAGTACTGATACTAGCATCAGCCATTGGCCGATCGTCAGGAACGTGGCTGCGCCGGGCGAACCGAACCGAGCTTTGGCAGAGAACAGGGATCGAAAACGGAGGATACGCGAACAGCCCTAAAAAAACCCTTTGTGTGTGAACCCTTTGAACCCTTGGTGCAGGATATTTTTGAGTTTTTCTCGGTCTCCATCTCGGTGGCTGCTTGTTTCCTCAACGGCGCTCAGCCTCACGCCAGGAATAGGCGTGGCACACCGCCGGTTGACGCATGAAGAGTGACTCCTGCGGCTGATGGGCCTGAATTGAGCCTTGAACACGGGTAAGCCAGAGGCCGAGGAATCGCGTAATCGGCTATACTTCGCAGCCAAGGGTGGAGGCCAAGCGTGCCGAGAAAAAAAGCGTGGGATTTGTCATATTTCTATAAGAAGTTTTGGTGCTAAAAAGGCGATGCGAGATATTTGCAGATGCAAGTTTCAGGCAGTAACGCATATACACGCAGCAGTATGGGCATAGTACGTGATTTAAAATGTTGAGTAATCTCAGCGCTATTATAGTCTGCTGTTGAATGCCGCAACAGGATGGCATTCACATCAGGCGCTCAGATGTCTTGTCCCAGGAAGACCAGCTGCTGCTCGCAGTCAAATAGTGGCAGCTTGTTGCCAGTTGGCGTAGAGAAGGAGGTAGTATTCGGAAAGTATTCAAGCCTTGAAAAAAGGGGAAATTGCGGCTCCGTAAAGAGCTACGGCGTAGTATTGGGCTTGCAAACACGAAGAAATTCCCACGAGTATACGAGTAAGCCCGAAAATTTGGTCTAGCGCTTAGACTGGACCTATCAGATACCCTGGCCATAAGCGGTCTTGAGCCTCTGAGGCTAAGGATGCAGGGTGCCTTGGTGAAGGTATCTGACGGATTCTGATCCCTGGCGACGACGAACTACTATTGATAGTAGTTCTAGTAGTACGAGCGGTGCTTCAACGAGCACGGCTAGGCTAGGATGGACCTAGCATGTGCAGCAAAATATGACTGAAAGAGGAAGCCGGAGAGGCAGCTGGGCCACGATGCCGTCTATAAATACACAATCATGTCTACACTACTCCGTATATATCTAGTGGATTTCCCATGCATGAAGCTCCATGTTCATCTAGAGTTGCGGAAACATCGAATTTCATTCTATAAACGACTATTGTAGCTGCATATACCCGTCTCGTGTGCTCATTAGCAGCTCTGCCTCTGTTTCCAGGATTCACAATGAAGGTAAATACTCGCGGCTTTGGAACGTTCAAAAACACGCCATACTAAGCGGATTCTTAGTTTTCTTTCGCTTCGCTCCTTGCTTGCGCGGGCCTCGCAACAGCCCTGCCTTCGTCTGTAATTTCTTCGACCGAGCTTTCTGCCCCCGAGGGCGTCAACATCGAGAGTCGCTCAACGAATGGAAATGTTACCGACAAGGGCATTGCCCGATTCGATAACGGCAACATCTGGGACGGCCAGGGCAATGGAACGGATTCTTACAAGCTCTACCTCGGCAACGGAACAACCGCTGCGGGGTGGCCGTCTATCGAGTCTTGGGTCTCGTTTGGAAACATGTAGGTGTTGAGAAGCCAAGTATCATGAACATGGGCTTACGGAAAACAGGTTCGAGAACTACAAACTCACAATACAGTGGGCTTGCCAAAACCTGAATTGGCGTCTTCCCAACAATAATGATGACGAAATTGTACGTTGGCTATTAGTACATGCACTTGTTGCCCCGTGGCCTTGCGACTAATGATGGTGACGTGTAGGAAGCCATCTACAATGGTATCCAGCTGGCTGCCAATGCGACAGGCGTCGACCATCGATTCATCTTGGCTGTCATCATGCAAGAATCACATGGATGCCCGCGAGTCAATACCACCAACCTGGGCGTTCGCAATCCCGGTCTCATGCAGAACCATAACGGAGATGCCTCGTGCAACGACAACAAGAAGCTCACAACACCTTGCCCGACGTCAACGATCCATAAGATGATCATGGAAGGCACCGCTGGCACCTCGTCTGGTGCTGGTCTGTCCCACTGCATCAACGAATCTGGCCGAAGCGATGTTTCTGATTACTACCGCGCTGCTCGCATCTACAACTCTGGCTCCCTCTCCAAGACCGGTGACTTGCAGAGTAACATTGCTACTCACTGCTACGCCAGCGATATTGCAAAGTAAGTTTAGGTTTCAGCTCTGGGATACTGAAGATTGCCGTGGCTAATCCAAGTTTTAGCCGCCTCACTGGCTGGGTTTACGCAAAGTCAACATGCACATGCGATACCGACCCCAAGAGCTGCAACGTATCAAAGAATTAGCCTGGCACATTGAAATGATGTGTGGCCTTGATAGATCCCAGCGCTGGCGTATAAAATGTTTTGTCTAATGAATTTACCAGCGCGTCGTTTAATTTTGTATATAGAAACGACGCGCAAGCTGTACATATAGTATTATGATATCCCCATTATAGAATAGAGTAATTTGGCTTGGAACTCAGCGCGTGGAATGATGCAGGGTGCGATATATACCTGGAGAAGAATCGCTTGCATTGATAATGAAAGTACCACATTTCAGAACTACTGTCGTCCCTATGGAGCTCCTTGCGGCTTCCCATCACTACTGTGTCTCTGGTCAAGGTACTGCGCTCGGCTATGGCATATCCAGGTACCTGGCACTGCTCAAAATATCGAGTGAAATGGGGTTTATGGCGTTCATGGCGTTATGTATATTTAAAAGCTCCGAAAACGTACCTTGATGCTGCCCGCTAGGGAAAATAAGATTAACCGTTACCAAAGATAGAGACAAAGTGTGGAGAGCAGTCCGTCATAGCTGGGGCTTTTAAGCATCCATTGAGCTTAATCAATACTCTATATTATTCCGTAGTTTGCGCAAGAATAGCAACAGTAGTGGAAATGTGTTTGCTACGATAACCACTAGGCGTGCTCTACAACAAATTCGGAAACGTAGCATATGTAGGTACTAGATGGCATGACGTCTTTGGACTCTCTTTGCTAAGCGACGCTCCTAGGCTCACGGGATAAAATTGCCGCATCTTCTTCTTACTCTGTTACGCCGTATTTTAATTGCCCTAGACGTATTGAATACACCGAGGATACCTCTACGCCATTCTTGCATTCATGCTCTGCAAATGGGCTGGGATATTAATACCAAGTACCTAGTCCATATGTACTCAGCGATAGTATGTCGACGAGGAGGATATCAAGTTTACTACTACCTGCATCCTATTTATAGTCAATACACTAACGTTGCCATTACTTGATGACTTGTCGTAATCTTTATACAATGCGAATTACTATCAAATTTGTCTGGGTCCAGATTTGTGTAGGCAATTTTTTCTACAGTCCGCGATTCATACGCGTTTAACTAGCGCAGACCCAGTCTTTGTGCCTGCCAAGATGCATTGCTAGTTTTTGACAGCCAGAGCCGCATTCACTCAAACATCTCGTATAGAGAGATGGAAAACGTGGAAAGTCTGTTCTCGGCTATCGATGACTTTCTAGCAGCGCAACTGCCCATTTCACAGTGTCGGCCTCTTTGTTCATGATGATAATCCCAGTCTTTTGTTGACAAGAAAAGAACCAAGAGGCGCAGTTCGTCGCTTACTTCCGGGATAAGCCACGCACAATTTCTCTCGCTCCGGCCCGTGCACACATTAGACACGCCCTAGCTTCGGCATTCATCGTTTCCAAGTGTTCCACAGCCAATGATGTTGGTCGTCTACGCTTATCTTAGCTGGATACAGCACACCTTGAACGCCCCATGCCTTTTCTAGACGTGTAGATGGGCGTCTCACATAGGGCGTGGAAATGTCTTTCCAGCAGTCCAAATACTTGCGAATTGTAGAGTAATCACAATGCCGTACGCGCCCTGCGAAGAGCACGAAATGCTACTATTACCCCATAGATTTGACCGATGTTCTTTAGATCGGTGCCTGTACTGTATACACTAGCCAGCGTCATCGGAAAAGCCACGATCGAGCTCTCCTTCAATGAACTCCGTGCGGCAACTTCTTATCTGCACACGCGGCGTCTTCGGCGAGAATAACAGAAATGGAGTCAAGGAGTATTGCAGAGAACACTTAATCCTCTCAATTCCCACTTTACTGCCATGATGAAGGATCGCCAGCATAACGGCATCCACAAGTCGTCCCACAAACGGCACTTGGTGTATGTGCCAGAAGAGGCGTTCTCCACCAAACTAGGAAACTTTTACGTTTTTAGAACATGACTCGAATACTTCTAGAATTTTTTTTTGCCGCTGTAGCAGGGTTGATCATCCACGTTGACGGAATACATCGTCTCATTTTGGGCCGGTACCACTCACGATGGCATCTAAATCTGCTGTTGTAGAGTTTCCCCAGTGTATCCAGGATACTGTGGATAGACTTAGCATCAGACTCAAGATATCCTGCATTGCGGGGGAAAGCAGCCGGAGTCGAGACCAACATATATTCGTGGAGAGAACACGGAGTATAACCGTCATCCCAGACAGGGGCATTTCTTATCTACGTAGTTGATTATGAACATCCACCTAAACATGGCGGCTTTTCGGCATACGGATGGGTCTCGGCTGAGGAACTTACCATTAGTCCTCTTACACACCGAGCCCATTTCCTTAAAAGTCCCTCCCTCCTAGCTGGCCCGCCGTTTTCTTTTTTTTTCTCAAGCGTGGAGTTGTCTTTTCCCTTCTCTCTCTTCCCCAGGCACTGTTTTTATTGAGTAATAGCGGAGGCTCTTTTCCATCTTCATCATGGCTGGCAATACGAATGATGTAGAGTTTGAGGCTCGCAACCCAGAATCTCCAAAACACGAAGCCTCAAAATTTGAGAATCAGCAAGTCGGACCCAATTCTGGTTCTGATAATGAAATCTTTGGGGAGACAAGCGATGAGCTGCAAAACAGCCGACTGAAGCAGATTGCTGCGGAGGGCAACGCGCACTTCCATCGGTTAGGATGGAAGCGCTTGGCTATCGTCACCATCGTCGAGGCCATTGCCCTGGGAGCTCTCAGTCTGCCAGCAGCCTATCATACTCTCGGCATGTTCCCTGGAGTATTCCTTACCATCACACTTGGATTGATCACCATCTTCACGAGTTACCTGGTGGGACAAGTCAAGTTGAAGTACCCACAGGTCTCACACTATGCCGACGCCGGAAGACTTCTGTTCGGTCGATTTGGCTATGAATTGTTTGGTGCTGCCATGGTTCTTGAGCTTGTCATGTCAGTGGGTTCCCACGCACTGACTGGAAGCATCGCTCTGGGCACCCTTAATAATAACCAAGTCTGCTCCATTGTCTGGTCTGCTGTGTCAGCAGTCATCTTATTCATTCTGGCTATACCACCTTCATTCACTGAGATTGCCGTGCTTGGTTACATCGACTTTGCATCAATCATCATCGCCATTGGAATCACCATCATCGCTACAGGCATCAAGGCCAGGGATTCTGCTGGCGGCCTTTCTGGCGTGGAGTGGTCAACATGGCCTCAGGAGGGGACCACTTTCTCCGAGGCGTTTGTGGCAGTGAGCAACATCATCTTTGCCTTTAGCTTTGCCATCGGTCAATTTTCCTTCATGGACGAGATGCACACTCCAACAGACTACATGAAATCCATCTGGGCTTCAGGTATCGCCCAGATTACCATCTATACTCTGACCGGAGCGCTGTGCTATGCCTTCATCGGCCCATCGATCCAGGCTCCGGCTTTGCTGTCTTCCGGTGAACTTATTTCCAAGATTACTTTCGGCATCGCCATTCCTGTCATTTTCATCTCCGGATCCATCAACTCGACAGTGGCACTTCGTTATATACACGGCCGTTTATGGAAGAAGTCCATTATTCAATACGTCAATACCCCCAGGGGCTGGACCGTCTGGATTGTACAGGCTGCAATCTTTACCATCATTGCCTGGGTCATTGCTGAGGCGATTCCCATCTTTTCTGACCTGCTTTCTCTCGTTTCCGCACTGTTTGTGACAGGATTTTCCTACTGGATTCCTGCCATCATGTGGTTCTGCTTGCTATGCAAAAGGGGCGAATGGTTTTCGGGAAAGAATATTTTCATTTCTCTTGGAAGCATACTGGCCTTTATTATTGGAGTAGTGGCTTTAGTTGCCGGCACCTATGCCACCATTGCTGATATCGTAAGTACAACACATACATGTTTTTTTCTTTTGCAGATTGGCTAACACCGATATAGATTCGCGAAACGAATGACGGAAGCACCAACCGCCCCTTTTCTTGTAGGCGCTAGATCGCTACGAGAGTATATATTCAACATGAAATACTTTTAATGCATATAAATGCTGCGGCTGCTCAACGATGATATAATTAATACATAGATTTCAATAATGATAACGAATAATTGCGTTTTCATAATTATTTGGGGCGAAGATGAGATGTAATAATTTGGCTTCATGATACTATAGAACTTGGAGTGATTTAAGCAGTTATTGCTTAGCTGTGTATGATTCCATTCGAATCAAGTAATCATGGCTCTTTATATATCCGACTTGGGGTACTCACTCACTTCAGCATAAAAATGTCTAGATATCACCAATGGAGCACAAGCGGGATGTGAGTGTGTAATAAGTAATACGCTTGTTCGTATACTTTTACAGTTATATATTGGACTACAGAAGAAAGTGAAGCTATATGCCGTCGTGAGTTCTTCCAAAATATAGTACGAGAAGATAAAACGGTACCTCCGGATATCGGGTATGGGGCCGAAGAGTAGATGATGACCCTCCGTGGGGTACGAGCATCAAACATTGGAGCAGTACTTTCTCTTAGGCGTCTCATGACCATGAGCTTGAGGGAAATGCTACTACCCCGCCACAGCTCGCCTAGATCTAGATGTGCACCCGTCATTCGCAGATTCCCAGCTCTGCTACTCTGACCGGAGTTTCCCTTTTGGGCTGCTGGCTTCCCGAATCGATGATATGTAGATCCCTTTCTATTAATTTGAAGCCTAGTTTTCAACATTGAGCTTCTAAACTAGTTCTACGCCAAGACCCAGTTGATCCAAAGCTTCAAGACATCCTAGTTTAACCATGAGATCAGGTCTGCTATCTCCGCCTTGCAAGTCTTTACACTTCCAAACAGTTTCCATGGCTTCTCGAACGCGAATCAGAGAGGGAATTCTCCTGATACGGTACATCTCTTTAAGCCGCTGAACTGCAAATAATCTATCTTGCGGATCGATAGCTTCGCATCCTCCCGTAAACAACGGCCAAACGTGCATGGACACCAGTGGCGACGTTATAGGAACTTTCGCTAGCGCATCCAAGCAGAGTCGGACTCGGTGCAAGGTACGCGGGTGTGGAGAGCCAGTGTTATATGCCACGCGGAATAGATAGATGGATGCAGCAGCATGATATGCAATCGCAGTATTGGCAAGATCAATATTCGCGGAGGCATCGTCAGGAAGTTGCCAGGTTTCGAGTTTGTGTTCAAATACCTGAATAAGCGATTGGATTTCTTCATTTGATGTTGTTATGGCGCCACTCTTCATCGACTGCAGCGAGCTGATATCTGATGCTATATTGAGAATATCGAAGGCGCTGTCGAAGAGCGGAGCCATGGTATTAGAGCAGAAATACTCATGGTCAAGAATGAAAGGCGGCCTTGCGTGAGCAATGGATCCTAGTATATCATGATAGCTGAAAAGGCTGAGAAGGAACTGGAAACAGGACGTCGACACAGTGGGCAGCCCTTTGCGTATACGAATGAGTTCTCTAGCAGCAGAGAGATGGCATTCGTCTGCCTCTTCGACGCTGTCCATAAACTGACGCCTGACTTGCAGCATCAACACGGTCGCAAGAATTGCATCAGAAAATCTTTCCATCGAGCTTTTGAGCGCCATAGATAAAGACTGTATGGCCATCCTATGATGTTTTCTGGCAGCAATCTCGGTATCTTTACCAGGTGAAATTGCTATCAAATGACTGGCGGCCACCGAGAGGATAGCGGACTGAAGAGGGCCCTTTTGTAGAGCCATGCTGGTAAAATGCCTCTGAAAAGGATTATCCGTAGGTTTTATGGAAATTAAAGATGAAACAACAGTGGTAAAGTGATGAAAAAGGTGATAGTCATCAAGAGATAGATAAAGAGCCCAGTACTGAGGATCACGCGGTATTGAAACTTCGCGCAGCTGCTCTCGCTCGCGCACGCTGTCAGATTTTCGACGTTTCAAGCAAATTTCCTTTAAATTGCCATCATCCTGAGATTGAATACTCATGGGGGATAACAATGCGCATTGATTGCGCCCATTCGGTGAGAAGACATCATCCGACACCCAACCGTCCGAGGTAGAACGACTGGGTGTCGTAACGGCAGTATCTGCAGGTGGTGAAATAATGGCTGCCTGTGCTTCATTGCTGTGCGCCGTCGGTTCTCTCAGTTCATGATGGCGATCATCATGTCGGAATCGAAGGTCCTCTCCTTTCTTTGGGTCTTTGTGAGGACGCCACCTCAGCCTTAACCCATAGCCTTGGCAAGGTATGTTTAACCTCACACAACGACCGCAGAATGGCTTCGCTTCGTCGCATTTATACCCAGCTTCCCGGCATGTCCAACACCCTGATCTGGATCTCTTCCCTTTCCCTCGTCCTATTGCGTTGCTGGAGTTCATTTTCGATGACATCTCTCGAAGATAAAGCCACCAAAAGGCGAAGTGGCGAATGAAGAAAAGAGTGCCAATAGGCGAGATTAGTTATCACATTGTCTCACGTTGATAGAGCTGTGGTAAACGCCAATGGCTTTCGCAGTGGAGCGATGTTTCAATAAGGTTATAGATGTTGAGATGCCTCTGTAGCGGTGTTCATCATCACATAGTATTACAGCTTGGCGGACGTCCTTGGATTCGAGAGGATGGACAATGACGGCAGAAGATGCTCTGTGAAAGCAGGATCCGCTAGCGCTCCACTGATAACTAATACGCAAGGCCCGCAAGACCACTAGGAGTTCCACGGCCCACCATTACTCTCGTACCAACGTGCCGGATATCCATCGGCTTCTTTGATCCCGCGTATGGTTCACACTGTGCCATTGGTCTAATACCTTTGGCATATCCAAAGCACTCTTTAGGGCGTTTAAGTGTGATCTCGAGGCACGTACCGATATTGCTCAAGCATAACGCAAAGACATATATGTAAAGCCGCACAATGCTTTTGAACAAAAGAGGCTAAATGTTGCAACCAAGATTGGCCCAACTATAGCCTTTTTGTAGGTGCAGTTTTGGCTTTGCTCTCGGGAATTGTCTCAAGGTTGTGAGACACTGGATAAGCCTCCGAGTCGCACACCAAGTCTGTTTGAAGCGACATGTATAATTATATATAATATGCACCAGCATCATACTATTTGCTATTTTATTGATAAGATATGCAATGATGCATTTATTCTAGATTTATTGAGGTATTACTTCGAACCAGTATTGCAATGACCAACGGCCTTAGGATAGCTAAAATAGTCGTCATCGAGCGCTGTTCTAAGTAGAACATTGTCTTTATAGGTTACTGGACTGCCAAGGGAATGTCCGATTCCTAGTCATGAGTAGTGTCAAAACATGTTGAACGTAGATAGACTATGCCTCTGTAAGTCCAATCTAGAGACTGAAAAACATTAACAGTCTTGGCAGTCAACGAACGCCGAAACGATTGAGTATGTATACATAACCTGTTTCAACTCAAGTTTGGCACCTTGACATCGAATCCATTCAATAACACAGAAATGTACTGATAGAATCCAATGACGTGAATAAGAGACATCATACCATCCTTCCCAATTGTTCGTATTCCCGAGTCCCACAAGTCTTGACTCAAAGGCCCAGGCTGGCCCAAGGCATTTGCAACTTCCCATGCCAACTTTTCGCCTTTTCCCAGCGACTCTGGAAACTTTCCGCTTACAAGGTCTTGGCTTTGTTCATGGGCAATTCCTCTAATATCTGCCATCACTAGGTGGGCATATTTTTCGTACGCGCACTGAGTGCGTGAGGCAACAGCTAATATTGCGACTTCTCTCACAGTTGGTGGCAGTGCAGGGAGTGAAGTGACAGCACGGTCGAGCTTGAACCATTGCTCGCCAAAAGAAGGGTTGTGGAGGAGTAGTCCGAAAGCCCCGACGAGTTCGCCAGTGGGATATTTGGTGATAAATCTGACACATGTCTGTTAGAGGGTGACAACAATCGCAATTGAGGAAAAGGCGAAGAGTTACGGAATTTGGCTTGCGCATGCGCTGATGGTATCATAAAGAGGCTTTTGGTCCGAACCAAGCTCTTCAGGTTGGATTAAACCAAGTCGATTCATTTTTCCAGGCAGAATCTAATGGCTAAAACAGATGAGAAAAAGTGAGAAAGACCGAATAAGATTGCAAATAGCTATTGCTTAAGTCTCCAAAGAATATATGCTCCTCTGTTTGGTGGATAGAAGCAAAATAGAGGAAGAGACCACTGGTTATCTACCTGGTAGGTAGCGACTTGGGCTATGAAACAGGGACTAAATTCCACGGAATATATCCTAGTGCTTAAAAGGCCGATATTTCCTGGCATAAGGCTATTAAAAATTCCCAGGTAGTGAAAGGTTTCTTGAAAAATGAAGCTTCGAATTGGTGTTGTCTCTTCGGTCGTTATGAATTGGCTGCAGTTCCCGCCGTAATTGCCATTCGCGGTACCAGTGCCCGCATTTGCTTTGTATTATGAGATGACAATTTGTGCGTATCATTTGGGCACTTTCAAAGCGCAAATTGTAATAACGCAGCGCATAATAGACTCCGCTGTCGGACGGAAGGAACAACCAATTTGAGATCAAATCTGCCGTCATAACCTCAATTGTTGCGCCGAGATGGCACACTCCGCGTCGTATAAGCTGCGGAGTGAATGGTTGTGTGGAGAGTAGCTAGCCACGCTAATCATGGCGTGTGAGGAACAACTGTTATAATTTCCACTTAAAGTAAGGCCTACAGATCAAATATACTGAACACGGTAACTCCGCGCCTTCAGGAGGATGATGTTTATCCTGAGGCGAAGCGAATAAAGTAATCTTTTCCTATGATCATCCGGTTTGCTGTAGTTATTAGTATCAGTGGCAGGCTTTTGTCAATGCTGCCTTGTGGGCAGCCAATTAATACCATACAGAACTATATATAGTGGTAAAAGTAAGCTCACTCCCGTATCATCCCTACTATAACCTGAATCCATAACTGCCTGCTGCTGACATTTTGCTTTACCATAATTATGAAGTGGTTTGACTTATACATGTACTGTCTGATACAAGAAACGGTGTTCAAGATATCTGTAGGCTGCAGCCAATAAAGGGCTAATGTTTATATGCTTGAGGAAAGAAAAAGACCGAGCGTGATGCCGAATTGCTGGCATCGAGAGCAGAAGATGAAAGCTATCTTCTGGTAATGAATAGAGAGTATATATGCAATTCATACTTCCACCGCCGCCAAAAAGGTAGTAGGAAATCGCCCAATAAAAGCACAAGTGCTTCCTACCTAAGTTGTGTTGGTTACCTACTTACAGCCCCGGCTAGGTTATGTTCATCATCAGCATGGTCACATAATCTCTTCTTTTCCTAAGCAAAATACTATATATAAGCAGAATTAAAAGCGATTGGAATCAGTTATTTATGCCTGTGCACAAACTCTTTCAGAACATTTCCAGTGAGTCGTGCGATATTGTTCTGGAAATGGTTCCATCCCAGCGAGCAAAGCCAATTGATGCTCCCAACGCTGAAAACAGCGCCGCCACCGCTCGTTTCATAGTATGTAACGTCGGATCTAACCTCCCTGGTCTGAGTGCCGAGGACGTTCTGGAAAGGGAATGAAATGTCCTCAGGAAACATCCCAAATCTGTCTGGGTGTCCCGTACTAGTCGCAACAACAACCGTATTGCGTGGACTTCCAATCTTGTAGTCGCATTTATCCATCTCATCGCCACTTGCGCCACCTCCAAAGCCGAACTCGCCAAGGAGCTCGTCTTCTCCAATACCGTCAAACATCCATGCGAATGATGCGTCTTTTCCGGCATCTGTTTGTTTATACGGCACGCCTGGACCCTATAACAAGTTATTAAATACGGGATTGTTGTCAAGGTATAGGCAAAAGAGTTGCAACTTACCGGACCTTCTGCACAGCAGCCGACGCCGAACAAGCAATTAGCAGGTAGGCCTCGAGATCTCCACAATAGACCCGACTGCCCATTGCTGCTGAAAATGCGATCACCCCCGGCACAAGTGAATGATCTTATCCCTTCTCCTCCTCTGCGAATCTCAACTCTATGGAAAAATTCGTCCCGAGTGGCACAGCTCCAATAGAAGCCGTTTCCTCCAAGGTACATCACATTGCCACCGGCCTTGATGAAGTCTGAATATGCGCCGAGGCTCTCAACAGTATGATATTCTGGATGAGAACCAGTAATAATGGTGCCATAACGACTAATACTGGCTTTTCCTGAAGTATGCAAGTCATGATCGCAAACAACGTCGTATGGAATGCCGCTTTTTTCTAGAAATTCTAGCATTAACAAATCAGCACTAAGGCCTCGGGGTCTGTGAAAATTCCAACTGATGTAGTCGGGACGCATATTCAGAATCGGCCTCTTGGATGTTGAGTATATTACCCCAGATCGATCGTTGTGAAGGTCGTAGCAAGAAAGTCCCAAGTCATTTCGTCGTACTGTTTTTTCCGCATGCTTATCCGGTATGGCTTTCCAAGTGGTATTCACCACATCTTTCAGATGCGCCCGGTCAAACACGTGCTCGTTTGCATAGGCAAGATACTTTCAAACCGGTATTAGTATGAAGGCAGATAGAGTGAGATATGAAAGGCTATAGGTACTCACAGTAAAAGTAGAAATTATGTACGCAACCTTTGCCCCAAGTGCTGCACTAGTAGCTGATGTAGGGCGTACATAGAATGGTACGGTATCTTTTGCACTGCCATTATGTGCTTCAATCTCGATCGCATAGACACCAGATCTCAGGTTATCGGGCAAGGTTATCGAGAAATCAGTTTCCCAAGCCGCATCATCAAGATCATCTTCATGGAAATGAATGGCTCCGTAGCCGTATTTTGCTTTAGTCCAGTCTGATTCCATGCCGTCCCAATCGTGCCCCGTCACTGCTCTCGTTGGTGCATTTATCAGACGACCTTCTGCACCTGCCCTGTTTCCGGACACATCAACGAGACTGTCAGTTGGGATTTTTAAAGAGAAATCCCATTTCGCTAGTGTGTGGTTATTGGAACAAGCCGATCTCATTGTAGGGCTATCAATACGACCATTAAAAAAATTGATCGCATGGTTGGATGCTTCATCGGGGCCAACAGCAAACATTGCTGATAGAGTTAAAATGCATGGCTTTGTAATATCCGCTTCGTAGTCAAGGGTCTTTCTTCCGCTGCTAGCTGGCTGAGGAACGTCTGTAAAGGTAGACTTGGGATTGATCTCATATTCAAATTCTGCTCTTCGAATAGTGAAGCGAAGCTCAACCCACCTTTTTAGATCTGGTTTAAACCCAGTAGACACCACTTCTACCGTTTTGCCTGTTCCGATCCAGAACTCGAAGGAGCCTCCAGCAGTCAATACTGCTGCGTATCCAGTCTTTGCTGGTACATCAAGAGTTGAAACCAGGGTTTGGGCATGCTTCGCTTCAACAAGATGCGATTGGAAATAAAGACTAAATTCCAAGCCGGTTGTTCCAACTTGGTAATCTCTCTTAGAAATGATAGCGTAGGAGCCTGGATGCGCAACCTGATATCGGCCCTTACAACTGCCAGGCAATACGGATGAGATGATTTCGGGCTTCATTCCTGATGTATCGGCACCTTGGGGACCATGGATGAGACGAGTGACATGATAGTTTAAGTCTGGCTCTGTTGACGAGACCTATCAAGGCTATTTTAGTACGTAAAAGGCAGCTGCGATTCGACTAATGCCGCGAAACAAACAACTAGACAAGCGGTACTCAATAGAAAGATTTTGAGGCATGTCAAGAGATAGAGGCGTGCTTGTGGTTATTGTTCTGGTGATTTACCTTAACGCCAATTGTACTGCCAGGACTAGCAATCCACGGATCGACATAGCCAATGATTTCTGGCGGATTGCTAGCAGGAGGGCTCTCCAACATAATCATGAAAATATGTGTAGCAAGGTATTAGTTCGTGAGAATAGATAGTAAGAAGCAAAAGTATTGAAGGTAGGGGAAAAAATGAACTTGATCTTCACAAGACTTCAAAAGAGAAGGTTGAACGTGGGAAGCACCAAAGACACCCCCATACAATCTTGTTCTATTCACAGCTTGCCGCTGAAGAAAGTTCAGGCTGCTTTTGTATAACATTGGACGCACTCAGGGCGGTATCCGCTATCAGCACCACTAATGAACTGGGGTAGTTCATCCTTAGCGCAGCTAATGTGCGACATATCGACCGTAGCTCTTCAAGGTACAGGTAACAGTGCCTTTGATCGTAGGCGCTCGTATCAATGTTGCAGTTCCAGTCTTACTGTATGGAGAACATCTAAGAGCTTCTAAGGAATACCAAAGACGGGCTATTTGCGCCCCACCACCTACCAAGGATTGATCTCCTTGTGCCACTGCTATTGATAGCGGAGATGTCATATTTGGTAAGGCTGCTCCCTAGGACTATTAGTTTTACTTCAATAGGAATGATCCAGGCAAAATGCGGCGGCTCTCGCATGAAGTCGCTACAGCTCTCTTGATGGGATGGTTATCCGAGAACCGAGTGGGAGAAGTTATAACAGCACTTTGGCCCTCACTTTGAAGACTATTCAAATATTAGAGAAGACAGGAGATTGAGTTTTCGAACTCACAGACCGAATAATAAGAAGGAACAAAAACAACTCAAGATCAACAGCCATGACTGCACAAAAAAACAAGGTTGAACAGCCAAGAATCATCAGATTGACTGATGAAGAATTGGAAACAAAGACAATGGGATCCTATAATCTGCAGGCTGCCCTTGAAGCTTTGCATGCAGATGGCCTAGTTGTCCTTGAGAATGCGGTTGACCCAGCTCACTTAGACCACCTCAATCAACGGATGGTTGCCGATGCAGAGCAGCTAAAGACGCGCGAAAAAGCTCACATCAATTTCAGCGCAGAGACACGAAACTTCCAGCAAGAGCCTGTGCCAGAAGAAGGATACATCTTCGACGACATTATTGCGAACCCGTGGGCTGCCGAGATTCTTGAGCACATGCTGGGTCCTAAGCCGAAGATCCGTCTCTACAGTGCTAATACAGCCTTCAAAGCCGAAGCACGCCAGCCTGTACATATCGACATGGCTCTTGGGTATCCCCGCACGCCATTTGGCTTTTGTGTCAACATCAATCTAGTTTCAACCTCGCCGGAGAATGGGGCTACTGAGTTTTGGCTTGGCACACACAACGACCCAGCGTTGGAGGCACTCACTATCAATGGGCATGGGGATGACGGTCCTGATCCTGCTATAGCCCTCGAGAAAAAAGCAGCTCGAGCCAAGGAACTTGGCGTGCCCATCGATTTTGCAGACAAGCTCGTGGAAGAGCGCCGTAAAGTGCGGCCACCGATTCAAGCTAGCCTTCCCAAAGGCTCCCTCATCATCCGCGACATACGCATATGGCACGCGGGCATGCCCAATCGGACCGACGATACGCGTGTCATGTTGGTAACAGTTGCTGTGGCTCCTTGGTACCGCAATAAACAGAAGATTCTGTTGCCCATGCGGTGGCAGAACAGGATTCAATGGGGAAAACTTGATCCATGCATCGAATGGGTAGAGAACGATCGCAACTATCTTCAGGGCTCACACGACATTAGTCTAGCGCAGCTTCCTTGAATACATTTCCTTGAATAGAATAGAGTGCCAGAAAGAGACACCGATATTAGATATATAGTAAGAGATATATTATGCGAAGAGCGGCAGGGCTGGTGCCTTTGAAATGACCGCGTTGAGTATCCTACCGTAATTCACATCGCTCTCAATAGTGAGGTCGTTCTGATTCCATATAGACTCGATCATCTGTTGAATTAAAACGACATGATCTGATCGCTGCCCCAGTTCTCGCCTCGTGTCAGATAGAATGTCTAATATTTGGAGACGTTGTTCATCTTCATTAGCCTCGCAGGCTATAACGAACAGCGGCCATGTGCCCTCACAAAAGCCAAGGTTTTTTAGAAGCAGAATGCCTTCCCGAACCAATCGCCTGTGCGAGAACGATGATGTGGAAACGTATGATACAGTACGGTTCAAGTATATCAACGCAGCATATCGATAGAGAGAGTTGATCTTATCTTGCCTGCTGAGTGATGACTCAAAGTCTCCGTGAAAAGTCCCATATTCTCCAATAGTTCCGTAGAGACTTTGTCGAAGATGCTGAATACGCATCATATCGGCGTTGTCATATGGAATATGGCTGTCTCCATTAGGTGACGGTCGCTTACAAATGTGTCGAACCAGATCAAGAACAGCTATAGGGCATGTAGCTCCATCGGAAGCCTGCTACCGTATCTATCTCAGTACTGACAACCTTCAAACAATGAGCAAAGAACTTACCATAGAGTTTCCAACAGATATTTTGCTGGGCCGAATCGCTAGAGGTCCCTTGCAGAACGTATCAATAGCATCCGCCTCTGCCCAGTGCCGGATGCTGAATTCAGTCATGACTTCGTGGTAATAAATCCAATCCATCAGTGGCATGCAGTCATGTTGATAGAGTGTAATTGAAGGCGAAACAGCCGACATGATCTTCTTTGCTCCGCACATATAGAAGCGCCAAAGCCCTCCGGGATTAGCCGTATTGCAAATCTAGGTGACTTAGCATGTGTCAATTAAACATACGAGGGTAGTTTGACATACTTCACACTGAAAAAGAAGCATAGTTGCAATCAGATTTCGGATGACGCTTTCTCTGTCGACCCGAGTTATGTCTCTCTGTAGCATTGAAATAAGTCGCGTCTTATAGTACTGGCTCTTTGAGGGCCCTGCAAGTAATACAGATGATAGCGCGAGGATTCCTTCGAGAACAAGGTTGAAAGAAGAGTCAGGATTGGTCATTGCCATTTTCAATACGAAATATGCCAAAGATTCATCCATAATGGGGGCTAAAATCCGTGCTCTGCTCTCTTTGACTATTCCATTAGAGTTAGGGATTTTGGTTCCACAACAAGCTGTCAGTTGCTCACAATATTCGAGTAGATATGCGTCATCTCCCGAAAGCGAGAATGGTGAAACATGTAGTGAGCGTGGTATTGGAAACCCGTGTAAATAATCGGCTATTAAAAACACGTCAGCAACCTGCTTGGGGTTGCACAGTGGCTGGCATAAGAGATTGTTTACCAAGGTTGAGTTTTTCTTCTAAAGCATCTGACAGCGCGACATCTGCGGATGAGACGTTCAAAAACACTACACCACGCCGCCGACTTCTCCGTGATATTCTTGGTGGCGTGTTTGAGCCACTGTCGAGCACAATGGCCCGTCGCTTGTTTCCTTCCCGAGGCCAGGACAGCTGCATGCCATAGCCTTTGCAGGACTGCAGCGTCTTTGCGCAGTTGCCGCAAGTAGGTTTGCGCAAGTCGCACCGCACTTTGCGCTCTGGAAACGCAATCCGGTTGAGTCTCCGTGACTGGGTGAATTAGGGGAAGTGCTTACCTCTACATGTCCAGCAACCTTTGATGCCCATCTCGGCCGGTATGGCAAATGCCGCTTCTCAGAATCTCTTGACTGCAAATCTATTTTTAAAAAGGTTCCTACAAATGCCGATGGAATGAGCCTAGCCGTCGTGTGTTCAGCCTGTGAAATAGATTATGAGCAGAACTAGCAGTGGATATACCTGAACGAGGTGGTAGAGGCTTTGCGCGCCGGAGTTAACCGCTGACTAATGGATGTGCAAGCACGGTGAGACGGAGTTCAACACCGTCTACTCGCTAGAACTGTATACACGCAGGGCTGGCTATTTTGATACTACTGTTACTAATAGAGTTCATACCCTATTTCCGAGTATATATCTTCATAAAATAGTCTCCTTAAGAATTCACCGCTTCAATAGCTAGTATTAGTTACGTAGGTAAGCAATATATCACAACAGGGTAGTAAAGACATTCGATGACCCATCTCATAATTAATACACATACGCTATCAACTGTCTTCTTCACTGGAGCTTTGTAAGAGAAGAACAATAGAGTTTAAACGTTGCAACTAAGGAACAATAATAACAACATTACTCCTGCGACATATGAACCGTTCAATTGTTTCTCCCTCCCCCAGTTTATATGTTGAAGCTTTTGTAGTACAGCACCTTCAGCACATCGCCTATTTGAAGATTTCCAGTATCATAAGACACATTGGAAACCATGGTTATTAGCTTCTTTAGATAGCTCCGATCTTCTTGAGAGCTTCCGTAGTCAGCTCCTTGAGGGTCTTCCTCTTCGCTATAAGAAAACCATCGCCGTCGAAGTCCAAGCCGCCCACGGGGTCGGCCGCTCCACTTCCATTAAATGCACCCACGATGATGCTGTCAAACAGCGCAGCAAACGAGTTTCCGGCGGCCAGATTTGCATTTCTCTTGTTCAGCAAATCCTGAGTTGTGACTTGATCTTTCTGAAACTTGGCGCCGAGGAGCTCTTCGTATGCATCCACAATTTGGTTCATGGTCGCACGCACTTCGGTTATGGGGATGCGCTTGTTCTTAGTCTTCTCTTCGTCCATTTGAAGAACAGCGACAATAGCAGCCCCGAGAAATGGGAGTGAGCATCCCGCGAAATAGTGGTCTCCGCTATCAAACACCGTGACCTTGCGATTTTTGGGATCGAACAAACCAAAATCTCCCTCCAACCATGAATCCATAAAGGCAGACGGGATAAGTGTCGTAAAGCTCGTCGGCCCCCCTTCATCGGCCAGGGAGGCGAATTTCCGAGCAGTTACAACTGGTGAAGTATCGTCGGGCCAGTTACCGCCTTCAGTCAGGAGACTCACTGCGGCAGGATGCAGAATGTCCAAAGTATACTCTGATGGGAAAATGCGTCGAACGCCAGCTTCCTGCGCCGCCTTAAGCAGTGACCGATCGACAGCTTTAGATACAGGGCCAGAGATGAAAGATAGGATTGCATCAGCTCCAGTGATAGTTTTCACAAGGCCATTATGATCGTTGTAATCGACTGGGACAATTCTTGCCCCTGGTATGGATGCTGGTGCCTTTCCACTATTGGCTCGAGTCAAGATGGTGACATCGAACTTGGGCTTGGTCGAGGCCAGTATGGCGCGGATCGCATGGTCAGCAACATAGCCGGTGCTTCCAGCAATAATAAGCTTAGTGAAAACCATGTTGGATTAGCTGCAGTAGTAAAGTTCTTGAGAAGTGAGAGATTGATGATTTTCACTTCAACTTCATATTTCGCGTTCGCATCATCTGCTTATATATAACCCGAGTGAATAGCAAGATAGCCAGCATATTCTCTAAACTCTCTATTCCTTTGCGTCAACGCAAATCATGGTCTTCCGTTGTGTAAAGGCAAGAAACTTTTACCGACATCGCCATCATCATCTTCCGAAGCAACAGAAGAGACCCACCAAGCTTCAAAAAGGGGACTAGTGGATGAAGTGGAGCCGCGGCAGCATTACAAAATGAGTGCAACTATTTCCGGAGTGCACCATCGATTGATTGGTAAGATGGCTGAATGCCAGCTTCCAAATAATTAGATATATCACTGGTATAAGAAGTATAAGAAGCACAATGTAGAAATGGAAAAGAGCCATATTAGCATCATATACTCTGTATCCTTTGTGATTTTTGACATTGCACTATGACCCAAAACGTTGCTCTAATCCTGGGTTATGGACCCAAGGTTGGGACTTCTGCTGCTCGAGCATTTGCAGCAAAGGGCTACAAGGTTGCAATAGTATCCCGCACAAAGAAGGACTCGGAAAGCGAAAAAGACTATGTCCAGATTCAAGCTGATCTCTCTGATCCATCCTCAGTTGAGGGCATTTTCTCCAAAGTTATTACTGAACTTGGGCATCCAAGCGTTGTGCTCTACAATGGTGCGTCTCTTCATTTCCACGCGAAATATGTTCAATGATAAGTAAGGGTAACTTTAACACTTCAAGTTAACTCATCAGCTTCTTCGCTTGCCTTGGTGAGTTCGTCAACAATCGCGGAGCAAATCGCAGCTTTCCAATCCGATAACAATGCCAATATTGTGTCTGCGTATGTTGCGGCGCAATTGGCCATCAAATCTTTCGCTGAGCTGCCTCAACAGTCATCGAAGACTTTCATTTATACCGGAAACAAGCTCCCATTTATGGTCGTACGGCCACTATTATCTCAGGGCGTTGGAAAGGCCGGCGCGGCACACTTGATACATTATCTCGCGGAAGAGTACAAGGACTCCGGATACAAGTGAGTTATGGCAGAAGTAAAATTTCATTGTTATCTAATAGAATATGCACAGGTTTTATTATGCTGATGAGCGCAAATCGGATGGAGATCCGGTTTATGGCGACATTGACGGCGATGCGCACGGCGTATTTTATAGTCAGCTGATTGAGGAAGAGACGCAGGGACCTTGGAACGCGACGTTTGTTAAGGGACAAGGATACACTGCTTTTTCTGAGGCAGTTGTAAACGAAGCAGTTGTAATGCAGCCTCCAAAGTGACCATGTAAAAAAGAAACGCCTCATACATTCTAGTGCGTACAGGTGTTTTACCCAAGAAGCAGCATGTATATCTCATCAAATTAAAACTGTCGTTCTCTCAGCTCTGGTCGAACTCTTCGACTCATTGTTTATAATATTCCTCAATTATGTACCATCACGGCCATATGGGCAAGGACGTTATAATAACCCATATTGTAGGCGCACACTGGGCAAAACTCCACAAGCATGTTGGCTGGTTTCCTACCAGATCTATAGCACATATGGAGTGATATCGCATAGTTGAAGGGATCGGTTTAATATTCACATTTTCCGATGCCAAACTAAATGCACCAAACAATATCGACTATGAAAACTATGTTCAATAAAAGAAATAAACAATAAAGACACGAAATGACTAACTGCGCCTGCAACCTCCTAATATCTATGCGCGAGAAAAGCAAGCTGCTGCCAGAGCAGTGTCAGTCCAAGTGTTTCCGTTTTGGGTCGGTGTCAAGGTCAGTTGGTAAGTGCTATCGAATGAGCCAGCACCCCAGCCAACGTAGCCGAGGAAGACGTCAGAGTTTTGATTGAGAAATTGGTTCTGTTGGCATACGTCCTGGATGCAGGACTGAGTGTTGCCGCCGCCAGTCTCAGTCAGAATACCCTGGCGCTTGTTCTGGCGAAGCCAGGTGGCGACAGGCTGGAACGCGGTAGCGATGTTGTTGGTGACACACTCTGTATGGGTACCAGAGTTATCAGAGTCGAGGTATTTGTGGAGATCAAAGATCAGATTTGTTGTCGAACCATCAGGATTCTTCACCTGAGATAAGGCAGTAGAACTGCCATCGGTAAGGAAGTTTCCAGCGGACTGGTAGTCAGTTCCTGGCAGGGAAATGAACTGCGTCGTGGCACCGGCGTTACGGATGGCGGTAACAACAGCCTGCACGGTTGTGCCCCAAGTGTTAATATCCACATCATGCGGCTCATTCATAATGCCAAACCAGATTTTTGACTGAGACGCATATTTAGTTGCTAATTGCGTCCAAAGGCTGACAAATTGAGCATTTGTAGGGCCTCCTTGGCCAATGATTGCGCCGTTCCAACGGGCATAGTTGTGGATATCAACAATACAGTATGCTCCAGTGGCTAAACAGCCTTGAACAAGCTGATCGTAGTTGCTAATAGCAGTGGAGTCCAGTGTTCCACCCAGGTTGTTGTTAACGAGATATTGCCATCCAACGGGTAGACGGAAGATGTTTAGTTTATCATCGTTGACAAAGTGCTGCATCTGGCCGACACCATCTGGGTGGTTATTCGTACCACCAAAGTTTTTCAGTGGCGGGTAAATCTGTGAAGTAACACAGGTTCCATCAGTTGTGCAGCCAAAGTCAAATCCGGCAATGTTGATACCAGCGAATCGTGTCTGCCCAGAGCCGGTTGGTTGGGAAGCTGAAGATGTTGTGCTTGACCCAGAACCAGGAGACTTGGTCGAGGTAGTCGAAGTAGTGAAGCTGGTTGCACCTGGAATGCACTGGGCGTAATAGGGGTTCAGTGTAGAGCATGCAGAACCAGAGGCACAGTTTGTTGGACCACTGTAGCCCTGTCCTCCACATTGTCCCCAGACAGTTTGTGTCTGTGCAATAGCACCGCTCGCCATAAGCGTGGCAGCGAGCAATAACGGTCCCATGGGCTTATTCATCGTGATATCAGGAACACACGGATAGAGACGGCACTGGCGGACATGATGAGCAAGAGCCTATCTTAATAGCGGGACGAATTATGCCAGATATTCGGATCTGGCTGGAGAATCGTATTGAGCTATAAGAAATACTTACCTTGGTGTATCACAGTCCGCTTTGCTTTCAGTTTCAAAGCTTGAATGGTAAAAAATAATCCTGTAGGATTGTATAGGCCCTTTTCTGCAGTGAGAGAGAAAGGACAACTAGTGAATCAATGAGTATAATCTTGATTGGTAGTGTTTTCATTCATATCTCAATCTCTGGGCTCCCCAGTAGACTTTATACTTCTGGTGATTCATGTCAACATCTATTTGAATCTGAGCTACAGATCTAAACTAGCCGGGCCGAAGGAGTCATCTCGCGGTTCCTGAAGACTTTCTCCGTGATATCCATGTCAAGGAATAGCCATCTGAAGTGTAAAGTAAGGTAAATGAGTCCAAGCTGTCCAGGCTATCATGTTTTACGGTCCTAGGCAATATACGTACAGATTGAGCCTGAATGAGGCATATTTCGCCGTTGAGGCTCTCAAAGTTGCGCCATGATCTAGGTATCACCCGTGCATTCCTATATGCAGGGGAATCTACACTGCCAGTTGAATCTAGTATCACGTTAGCAGGGTTACATAGGGATGGCCTGTCCTTGTTTCGCCCCTGCGCTATAGCCGGTCGGCAAAAGCCTCAATGCTACAAACCCCACTAGACCCAAATCACAGAGACAGTTATTCAGCCAAATAAGGTTCATTATCTTGCTATGAAGGGACATAGATCTAGTGTATTGTTCATTATATAGCCTGACGGTTATTACATTTTCAACAGCCTTAATATGTGAGCGAACCTCTTATATCTGATGTCGTATAATTTGTAGTCGGCTCCTTTGATGACGAGATATATTGTAAAAATTAGCAGGCAAGTATATTACGTTGCAGGATGATATTTTAAGAGTAATAGCGGCAATAATATCGATATGAATGACAATAGGGGCGCCGTTGTGTGATGTATAGTGTTTTCAGCATTCCTGGTGCTTACGTAGAGGAGCTCAGGGTAATTGGCGAACCTGCAATTCTTTTTCTCTCCTGATTGAGGGTAGAATGCTCGAATAGAATGACCCCTTAATAAACAGAGATTTGAATGCGATCCGAAAGGTTACGTGCGCCAATCAACACTGGCCCTTTAATTTTAAACAGATCGCTCCAACAAATCATGAGTTATCCCGAAGCCGACCCCGCCAACCTTTCTCTCCCGTCTTTGGAGAAGAGGGGTAGTCAGACCGCTCTGTCCAAGCCTTGGCAAATAGCGGCACATTCTTGGATAGATAGAAAAGTGTATGGCTCAGGGCAGAGATTGAGATCCAATGCCAACTCTTTTGTATAGAGGCAATATGCTAGAGCGGAGGATCTCTTTCCCAAAGTCAGTGATGATGCGATTGAAAACACTTTGAAAAGAGGGGTGCTGCTATAACGTAAGCGGGACAAAAACACATCTGTGAGCCAGAACAGCAAGAGCATGATGCATACACGTATCTTTACTTCAGTGTGATTTTTTTAATCGTTTCTGCATGTATCTTTGTGATGACCAGTAGATTTTCTGTTACTTTATGCATCCCTATCTAACTCTGTTCTGTTGAACCCCAGCTATTATATATCTCGCTGTGAATGATAGTACTGCTCGTTCTCGTATGACAGCTGTGCCTTCATGCAACAGTTGATGGCGTATCTGATTGCCGAATTTCCCATATGACTTTAAACAACATCAACGATGACTTCGTCGCCAAACTTCTCCTTGATTTTCTGCACATTCTCTTCTGTTGTCCTATTTGGAGTCAGCTCTAAATTTCTCACACCACTATCTTGTGACATCTCCACTCACTGGAAAGAGAACACAGGCACCCTGGAGGCTGTGGTAGAAACGGTTCGCCCAATCAGAGACTCGATAAAACTGTAATAAATTTTAGCCTTAATTGCAATTTTTGCAAGGTGCAGCATTAACATACGTCTCGATCTCGTCGGCGATGGTGTCCTTTTGAGGTCGTACTTGAACGGATTGCTGTTTTATAATGTTAGATGCTGTAGCGTCTTTTGGAGTGATAAAGCAGACTCACGATTGCCATTGTGAATTGTTGGTAGGAAAGAGGGAACTTTGGAGAGATGTTTGCGAAAACTGGTAGAAGTCGTTGTTGATTGTAGCACAAGAAAAGATTGTAGAAATCTTGGTTATGCCCTCTTTATATTCTTCAACTCTGGCTTCAAAAATGCGCTATCCACAAATTGAGGGACCAGGTAATACGGGAGTGTTATTGACGTGGCTCCCTATCCATTCCTACAAGCCACATTGGGCATCATTATATACGTGGCAGCACGCAGCGCCAATAAGACATGTAGCGCGCAGTAATAGGTGCATTCGCCAGCAATCAGGCGCTGTTGTTCATACATGCAGCAGCCTGCAGCATCTAGCAACCAATGGATCTTGTAGATGGAACTCGCTTGCTGGTTCCGTGTCCCGCAGCGCTCTTCGCCCCTCTTCTCTCGCTACACCATTGGCTGGAGAGATGTGCGTTGTAACCAGAAATTTCTTCATGCGAGTCAAGCTGCATCTGCTTGAGTCCATTCTTACCACCCATGAAGCTTCAGCTTCAAAACAAGGGGCTTCTTTGGACGTCAACGGCAGTAATCGTCGTTGATAAACGAGTCATCACAAAACACAATTCCGTATATCCAAGCATTACATATCAATACAGAGAATAAGTCAGATCCAGCTTTGCGGTTAACAGGAGTTTAGCGCCCGCAAACGATATTCAGCGCCAATAGCTCGCCATGTTACTCCATAAGTGGAGTGGGGAGCGATTTCGTACTTGGGCACCCATTATCGTGTGTTGTTCAGGCATGTCATGGACTTGTTAGGCTCTCCGCACCAAGAACCACTCCATAGCCCCGTACAAAGCCCTACGGCTCCTTTCTTCAACTTCCGCTGATCGCATAGCTGGGCCGCGCACGATATGCAGGAACCTGGAAGGCTTTGCGAGAAATGCCAGAGTTTCGGCTTGAGCCCGACAGCCTTCCGTTCGTCGCCCTACGAAGAGCGGCGGATGCATCAGCTGGGTAGATTCGTCGAAGTCAAAGCGCGTACTGACTGCGCTCTTTGCCGATTCCTGACTGAAGCCTTTGTTGATGGGCCGGGCACTGACAGAATTTCGCAAGACGAAGCTTTGGTCCAGGGCACATGGTCTTCCATATCAGACGACCTGCCAAATGCTTGCTTGTTATTCTGGCTTGTAGCGAACAACTATGTCGACAAAATCGAATTCAGCATCAGACATATCAGAGATGATGAAGGACCTATGCTTGGAGATGCGAGAGTCATAAATGATGCGTTTGTCAACGTAAATCTAGTCAAGAAATGGGTTAATATCTGTGAAAAGGAGCACGATTGCAAAGACGTCCCTATAGAAGCGACGCGAGCTTCCCGGCTGCCTGATGGATTCATGGTGATCGATGTTGTTGATAACTGTCTGATTGGCAAGACATATCCATGTCGATACCTGGCGCTAAGCTATGTATGGGGCAATAGTATAGCTTTCATGACGACTTCTCAGAATGTTGATATGCTACGAGCGAAAGACTCTATTGGACACATTTGGAACCAACTATCTCCGACAATTCAAGATGCCATACTATTTACTCGTCAATTAGGGGAGCGCTACATCTGGATTGATAGCCTGTGTATACTACAAGACAATGCACAGAATGCGGCTGCTAATATTGAAGCCATGGACTCGATATATAGATACGCGATGGTGGGTTTGCTAGTTGCGGAAGACAATGCAGCCTCGAGAGGGCTGCCTGGGGTTTCGAATCCTCGTCAAGTACATCAATTTCGCTCAGAGCTTTTGCCCGGATTGCGTGTTCTAGGTCGCTTCAACCACAGCGCGTATTTGGACCAAGCCAAATACAGATCGCGAGGATGGACGTGCGTATTACTGCTTGGAATATTTTCGCGTAGTGGCGTGGCTAACTTTATGAAGTTATCAAGAAGAACAGCTTAGTACACGAGCGCTTATTTTCGCAAACCACCAACTATCCTTCGTGTGTCCTTCTCATGTCTATGGGGAAGATGTCCACGAAGGAAACCAGTTGGGGCCGGATACAGTTCTCAAGACCCCAGACATTACCTCCAGGTACATCCGTGAAGGTCAACCCCAATCCGTGATGTATTTCCGAGCTGTACAAGCTTATACTTTGAGAACCTTGACGTTCCCATCCGACACGCTCAAGGCCTTCAGCGGCATAGGTGCTGTGCTAAGCCAGACGCTTTCATCGGAAATGATTTCCGGACTCCCTGCGTCTATTTTTGACCTGGCTCTTCTCTGGCAGCCAGCTAGTAAAATGAGCCGTAAAGAAGGCTTCCCTTCCTGGAGTTGGGCCGGGTGGCATGGCGCGGTGCGGTGGAATGGAGATACCATGGAACTTGCGTCGTATGGAACTCTGCCTGATCTAAAGCAAGAACAACAAGTCATAACAAAATGGATCAGGACGCGTACTTGGATTGACTGGAAATACAGAGACCAAAATGGAACTGAAAGCCTGGTATGGGAGCATAACAGAGAAGGAAAAGCCGGGTGTGTATTTTGGCCATCCTCCGGATATGTTGAAGTCTCAGAAATTGGCTATGACTCTAAGACTGCGATTAAGACGAATCCTTTTGGTCGTCACTCCGACTCTGATCCGATCATATCAACTTATAAATCTCGCTACTTACCGACACCTGCCATGCGCCCCAATTTGACCAAAATTCCCGATTACCTTCAACCTCTATGTTTTCAGACGCTTTCAGCTCAATTCTACATCAAACCTTCGAATCATTACCTTCGCTATGGCTCTGTTGATCCGTTTTGGGAGCCAAATGGGCGCGTCGTCTTTTTGCTGTACACTGAAGACTTACAAATCTGCGGGTACGTTTTACTTGATGAGGTATGGAAGTCTCAGTTTTGCGCTGAAGAGCCTTACGAGTTTTTACTACTGTCGGAAGCAAATTATTACTGTGATTGGAGACGCCCGCATGAAGACCACCCGTATAAAAGGTTCAATGGCTACCAAAATTATGAAGAGTTTCACGTTATGATGATAGAGTGGAAAGAAGTTGGCGGAGACGGTGCCAAGGCTGCTGAGAGGGTCGGCCTGGGGAGGGTTCTAAAGGAGGCCGTTAGGAGTATAGATGCCAAGAATGTAGCTTGGAAAGAAGTTATCCTTATTTAAGATATTCAAGGCAGTAGAGCGCAGTATAAGAGTAGCTTTCCTAGTTGCAACGTATGCGTTGATTGGTGAAAAGCATTGGCGAGCTGCTACTGTACCTTTAATTGTTCTCTTGGCTGGCGGGGCTTACACCGAGTGACAGCCTAAAATTGGGCTGACTTCGCGGGACATAGTATATCGTAGAAGCTCTTTCAATGTGAAGTCTATCATCGCACTAAAGTTGCATTCTCAGTATTGAAAGCTGAGATAATTGTCTTGAATGTATTATTTGTCCAGAATCTATTATATTGCAACACCTTTGATGAGGGTTGTCTTCCCGTATTGTTTCTTAGTTGCGAGCTTGCCGCTATGGTTAAGCTATCCTCATCTATGGAGCATCGATGGAAACAAAGGTTCGTTAGAAGTTTACTATTCAGGCCGCCATAAAGGTGTTCTCAGCTGATCCTATCGGAAATTCAGTTGTTATGCTTTTTTATGACACGAGATTTACCTAATCATGTAAGTTCCAGCAACTTTTAGATGACGAATAGACAGGGCTGCATTTGTCAAATCCCTACTTCATTGCGATGCCAGAGTTGGAGACCCGAAAGCCGCCATTCTCTCCAGGTCCTGTCGCTAGCTTCTTCGTGGCGATCCTGCCGAACTCCGTTTTCTATTTACCGAGAACCGCTACCATGCCGTCTATGGTAATCTTGTACAGGCTTTCTCCTCGACTCACTACTTGTAAACATCCGAAAAGCAAGTTTGTGGGGTATTTTATACCTCCTTGGTTCTAGTAACAATGACGACCTGCCTAGGTAGAATGTCTTCATCAATATGTCTTCGTTGGTGTTTAATATTCTGGAGTTGCTTCGGATTTAATGCATATAAAAGATCTGTGATTGCTCAACGTAGTTATAAAGCCCAACGTATCCTGCATTACCAGGTCGCAATCACTGATATCTGGCACTACTGCTCTGAGTTCTCTGACTTTGTGCTGAAAATGAGACAGTATACTCTTCTAGCGGCGCTTCCTCTCCTTCCAGCAGTGGTTGCTGTCCCAGGTTCCGCAATTAAAGTCGCGGCTCCTGACAAGGCTCCCTCTGGCGTTTCCCAAATCGTCGACCATGCTTTCGCTTCTTTCTCTTTTCCGGCACATTGGCTACCTGACTTTGCTGGTAATACCGTTCGAAACTCGAAACACGATTGTTTATGCTAATCAAGCTTCAATAGGAAACAATAGTCACCCCAACTTATTCTCTCGTGATATTCTAGATCTTTTATATACCAAGACTGGGAAGCGCCCGTATATTCGAGTGGGCGGGACATCTGCGTAAGTTCAACTTTACCAATTAGAAAATATCTAAAGTCTTAATATTGGGAAACAGAGATCGCACTTACTATAATGCGTCCCAAGAACTGTCAATTAAGGTAGACACAGGTGCCAATGGTATCCCATCGGCAGTATACATTGGCCCAGTCTACTTCGAGGCCTTCAACAACTTCCCGGGTTCCTTATGGAGCTTCCAGGCTAATCTTGCCAACAATGCTAGCTGGGGACTCAACAATACAATGGAAGTATGCGAACGCGTAATGAACACGCTTAAAGGCAACTTGATCGACTTTGAGATTGGCAACGAAGTGGATCTCTATCCGTGTGCAGTTCGTCCTTGTGGATATACTTTAAACGACTATCTCCAAGAGTGGACCAGATACGCCGATGCCATCTCAGATAACGTCCTCAAGGGAAATCCGTATGGCCTAGACGAACAAAAGTTCTTCCAAGCTCTTGTATTTGCAAACGCCGAGCTGAATACTTTCACCACGTTAGCTTAACGCCCTTTGTCATTTATTGGTAAAACTGGAACTAACTGCAACAAAGGCAAAATGCGTTCAATGGAGGTATCGATTTGACCCATCATGTTAAATCAGTTTCTCTGCATCAGTAGGTGGCCATCCGCAACTGAATTCAATAATGCACCAGCTAAGCTCAGAGACAGTTACGCGGCTGGTAACCAGGCTTGGGTCAGACTTCAGGGTAATTTCACACGTCACACGGCATTTTTCGCCCAGCTTCACAAACCGCTAACCTGACTTAGAGACTTTCATGAACCACACGGCTGTTGTGGCTAATCTCAGCATCTACTCTCCTGCCAACAATTACTTGAAGACTAACTATCCAGATGTCACCTTCTTGCTGGGAGAGACCAATAGTGATTATACCAACCTGCTCATGAGTCAAGTAGAGGGTGTTTTCGGCAGCTCGCTATGGTTGATCGACTATCTCATGTATGGGATGTCTCTGGTGCGTGAAGCCTAGAAATAAATCACTTGCGAAAACAGCTTTCTGACTAGGAGAACAGAACATTTCTCGATTCAATCTAATTCAGGGCACCACTTTTGGATACACAGGATGGGTACCTGTACCTACAGGTAACATGCAGCCATACGTCCGACCACCACTTTACGGCCAAATTGTCGTGGCAGACATCATTGGCCATAGCCCTAAAGTCCAAATTCTACCCATTGATCTCGGTTCTGAGCTATGGAAGTTCTCTGCGTATGGCGTTTATGAGTCCTCCAAGCTGAGCAAATACGTGCTTATCAACCTGGATGAGTGGAATTCTACAACTCAATACCCTCGGCCAAGTCAGAAAGTCTCACTACGCATTCCTTCTGGATCAAGAGGCGCCACAGTACAGAGGCTTCTTGGACCAGGAGCCAGCGCTGATTCTGATATCTCTTGGGGTGGACTCAGCTGGAACTATACACGGGGACGGCTTGCGCAGTCTGGTCGGCCTCACTTCGAGGTCTTACCGGTTTCAAGAGGCGAGGTTACATTGATAATTCCCTCTACTGAAGCTGTTGTCATTACGTTTGATGGGCCAATATACTAGTAGAAGTGATTAAGTAGATCTCGATCATACATTTACATAAGCCAATGAAAAGGGCATGTTTCTCAATCGTCATCCTAATTGTCATCCAGTGTTCATGACGAACGTATGTTTCTTCAACGTTCTTAGTATAGAATTAACTATTCCAGAGCAGCATACGTACAGTTACTTAGTCTTGTAGGTTTGTGGTGCAGGAAAGCCGCATTATAAATTACATGTGGCATCGTGTGCCATAAAGTATCTTGTAAGCGCAAAAGAGCATGGAAAATAATAATGATGAGCTTATCTATTCTGGTTTAATGTTGAGAATATTGTTTGGTGAAGGGGTCAACATACTCGAAACTATCGTATTCGGCTAATTCGCGTTGTCATAAATCTTCGTGGTTGGGAATCATGTAAACGCCGTTAACTCCATAATGTTGGGCACCAATGAACGCCTGAGTTCATAACGACGGCACCTATTAGGTAGGTATCGAAATGGCGAGGGTGTGATTTCCAGGGTTACTCTCGATCATATGTTCCCAATTGCGTTTTGTTCGTTTCCGCCCAAAACCTTTCGACTTCGGCCGAGAACGCCTCTCCGGACCAGACAAACATCTTAAAAATGCGGAGAACTGTCGGCATTGACTTGTATGGGCTTCCAAATCCGTATGAGAGTTTCTGGTTTATAAGCGCAATATAAGCCGAGCGTGTTGGACCGGTAGACAGATAAGCTCCACCGGTGTATAGAAGCCAGAGGAAAAGATCAGGGTCGTCATCCCAAACGCCATTAATATCCGCTTGTCGCAGTTTTTCGAGCAACACAGTTGACAAATGACCCTATTGAGCTTTGTGAGTATCATTGTTCAACAAAAAGTTAAGACACAAGACGTAAGTGCACTAACAGGAATTGCCAAAGCTTTCCAAGCTTTCGAGCATAGCTGACAAGCTGATATGTATATGGCAAGATAACAGCACTCTAGGAAAAGAGAATCCTTTGGCAAGTCAACAAGTCTGGATTGGACCGATCCCTGATGGCTATCGTATCGCATCATCTCTCCAGTGTCACGACAGCCAAAGTTGGGCGAGTCCCGAATACACTGCAGTGCGTGTGTGTCTTCTAATACTCTGATGAATTCGTCGGGAAATAAGTGAGCCCGTGCCCGGAACCCTGGCGAAAGAGTATAGAAATTTGGAGTGAATGGATCTCTTCTCCATTCTAGTTCAACAAAAGTTGTGTGATCGAATAGTCGAGGAGATCCAGCAATAACGGCGCAGTTTAAATCTTGCCTACCACCCGTATTAGCAAACTTTCTGTGTTATATAACTGTTCCAACGTACCAGAAAATGGCACGTTTGATACTGCCATTCAAGTAAATATTCTCGTCACTGCATAATTGGAGCAGTTGGTGTATTGCTTTCATATGCAATTGAACTTGGGAGCGCATTCCCAGTCGAGCCTATGTAGTAGACTTAGTATTAGAACATTCGCATGGCATTATTCGGTGCCTACAGACCTCTACGCCTGCGAGGAGTAAAATGGCTCCTATGACCGCCACCGAAGCAGCGTTCTCTGGACGATCCATCCGTTCGCGAATGGATTTGGTTGCTCGATTCAAATACCCGAGACATTCTTGATTAATATTTCCATCAGTCACTCCAAGTGCGAAGGTGAGCATAACCGCATTCAATAGTGCAGGGTCATCAACGCCGGTAAGAAAAACTGATTCGAATGCCTGAAACTCGACGACGTCCTCTTGTAAGCTGAACACAGGCTCAGCCGCTTGCCTCTCCGAGTCTGCCCGAGATTATTGTTAAATTCATTTCGATACAACTCGAAAGAGAAAATTAAGATGTATATCTTGCTTACTCTGTTTTATCAATGCTTTAAGTCTCGACGCGTCGATGGTCTGCAAGTCGAATAATTTACTCGAAGGAGAGAGCGCTGATGTAGTGGAGGATGGAGAACCCGCCGTTTTGTTGTGTGGACTCTCATGTGTTATGCTAGGAGATTTAGCATTCTGCCTTTCCTGAAGCTCACGTTTTGCTCTGATAGCTTGCTTAATTGCATGTGATCGAGCTAAGCGTCTAGTTGTAGGGTCTTTCGCAGCAGCCGGGCTTTGGATCGCAATGAAGCGAAATGAGGTATCTGAGGAACTGTCAGCCAAATCATATAGCAACCAGTCTCAGGATTGGCTTGGCTCACCTGGTTGGTATTTCATCTCGGCTCCCTTCTGGATAGACTTGATCGAGTCCATGGAGCAAGATTATTAGGAGGGTGGAATTGGCTGTTGTCGGCTCAAAGTAGAAGGAACTAAGCTTTAGCCCAAAGAATACGGATTGACGAAGACGTGCGTGATGTGGATGTTGTGACATGCAAATTGACCTCGACGCTAAAGGGTGCGTAAGAGGATGTCTGAAGATCTATGCAAAGAATCCGTAAGCCTCTGGATTTTCCATGGACTTAGTTCCTAATATAGCAAAATCTCAAGTTGGTAATCAAGAGTATTGGCGTGACGTCCGCTTACGATAGCAATCTCAAGTGTCTAGACCTAGCTACAATAGGAAAATTGCAACCAACCATTATTTACTATTTCGGAAAATACTAAATGATGCAGCAAGGCCCGCAACCAACTGAAATAGTTTCATGCTGTCGAATTTGAGTTACGGAGTACATGCCGCCTCCCAAAGTTTGTATTACAGTTTGACTCGCCTTTTGTACTTATTAACTCAAGGGAGCTGCGTGTCTTAGGCAGGTCTGGAAGATAGCTTGCTATGACGTAAGAGTCGAACAATAAGATAAACGAAAGACGAAGTAGGCATACCTGATGTTGTCATAGCCCTAGCAACTCTTACAGCTGCGGTAACTAAAATAAAATTGAATTGAGAAATTTTGGACTTGGTCCCAGGATATTGAATAACTCGCCTGTCAACTGGCTAGTTGTGGGTCTTTGCAAGCCTTCAGCATGCTGATGCGAGCTATTTAAAACAAATGGCGGGGCTTCACGAGGAACGTGTGTAGGAACAGTTTGAGTTTGTAACAGTGAATAGGTTCCTGCGTAAGATCTCGAATGCTAGCTAATCGCCTTAATACCCGAGTTACGCTTTTCATTAGAAAAAGACCTAGCATTACCACCCATCTAAGATATATTGAAGCCCATTTGAAAGAAAGCACCTTGTAGCAGCTGTAGTGACTTAGTGATGTTACGTCCGCTAAGCAGTCATGCTCTTACCAGCATATGTTCTTATTTATACCAGATAAAATGTATGAGTTATGTGCCATTTATACATGGCTGCCTAGGCACATAGAATAAGACAATGTATGGTTGGTATTGAGTAAAGTTTCTATTTGGTCACCATCAAATGCATATTTTTAATATTATAACCTAGTCATACTTCCCCTTCTCCCTCCTCTCTATTACATTATTTTCGACAAAAGTCATGTGAACAAACAATATAAAGTACTATGTCTCATATAAGCCCTATATTGTACAGCGGTCTTGATGCCCTTGCTTGTAATCATTGAGGCATAGTTTTATGGCCCTAGACTTGCATATCGATTACTAGAGTATACTCAAGGCGGCCGCATTAGTTACAGTCTACGTACATTACGCTTAGAGATCATAAGATATGATACACCGCATATGGTAACTAAACTGTCTTCAAAAAACGATGAGGTTGTAATTTAGGACTGACCCGTCTAATACCGTAGCTATACTCTTCCATTAGGTATTGCTATTCGCCCCCGGTTCGTATTGCCACAGCCATCTGTCCTAAATCTGATGAACTTTCTCTGAGAAACACACTGAGAATAGGAGAAACATGGCCCAATAGGTACAGCACAGGATATATCCAAAATAAACATAGTGCATGAATGAACGGTTGTGGCACCACTAGTGGCTTCCTGGAACGGAAGTAAGAGAGCTGGCAACACCCATATCCTTTTCTGGCTGCAGGGCTGCTCTGCACTCCACTCAATCAGATCCTCTTATGATATGAGATGTGTCTTAGACTAATGAGCTTATTGAATAGTGTGGTGAAGCCTATGCTATATCCACCTTTCGTGCCAAAGCTGGTGCCACACTGACCAGTGATATCGAAATGAACCCCCTCGACGACATTTCTCCGAATCCTCACATATAATTTATGTTCAGTCCCACTTGTCATGTTTTTGTACTATCGTAAATTCACGATTGTCATATTAAAGTATCCCGGGCATGGCGTAACCAAGACGTGGTATGGCCCCCCTTGCCGGCTGCTCCAGCGGCTGGATTTTAGCTATTACCAAATCTAGGTTGTTGCCTATCGACTTCGCTTTTATCCGTCCTACGGCAAGTAATTGCGATTTGTGACAAATGAAGAGTTATGGTAAATGTAACAGTTGGACTTTTATAAAGCCTCTTTCCATGACCTATTCAGCAGTTTCGCACTTCTACTTTATCCTATATTAGTCTTTCCGTTCTTCTACCTTCGCTCAATAAAACCACGCATCAGCAATATGATAGAAGAGGATCCAGAAAGCCGGGACGGCACTCAAAACTCGTCTTCAACACGGCTAGAAATGAAGAATGCCGATGAAAAGAGCCTCGAAAATTCGTCGGGAGTCCTTGGAGTGTCTAAGATGGCCTCCAAAGAGAATGAGACAAAGCAAAGAATTTCTTCTAGCCCCTCGGAAAATGCTCATTCGGATATGGAGGCAACCGATCCTGGCCTAGAACGGGCCGTTTCTCGTGTTCCGACTCTCTCCAAAAAGCGTGCTTATGCATTTATTACTGTTGTTGTACTTACGCAACTCGTCCAGATGATGGATTTTGGCAGTGGTATAGTCAGCGCGAGCATCATTGGCAATATTCTCGGCGTGACGCCAGCCCAAGCCGCTTGGATCGCCTCTTCATATCCTCTTACTCAGGGTTCATTCGTTCTCGTTAGTGGCAGACTCGGTGCAGTATTTGGGCATAAGAAGCTCTTGACGATTGGGTGTGCATGGTGGGTATTTTGGAATATGGCCACGGCCGCTTACGGAGGCACCATCATTAGCATCAGCATCATGAGAGCTCTGGCCGGGATCGGCGGTGGGCTGATTGTGCCGAATGCTGTGGCGCTGTTAACTATTGCTTTTCCTCCAGGCCGACAGAGAAATCTATCCCTTGCTCTGTTTGCCTCTATGGGCCCGGTGGGCGGAGCAGGAGGCTGTGTTATTGTCGGTATTTTCATACAATGGCTTCATTGGACCTGGCTCTTTTTCTTTCTGTAAGCCTGGCGTATCAAGGAAGACGCATTACTTTTACTAACAATTGCATAGTGCAACTCTCGGGCTCGTCGTGTATGGAATCGCCATTCTTATCATAGAAGAAGATCTCCCTCTAGACCCCACAGGCTCTATCGATTGGGTTGGGTCTTACTTGGCACTTGGCGGACTTATCTTGTTCAATATTGTTTGGAAGTAAGTCAATCATATTCCTGTGCCCTTCCCCAGGGACTCTTTTACTTACAAATATCACAGTCAAGCACCTGTAGTCGGTTGGGATGAGCCCTACGAGTACATTCTGCTCATCATCGCCGTGCTTCACTTTGCATTATTTATACTTTGGGAAGCCAAATATGCTCCAGTTCCCATACTACCAGTTGACATTTGGAGGGCGCCGTCATTCAGTGCCATTGTTGTGGTTCTATTCCTCATCTTCATGAGTCTTGGAATTTATCTTTGGTACGTAGTTGTCTTCCTTCTCAACATCCGCCACTACTCGGCTGTTATCCTGGGCTGTGTGTGGATACCAATGGCTATCTGCGGCGTTGGTGCAGCATTTTTGGCAGCATGGGCTGTACCTAGAATGCCCGCCCAGTTCCTTGTCGCAGCCGGGTGTGTAGGGGCAGCAGGGACAAATATCCTCCTCGCAACAACGCCAGTGCACCAGACTTATTGGGCCATGATCTTTCCTGCAATGATCCTCGTGGCCTTTACTGGGGACATGGTATTCGCGGCAGGCCAAATCATTGCAAGCAGTGGTGTATCAAGGCGTCATCAGGGCGCGGCAGGCTCACTTATTGGTATGCTTTTCACCTATGGAATGAGCACTGGTCTGGGATTCGCTGGGACTGTTGAACGATATGTTGACCCGGACGCCACGAACCTGTTGAAGGGATACCGAGCTGCAGCATACCTGGCTATTGGATTTGCTGTTGGTGGTCTCATCATTGATCTTATATTTGTTCGAATGAAGAAGAACACGACCGAAGGCTGGCAGGGTGAGGATGCTGAATTGAATGCCTAAGTACACAGTAGATCATGAATAGTGGGTTTCCAAAAGTATTAAAATAGTAAGCCTATATAGCTAATTAATCTTTGACTAAATTAAGTTATGGGGTATTAATTGAATCCATATTTGCTTTAGCAGCCATGTTTCGTAGGGCAACTTTGCTTTCCGCCAAAATGATGTATTAGCTAGAAATTGATTGAGCATTGAGTGCTAATTCTATACCACGGCCTCTGATACTGGAGCGATTGTAATGGTTACAAATGTCAAGAGCAAGAAATATAAAGATGATATGCCAAACTAAGCTGAGAAAATAGTCTTGCTATTTATTAATAGACATAGCGAAAGTTGACATTCTCCTTATCCGTCAAATCTTCCCATGCATGCAGCATTCGCTCATCTCGCGCCTGATAAACTCCAGCGGCCGCCAGATTATCTCGTTTCTTGTTCTCCCAAACTAGGTAAAAGCGCAAAGAAATGATCACAATGACAAGCAAAGTATAACACCCAAGGTGAGTAGCAAAAGCAATGAAATATCGAGGAGCGTTCCAATAAAGAAATACTTGAGGGCCTATTTTTGTGGATTAGCGTCAAAGTTGAACTTGGGTTCATGTTCTTTTTTTCTTCTCACCAATTGCATTGCCCGTAGCCCAGAAGATAAAATTCAGAGCGACAGCAACGCTCTTTTTTGTTTGCCCAGCAACATTTCGCGATAGCAGAGACAATGCTAGAGTTTGAGCAGCCCAGAAAGACATGGTAATATTATAACAGACCACGAGTCCAATTTTTTGACTCTTCGTATCTAGAGAGACTGTCATGAGGCAAATGGTACCGATGAAAGATCTATATCGCACCTGAATTAGCACTCTGTCTCCAACCCATCATTTAAATGCACGAATGGAAACGTACGGGATCACAAATGCGCCCATTATAGATAGGTTTTGGTTAGTCAATTTAACCAAGTAAGTTGAGCCCAGGAGTACAATGATGATATAAAACCCAAGCACCATGGCTAGCAATTGGGTCTGTAGCACTGTGAATCCCAGACTCTGGATAATGATGCCTTGGAAAGCGCCCAGGCCCGATGTAGGTAGAGTAGTACAGAGCTGGATCAAACAATAGCCCCAGATCTGGGGATCTTTCAGGCCTTCGATAAACTGGTATTTCTTCCATTTTCGGTTTTGGATGCCTGTCTGGTTGTCTCGGACTCTCTCAATCATGAGCGTTTTATCCTCTTCGCTGAAGCATTTGGCTCGCATAGGCGAATCAGGCATCCACCATGCAACAAAAAGCCCGAAAACGATAGAGATGGCCCCATAGATGAGGAATAACCACTTCCACGACTGTAAAGGCCCAGTCTTGATAAGGCTAAAACAGTAGGCGAGGAGGCCACCGACGATTTGCTGTGCGCCATTCATCATGTACCTGGGTTCAAGGGTGTCAGTATTTCACAGCGATTATTTGATGCTGTAGACCAACCAATAAGTGACCCGAGCAGCTTGCTCCTCCCGCCTGTACCACATTGAGGATAAGATGACAAACGATGGTTGACAAACTGATTCAAAAAGGCCAAGTAAGGTGCGCACTACAAGGAGTCCGGTAAAGTTCGTACACGCTGCAGTGCAGGCTAAGACGGAACCCCATGCAACAATATTGAAGCCAAGATACTTGCCAATCGGAACTTTGGAAATTATATAATTTTGAGGGTATTCAACAATGAGGATCGTGATGAAGACGCAAGTCGTCAACCAGTTATACTATAGTCCGGGCAACTTAGCAAGCCTATTATTATATAATCGCATGATTCAACTTACATCTTGCCCACTCAGGTGCGTGTCATCTTTAATGCCCATAATAGAGGCAAAAGACATTGTACCCTTATCAATGGCCTGCAAAAAATATGTTGATATCATCACCACCAAGATACGTCGGTCGATTTTCCGACGTAACTCGATATTCTTTTCTTGGCTAATGGTGATTCTAGCATCGGCAATGTACTTGGCAAGCTCTTTATCGACTTGCTCGTAATCAGTGTGGTCTTTCTCAAGCGTGTTTGACAATGTTGCATTGACATTGTTCTCAATTTCGCTGATACTTGGAGTCAGCTTTAGTGGCGCCATGTTGGAATGAGAGGTCGATTCCAGCTATCTCTCGTTGCGCGCCTAATGAGCTAGGTTAACGCGATGCTTTATTCAACTCCATCACAGCCCTCCGAGCGATGCCAAGAATTTCCCCTCAGCAGGTGATCAACATTGGGTCACATACAACCGGCTCCTTGCCTTAGCAACGGTTCTAAAAATGAGATTTAGTGTAGAGCGGATGAAGCCGCTTTTGGAAATCTCGCTTCTATTCGCACCGAAGGACGAGTTACCTCGTTGGCAGAATGTAGGTAGCTTTCCATATAATCCACCAATGGGCGTACAGTTACTCTTTGTTGCCACCAAATGCCTGCTCTATGAGACTAATTAATAGAGTAAACTATTATGCTTGTAGCGCTGCGGGGCAGTTTCCATTCGCCGAGTCTAATACCCCGGATTATCATTCTACTTGTATCCATTGCTCGCTGTAAAATGAGCCGAGCCGATGTTTGTCGCTTTCTCCCCAAAAGCTTAGTTTCGACCACGGGCAATCTCCTCCGAGGGCTACGCGCCATTCTTACAATATTTCATGACAACTCTTTGATGTCCAACTGTCGCTGGTTCCCAGCAGCTCAACTATTCACCTCCCGACCTCTCTACGTCATACCAATCAATGTGCATAGCCAATTTGAGGCACAGCAAGCCATGTCTTCTAAAGCACTTGGATTTGATGCAAAACAGATACATTCCACAATACAACTTCTGATCCATGGCCTGGTCAACATTAGAGATGAGACTGGAGAGTTTCTTATGACTCTAGCAGATGGCCGGGTTATAGACACAAAAGGATGGAACGACTGGGAATGGACGCACGGCATTGGCCTCTATGGGATATGGCATTACTACCAGGTTACTGGTGATGCAAAGTATCTTCAGATAATCGAAGACTGGTTCCAGAATCGATTTGACTCGGGCGGTACGACAAAGAATATCAACACTATGGCAGCCTTTCTTACTTTGGCTTACGTTTATGAGAAGACCGGGAATACCACTTACTTTCCCTGGTTAGACAGCTGGGGGGAATGGGCATATCACGACTTGAAGCGAACCAAATTTGGAGGAATGCAACACATTACATATCTGGAAGAAAACGACCAGCAATTATGGGATGACACCCTCATGATGACCGTGTTGCCATTGGCCAAGATTGGAATGGTATTGGGTCGCCCCCACTACGTGAAAGAAGCAAAGTATCAGTTTTTGCTCCACCTTCAGTATCTATTTGATACTAAGACGGGTCTCTTTTTCCACGGATGGACTTTCAATGACGGTGGCCATAACTTTGCGTCTGCACGGTGGGCGCGTGGGAACAGCTGGCTCACTATTGTCATACCAGAATTCCTCGAATTGTTAGATCTAGCTTCTGACGATCCGTTTCATATTCATCTCAAGTCTACGTTAACCGCGCAATGCGAGGCTTTAAAAACTTTGCAGGCGCCAAGCGGGCTTTGGCGCACATTATTGGACCATTCGGAAGAAGAAGGGTCGTATGTGGAATCCAGTGCAACAGCTGGTTTTGCATTCGGCCTGTTGAAGGGACATAGGAAACGTTATATTCAGCCGGGCTATCGTGAAGTTGCATTCAAAGCTGTACAAGGTGTTTTGAAGAACATTAGTTCAGATGGGCAATTACTAAACACATCCTTTGGAACAGGCATGGGATCCAACTTGGAGTTTTACAAAAAGATTCCAATCACGCCTATGCCTTACGGCCAGGCAATGGCAATTCTAGCGCTGGTTGAAGTCTTGAAGGTCTTCATATAGGAAATTAGTAAGAGCTCAATCGAAGGACAACGCCTTTTTTCTTGCCCAGGGAAGAAAAGTTGTTTCTCCGAAGCTCTCATTTTGTATTACCCTTTTTTTGTTTACTCATCTTGTCTTTGTTCAACCGAGGAGAAAGAGGGGGGGTGGATTATTCCCAACGTGTATTATCGTTTCGATAACCCTACGACTCAATCGTCGACGAATTAAGAGCATCTTGTGGTTAAATATAATTAGCTTTCTTTATGCTTCTTCATCTACCATGTTTAAACGCTGGATACTATTCCTTTTATAGGAAATGCATGTTGCCTAAATGGCTAATAATCTCATCCACTCTATTCATCCCTGCTATTGCGACGTCAAAGTGGTTCAATCCTTGTAAACTACCTACAGCCCTATGGAAACTCGGAGAGATTAGATATACCGATCCTTGAGAGAATGCTACGTTAAACGGACGTATATTGATCTCATATGCGAAATTTGCGGCCCCTATGTCGAATTAGGCCAAGGCAACTTAACAGGGAGGTCTACAGAAAGTCTATAAAGTAAAGTCCTTTCAGACCGAGTAGCCGCTGAAAAGAGGTATCAAGATCATCCTAACATCTATCATCATACAAGAGCCCGACCCAATCTCTCGCAAACTAACGAAAATGAAGATCACTGTGAGTAACCCAACTGACTCTGCAAACATCTCCATTTTATCTTACCTGTATCTGTAGATACTTCTTCTTTCCGCCTGTTCTGCAGCATTCGCTCAAAGTCCAGTTCTATTCAATTCCTACACAAACGCAAATTGCGCGGGCGGAATAGTAGTTGCAACAACAGTCGTTCAACCAGGAGACTGTACGAGCTCAGCTTCGTCCTTTGCAAGCTCTCAGTACAGGGGCACCCAGTTTGACAACACTGAACAGAATGTGGCGTTCTACAGTGACGATAATTGTCTCAATGAGGTTACAGGAGTTACGGTTGAAGTAGGCGACGGCTATAACTGCTTTACTTTCAATGGGGGTCAGCCCAAGAGTGCAAAATGGCTAGCATAGGATCTTCTTAGCAGTTGAAAACTATGACAGTTTCTATTATCCGACCCTTGAATAAACATCTATAAAGAATAATTATATACTCTTGCTTTATTATACACGTTCGCGTGAGTTTCAGATAACATTATATATGTCGATGTTTTGTTCATATGGTCTTCAACTATGCTTTATGCATAGGGAGAAGCGATATCGGTCAACCAGTTACATCAAGAAGTTTTCAGTCACTCAGTTGTCACAATACACAAAAGTTGAAAATGTCTGTATATTTATCCAAGACTTAATGTGCCACAACATTAGTGTATATGGCTTTGAAGACTCATCTAAAAGAAAATGAGTAGCTAAGGAAAATAGAAGCAGCTGAGCTAATCTTGATTTACAAGAATGAGGGGTTGGCATTGGTAAGAAGCTGCACGAAGTAAGCCTGGAACCAAGAACCAGCCTCGGGAGCGGGCTGCAGAGCATCTGACAAGCCACAGTGGTAATCGTATCGTGTCGCAGATGTGTTGCTGGTTCCGTCACATTCACCGCCTGGCTTAATCCAAGTGAATGCATCAAGCAGAGAATCTCCAGTGTTGGCAGAAGGGCGAATGCCGAATCCAGTGCCAATGACATTGCACCAGTCACCCCACGCCTGCTGGCCGGTGGGCTGCTTGCCGGAACGACCCTGGTCGGTAATGAAGTAGGTGTTGCTCCAGCCTTGCTGAGTGAGAAGGGGTGAAATGGCGTGAATGTACAACTGCTCGTTGTAAACGGAGTTTCCTTGAGTGTATGACGGAGCAGAAGTGATGTTCCATCCATTGTAGTTTGCAACGTTGGTAGCCAATCCACGAACCGCTCGGGGTGACGATGCATTCTTGTACACGCTGGCGAACAGTTGAGCCGCTGGCTGCTGATTGGCGGGCCAGCCAAGCCATCCTGCGTGGCCGGCATCGAGGTACATGGCAACGTTGGGGAGGTTCAGCTGCGTAATAGCATAGTTGATGCATTCCAAGTAAGCGGCCTGAGCGTTTGAGCACTTCGCAACGCTGAGGTTAGTAACAAGATTGGCGAGAGAGTCAGGCTCTATAGAATGGCATGTTAGCTCAATTGCAACCTCTCGTCAAGGAAGAAAAGCTTTACCAATGACCAAGATAGTCCGAATATCGGAGTACGTCTTCAGAATGCCGACAATGGTGTCAATGTAGTTCTTGTAGTTGGCTACTCCGTTGTCCGCGATAGAGTACTCTCCGTTGGAGGCAGCAGCAGCGCAGTCACGGTCAGGCAAGTCGTACACAACGAACTGACCAGCGTAGTTGCCTCCGGCCTTGTTTGCGGCACGGATATCTGACAATGTCGAGCTCAACAGGCTAGTCTTGCTAAGAGTATCCCTGCATCGCTAGTCAGTAGTTGTAAGACTATTAACATCTCTGAAGCACTTACAGCCACATGAACGACGGTACCTTTGCAGCGGCCGCTGCAGCAGTAGCCATGGCTCCGGACAAACTGGGAATCGCCGAGCTGCTTACTTCCTGGGCGTAGAAGCTATTAGCCCAGGGGTTGATTCCAGAAAATGGGTTGCCCTGGTAAGTAGCAGTTCCTGATCCAACTGGAGGTGGTGGCGTAGAAGAGCTTGGCGGGGGAGTCGTTGAGCTTGATCTAACTGTCGTGGATGACGCGCGGGTAGAGGAAGCGAGTGTAGAGGAACTCGAACCTCCTCCGGAGCCAGGAAGACATTGTGAGTAGTAGGGGTTGGAGACGACACATGAGCTACCAGAAGCACAGCATGTTGCTCCAGACCAACCTTGGCCTCCGCATTGTCCCCTATTGCATCGGCATTAGTATATATATACCTCTTGAAACGTGACATCAAGTCTCACCAAACGCTAGCGCAAGCCTGTCGTTCTTCCACGACAGGGGCAGAGGCTGCCAATGCGGCCAAAGTAGCCAAAGTAGCAAATACACGTCCCGCCATGTTGATACGGTCACAGAATGTATTGGACACTGCGTATGGTTAACTAGCTGGAGAGCAAAGTTGTAAGTTTTGGGAATCATTACCATTTTATAACAATCGATTCATGCTCTTCTAGATTCATCATTCGGCCAAGGTTGCATTCGGCAAGACAGGATAAATTCTACTGAGCTTGCAAAAGGCATGAAGTATAGCCTTCAGTGGCGGCTAATGAATATTCGCCCCACTCCATTATATATTACCCATTAAATAAGGTGGTATAATGCGCCGTCAATTTATAATACTAACGGAGTCTGGCATACCATAATTCAGCCTCGTACGACGGCTAATCAAGATTGCTGTGTTTTCTGCTGCATGCTGTCCCGTTTCTTCAATCGCTTGTTGCATCATGTGCAGCGTATCCATCCGTAGCGGCTAATAAATTAGGCTTCCGCTTTATAAGGCATCAGCTTCCCCTTGTAGCAAACATGGGATTCTCAGTTGAGTACAGAGAAACATACGCAATAGTATTAGGCTCAAATAGTCGTGGCTAATTTATTGATCTCCTAATATCATGACATATAGAATTGTTTCAGAACGCATGGATATTTCGCCGAACGCTAAAATAACACAAACTTTACAGGCTAAGTAACACAAATATGCATTTCGCAACATGCTAGTCATAGCCAGGGCTGTCATGTCACTGGAATTGAGCTCAATGATTGAATGAGATCGCATGCGTTGAGTAAAGTGCTCGCCTTGTAATATAATTGGACACAAGCAGATACGCATATGTAATCTTTGCATCGACTTTCATTGAGGTTGTGAGCAGGGACGCGATGTAAACGACTTCAACTGCACACTTCATACCCAACAAGTCATAAAGAAGATATGACTATTTCTATAGGATATAGTACCAACATCAGCTACCTACGTAGAAAAAGATTTAATCAGTAGGATTTCATATTGTCTTCCCTGGAGCTGTAATGAAAATATCGAGATAGCTCTTCAACAGCCGTTAAGTGATGAGAACATTAGTTCCCGCCGATTTAATTTTTATATGGTAAAGATTGCGTCTTAAACTATCTCTGAAGAATTCTATATGGTTAAGCCTCTTTCAGCCAAGAAAAAGAGATGAGAAGAAAGAGGAGGAGAGTGAGAGAAGAAAAGGTTGCGGGAGGAAAGCTAAAAGTTGAATTGGAGCTAATCAAGACTGATACCTAGTTAACAGGTGTAATTTACTAATCTTCGATTCTGGTACTACGTATTCTATAAAAAAGTCGCGGCTATTGCGAAATGGACGGTGAACGAAAGGATAGTTCGCTAAGTTAGGTTTAGATGAAAAGTTAACATCGGCAGCTCATTCAATTATTTCACTTAGCATGCCTACATCGAGGTGTTGTTGCTTCTAAGTTCAATAGCCTACGGGAATGAAACTGCTCATAATTGAGCCACGTAACGTTCAAGTTGATGTAATAAGGATTGTGAACTTACTACTCTCATTCTTTACAAACAATAAAGAGATAGCATAAACTATATAATACTCTATTATCTTGCAATCTTGCTTGAAATTTACTCAAAAGCCTCTCGCTTCAGGGTAGTCAGAGGTTTTGTTCTGAACCAGAAGAAGTAGAAAAGCGCCCTTGGATGCATGTACATCAGTATGTATTACCCCGCAAAAAGTGGGAGCGATATACATCTTGAGCTGCCTAAATAGGTGCTGGTTCGATGCAATCCTGTTAGATCATAAATACTAGCCTCTGTCGCGAATGCTCACGCTCGCCGACTATTGGACCGAGCAGTGTTAAGTCGTGCATAGAAATGGTATATTAGTCTTTCATTATGGCAAGATGCTGCCGAAACATGCTGCTTGCATTTTTACAGAACGTTGTTTGCTTCACGGTGTTGGAGCACAATGGTCGTGTTATGAGCATACCTTGCTATCTCGGGGTTCTCATTTACAACATTAACTCATCAGCAAGATATCAACGGCTTTAACATTTCCCCGTACCACGATTTCGTAGCTATCTACGCGCGATTTGGGCTAAAGTAGCGCTTGGAACCATGCATAAGCCATCCATTCCTTCGGCACTGCTCGTGCTATCGTTGAAGCTCTTCGCAGAAGCCTCGACAGGGCCGGAACGCTCCCCACGCCTCGACGAGACAAGCGAAACTACCTCTTACCACGCGAATGCTGGGAATCTCAAATATGTTAACCCTTTCATTGGCACTCAAGGCGGTGACCCAAACGATAATGGCGGCATGATCCCATCGGTTGCTCCTCCGTTCGCGATGACGCGCTGGACACCGCAAACACGCGAGAATTACATCTCCCAAGTGCCTTATTCGAACTGGGACGATCGAATCCACGGTTTCCAGGCGACGCATCAACCGGCGATCTGGATGGGTGAAAATGGGCACGTTACACTTATGCCAGGACTTGGCGATGAGATCCAACCGCTCTTTCAAAAACGAGGACTTGCCTTCAAGAAGAGCGATGAGAGTAGTACGGCATATGTCTATGAAGTAAAGCTCGACGCAACGTCAGTGGGTGAATATGGATGGAATTTGACCGAACAGGCAGCCTCTGAGCAGTTTGGAGACCAATGCCCGCCTTGCCCGGGAGGAGCCGCCCCAGTACCAGATACCGTCAGAGATGGGACAAATGGTCGCACGAGGCGGAGCTTGGATAATGATGTTGGTGATGTGCTGGGGAGATATTCACCGAGAGCTGCTTCCAGCAATTCTGGCTCGACCGGTGGAAACCAGAGCTCGATTAAAGTATCGATGAGCGCGTCTGCGCACGTGGGCCATTTAAGGATCGATTTCGACAACGAGAACAAGCAACAGCCATCTGTGTTTATTCAAGCAAGCCGGCTCAATTGGACCGGCCACATCGACATTGATGAAGCCCGCCACGAGATTTCTGGCAGCAATCCTCAAAGGCACGATTACAACTTGGGTCCGGATCGCCCCAAGTCGTTCAACATGTTCTTCGTCTCGCGGTTCTCCGTGCCTTTTGAGTCCTATGGCGTTACCCAGGGCGGAAAAGTCATAGAAGGAAAGACAACGATTAACGGCAAATTCGTTGGCGGCTATGTCAAGTTTAACAAGTCTGTTCAACGCGTGGAAGTGCGCACGGGGGTATCTTATATAAGTGTTGCTCAAGCTCGAAGAAACCTCGACACCGAGATTCCTGACGGCTCATCATTCGATACCACGGTTCAAAATGCAAAGGCAGCGTGGCTGGACAAATTAGGTCGCATAACTGTGACAGGTGTGAATAAGACCGACTCAGAACACGACCAGCGGACCGTTTTCTATACCGCTCTATTCCACGCGCTACAATATCCCAGTGATTTCTCTGAGCCTACTACAAGCGCCAGTGGCGGAACACGCCTGTTTTATAGCGGTTATACGGATAGTGTCCACGCAGAACAAGACTCGTACTATCAGTCTTGGTCCATTTGGGACACCTACCGGGCTGAGCATTCTCTATTGGCTCTCCTTGCGCCTGAGCGCGTTGACTCCATGATGCGTACATTGTTGCGTATATTCGACTGGACTGGGCGCCTCCCACTCTGGGCCAACCTAGTTGAAACCAATATAATGATCGCTACGAATGCGGACGTTATACTTGCAAATGCGCTCATACGAGGTTTCCAAGGCTTTAATGTTACAAACGCTTGGAAGGCTGTTCAAACTGATGCGTACAAGCCTCCCGAAAACGATACAGAGCTTCTATACTACGACAGGGAACCATTTACTCCCCGCGAAGCGCGCGCAGGCCTTACAAGCTATCTTGAGCATGGATGGGTGGATAATGACCATTGGTCTGAAGCTGCAAGTCGAACGCTGGATTACTCACTCAACGACTATGCTTGTGCTGTTGTGGCTGCGCACTCGGGCAACAATGAATCTTCCAAAGAGCTCATGGCGCGCTCGAAGAATTACGCGAAGCTTTGGAATTCAGAGACAGAATTTATGCAGACACGCAATAACAATGGCACATTCGCCCTAGACAGCTGGGGATGGACTGAGGGGGATAAATGGGTTTATACATTCGACGTAATGCACGACGTTAATGGTTTAGCAGCACTCTTCAAGAACGGGAAGAAGGGCATGAAGTCTAAGCTCGATGCACACTTTGGTGGAGGCCACAACATGCAAAGTAATGAACCATCACATCATGTGCCATATCTGTATTCTGCGATTGGATATGCTTCCAGCACGGCAGAGCAGGTGCGCAGTATTGCTTGGGACAATTACAATGCTACAGCAAGTGGATTGAGTGGGAACGAAGACTTGGGCCAGATGAGCGCCTGGTATATCTTCTCAGCGCTGGGGTTTTATCCAGTGAATCCTGCAAGCGACGAGTATATTGTAGGCACGCCATTCTTCGACGAAGTCAGAATAGTGTTACCAAAGGGCCCCTTGGGAGGAGGACAGGCGCTAGTAATTTCTGCACCTGGAGCAGGGACTGAGGGTAAAAGCTATGTCAAGTCTCTCAAAGTCGACGGTAAGAGTATACGTCGGCCTGTGCTACTGCATAGCGAGATTGTTAAAGCTAGGAGGATTGAGTTTAAGATGAGTAACCAACCTACATCTTGGGGGTCAAAGATTGAACTGAGCTAGGCTTTTAATTTTCCAAGTGTAATGGGTAGTATAAGAATGAAACGACGAGATATAATGTAAGAGAATAAACCACGTAGTGGTGATATCTATTTATACAGATACTCTCTCTAAACTCTTTTTTAGCGCAAAGAATTTTATAGATAAATTTTCTTGAGGCAAGACTGAGACTGACAAAGTTGAAACCATTCAGCAAGTTTACGAATCTAGAACGAAGTATCAAATGTCGCTCTTTGGCTACATATTTATTCTCGCATCTAAAAATAGGATGCGGCAATGAGTGCTGTGCAACAAGGCTCCTTGTAACTCAGGTAGTCATTGTACTAAAGTGCCAAGGTCAATCTGTAGTTATGAAGGTGTAGGAGGTGTAGGGCTTCGCTCTCTTTTCTGGATTTAGTCTTCTGCTTTCAGTCTCTCTTCTTTTACTTTTTCCTGGCTGTCGCTGGCACCTAAAACACATGGCTTTTCTCTGTGCATTTATACAGCCTCTGCTGAATCTTTTCCTCCTTTATTCTTATCTTACTAAGTATAGACCGAGGCTAGTTTGATCCACTGACGGCAGATGCAACAATGGTAGCCTCAGCGATGACGATGATGATGACGACGCCTACGGAGTAATATACACGCACAGATTTTTCCACCTGTAAATTATTTTTACCTTCATTCCACCTTTCTCAATTCTACGTTCAGAATGATACCATCTTAGAAAGAGAGCTCGATTTGATGTTTTGGAAACCCTCAAGTAGTAACATTACGAATAGTTTGTAAGGTGTATGTGTACGTTAAGTTACTCTTTATACTGAAAAAGAGTCCAACACTTAATGCTGCAGCTTGTAGAGTTTAGTGACTGATTTTGATGCGGTGCACTTTGCAATTTTATAACATCTGGCCCATAACTAGAAATCGCAAATTCACTAGTACAACAAAGAGGCGGCTCTATATTTCGCTTCGATCCGATCCGGACAAAGATTCAGTTCGCCAAGCTTCTTGTTAGATCAGCGCTTGGGGGTACCTTCAAGTCTTGTCTTATCCCTGGTGCTAAATCTAGGACATCTATGATTCACCGAATGATTTGTATGGATTCAGAGTGTTGAATTCTGTTTTGGGAAAACTCCGAGAGCCAACCCGTTTTTATTAGCGGGCTGCTACTTCGACAAGTGCGTAGCTTGGGTACAGTAGCCGCAATTCGGTTGCTGTAGGTCCACTAAGGGCAAGGATGTACGACGCGTGTCTACCAGGGCGTTAGCGATTGGTACCAGAGATGAGTAAACTTCAAGCTCTGCCTACGTGTGTGTGGGTGATGGTGAGGCTTGTTACATTGGAAAATTTCGTGTTGTAATGTGCCTATCCCTGACAGCGTGGCTTCTATCAACAAATCGTAAAGCTTAACTTAATTTCGATTCGTGTTCTAATTACAGCTGATCCACTCTCAACGAGTTTGAAGTTGTAAATTTAGGTAGATAGCCTGCTTCTGAATGATTATTAGTTACGCTTTTGGCTACTAAAGATCCAGGAACGCTTCAATGTCGGACACTTGACTGCTGATAGTGGAACCTGGTCCAACAGGTAGTGACTTTTAAAAGGGCGGCTGTCCCAGTTCCTACGCGATCTACTTTGATGTAGGATCATCGGACTCTATCTCCCCTATCTCTACTTTCCCTTTTATATGCAGATTGAAAGGCGAGCAGTCCGCATCGATATGTTCCTCTTTTCCAAGATTTCGATCTTGAATACCCAGCCTCGGTGGCGGAGATTAAGGCTTCGAGTTTTGCTTTCATCAATTATTGCGCTTTTCACAACAATATGGCTACTATCACCTCACAAGTCTGGTCCTGTCCGAATATCAGATGAGACAGAAATGGAACTCAAGTTCCCATACACCTACAAACATATTCACGCCTTCAAAAAAGGTCTAGGAGGAGGTAAATTTGACTCAGCCTACTGCCAAATTGGCATCCTTATGCCACAGTCCTACCCAATAGAGCTATGTTAACAAGTAATTTCTATTAGCATGGCATATTCCCCCAAGGTGGATCGACAACAACCAGTCACCGCCCGAAAACATCATCGAAGCAGTACGATTAGCATCAAAAGCCGTCGAGTCTCATCCCGAGCGCCATATTCCGTTCTCAAATATTCCCCTCATGATGCATCAAAAATGGGATACCACTCAGCTACTTGGCACAAAGGAGATGATTCTTTCCTACATAGAGACATGGCTGACAGATGCCATCTCTCCTCCTCCGGGATCTAGTGAAATGGCATATTTTCTCTGGGATAATGAAGGCGTTTTAACACTGATGGAAGAGTACGAGAACGATCTGGTGAGCGATTTTGTCGAGGTGTTTTCACCTGTAGAAAAGGTGGACATTTTCCGCATTGCAGTTTGTAAATGGTTTGGGGGTATTGTAAGTCTCTGGTCGTTACACTGTTTTATTTCATATGCCAAAGTGTCAATCTATTAACCCATAGATCAGTACGGCGACGTCGACACGAAAGCGCTTAAACACCCGTCTCAGTGGATTCACTCAGCTGATATCTCTGAATGGGCCGATGGAATGACTGGGAAGTCATATGGCTTAAACGATACTACGCTGGCGAATATAAGCAAAAGCTCTGGGCAACCTCTACCGGTAAACGCAATTTGGGGGATTGAATGCGATACAGACCCGAACACAAATGCTCATTGGCGCATGGCATATACATATCCTGTGCAGCTTACAAACTGGGCATTTGCATCTGCATCCAACCATCCTATACTGCATTATTTCTTGGATTGTCTGAAGGAGAAAGCTGCCGAAGCTAGAGACAGGGTTCTAAAGCATCCAGGTACCAGCTTATCCGAGCTACACTACGATCCAGTAACGCGCACAGGCCCTGTAGCCGTCACAGAAGCTACTAATTGGTGGTTGGAAAAGCACGACGACTTGAGATGGAACGCATTGACGGGCTTAAAGGACGGTGGGAAGACTAAGCTAGTGGGCGACGTCTTGATTCTTCCGATAACAGGATTCAGGTATGTCTACTTCTGCTTTTTATTTTCTATGAGCATCAAAAAAGGCTACTTGCTAACATAATGTCATGCAAGCCCAACGGACGAGAAATACAGCAGAATGGGAGAGAAATCTTGGGACGATCCTGATGCTCGACTTGCTCACAAAGCTATGGGCTCATGGCATCACACGAATATCATAGTTGAGTATGGTAAATTTTGTCGCTCATTCTTTGGTCTATGTAAGGATTGGCAGAAGATGTGGTAATGGGCTTTTATCAAGTACAGTATTTTATAACCCTGGCGTTAGGTTTGGTTGGTTGGCTTAGACAATATCCTATTGCAGATGAAGTAGAAGAGCTTTGCTATGTAATTCTAGCTTGAGAACCCCTTGATAACAGTCAGCTTTGCAGTCTGATACATAAGTATGAAACAATACTATACACTATCTATAAACTATCTATATACTACAAATAGCTATCCTAATCAAACACTTTATGGAATACAGGATCCAGCCCCATGTATCTACTCCATGGAGTAAGTTCGCCAGTTGTGGTCTTTGTCTTCGGTTTATATAAAATGTGTTGAATCAATGGTTACTTTAAGTCTGGTAACTTTATTGGACCAGCCAAACAGTAAAAGGCAAAGGGGTATTGCTGGTGGAGTTGCTGAAAGAGGAGAATGTTGTTGTTTTGAAATGAACAAGAAAATGCAGGGTGGCAACAAGATACTGCCGAGCCATTTGAAGGACTAACTAGTCTTTTCTTCTCCTGACGGATATTTTGTACCCAATGGGTGGCGGGGAAACATAACTAAACCACTACTCAAAGTTAGCAAATTCACGTAATAGAACGAGGTTTACTTAAAGATTGCACAAGAAATGAAATCGACGAATGGGTCAAGTCAAGGTATTTGTGACTTACAGGATTTTTCGGCCGGGGATTTTCGTCAGGCTTGATATCGTAGCGTAGCATAATCTGCGATAGGAGCAACTTGAGTATATGATTCGCGAAGAATCGTCCAACACTTTTAAAAGTTAGCAAAATGTCATTTCAAGGAGTCTCAAATTATTACCAAGCATATTTGCCATGGCTGAAGGCCAAGTAATTGCCGCTTGTAGATGCAAACTTTGTTCCCAATTGCTGTGTTTCCGCCTTCTCGTTCAAAAACCGGAAAGGATCAAACGTGAATGGCGATTCTCCTGGGTAGATTTCCTCGTCATGATGTACGCCATAGCTTCCGACGCCAATTTTCCCGCCGTAGGGAATATGTTCTCCTGTGGGAAGATCAACACCTTCCTTGGCCACCACAACTTTGATGACGCCATGAGAGAATCCCCATAATCGAAGACTTTCGGTGAGTACACTATCCAGCTTCAACATCTTGGATACTTGGACTCGGGTCCAGCGTACGGATGGGTCGGCTCCATCAGCAGTTAGAGCTTCTTCGCGCAGTTGGCGTTGGATTTCTGCACTTTGTGGCGAGTGGGCTATATCGATCAGTGTATTCTCAAGAGTAATACCCTGAACTTGAATGGCTGCCCAGTTAAGTACGGCCAAGAGCTTTGTGGTTTGGCTTTGGGAACGACGTGGATCATCGTTGCGGCTAAAACTCTCTTTCATGAGGCGAGAGAGGAGATCATTAGGTTGATCCGGATGTGGCTTTTCTTCCGCCATCTTACCAAACCTTTCTGCGCGCTCTCGAATGACCGGGTTGACACAGCGGTCCATACGCTTGAACTGGATCCAGTCGTATTGCGCCAGAAAAGGGGCCAGAAGGGGCCTCAAAGGCTTGGGTGTTAACTGTGCGAGAAGGGCTTCGACCAAGATGAACTTGGCGAACTTGGTTGAGCTGGCAAGATATGTCGGGTTCCGGCAGAGTGGCAGCCCGACAAATATGCGGCTGACCACTCGACTTACCAGCATTAAGCAGACGTCAAAGAGATCAACTTGCTTCCAATTGCTTGTATCATTGCCCCACAAGTCGTCTAATGCCGCGTGGATCTCATCGAGGGCATCGTCGGTCTGGTTATTTAATTGGGTGGTCATGGTCTTGATAAGGTTGACGGTAAATGTCCACTCATGATCATCAGCGGCGACGCAGTTCAAAAATGTATGCTTCGCAGCGAGAAACTCGTTATTGCTCTCACGTTGGCTGAGCACGTTGTCGGGCTGCTTGAGCAACCACTGGAGTTGCTCGGGGGGCAAAATAACGTGATGTCCCGTGAAAATATCAGGAAGGATATAAGCCCGTCCTTTTTTTGAATGCTGTTGAAGCTATTAGCGATTATAGATAAACTGTCAATATGCTTGCTCTTACATCTCGGTAACCAGCCCATAAGAGACTGTTGACTCCAAGAACTGAATTCAAGGAAGATCGAGCTCGAGACAAGAGAGACCCATCAGAGTTGGCAAAGGCTAGAGTCTTTGGAATGCCCTGGTACGAGAAGATACGGTACCATAGGTAATATAGGCTGGCTAAAAGACCAATAGCGGCCAGCCAAGGTAAGGAATTCAAAATAGTAGCCATCTTGAGTCAAATAATGTATATGTGTTGTGCTTGTTTAGCATGAGTTTTTCAACAACGGAGAAGATCGTTGTATTCATAATATTGAACATCATCACATTATATATCTCTTCATAAACCGTTATCGTAACCCCAGATATTCGGCACATCCGAGCGTTCAATCCCACAATGTTAACGCTGGTATGGCCAAGCAGCGGCTCGAGTTCTGGTCTGCTGTTCGGCTTAGCGCGTTCTCCCCACAGAGATAACCACAGTTTATAATCCAAAACGCTGACGAGCGGAGGGCTAGTTACAACAATAGTAGCGCAACGCCATCATATGGCTATAGCGCCAGGGCAGGGCGTGAAGTGGGGGAAGGTCCATTAGGATTGTATTGCTGCCTAGCTTATTACATTAATGGCCTATTATAAGTAACCAAAAGTACCGTCTCCTACTTCGACTTATTTGTATGGCGTGCTTGAATGGCGAATGGTGGCGAAGACTGGAAACGTGGGCTGAAAATGGTATCATAGTGGCCCATTGAATTGCGATCTCGAACGGAGCTCGGACTGTTTCGTCGTTTCCCCTCGTGAGCTCAACGACATCTTTATTCACATGATGCTTCATCTCACAAAGCCTGTGGATCCCCTTTATCTTCATGTAATACATTCAACAATGACGTGCATAACCTCTGGTAATATTTATTGATGTTGTTGGATCGAGCACAAATGCCGTTTGCAACACCTACCACAGTAGGCAGATAGTTACCCAAGAAGCTAAGGGTTCTAAGTTTGAATCGAACATGAATACTTGATGGTTTATGAGAAATAGTATATAGGCATATGTCTGTATCATGCGCTCGTGCTTGACCTCTCTAGAATGATCTCGTGAACAACATTTGACCAGACCACTACCTCTACCACAAGCATTTAGGTTCATCATTACTTATTTCTAAAGCGCAGTAGCTGGGAAAAGTCATCCCGCTTCGATACATTGGAGATACATTACGATAAAAAGACGGTTCCAGCTGCAACAGATCCTATGGCGCAACTTGGATCCGACAACTATCACCAAGCTTTAACAGCTGAAAACATGCCACTACCTCCTCCGACAGTTAATCAACTAGTCCATGATGTAATTGAAAGCCATGCTGTCGCTCATCCAAGTGCTCCAGCAATCGCCTCGGCCTCGATCAATTTTACTTATCAAGACCTTGATGAGGCCTCTTCATGGCTAGCCTCACAAATTACATCTTTGGGAATTGGCTTCAACTCCATAGTGCCAATCATCTGCGAAAGGGTATGATCTGTCCCTATCGATCATCTTCAGCTCTGTGCTCACACTTTTGCACAGTCGGCTATTACCATTATTTCCATGATCGCCATTTTGAAAGCTGGATGCGCTTTTACTGCGTTGGATGTTTCTCATCCGACTAAAAGACTATTGGAAGTCATCGAGGACGTCGAAGCCCCCGTTCTCTTATTATCGACTGAACAAATTCCACGATTCAAAGACATTACTGGATGTCGAATTATCAAACTATTCGATGGGATGTTTTCTGGGCTAGATTCTGTCAATGCGTCGTATCCTACGCCCCTTAATGCGTCTCCAAGCGACCTGATGTACACCATCTCCACGTCAGGAAGCACGGGTCGCCCGAAGGGAGTCATGATTGAGCACAGAGCCTGGCTAACGGCGGCCTTTGCTTATGGCGAAGACCAGGAGCTGAGCTCTAGCTCGAGAGTCTTGCAATTCGCCTCATATGCCTTTGATATGTCTCTAATGGAGATATTCACGACGCTCATTTTTGGCGGCTGCGTTTGTGTGCCGACGGAAGAGGACCGATTTGACGGAATAGAGAAGTTTGTCAACGAAATCGGCGTCAATACTCTGATGCTTACCCCGTCTTATGCCAAGTTACTGGATCCCACCGCAATGCCTGCTGTCCGCATGTTGGTCACTGGTGGCGAAGCAGTTCCAAGTGACTTGGTCAAACTATGGAGCCCCTACGTCAAAATCTACATTGCTTACGGCCCGACTGAAGCTTCGATACAATCTTCAGGAGCACGGATAGACATTGGATCTGCAGCTGTTCCGTCGGGCCTGCTTGGGCGCCCAACAGGCTGCAATCTGTGGATTGTCGATGAGAATAATCACAACAAAGCACTTCTCCAGGGCCAGACTGGGGAATTAGTCATTGAGGGAAACACATTGGCCAGAGGCTACCTCGGCGATGACCAGAAAACGGCGGCCGCTTTTGTTGACATGTGGACTGGGTCCGGCGTCCGGCGCGTGTTCAAAACAGGAGACTTGGTTCGACAGACCGACAGCGGCGATATCGTATTTGTTGGCCGCAAGGATACGCAGGCCAAGGTGCACGGACAGCGCTTGGAGCTGACCGAGATCGAGGCGAGGCTGGCCCCGGCTTTGGCTGCGGGGTTGAAGTCTTGTATTGAGAAAGCTGAAAGCCCCCACTTCAGCAATGGCGGTGCTATTGTGGTTTTCCTAAGTGAAACTATGCAAATATCGGGCCACGCCAACCCCGAGATCTGCTGGAATCAAGTGGAGACTATGTTGGAAATGGCTGTTGGGATGCAGGCGCATCTGGAAACGGTGCTACCCAAGTCCATGGTGCCATCTCTATACGTGCCGATAACCTTCATCCCTCTGACGACCTCGCACAAGACAAATCGTCTAGCACTGCGACAACTGATACAGTCTTTGTCTTCTGATGAGCTGCAGAAGCTCAGAAAGGCTGATGTTACTGCAGCCATAAATAGAGAGTTAACCGCTGAAGAGCTGGCTCTCAGAGAGTTATGGGCAACTGTACTCAATATGGAACCGCAGGTCATTGGGCCAGACGACAATTTCATCCAGCTTGGGGGCGATTCAGTGGCCAGCATCAAGCTAATATCAGTAGCCCGTAGCCGTGGTATTACGCTAACATCGGCCCTTATCCTCTCAAATCCGGTCTTGTGTGTGCAGGCTCGGCTTGCCATTGACTCTGGGGAGGGAAACCCTGAACAAGACATCAGACCATTTGAGTTGCTAGGAACTCGTTCGAACGAGCTTCGACAGACAGCTGCTGCACTCTGCAAGCTGCCGATTGACGAAATAGAAGATGTTTTGCCCATGACGATTAGTCAAATGAGGTGGTACGGGAAAACTTTGGTCAAGCCAACTGCATGGATTGATCAGTATCACTTTCGGCTCCCAAGCGACCTGGATCTTGAGCGATTCATCATATCCCTCAATTCCGTTGTGCAAGCTACAGACCTGCTACGCGCAAGAATAATCGCCACTCGCAATAAAGAGCTCTTCCAAGCAATCATCAAATTCCATCCGGTGGAAATAATTCACACCAGTGATACATTGGAAGCTTATTTGAGTCAGGATCTTCATACTCCTATGGGCCTTACGGCAGCGTTAAGCCGCTATGCTATTGTTCAACATGCCAGCTCTGAGAAGATATTCGTTTGGACGATTCATCATGCTATTTATGACGGGTACTCCTTACCTATGCTACTTCAAGCAATTCGGGACCTATACTATGGGCTTGATCTAGTTCCATTTACTCCATTCAACCGATACCTGAAAGGCATTGAAGAGAAAGATCTGTCTGAGGGAGAGACTTTCTGGAAGAGTTATCTTTTAGATGCAGCGTGGACCAAGTTCCCGGCCGTATCATCTCAAGAAAAGTCGTCGACCATGGACCGTGCCTTGGCAAGCTTAAAAATTGCGTCGAGGCAAGTGAAGACCCGCAACGCAGAGGTTACACGATTCGTAACCATGGCAAACGTCATTCGTGTTGCGTATGGCGCAACGCTTTTGCACTTTTCGACAGACCGTGCGGGCTCGGTTCTTTTTTTGGAATCTCTCAGCGGTCGTAACTCGTCTTTAGCAGGCCTTGATCGCGTCGCGGGGCCGACGCTGCTCACGGTCCCCACGAAGTTGGATCTTCCACACAAGAAATCATGTAGTGGGGTTTTGCTAGATGCCCAGATATCCTTGACGGATCGTATGAAGTTTGAGAATTTCCCATTACCCCGGCTACTGCCCCTTGCGCCCCCTTTGGAACTTCGCAGTATCCTATTGATAGAGAATGAAGCATTCCTGATCAATGAAGCTGGCCGTGACCTATTTGGCCGCGGAAAGGAGGAGGTAAAGCTGGAAGAAACTGAGGGCCTACCGATGATATTCCGTTGTGCGGCTCTTCAGGATGAGATACGTATCGATATACGCTACGATAATACTGTTATTAGTAGCTGTGAAGTGGAGGGTTTTTTGAAGATTTTTAAGGGCTTGGTTGAAGGTTTATGGCATGGTGATGGAAGTCAGCCTCTCGGCGGGATTCTTTCATCGTTATAACGGTAATCGACAATGCCAAGTAATCTTAGCCTACAAATCCGAAACTCTATTGGATGCATAGCGGCTCCAAATAAACAACCTGATGGATCTATTCTAACGGGCGAATAGATTCATCATGGATAGACTATCTTAAAAGTTATCCGTCACACACAACCCACTTACATAGGATATAAATGTTCTCCAAGAAGTAGAAGGTTTGCAACAATAATACTTCAGTCTTCAGAGCCGTTACAGATATTTTCTATCTTAGTTACCACCATTTTGCGGGAACTAGGATGCACTTAAAAGGATGACATCGTACAATACCACACTATGCAATCAATTCAGCGTCAAGCTCAGGAATCTTCTAGGCCCGCACAATATCTCAGCGATTCGCGCAAGAAGCCGCATTACATTTCAGTACAAAATTATAAGCATGTATCTATTAAAGTTTTTTGCTATTACTGTAAACTATTCAAAAGTGAAAGAAAGAATATACAAATGAAAGAAAAGAATGGCGCTCTTAGGCCTCTTCGGTGTGTCTCGTTGCTAATCGCAGTCCAGATGTCCCTCTCGGCACATTGACTCCAGTGCTAGAAGCGACTGGCTGCGGTTGTGGGACAGATCTCGAGACTTTTTGAAACGCCTCTTTTTCAGTCTTCTTCGCCTCACTTGCAACTTCTGCTTGTTTCCTAGCGGCTTCGATCTTCGCTGCTACCTCTTCGTCACTCTCTTCACTTTGCGCTCCAATCTCTTCTTTTTTCACCTCATTGTCCCATCTTAGGCCTTGTCGCCGTTGCACTTCCTTCTGGATGTTCGCTGTGACATCAGAGCTGCTGAGTTGTGCAGTATACAAAGGATTTCCATTTTCGCCTGGTGCGGGTAGTAATGCGCCAGGCTTGAACAGAGGGATCTGGCGACATGCTGCTATCAGATTGCAGTGGAATTTATTGCTCCGCATCGATCGCAGCCTTTCATTGGACCAGTTATTCCGATGTGTAAATACTATGCGCACTTCCATTTTATTCAACTCGTGAAGAGATGTGACGTTGAATGCCAGGGTGCCAGGTACGTAATCGCGACTGTTGTCGGCAACAAAAGCTTCGAGCATGGCTTGTAGCTTATTAAGGTCTTTGAAGCTGGTGCGGAAATCGAGGAACATGGTGATGCTCTGTTTGTTAATCTCCGATCTTGTGAAGTTTTCAATGGACTTTCGGACCAGTTCTTCATTAGATATCTGAAGGTCTGAGTTGCTATCCAATCGACGGAAGACTGTATAAGTCAGAGACTGGCGCTTCACCGTGCAGACTATCCCATCTTTCAGATTGGGAGTGCAAAGCCTCACAACGTCGCCGGAATCGAAAGGGTGATCAAAAAATATAAAAATGATGCCTGTCAATAAATGGTTTATAGTGCGCCCAATGGCGAACGACAGGCCAATGGCGAGAGATGATAGCACACTTTGGATTTCTTTGATGGCGGGAACATAGAGCAGCACTATAACATGATTAGCTAGGTTCGTGTTCCAAGATGATAAACATACTTATGAAGAAGATCATGACAGCCGCGATGATAAGTAGAAACAGCCAGTCTAGTGTATTGATGCAGTGGTCCATATCGGCAATAGTCTTGAATATGTGATGCTTCTGTTGACCAGCCTCAGTTACCATTCCCACGAAATCATCTAGTGGGATGTAGCCGCTATCGCTTTCATCGATTGCCTTGAACAGAGATTTTGCCTCTGTCGCGCGGTTTGGTCCCAGTATCTCGATAATATCTCTCTCTGCTAAGCCATATTGACCTCTTGGGACAAGGGATAGCCAAATGCGTCGAGCCAGTGCCGCCGCGGCCGTGGGATTGGCCCAAGCACGTTCTATAGTTGCGTAAGATGAGCCAGGACGCAGCCAGTGAGAATCCGAATCGTCTGAGATGAGGCTGCCAAATAGTGATACGAATTTATAACTATCGAGACCAAGGCGGGCGAAATAGCTCGATAAGCGTACGCGAGCCGAGGGCTTCATATCGCCTTTTGCGTTCCGTATGATGGCATCTTCGTCTGAAAACGTGTGATCACCGACCTTGTGAAGGTATATGGAAGCTTCGTATAGAATTATAAGCGCCTGTTGGATGTTTTTGGTGCGTTCTAAAGTTGTGCCAGTGCGTCGATAATGGTAGTGGATCGCAATATAGGAAATAGCCACCTTTTCGATCAGGTAGAAGGCCATCCAAAGGGTAAGCTGCTGAAGAACATCACTAACGACGTTATTCCAGTCTGACCATGCGTCGGGATCCGTGTCAATAAGTAATATGGGGTTGTCTTGGATAGCCTAAACAAGATGTGAGACAGCGTTTGCAAGATTGAGTTCGGTTCATTTCCTTACAGCGCTGAAGAAGACAAATGCAGCAATGGTTGTACCAAGAAAGCAGATAGGTCTGCGCATAAATTTAAAGACGCGCCAGTACCGCTGATGAGCAGAATTGACATATCTGCAAAGAAAAGGCTTAGTTGGGTAGACTTCCAGACAATAGCATCCAATTGCACCTACCGGGCAATAAACCGGAAAAGATATGGCAGGACAAGACCGATGATATCAAAAAATGCTGCAAAAACCCATGTAATCTCCAACCATAGAGCTATGTAGAAGCCGAGGTTGACACGCTGAGCTGCGATAAGATCTTCAATCGGTGCGTCATCATCGACGTCCCCTTGGTCAGAGAGTACAATGATTGGAATGAGCAGTATGACGAAGATGAAGATGAACACTATAGCGTATCTCACAGCCCACCAGAAGAGTCGCCTTCGATGGGACTTGACTGCGGCCGGTGGGAGCGGCAATAGTGGCTGATGGGTCCAATCAGAGGCCTCAGTATAGGCCGTGTTGTATTGACCTCCAGATAACGTTGAAGCGGACGGATCACCCTCCTGCGATATGAAATCAATGCTAGACGTCGTTGTTTGCACTGGTTTCCGTGGAGTATATCCGTAATTGGTGTCCATGGCCTCTTTTAGGTTATGAGTGTCACAAGCACCCGTCGATCATAAAATTGATCCGCCAGAACGTTGGTGCCAAGTGGTAGTACTGACTATTTCTAGATCATGGCCATCAGCAGCTTAAGTACATTACAGCGAAACGACAACCCTAGACCCTAGTATCCCTAACACCCAATAGAATTCTGAAAAGCAGAGCTGATCATTCAAGTTTCAAGATTTTGATGTTTCTTAAAGCCAGTCTAAGCAGCAATGCAGTACATTAGGCTTGACGCTTACCTCTTGTTGCAACTAAAATAGCAGGGCTTAAATCTGACACGGCGCGCTAGTGTCACCAGCCACATCAAATTAAGCATATGGGAGAGCTTCTTTTTTTTAAGGGGACGCCGTAGGCTTAGATAGAGACAGAGCAACTGGATTGGGATATTTTATCTCTTTTGAGTGTTGGGTTCATCTGCTGCTGAAATTGATTATGCTTATATTGCCACACTATGACTAGTCTCGTGCCGTTCCGTCTTTAATGTTGTTCCACCACTCGAACTGCCGCTCCTATAGATGTCAGTTGGAGCTATTAATGTCATGAGTTAGCCATAGCTTCAATTTTAATGCAGGCATCGACATGAGGTGAAATCTGGACGATGCTTGAAATTGTAACGCTACGTGTATCTATGATTACAAGATTCAACCCACTAGAATAATTCAGACCTTCGCAGACCAGACCGACACTGCCAAAACATGGCATCAGAAGATTTCGGTAAGTTTTTTTATTATATAAGTTTTTTTTCATTCTGTGAATGATTGGAAGACTGCCATATCTCGCATATAGAGCCTAGTAGTGCGAAGGTAGACGAGAAAACAACCTGGCAGCTACGAATATCCCTACCTCCGAAGCATCAATTGGGGCATTGGCGTAGCTGGAAAAGCAGTACAAGTATGAGCAGACAGTCTATGAGAGCATTTTAACATTTGCGATTATACGATAGCGTAGATTGACACACACTATTTACACAGGCCGACCCCTTTCTTTTATTTCCCTGGTATACTTCCACAAGGGTCATATGCTTTAATTTTCACTTATCAATGCTATTTATAGACCTCTACGCAGTACGCCGTCTTCATTGGAGATCATGATATTATGGTGTCCCATTCACTTATGCAGTTGCGATTATTAAACACACCTTACAAGCATCAAAGCGTAGGCTGCGACCAATAACAATAGCGCGCTCGGCTCGCAAAATTCTACCGCATTGGACCTAGTTGTTACGGAGTACATGTAGATAAAGCGTGCTGAGATATTTGCTCGACTCACACAGGTTTTGGATCCTCCATCTTTGTAGGTCTTTGTGATTACACCGTTGAAGCTTTTTAAGGCTCCCAGATTGAACTTGACCATTCAATTGGTGGCTAAAGGCAATGCCTGAACCCACATGTGGCTCAAAGTCTACCGCCTTTAATGCATAGAGCAATTCATGGCTCTCAAAATGCTACATTGTCCGTATAGCATCGGGCTTCTTGATACGATTTATATACCTAGATACCTAGTTGCGGGTCAAAGAATATCTCAGAAAATTGACTTTGTCGAAGTTGAATAGTAGATGTTTGCTTCATCAGATGAAGAAGGTGATTTATCAAGTTTAACCCTAGCTTTCTTGCATTCCTTCACGTAATGGAAAGGGAAGGTCTACCAAACTATACAATCCAGAATCCGCCGAGATAAAGTATACAGAGAGGCATGGGCAGCAGTCGACAGTTACTTCATATATGTGAGAAACTAAAAGTCTAGCCGGAAAAGGTACATTGATCGCCTTGAAAGACTTGAGTAATGAGATTCAAGCGATATCGGATGCTCAGAAATGCATACCTATATATGGGCGTGTAAATGCCTACGTATATCTGGCTGCTAACGTTCATCATTATCATCGACCTCCTTTGAAACGCAATTTTAATATGGAGAATACTTTATCATCTATCCCCCGAAAAGTTATGGCTGCTAGCAGCATTCTTTTTGCAACAGCAGCTTATCTGGCTGATTGGAGCCATACGCATGTCTTAAACCCACGCTGGCCACCTCACGCAAAATTTCACAACGGCCAAACAATGTCCATCGGGGCTATAAACGCAGCCTTAGTCGTATATCTACTCAGCACACGGGTAAACAGTTCCGAAACGGAGAAAAGCCTGGTATTTGTGGCGGCAGTTGTTGGCTCTTCAACAGCTCTTGCAGGTTTATCGGCGATTTTATATCCAGGCACAGCATGGACAGATCCTGAATTTGATACCGGAGCTCTGATAGCACCGCAGGCCTATGTCTTTGTTGGAAATTTGATGTTCACGTGGGTAGGATACATGCTGGAGATCTCAAGATTGAATCAGAAGCACGAAAAGATGTAGACCCTTCATATATGCCGGATTAAGGTACCGCATTACATATTGAGCCTTTGAATTATTCTCAAGCTCTAAAAATAGAAGATATTTCCACATTTCCTTCAAGACTATTTAACATACAAGAATTCTTAATTGTAAAGTCTCAATTCGCATGTTTTATCAGCATTTCTAGCGATAGAGTGTCCACCATTTGTTATTTTTCAACCTATATATATTCACAGTCTACACAACAATTTGAGAAGAATCTAGTTTCAATACACTGTTGTAATTAATGCGAGATGCACTGGTCACTGGTAACAGCCGGAATCGGCGTTCTGGCACGCGAAAGTACCAGATTGGGGGTGCTTTGAATGCCCGTCAATCAATGTACATACACGGATGCTCCATCTAATATTTCTGAGCGTTAACGTTCATCTCCAGCGCCTACCCTACCACCTTGGTGGGTTCGATGAGCAAAGCACTATCCATATATGGAAACAATCTGAGAGCCGCGCGCAAGAGTCATTTAAGCGATTCCAAATCCAGTAAAGTATGCTGAAAAGCGGGCTCGACTCCAATGCTTCCGGCAGATGGATCGTTGTCGCCAATACATACATTTATTTATTATCATTGGAGATATTCGAGAGCGTGGTATTCTCACACATAATTGTCCATCACTTATCTTGGTTAGGTATACTGCCATACGGATTTGTTCTATTTCTGCATGTACGCGGCCAGAGATCTACAAGCCAAGATACCAGCTTAGCAGATCTCATGCCCCTCTGGTTGTCCACACTATCGCACCCAAGTCGTATAGCTTCTCAAAAATGGTCGGTGTTGCAGGGCGTAGCAAAGCTTGCACTACATGCAAACTTCGTCATGTACGATGCGGTATGTCGGAATCACATTAACACGCTTTCTTGACTAGTATTAATCGTAGGGGTTTTTTTATCAGATGCGCGTCGCCCATCCTGCCTACGTTGCGAAGCCGGTGCAATTACGTGCCTAGGATATGAACGGCCGACGGTATTTATTGACCAGACGAACCAGATCAGAGAAATGGTGACGAAGCCGCCAAGTAAGATTGTGAAACCACAGTTAGCCATATCTCATATATCCGAATTTGACGGAGTGCGAGTGCCATCTTCGGTATCTATTTACCATTTCCACTTCCGACCACTTGGCGTTGACTTTGGTGACTCATTTGAGCGTCAAGCCTCCAGGTATGACGACGTCCGGGCATTTATGGACAAGATTTTATTGAGGCACTACACTAAGCTCTCTTGTGGATCGAATCGCGAAGATCCTGCAGACCTAGCAGTGATTCCAATGCTTGGCACCTCTGCTGAATCGGTTGCGCTCTATATGTGCGGAAAACTTGCTCCAAACCTAACTCAAGTCCACCAGGCATTCATGTTGCATGGACAAACCTTGGATCAGTTAAGAGCTGTCATCTCCCTTCAATATCATACAAATTGGCAATCAGTAACTGCTAGTGCACCGTTATTAGTGGTCATCATGAATATGATTCTATATGAGGTATAGTTCGCCAGCTGCGCTCCACAGATATGTTCTTCTTGCATCTAAAGGCAATAGCCCTCCGACTGTTACTAACATATAAAACGCAGTGGATAGCCCCTACAACTCAGAGTGCTTGGAAAGACCATGTTCATGGGCTGGAAGCTCTAATCAACAATTATGGTCCTGCTGTGTTCCATCAGGAACCTATGAAACAAGTTTTCGAACAGGCAAGAATGCATATTGTATGTTATTCTTGGCTTTAATATTCTTAACCCTGTAGTATCTAAACGTATGCTTACTTGTGAGTTCAAGGTCGTTGCCCACCTGGATGATGTACAACCGACGTTTTTGGAAGAGCCAGCATGGCAAGAGGTTCCATGGTGTGATCAACCGAAAGCTAAATCGATTGTCAATTACTGTATAGATATTCTTTGTTGTATTCCAGGTCTGTTGGAGAAAAAGAATCGACTGTCAAGAGGCTTGGATGTCGATCCAGATGCCCTCCGGCGTTCCATAACGCGCCAAATCTTCCGTCTTTATACAAAGCTACTTCAGGTGCGATGGTTGTGGGAAGTATCCAATCCTTCTTGTTGCTGGGAGATACCAGCGGGTGAAAAACATCCAGGCACGGCGTTACCTATTGAGACGACAGCAGGGCAACCCTTATTTGAATCGCTTTTATTCTTTAGCTCGTTCCAGAGAGCTATTGAGACGAACCTCTATAACTGCTGTATCCTCTTTCTCTGCTACATGGCATTCCAATTGGAGAGTTTGGATGAACTGAAACAGCTCCCAACATCTCATCTTTTCGGTTCTTCGCACAGCGTCTCAAATCTTCATCGATTTTCCGACAGTGACACTAAATGCGCAAAAACAACAGGGCACTCGATTGGCATCACATGCTCGCCATATGCGCATAAAACTAACCCGGCATTAGCATTTCCCAACGAACTGTCAACATGGAATTTAGCAGGCTATGAGATATGTCGGAGCATCGAATTCATGCTGCAGCCGAACCACGGACCTGCAGGAGCTTATTTTGCCATGTTTCCTCTCCGAGTTGCCCAGCTATTTATCGGACCATGGTCGAAAAATGAGTCTGGGCCCAAGCTTAATCTTTTCTTACAGGGCAAGTTTTGTAAATAGAACCTATACCAAGGAAGAATTCTATTAACGCTATACTAGGGCAGTTTACCGCAACCATGAGCGCACCAGGACCAATATCTAATGAGACCAAAGAAGGGTCGGATGTCATTCATGCTACAGCATTCCGCCCGACGAGAGAATTTGACAACGGAAATCGCAAAACAAAGGGTAACATCAAAGAGAAAAACGATTCTGCCCTGGTGTCACAGTGGATTCGATCTATTATGGGCTATATAGCAGACGTATATGGATTCAGTGTGACTCGCAGCTTTAATTAACGGAAATTTTCTGAGGGGTTTATTGACTCCCCAAAATTAAATTATTAATTCACCAATAGCTTTTGAATCCACTCAATAGAAGCAAATTGCGTCCGCTGGGCTGCATCAGGAAATGCAACAACCATAAGATGTATCCAAGCAACACCGCGAGACATGTTAGAAGTAGAAACTACAGCCTGAATGATTGCTAGTCAACTTTTTCTTGCTTTCATGCAGCAGCAGCAAAATCATGCTTCCGATCGACTTGCAGTTGTAAGCTCTTGATAACCTAAAGCGTTTAATTCAGTAAGTAAGTATAATATTAAGCACCAATTCGCAAAGTACATCCTGAGAAATGTTCAAAAGTGTCGCATTTAAGTCGAATAGATACTTCGCTGTACTATAGCGAAGGAGCGCCATAGATTTAGTGCCTGGATAGCTACGTAGAGAAAAGAACATTCATCACTGTAGTTTTAGAAAGAAAATGGATGCTGTTTTGAAGTATAAATTGCCGCATAAACTATATTCTAAAGCTTCATATTTCTATTTACTTGTAAATAATTCAGCTACAACACTCTGTGTCTGGTAAACAAAAAGTAGAAAACGAAATCATCCCCTACCAGACTGTGCACTCATCCTCCAGCCAATCGTATACACCAACTCCAGGACAGTATATCGTATGCTGCTCATCCTGAAGCTTAGCTGCTGAGAACAATGCTGTACTGGCCGTCAGCATCATTCGAACTGCTGACGAGAATACCAGGCTGAGCTCCGCAGATCTTGTTAAGTCCTGAGCTGTCGCAAACATTTCCCTTGGAGCTTGTCGTAACAACAGTGCCCAGTCTAGCCTGAGGCTGGAATTGAACAAACCCAATCTTGCCTTGGGGAATCAGCAGGCCCTGGGTTGTACCATGCGTAGTAGCGACAGAAACACTCAATCCAAAGCCAAAGCTTGCAGTTCCTTGGACACCTTCACCCTCTGCGCCTGTATCACCGATATTGGCGCCAAAAGTAATGCTTTCGGAGATTGTGTCGGTTACCGTCACCGAATCGGTGAATGTGACTGGGCATGGTCCACCAGAGTTTCGGCAGTCAATCATTGACGATCCTGACGCTTTGACTCCGTTTCCTACGCCCAGCTGGCAATCGACGCAAAGAGCCTTTAGCTGACCAGAATCAGCCAGAGATTGGCATGTGCCGGAGTCCAGGACGCAGTTGTCGGGCGGGGTGAATGTCTGGCTTTGTCGCTTCTGGAGAGGGGAATCATCCAATTCCAGACCTTCGAGATCCGTTTCATTGCGATACAGAATCGGGACACGTTGACCGGCGAAATTGAGGAGATAGTCGCCCTTCTCATCGGTATGGACTACACCTTGGGTTCCGGCATCAACAGTTCTCTTGGTTGCTTCGTTGGCAGTAACCGCCTTCTTTGACATGCTTGGTGGCGGGTAAGAGCGCCTCTGAGATAATCCAGGGCAGTCTATTCCAGTGTTGCAAAATTGCCACCAAATTCTGTTGGCAAGATTTGGAAGATCGTAGCATCCATTTTGGTGTTCGATAGCAATAATCTCCTCACCGCAAGTTGTACCATCAGGTGGACCTTGAGTTATAACAACTGACACTGTGGCCGGCATTCCTTGAATCTATTCCACGCACGTCAGTATTATAAGCTATCAAATCTTGAAAAGACTCAGAGGCTGATAAGAAATGACTTGAGCAGCTCTGATATGTTGATATGCGTACCTCGTATCCTCCGGCAGGATTGGAGTTTGGGAATGCGCCATCATTGAAAAAGCATGTACCGGTACCCGCTGAGCCAGCTGAAACCAGCGTCACAAGGCTACTTCCAGAGGAACAGCCTTGGGGATGGAAAACAATCGATGCCATGGTTATGTTTAAACAGTGGACAATGTGTAGTAAAAGTCTTCAAAACTGGATTGGTTGTGTGAATGAGATACTGATGCTGATGCTTGGTGTGCTGTTTCTTTTTTTTTATCTTGAAAGGAAAAGAGTCCTCTTTATATACAATTGCACGGAGGACTATATCGTGCTAAATCGCGTCCCAACGAAAACAGCCTCACAGTTCATTGCATTATCCTAGCACCTAGAGTCAGACACGCATAGTTTCAAGTTCAACAGTTTCTAAAAAAAAACATTGATAATAATAACTCGTAGTAGTAAAAAAATCTCTTTCATGAACAGAACTGTCAGATTGCATCATGAAAGAGACGCGGCCGCTCAAAATGGAGCGAGGTCTGACATTACGACGATCACCGCCAGGAACTTTAGGTGATCATCGACAGGAACCTTATACACTTTCATATGGTATTAACGTAGATCATGCCCTCAACTGTTTCCTTATTACCTACGAGCTGAACTTGATATGTAAACAATTCTGTCAGATTGCGTCATGAAGAGACGCTTTAGTGAAAAGCACGGATAGAATATTGTTTCGTAGTATAATGATCTGCATCAGTAGGCTCGTGCGTCTTAATCAGCTGTTAGATGTCAACATATGCCACATAGATATTCCGGCGAATTTACAAGTTCATTTTCACTACTGCAAACGCCTGTATAATTACATCCTGAAAGCAACAGGAATGCTAGAAATTATGGCAAAAGAACTCAGCGACACCTCGTAAAGGGCACCATGAGAGTATCCTATTCACGCGCAGATCGTGCCTCAAAATCTATTCATTTACAGCTATTTTTGACACTGACGCAGATCGCGACTAGAATGTGTCTTGCTAGAAATCCACCAATCACCGATGAAGATTCCATGTTCTTTGGCGCTAGAAGCACTATAAATACAGCGACCGCAGTCGAAGATCTCCGGCGATCTTGCTTTTTGGGACAATAAGGCGGGGTATTCGAAGAGGAGGTTTCCGAATCGATGTGTTCTATGCTTACTTCGATCTGCATCGCTGATTGACATCCCTGCACACAAAGGGGGCGATGAGGCTTACAGCCTAGGTGACTGAATCCAAGTACGGTTCAACTATACAACTTTGATATCTAAGAAATCATGAATTATATCTTTTCGAAATCTATAAAGATGGGCTATGGCCGCAACAATGAATCCGACTTCATCAACACAATTCAACACGCACTCCACATCTCTACAGCTCTCAATAGCTACAACCAACAACCAAAAACAAACAATTTAAAGCTTGAAAGATCTTTCTTCAACTTCAATTCAAGTAAGATTCACATGTTGATATATCAGCAGAATTCTCTTCTAACAACATGTCCAGAATGCAATTCCTCGCTGTCCTTCCTCTCCTGTACACCGCTGCAGCGGCCCTTGGCATCAACTGTCGTGGAAACGCCAACTGCGTCGGTACACCCGAGTGCAGACTCTCCGATCTGATCTTGCAGGTCAGCCAGCAGGATCCCAGCACATCATACAGCCCTGGGCAGCACATTGCCTGCTGCGGCATCCCCGGCGGCAATATCTGCGCATTCACTCAGGGCATTAGCAACTCGATTACAGCTGGAGAAGCCTTGGGTATGCTACAGGGACTGTCCTCTCACGGCTGTGGCCAGTGCGGCAGTATTCCCTTCAAGGACAACAACGTCGCTGAAGGACAGCTGACTGTCAACTGGACTGACCACTAAATCATCAATTGGCTTTACATTCTCTTTTATGCTGCAGTTCTTTGTTATCTCTTTGCCGCTTTGCTCAAATTCAACAAGATTGCGTGGGGAGGGGATAACTATCTCAACACGGTCTAGACTCTTAGTTGCAACATGAATATTATTCTGATTAAAACTGCTTGGGTGTCTTTCGTCAATACTGGTTATCCACGAATGAGACTTTATTTGCATTAAATAACTTTAGTGTTTCAACACAAGTACCCATGCTGACAATATCTAGCCAGCGACCTACCACTAAACGTAGAAGTCCCAAGGTGACTCTTATTAACTTGTAAACCGAGAGTTCTATTGGCCTTAGTTATTACATAGCTCATCTCCTTTTAATGAAACCTTCGTATTGTTTTTCGCTACACGCTTCAAATTTCTTCTTTATGCCGTTGTAGCTTGCTAGAACGCTTAATATTATCATGTACCTGCCTGCAGTGCTACTATATACAGCACTGTTTCTATTTACACTGTGTTCATCTAGACTCATTGGGAAAGTTAGCTAGCTACACTAATAGCAAGATATTTTATACTCCAGCTTTGCTTTTGATGTTGGCTGTAGTAGATGTGCTAAATCGTCAACTTTACCTTCAACATTTTTTTGGTCGAATGTTAGCCCCTTCTATCATTAATTCAATTCTCTGTTTATTTCTTTATACAACACTTCAATAAGCCTGTTACCCTTAAGTTGCAGCAACTTGTCTTTCCAGACCCTTTCTCCTAGTTATCGTAGGCTTACCCTGGATGCCACTTACTATAATCTTTTGCTTTTACTAACAAAAGTCGATTTGGGTCGTTGTATAATCTTGACCTTTTCACCATGTCATATGCTTTCTTCCATTGTTGATTTTATTTTACGTGGTTCTTTGATTCCCTCAGGCCTTATAAGCCCTTTACTCTTCTAGCGTCCGCTTCTCCATGGACATGAAATACTTACACTTACGCCTTAATTTTCTTCTAGGGCGCTATTACTTCACACCTCTCACAGTCACACAGCCAAAGACTACAAACACCGAACAGTCATGGGAAGTTTTGCTATAAACATCTACGCTCCGAGTGATATGTCGCTCCTGACTGACCGCAACTGAAATGGAGTACTGTATTTCGCACAGAGGCATTTCGCAAACTATCTTATAGTATTGCTGGCACTTTGTATATGAGCGCCAAAAAGATGAGTGCGGATGAACGTGTATCACGAGTACATGTATATCCATCGTTGCGTCTGCCCTGATTCCAGCAATCACTGGCTTCTAGCCCTGACCGCGACGCATGGTGTTGATAAAACGAGGGCTCAACGCCAGCAAGTGGACGCGCTAAGGCACGCGCACAGGCGAGATCATCGTAAGCACTGTCTGCGGAGCGGTGTAAATCTTCATTTCGGAATAATGGCACCCCAGGTTTTATATGGGCCAGTGGATTTATATCACTAAACATAGTCTGTTGTTTACATGACATCATTCTTTCCTACTCTTTGATGGTTTGCTCTTATTCTACGGCAGACTCTCTTTGACTGGTGCCCGAAGCTAACGGCAGATAGTATAAAGCGACTTGGAATCCATAGATACATAGCTTTTTGTCAACATTTAGCAGCTATAAGGCAAGGACTAACATTTGGATACACAACTGCCGAAACGCCTGATAAAACGGATCCATAGAAGAAGAAAAGTATGTCACTATCAGCAACGCATACACATGCGAAAGTCCACAAATACTATCCCGAGTAGCTCAAAACAAACACAATTATAGGAAATTCTAATCAATTTGTGTGATTCATATTCTCTTCACAGAATTTGGGGAACGAGCCGACGCGTAAGCCAACATTGATGCCGCATCTCTACTGTAGTAGTTACGAGGGTATTCCGATGTTCAACGAGGTTTCTGCCTTTTATGCCCAACTATAGATAAGCCCAGGCACCCATATTCTCATAGTGGGACCACTAAGTACATGTAAGATGCATGGAGCCTTCTTTAGCGTCTGGAGTAGCTTTCGCACTTGGAATGCGGCGAACTCCAAGCGACTGCGCCAGATGGGAGTGCGGAGATCAACATTAAATAAGCGCGCGCTGTGCTGTATGGCGCATTCCGTACGGCGCAATTCAGAACACCAATCCAGAGCGATCAACCGTTGGAGACAATATCCGTGCCGGAAAACCGCAATTCAAGCCTCCGGAAGCATGACTTGCTCGGAAGGGATCTGCTTTGAACCGAGATTTCAGTTTCTTATATGCAAACTACATGGCAGTGGCGTTCATCCAGCAAGGGAAGCCATTAAGAGACATCTGCGTGGGGAAGGTCATCATTGTAAAGGGCTACGACTGCGACAAGCTGTCTCAACGTTGACCAGTCTTCCATTGAGGTCGCTACAAGAGGTCCTCAACAACCAGCCCGCTCTCGAAACTCAGCCAATTACACCGCCCATTCTGCACCTGAAAGTCCTCCAAGGTTGGCATTGTGTGCCTTGCGAGGGGCGTACTTTGACTATAAGCCTTGAAGTCATCCAGCGGCATTCGGCACTTGTGCATGGCCGCCGGCGTGGCGATCCGCCGATGTGGGCGCAATGCCAGCTTCAGACATTCTTTAGTGAGACGAAAGATCGACGGTACTTTCGTGTCAGATATAGGCCTGCTGTGATAGAACCTGATGGTGGGCATGGCTATGGACTTGGCAAACAGAATGGACATCAGCCTGTTCATGTACAGTATAAGCAGGCTGCCAATGCCACTCAAGACCCAGCAGAAGACATTGTTTCAACCATGTTAGATGAGGAAAACATCCCGGAGTCTCAAATTTCACGATTACAGAAGCGTAAATTGATTGTGGCACAGTCAATTACCGTCAATCATCCCTTTACATATATTGCTGGAAAGCACGTTCATCTGTCCGTGTCTCGTCTGGACTTTTTGTTCAAATCTGAAGCTTTCCGATATGCCTCCAACCCTGTTTTCGATGCGAGTCATGTTGACGCAGCTCTGAGTATGGCATCAGTCTTTCCTCGATGTGAAGACGAGCCTCTCTTTCTCAACGCTGTTGTCTTTTCAATAATAGAGACTATGAATAGAGGAACTCTCAAGATGGAAGGACTATCAATTCAAGGGAAAATCGTCCAATTGATGAATAAGCAACTTAGGTCTCGGCCAGAGACTCTTTCGCCTGGTGTTATTGGCGCCATCATGCTCCTCAAGTCGACTGCCTACAGAACTCGTAACATTGCTGCGCATGATGTTCATACACGTGGCTTGTCAGAGATTTTGAAACTATTTAAAAACAAGGGCCACTGTCTTACGCCCACTGTACTGCGAGCAGCATTTTGGCTCGACCTCAACGCGACTATAGTCGTGGGCAGCAAACGACAGATGTCTCACCTGGACTTGCCACAAAAGATAAGCTGGCAGCGTGAAGAGCGCCTACAGTTCTGGCATTTGCTGCCAGTGGGTTTTGCTCGACATAGCCATGTGCTGCCTAACGATCTTATTGCCTGCATCGTAGATATTGTCGAGCTGCAAGCGACACTGTTTGCAAGAAACTTGCCGCAGACGCCGCAGACATCTAAGTTTCATAAGCTAGATGCTATGCAGGCGTCTATCGAGTCTCGCCTGGCATTCCAAGTCCAAGAATGTCGACAACATGGAGTTGTCGCCGAAGCTATCCGACTTGCAGTTTTTATATGCTGCTATTGCAGTTGGACGGAGACATGGAATGATAGGCTTATCCCATACAGACTGGCTGAAATGCTACTTGACCTCTTGGAGCCCACAATATTACTCTATCCTCAACAGCTGACTACCACCTGGTTACACCACGTAGATATCCTCCTTTGGCTGTTGCTTGTCGGATCCAACGTTGTAATGTCGGAGAGAGGAGACCAGCTTGGTCTCAAGCCAAGACAAAGCTGCTTGATCAATTCAGTCATGTCTTTGTTTAATACGCTGTGCAACTATGATGGCATAAATATTGGACAGCGGCTTCAAGACTGCCTAACGGATTTCATCTACGCAGATGTATGGCTACGACAGCGTTTGTATATAAAGGAGTGGTCAGAGCTGGAGCTACTATTTAGTACTAAACATTGAAATACCACCGAATAATCGACTGTAATGACAAAAGTCTATTTCGTCATCGTGTTTTAAATAAAGAGCTCCTATGACTTGTAGCAATGGTAATTAAATAGATGATACCAGCTCGCGAATCGGGTAGCTGCTCAAAAGTATCGTTTCCCTCTTTTGTTCCAACACCATAAGCTGCGAGTTCCAGGGTCGACCTACACCAGTATAGTGGGAGAACAAAGACCAAGTCTTCTACTTGCATCTAAGGAAAGTACATTTCTATTAAATCAGCCAATAGTGCTAGTACGCCATGTTAAGAAATGGGCGCTACTTCTTTTCCTAGCATGGTCCCAAATTTCCCGTGAAGAACATCGAGGCGGTAAATGTTAGCCGGATACGCCAGCATGTCTCTCAGAACTTCGGCACGATTAAAATTTTGTCCTCCAGGTCCGATGTCATGCGCTTGGCGGGCTTTCGAATTCGGAAATGCTTCAAAGATGAGAAAGGTTGTCTTGGAGTATCTTAGCCCAAACCACGGCCCAGTTCCGGGTTCCTTATTAACGCCGGTGTTGATGTCTCGTAGGAACTGAGCCACCAGCTCTTCTTTCCCCTCTTTTGCTTCGAGATGAATAAAATATGCTTTATTTCCGTCTGTTGTATCGCTCCCATGGACGAGAAAGCCTGAGTGTGAGGGATCATCTCGCGACCAATCTGGCGACGAATAGGGAAAAGCAGGGACATTATTCTCAGCAGCCATAGTTGTTGTTTTTGAAGAATGATATGTTTATGTGTGTTCTTTGAATGACAATGAACAAGTTGAAAGAGTCAAATTGATGATGGGATTTATGATATATATAGCCTTTTTGCTACCACCTAATCTCAAACGTAGGCGGCGTAACTTACTGCTACTTAGAATATGTATCACATTTGGTTGATAAATCTATGAAAGAAATGAGAGGCGAACACCAACGTCATTCAATATTTCTAGGGAGATGCAATACGTTAGAGTAGCGGGGAAGATTCCGGAATGCGGCGTATTCCAGCAGCGTGTTCCAGCAGCGTGTTCCGGACACGAAATATGTGCATTAAGCAAAGATTCCTGTTTTACAGCTAGAGTAAGATGTACAACGCTTCGTTTTTAGGTGGCACGAAGATTTACAGCGCCAGTTGATCGAGGAAATCGGTGGTGCTATCTCTAGAAAATGTACTGGGAATTGAAAACCACCATACTACTGTTCTTTCGATCTTTGTATTGACCATATTTAATGTTCTCAAATAATTTATAATATTTCCATAAAAGCAACCTAACTAGTACAAAAGTTGCTTCTCTCCAGAGGCTTCAAGACGCAATTTTGACATAAGTAAAGAAATGACCGCAGTACCATGCAAAACTTGAGACTATTGACCAATACACTTGGTTCTTTCTAGCACATCACTTGCGCTTTATCAGGTTCTGCGCAAGAGCCGCTCGGCAACACGTTTCGACCTTAAGTTGCCTCGGTTTCACCAAATGGATCAATAGAAAAGTACGCCTTGCAACTTGCCTCTAGTAAAAAATCGTTCCAACGTTGAGGATAGGCTTCTTTGATCCTTTGGTACAGAGTTTGCCAGGCACCAGCCTCGTTTTCCGCTGCGAGAGTCTCAAAATCGATAATGTATTTTCTGGTCGCGGCCACGAGATATGCGCCATCAATCTGGCTTGCGCGCTTATGAGAAGCAACCAAGATCTTGGGATTGAGGCTGTCTACGACATCAAGCGCATCGAGCCAGAGCCTACGTCTCTCAGGTGTGTTTGCCTCAACAAAGTATTGATGGCAGTCACCGTAGACGACATCCCCACAGACCACAAGATCAAGGCTTGGAACATGCAGGATACTAGATTCTTTGTGGTCTGCCGATACATCGTAGGTCTTGAGGGTATGCCCGTCGAGAACGAATTCGTTGCTGGCCGGCAACGCCGTTGCGCAGACTTGCTGTTCGGAAAGCTGACCATCTGGGAAAAGAACCTTCCACACACTCTCGTACATTTCTGGGGTATATTGCTCGGGCATCCCAGCAGCGACTGTCGCGGTGGCAATAATTTTCACTCCAGGAAAGCGCGCTTGGAGTATAGGCGCGCCAAAGAAATGGTCTCCGTGTGCATGGGTGATGAAAATGAATTGAAGAGTTTTCTTTGGACGGGCTGAAGTAGCATAGAGAACAAGGATCGAGTCTATCCAGTCTGCAAGAATTGTGCACTTCTGAATAGTGATTGGCGGATCGCAGAGCACTGCATTACTTGGGCCGTGAATTAGAGTACTGGTTTCGGGCTGCCACCATTGCTTGTTGATGTCTGAGAGGCCGGTGTTAATTCTAGTGGGAGGAGAAACAAAGGTGTCGACTTGGAGAGGTGGCAAGTGGGCCATCTCGTATGAAATGGCAACTTATTCGAATTTGCAATATCGTCTGAGGTTTATATGTAGTGTTGGGCTCGAGATGAAGAATGTACTATTTCATGGAATCGTTGATTCATTATATCAGGACAAAAGAACCTAATTCATCGCGCGAGAGTGACATATCCTCTTATATATCCAAGTCGCTAAACGATATGTATGCTACGTCATCTCTTAACATATAATGGTTACGGATATAAGTAACTAGGATAATTTTAACTTCTTGCGGGGATGGTCTTAATGTTCGTCTTCATGAATCGCGTTACTTTTGTTGCGTGATGGCACATGCTATTTTAGCTGCCGTATCTAGTAGCGTTGAGTTAAAAGTTCTTGCGTCATTAAATTGATATGCTGCACTCTAGCCGTTGGAATACGTCGCATTCCAAGAGCTCGCTTGTATCAAGAAGAAGATGATATACAAGCGATCTTGAATACACAACAAAAATGGGATACACTAAACCCTGATCTCAACAGTTAATAGCTTTTCTAGCGTACTCAACGTTAAATGCCATACGGCGCAATGACGCAATTCTTGTGTGCCAAATGAAAGTGGTATCAGCTGTATTGGATTGGAGAAGAGTTGACGACACAGGCTATATAAATGGAAGCAACGCGGTATTGGTATGTCAATTTATGCGATACTATGAAATATATAATCAGTCACCTAAGAACAATTTTTTATCAATTCTTCGACAGCCTGGAAAGAACAGCAAGATCAAGCAAGAACTAATTTTGCTTTGAATCAATTATACCATACAGCTTTCATTTCATTTGCTAGGATTCTGCTGCCACGACATCTCCTTCGCCTCTTTTAACATTGGCACTTATCCCCCTCTGCTTTTGAAGACTAATTTATTGCCATGGCATATCACCACACTAAGTTTGAAGGATGGGTTGCGATGAATAAGAGTGCTGCTGAATGCGATATGATTTGGCAAGCTTATGATCGGCAATGAAGTCTACTGTCCTAACATGACATTGACCTACGGCGCCAAATATCTCACATCTGTCGGTGGAAAGCGTATGGGGGGTATGCTCGCTACCACCAATGCCCGACGGCTTCTGCCTTCAAGATTCCTAATATTCTGGCAAACGAACATGCAGCCCCAATGATGTGCGCCAGCCTAAATGCTTTCTTCCCCCTCGTTCATTTTGGGAGTCGCTACAATCTGGGTCCTACAAGCCGGAAGCTCAAAGGGCTGTTAGTTGGCGTAATTGGCATTGGTGGCGTGGGCCATTTCGGTCTTTTGTTCACCAAGACCCTGGGTGCTCAGCGTGTCGTAGCCGTAATAGCAGCTTCTGTCAGCTTGGACTACCAGATGATGGGCAATTCAAGGTTAATGCTGGGGCGATATCCTCACAGCGTCAAAGCCTTACTGGGAGTTTTATGGGCTCGCCAAACGAAATCCGAGAGATGCTGCAGCTAGCCGCTGACAAGGCAATAAAGCCAAGAGTCGAGGAGAGACCAATGAGTGAGGCTAATAGTGTTTGATGGAACTTGGTAGAGCAAAGTATCGCTATGTCTTGGTTAATCACTGCAGGCGGTGACTACGCATAGTACGTGTAGTACGCATGCCATTAGTTTTCGTGCAGAGAAGCGTCTTTGTAGCAAGAAGGATTGAAGCGGTATGTGGCTAAAGTTCTCAATATGGTCAGTGTCCAGCTCACGTACAAAGCAATCGGTCTATTTATTCTTAAAAATGAGGGAAAGCTTATCTGTAGCTCAAACAATCATTGGCAAAAAAAATTAAGAATGGAATTCTGCGCCCGTTCGAAGGTTATCGAGCGCATATATGTCCAGTCTGTCGCACCGCGATGGCATTCGAGCTCAGCATCATTCGCAGAGCTCAACTGCTTTCAAGCAGCACGCGATAATTACAAACGGTCGGCGCAATTAAATCCGACTTGGCTCTACCGTCCGCGGAGTTAGGACTGAAGTTGTCGACGAGAAGAGCCTAAAAACTGAACAATTCGGAAACTGAACAATTCGGAACTATTCGCATACCGTATGCCGTATACCGGGCCGGCCAGTGGCGGGTGCTACCTTGCGGGCGGACGTTCGGGATTGCTTTGCATTAAGGACGCTATCAGCCCGGAGGTAGTGAGAACAGCAGCAACCGCGGCGTTAAGTTGACAAATATTGGAAGAGGGGCGAGGTGGGGATGCACGATGGCCTCAGAAGATAGCGGAAGTTGCGGCAGCCTAGCACTGACACGAGACGTAGAAGTTTCTGATATTCTTCTTTCACACCTAGAATCCCGCCATTGGACATGATACGTCATAGATTGCAAACGCTTACTGACTGGGAGAGTAATGAAACCATCTCCGGAATCTAGATAACAGATCGATAGTTGTCGGCACGGCTGCCGAGCCGGAACGTGCCACGGTTATCATCGCCTCCAACTGCGTCTCTTTATTGCGTTCATGCAGATCTCTCCCACTAGTATGTAGTTTTTTTTTTTTTTTTTTTTTTTTTTTTGTAAAGGTAATCAGTATTCCACTACGCACGGAACTGCCATCTTGGAAGGGTATGCGTCTGTATTCCAGGCGACTTGTTCAATCGTTACAATGCCGTTCTTGGCATCTCTTCAATAGAACCGGCTTTTGGCTAGCTGAAAGAGCAACTATAAATATCTTGCTTGACTCGAATCTAATATGCAAGAGAGCTATAATCCTTTTCGATTTGATTTAATAGTCGTCTAATTGTAGGGCGTCGATCACTTACCGGCAGCCACGGCTGCGACGGCACAACCATGGAGACCGAATTGCAAGCCACCTCCAAAAGAAACTTTGGGCTAAGCTTGAGGAAAGTCGCATTCAAGCTCAATGCTCGCCGTAATAAATAGCTGGGCCTAGCATCTTGCTGTGTCAAAATTGAAGTTCTACACAGCTTCTCGCACCATCTCCGTTCATGACGTGGACATGGAAGGAAATGAGACAATACAGCACCGCTTGAAGTCTGCGCTTACGCCCTCTCCTCTAGGGGAGACTCAGTACCATCATGGCCTCGAAGTCACCGGTTCTGCGTCCAGATAGCCGAAATGCATCCATTCCAGATGCATCATCATCATCAATATCTAGAGGCTTGTCTAGATCCAAGTCCGGGGCTACTGTTCACAGATCCGATACTACGAGGCGCGTGCAACTCAAGTCAGTGTTATTCCAACAGACACTCGATTGGCATACGGCTACCATGGCCATTAAAGCGTCTATACCACCAGCTGTGCTTGTATGCGCCATTCAATCAAATAGTTGGATCAGTCATTTCAAGACCAACGCTTATCTCGCTCCTATCATATCTACCTGTGTCCTGCCGGCTCTCCCTCGCGCGATGCTGGTAAGACACAATATGCGACTCACTTTCGCAACTGTTATCGCCTATTGCTGGGCGCTGCTTGCTGGCTGGTGTGGTGTTCAAGCCAGGCATCATACTACGCACAACCTCAACGATATAAGCGCCTACAATTCTTCGGCAGAGGCGGTCGTGGCCATCTTCTTCATATTTTGTATTTGGTTTACGTTCACAGTAAAGTCTGCGTTTCCTAATTGGGCCCTTCAGTGCACATTGGCTGGCATCTTCACAGTCGCGCTACTACCAAATATTGCTAGGGCTCCCACCATGTCAGAAGTGATTGATGAGTCCAATGTTATTCTGGAGGCTTTTTTGGTGGGACAGGCTGTTGGTCTTGTCAATGCGCTTATCCTATTCCCGCAAAGCTGTAGAGGGCTCTTCAGAAAAGACATAGGACAGTGTCTTGATGGGTTGGTGGCTGTCATACAAGCACAAAGGAAATGCATGGAAGATATCTCACTGAAGAAAGTCTCAGCTGTGGAAGGAGGGGAGAACGGCAGCTCATCCATCAGTCAACTTGAAGATGCCTTACAACGGTTCCTCAAGGCAGTTGGCAAAGCCCGCCAGGATAGTGAGTACGCGGCGTGTGAGATATCTTGGGGCGTCTTTGACCATACAAAGCTGGACGAAATTTCTTCATTATTGGTCGATCTTATACCACCTGTATCCGGTTTGAGTTCGGTAGCAGACATGCTACAACTACACGTCGACGGATGTAATATCGTCGGCGATGCAGGCGATGATGGCGGCTCTGATGAGGGGAGTAATATTACTTCAAAGGACGACGGCTGGCAACATCTCGAAGCGGCAATGCACCAAAATTCAAGACAAATGTCTGACACAATCATCAAAGGCGTTGAGCACGTCAAACTTCGACTAGAGTCAACAAATGGTCGCACTTTGTTCAATAGACGCCGCGCCAGAAAAACCGACAAAGAACATGAAGCCGGTATAACACAGCCAGGAGACACAGGTTTTCTCGACTCATTCCGCGACGTGTTCGAAATTGGCCGTGTCTTCAGTCAAGAGAATGAAGACATGAACAACAAAGAACTTCTTGATTGTTATATCCAGCATCGTCCCCAGGTTGGAGATTTGAATCAATACACTTCCGAAATGCACTACAATACGTTACGATACTTTCTTTTTCTTCATGTAAGTCACTTTTTTTCGTCCAGTCCATCTTTTGCGTTGTTAGTAGCTAAACGCAACAGTCTCAAACCATTCTGTCGTCTTTGGGAGAAGAATTCCTCAAGCTCCTAATTTACGTGGACGACTGTTATACACACCCGAAGCGGTTGCTTATTCCACCCTTTTTTCATCCCCGTTATTGGATTGAAAAGTTTATTGGCTTGAGAGTTACGCAACGAGACAGCGCTTCCCAAAAGTCAGATGCTCAAACCAGCATAAAACTTGGTTCTTCATTCTACGATCCCAAAAATCCTGACCATCTCCCGCCTGGCAACTTCATGGAAACTATCGGAGACTATATTCGAAAAATCAGCGCTATTTTCCGTAGCGATCATGCTGCGTACGGCCTCAGAGGTGCCTGTGCCATTATGACCGTTGGTATCATCGCATTTCTCCACGATTCACAGGACTTCTATTTCGCGCAACGCTTTCTCTGGGCGATGTTTGCCATTGTACTTTCCATGGCCCGCACCACTGGATCATCAACTTTTCTTTTACTCGGCCGGGTACTTGGTACAATTGCTTCAATGATAGCAAGCTACATCATTTGGTATGTAGTCGACCAAAAGACTCCTGGCATACTGGTCTTACTTTGGCTGTGGTTCCTTGTCCTTGGCTATTTATGTAAGTTTATATATAATCATTTACGATGTAATCATTGTCTTATGCTTCTCAGTCGTCAAATTTCCCGATTTCTTCAGCATATGGTTTGTTGCTCTCATCGCTTCAATTGTGATGATAGCGAATGAACTTCAAGTACGCAAACTGGGAGAAGCAGCCATCATACAATCCGGCCAAGCTGTCTATCGGCCATATATCATATTTCCCTATCGGCTCGCTGTCGTCACCCTTGGTGTCCTCATTGGCTACTTCTGGACAATATTCCCGTATCCTCTGTCCGAGCATTCTGAGCTCCGCGAGAATATGGCCAAAGCCATGTATGGGCTTGCACGCTACTACATGTGCATCCAGCAAACGATCCTTGCACGTCTCAGTGGCAATTTCGGCGACATTAGCGATAAAACAAGCCCCGGGTTTCACCTTCAGGCGGCTCGCCGCCGCATTTTCCACAAGTACCAAACCCTGAGCACTAGAGCTAAAACAAGCTACCAGTTCCTTGACTGGGAGTTTTCGCTTGGCGGCCGCTTTCCCAAGCAAACATATGGCGAGATGCTCTCCATTCTCGAGCGACTCGTAAGCTACATGACTCTAGCAAGCTATGTGTCCCGGGATCTGAAAGCCCCGGATGCCACCGCGTCTTGGTGGGCCCACGACCCAACCGGTGCAGCTCAGGCTCATTTGACCCCAGGAGGCGTCACAACGAGAATGATCATACTGCATTCTGCGCTAAGTCGAGCCCACCCGCTGCCGCCAGAATTAGCAGATTTAAGTATACCTCACCTGGGTGATTTCTTAACCAGGGATGTACCTACAGATGAGAGATTCGCAGCTGCGGCGCTGATTCATAGTGTCAATTGGTATTTGATACGCGAAATCAATCGTTTGACTGAGTGAGTAAGAGTTTTTATTGATGCCATGCATGCATGTTTTTACTGCCTCTTGCCTTCTTCTCGTTCTTCCTCTTTCTGTCTGCCGTAGCAGAATAGAGCTTCATGCTAACACAGCTGCGCATCTAGGTTGGCAAGGGAGCTCGTCGGAGAATTGAACTTCTCCTTCGTTATTATTCATGATGATTATGTCGAAGACGGTCAATAGCAACGGTAGCACTAGTTATCCATTTGTGAAAGCGATATTGCCAGTCTAGCATTGTACTTATAAATTGTAGCTTCTCTTGCTGCAAATAACGACATCACTTGCCATCTACCTACCAATGCTTATAGTTTGTACTACATAATACAAGAATGCCAATCGAGAGAGCCTGGTTTTATCGAGCGTTAGAAGAGGTATTAGGTAAGTTTTTTTTTTTTTTTTTTTTTTTTTCTTGTACGTAGCTCGAGTTGAGCAAACTTTGACCCTTTGCATGCGATACATTTCCCGCCCAGAGCCAGGGATGTTTCCGTGACCGCCAGCACCAAATTAACGAATCCGATCAATCTGCTTCAGCTAGACTTTCTGCGCTGCTGATTTCGATTCGAGGCTACTCTTATCTTCGATCGATGGTTTGCTTGGGAAGAAAAAGGATCATATTGAAAATCATTGCTACGCTGCGGATTGCTTGTGAAGGCCTCCAGCCGAAATTTAAGAGCTTTGGGTAAGCTGGAATGAGAACCGGGTTTGGCTTGCTGGTTCCCTCTGGTAAAATGAAGCAATGGCGAATATTAATCTTGCGCTCATAAATAATATTCAGTGGTCTAAATTGGAAAACTTGGCAATTCCCCCTTCTATGTAGAGTTACATCACGTTTTGCTTGTACGCGCCAATCACTTTCAAAAACGAAAAATTAAAATTGTACTGTTTATAGAACCTTCCGCAATTTCCTGTCTTCATTGTTTCAATGGCCTATGCTTAACTATCTTGGGTTTATAAGCTGGTGCGCTGGTACATGTACACAGATGAACATCTGAAAATGACAGTCCAGCCTCACTGAATCTCAGGCACCTCAATTAGCAGAGACTCCTAAAGCCTTGTTAAAAGCATCTGCTGCAGCCTGGCCCTGCAACTGGGAGGCCGCTGCAGAGGCACTTTGACACGTCGACACTACTGCGGCACCGGCTTTGCAGCTAGAGTTGAGTCGATCGCAAATGAAGTCTGCAATGACCTTGATGTTCAAAGCTGAGCCGTGATTGAAGTCAGCTTCATCTACTGGGGCAAATGCAGGCTCCGTACGGCCATCAAGGCCATTGGCGAACTTGATGCTGGGGTTGGAGCATGAGCCGAAACTTCCAGCAGCGCCGGCTGCATTTCCATTCGCAGCGGTACCGCTAGCAGCGCTGCTATCAGTGGCCGTGTTGTTTGCCGCGCTGCTGTCATTGTTGCTGGTAGCACCAGATGCAGCGGCTGCTGTGCACTGGGTGTTCTGCGTATCACATTGACCAACTCCCCCGGAGAGCTTGCCAGAGTTGGCGTCATTGGCACACGCGTTGTGCTGGATACTGCATGATCGTTGCAGAGCGGCTCCGACGGTGACAAAGGTATCTCCATTGACAGAAAACGGTCGGTTTCCCGTGCCTGAAACGACAGGCGGAGGGGGGCCGCCAAGGGTGCCGGTAAACGCCTGGACGTTGTTTCCACTAGCTGTTGAAGTTGAAGTCTCACTGCTGCTAGAGGCTCCGGTTTGAGAAGCTGCGTTACCAGCTTGAGAAGCCGTGGTGGGAGTTGCTGCCGCAGCTGCCTGTGAGGTCGTCGCGACATTCGCACTCGGCGTTGGAGCAGCGCCACTACCTTGAGCGTTGGCAATCGAGAATTTACTCAAGTCAACCAAAGCTGTGGCTTGAATGCCGCCAGTGCCAGTAAACGTTTGGGATACAGCAGCAACCGCGGAAGCGACTTCATCTTGGCTCGCATCGAGAACAAGCGTGCCTGTTGAGTAGATGCATCCAAGAGTAGGATCAGGGTCGTCACAAGCTTTGCCTTTGCCTGTTGCATCATTAAGCTAGGTGTTTGTTAGTCACAAATGGTTCTAGATACTCAATGGGGGGAGAAACGTACATCTCCTGGAGCAAAGGTACCGCTCAGAAGAGCGAGATTGGGATCTGCGCCGATAGCTTTGAGCTGCTTCGCGAGCTCAAGAGTGATACCCTTGTTAATAGAAGCAGCATTGGCAGATGCTGGGTCTTGGTGAGGCTTTACAGCTTGGATTTCGGGGTTGACAGCTTGCTCAGTACAAGTCACACTTGCCAGCCCGACTTTACCAGTATTCCTCTCCAGGGCCTGGTATACCAACGCTCCAGCCATCAATCGAATATCTCCAGCAGCTTTGCCGTTGGTAAAAGCCTGATCGGCTGTCTCTTGTTTGAGGCAGTCAAGATTGGTTACGCTTCCAGCGCCGCCTGCAGCCGCTGCATTACCAAGAAGTCCAAATACAGCATCTGTGATGCCCTTGGGGTTGCTCTTCGCTAGAGCTTCGTTGGTAATGGAGAGGAAAACATCATGGGAATGCTCCTGGGGAACCTCCCGGCGAAATATGTTTGAAGACGGCAGAGGTAGGGCAAAAGCTTGGCCTAGCAGCAAAGCTGCGGCTGTAGAGGTGCTTTGGAACTTCATTGCGATTGGAGGGAAAAGACGATTAAAATCTGTAAAGCAGGAGGATCTTCTAAGCAGCAAATAAAGAATAAAACGGAAGTAAAGAGTGTCAAACTCGCAATGAATAAACCAGCCTGCTGGATAAGAAGAATCGAAACGAAAACAATAAGACAAGAAAGAACAAGCAATGGTGCAAGACAATCTCCAAAATACAGCACCGGCTGGCGACTGAGACAATATATACAATATTTCGTGGTTCTAGACTTTCCATCGACCCCTAAAATCACCCCATAAGTGTCGTTTCCGTAGCCGCTTTATTGCTCGTTTCATAAACCCATCCGGGCGGTTAACTATTCTATCCAGGAGCCCGGACAAGGAGATATGGAAACAGCACGTCAAATTGTCCGACGCCTTCTCCTTGATTCTTATATTCCTGGTCTCATGTGCCTGGAGTGGATTCCCCAAGGCCGCCTGAAACAGTTGGTGTTTGCAGTGGGGTAGTCGGTTAGAGGAACAATACGCAGGGTCCACAATAGCAGCAATTCAGTCTTGACAGTTCACTAGTATTTTCAATCGGTATTGGACATGTTCGTTGACTCTATTAACTCTATGAATGATCAAACACTCTTCTCCTTGTTTAATGGCCATGGCATTGGAAGACAATTCTACACTGGATAGATTTCTTGTGTAATTTTGTAGGGGCCTGCAGCTAGGGGGATTTGCGGGATTAGAGAAATTGTAATTTGAATCAAAACTCGTTTAGTATTTTGAGTTGCATGTTTCATATAAACTACCAAGGTCTACGCTATGATACCTAGCCGTCATGTGGAAAATACATAGAAAAGGCAAGTAGCAGTATTTAAACAACATTTTAGGGTTATTTAACTAATTTGATAGCACTGCCATGGCTTTCCCGTGGCTACAGACCCAATATGATCCCTGTAGAACTAGTGGCCGCCTGTTTTTGTAGATATTCTACAATTAACTACCCTATTTCTTGTTTCCTACTTCCGCAATTACCAACATTGGTCAGTCTTCTCATTCTTCTTTACGCAGTCGCATGGGATACAGCAATAATAAATAATTCTTGTAGAATTATTAGCTATTAGTACATCTTACCGCCGCCTAAGCTCTACAATTCGATTCGTGTTGCTTGACAACTCATTGATTCGCAAATATAACCACTTGCGAGAGTATTACTCAACGTTTTATTAACTCCAAAAAGTCTAATACGTCAAAGGCTCATGGTTCTAACCAGTAGCTAATGACTTATAACCACCTACATACAATATCCATTCAAATTATCAGCTGATTCTTTTCTCTGTCACTTTTTTCCGCCTGTCTATTATAACAATCAATGATCCCATCCTGATAAACATGTGGGCCATATATGGGACTACGGCCACTCATAAGCTGACGGGATTAAACTTTATATAGGGAAACACTCCACTGTAGTTCACTATACTACTCCACTGCAGTTTAGGCTGCACTCGGAGCCAATGCTCCGAACACTTTTGAACACCTACAATATGATATCGTGGGTATTTTGACTACATATACAGGAGAACAGCGATAAAAATCCAGAGCGAAGATCAATTATGGGTACCAAAAGTCATGACGTTGTACACGCCTCCATGGCCATAGACCTAGATACTGAAATTTGGCGGTATTTAAAGATAAAGGTTGGTCCTGCAGCGTCAGATGAATCACACTTTTAAGAATTTTCTTTACTTTAAATTGTGAGAAAGGAACAAAAAAACCTCCAATGGCTTTCAAACTACCCTTTAAGCACTGCACTCCTCAGAGTCGAAGCCAGATAACTGCTGCACGACGGGGAATGCGGCAAGCAGTCTCTATCAGAACTCCTGTGGTAGCTTGTAAACCATGGACAGCTTGTGGCAATAATGAACGCTGCTATACGACTGCGAGAGTGTCTGGATCAAACATCACTGGGTTGCCAAAAGAAGCCGAGGTTGGCACTAAGCGATTCGCCGACTTTGATCTCGCTGGCAAAACATTCGTTGTAACGGGTGGTGCTCGAGGCTTGGGCTTAGCCTTGGCAGAAGCACTTGTAGAGGCGGGTGGTAAAGGTATTATCAAGATTTCTTCTAGCCACGAGAAGTACGCAGTGTTTGACGATGTTATAGTCTACTGTCTCGACCGGCTACCACAGCCCGACCAGGAATGGCAAAGGGCCGCTCAGCGTGTCATTCCAGAATGGGGTGGCTCATTGAAATACAGGCAATTGGATGTTAATAACACTTCAGATCTGAATGAGATCATTGAGGGCATTGCGCACCAAAATGGGGGCATACAGGGAGTTATTGCCGCTGCTGGTATACAGCAGCTTACGCCGGCAATAGAGTATAAGGAGGAGGATATCAATAAGATGCTGCAAACAAACTATACAGCAGCATTCATGACAGCACAGGCCGCTGCCAGGATGATGCTCAAGTATAAAAGTCATGGAAGTATTTGCTTTGTGGCTAGCATGTCCGGTTCTGTGGCGAACAAAGGATTACTGTCGTCGGCTTATAATTCTTCTAAAGCGGCGCTGATACAACTGGCGCGAAATCTTGCCATGGAGTGGAGTGATACTACAACTAACAACGGGGGCGGTATTCGAGTTAATTGCCTGAGTCCAGGACACATAATCACACCGATGGTTCTGAAAAACTTTGAGGAGGTGCCGGGCTTAAGAGACACATGGAGTCAAGCCAACATGATGAACCGACTGGCTGAAACAAGCGAGTTTAAGGGTGCGGCGCTATTTTTAATGAGTAACGCGAGTACCTTCATGACGGGGAGTAATTTGATTATAGATGGTGGTCATACGGCTTGGTAAAGGTCTATTACGAAAGGCCCAGCTTTTACCAACGGCGGGAACCCTCATGTTATATGACTTATAATAAAAATTGTCTTTGGAACTCGACAAATCAACACTTGAGCTCCTTCTCGTGACAAGTTAATACATGATACCAAATAAATAGTAAAACACGAAACGCTGAGAAAACAAACAAATTTAAACGTAAAACCCATAATTTTCACTATTGAGCATTTAATATCATGACATCTATATATTGGCAAATCACCGCTACCCGAATACTAGACAAATAATCATGATAATAGTCTTTTCTTTTTTCGGTTTACCTGTTGTCTTTTTCTTTCGTAAATAGTTCTACAGCGCGGTAAATTCAGTAAATGAGAAACATAAAACTATGCCTTTTTAAGCGCATGGTCTTCATACGGTTTGATGCACAGACAAGTGCGGCGGTATGTGACCATGACCGCAAAGTATAATGCTGTTTAATTTTTTAGATCCGTGTAATCAGCATCAGGCACATAAGCCTCTTTGAGCGAAGCCTGGGTATAGCCACGAGGACTAGTATTGTTCTACACGATGTCAATAGATGCATACGTGCCTTCGGCTTCGGGCTTCCTTACCGCTGTACCCCTCAGAGAACAACCTAACTATGTGCAGCTGGGCCGGTAATTTCCATATTTCAGCCACCTCATTCACTTTTACGCAACAATAATGATGTTCATATTCCGCGCTAAACGCAGGGACGATAATAGGTACGACCATATGATGCCAATCTCGAAGCAGGATCCCAAAGTCTTAAGTGGCCCTATACCTCGACATTACGCAGCATAATCGGGTACCCTCGGAATGTTACGTAAACATAGCAGCCTCGCAACCAACGTTAAGCTTGTTGCTGTTTAGCCCCCAAGAGATTTTCCTTAAGAGGTAATGGGACAAGGTTTGGGAGGTTGAATAGCCCCCAATATTACGATTGAAATCATGTAATTGCCGACGATTAGTATCCTAGGGCAGGCTTAGTATACATTAGCGGCATTCTAGATCCTAGATTGCCCTGCCCTGTCATATAGACGGTGTTGGAGGGCAAACAGTCAAGCAAACTAGATAAACAAAGTGAGTGCCTTTCTTTTTCCCACTCCATGTTTTGTTCGAACCTTGACTCAAAGAAATAACTGTTATTCTCACTATCCCTCTCATTAGGAATACTACGCAATTTTTTTTTTTTTTTTTTTTTTTTGCGGTCTTAAGCATTCACATCATGGCACCATCGGCGCATCTGACTTCAGTCACGAATTGTGATGAGGAAAGTGCTGAAAAAGTGCAAGGGGTATACCAAAGCCTTGCGCCCAGGCTCGCTAATCCTGTGAGGAGCAGAAGAAGATCCATCTTTCAGATAATAGCGAGTGCTAACGACTACAATTTAACCCTTCATAGTCTCCCCTTGCCATGGGCGGTTTTGCAACGAGTCTTCTCACCGTTTCTCTTGCTATGATGGGCTTCCGAGGCGTTTCGAACCAGACCGTCTTCGTCGGAGACCTATGCTTCGTCGCCTGCATTGCGTTACTTATATCGGCCCAGTGGGAGATGGTGCGTGGTAATACCTTCTCGTACACAGTACTCAGTGCCTTCGGTATGTGATGTTCTCCCTCCCCACTAAAGAAAAGAGATTCCGATCTCGTGTCTTGTTTAATCTAACATTTATCGTGTGTATTTGAAAAGGCCTTTTTTACGGTGGCTATGGTGCAATAATGATACCCTCTTTGGGTGTCGCCGAAGCATTTGGCGGCTACACGCCTGAATATTACAATTCCATGGGCTTTTTTATTTTAAGTATACAATATGTTCATGGTTCCACATTTTAATGTTGTCGAGTTAACCTCATTTGCAGTTTGGGCTGTTCTCAATATCTTCTTCCTCGTAGCAAGCGTTGCCTTGTAAGTGAAGATCAGATTCTGAGGTAGATGAATTCAGACTAATAACTTCTAGTAATATCGTATACATTTGCATATTCCTCACTATTGAGCTTTGCTTTACTCTTGAAGCAAGCTCATACTTTACACTTGCGGATGGAAATGCGAACTTGAGTGTCGCGCTTATGAAAGCCGCTGGAGTGTTCGGATTTTTGGCAGGATTGCTAGGCTTCTATGCGACGGCACACTATTTATGTCAAGATGTCCTTCCATTCGATATTCCAATGGGAGACACTTCTAGAGTAGTAAAGCGGTGGACAAAGGCAAAGAATGTAGTATAGGAAAAATAGAGTGCTGTAGTGCTACGAGCGTCGCTCATATTGTTGACGGTGAAGGCAATGAGCAGAAGTGCCAACCTTGCTAGTACCATGACTCAAATATTACATGGCCCGTGTGACATCTCAGTGGGTAGTCCGCAACAGATGGAGGCGATCATTGAAGCTAACCAGGGGAAGCTTCGGCTGCATTATCGTAAGAGGCAGAGATATAATAATATAAGACCTGCACCTAAGAAAAAAACATTAACAACTGTACTTGCTAGAAAAATGTTATTTTACAGGCGATAGTGTAGCCTCTGAATAAACAAACATCAAATTTCAAGCTCTTGAATACAAATGCAAGTCTAGATTTCGGTTTCTAGCTTTGACTTACCGATACATATGCCTTATAATATACTCACCTATCAAGGGCAGTTGGGAAACCAAGTACCCTCTTGTTTTAGCATAGTGCATGTGGGAATGGCTGTGCTTGTGATTAGTTTGTCAACCGCAGCGAACCAGCCTTTATGAGCTTCACTGCTAATACATAGTTGATGTGATATCTTTCTGAGATGATTTCAAGGCACTGCCACTACTTCTGGACGGAGACTGAAACGTCGCTAGGCGTATACTCAGGATCAAATCCTTCGCAAGCGAGGTTGAACTTAAAGCTACGGGGAATAATAATCACCCATATTTCTCTCGCCGATTGGCCCGGCAATGGTAGCATGGAAATTCGTGACATGGGTGACATGGCAATCGTGATATGGTAATCGTGATACGGCTATCGCCTACCAAATGTATGTATATGCACCCGCCTACCTAGCAACGCGATATCTCAATAGAAGCCCATAGCCTTACTCAGATTCCTCTCCCGCGGTCCTATTGCATTTATTCATCTGTAGCAATCAGAATGACATTAGCAATTTGTACGCAAGATATCCTGCTGCATGTTTTTTTTTTTTTTTTTTTTTTTTTTTTGGGGGGGGGTCACCTTTTAGGCCACCTAGTTACTAAACGCACTTGAAACAAAAGTGACCTGACTTCTAAAGTTTTGAGACTTGCATAGCCACAACCAGTCATTTTTTTGCTGACATGGTCAACATTGCATGCATCCCAATATCAATTACCCACGTGTAATAGCCGTAATATCTCGAAATAGTGGCGCCGAAGCCTCGAAAGCTCAGGGGTTTCCTCAAAACTCACAATGGCCTTGATCGCGTGGAAAGTGCTTCTGTATGGGAAATACAAGTAGCATAGATTGAGAAAATTGTACTATTCTCAAAATTAATCATTTCAAGACAGCTGCCGATAATCAGTGAAATATTAAGAGGCCAAAGACGCAACTGAAAGGAAATACCAATACCTATTCTGGGATGATTATAAATATAAAGCCACATTGCACAAGTAGCGTCCAGCTCGAAAAAAGGTGCCTATTGTGTGCAGATAAGCGCTGCAACACAAACAACCGAGAAACCAGTTTACGCGTTGCAACCAGTGACTTTTTTGCTAACATAGCTGGCGCGTGGGAATGTGTCGGAACGGTTTTAAATCGTAGCGTTAGTGAACGACATCAACCAATTGACGCCAAGACATGCCAAGACCTGTCAAGCTTTGCCAAGAGATCAGATCGCCTGAAACAAACTCATGCCTCCGGAGAACCCTGCGCTATTTACAACTACTACCACGTTAAGCAGCTACTACCTTGAGTACTTGTGAAGCAGAAGAATATTCTTGCATTGACGTTCAGAAAAATAGCGGCTATAAAATATCACTTTCATAAAGTATCACCGATTGTAGCTATGCATTCAGACGCAATATTGGTTTTATTTAAAGCAAGATTTATGGTAGTGAAATTGTAGCAATTTTCAACTGGCACACTTTGTGTAAGCTTCCAAGTATTCATCATAGGCTAGGGATGTTTGAAACAGCTTTCCACTAAAGTAGTAAACTTGTAACAGTCGGAAGAAGACGCTACCGACTCCGCAGCTACGCCAGCCTCCTTGATACATACTTCACCCTCACGAAGTGAACTACGTCGCAGGCTGATGTCAAGTCGTTGCCTCATTGCTCTGGTCATAATTTCTCTCTCTAACAATTATGAGCAGGAGAAGGTCTTCGCTCCAATATAAATATTAAGCCTCGCCGCCCGCCAAGGCCTCAATTCAAACCATCAATTCTCAATTCCTTTTACTATAACCATCATTCAATTCTTCAATATTTATTTACTTCTCCACGTCCCTGGAAAATTTCTTGTTTGACACAATGAAGTTCACTTTCGCTACTATTGTCATTCCTTACATCTTCCACAGCGCTCTGGCAGCGCCTACTAGAATTGAGCGTGCCCTCGACGAGCGTAGACCCGTGGAGAGGGGATTTGACATCAGAGATGCATATTCTACCAAAGCTCACGACGAATATATCAGGATTGCCAACAATGCAGATGTCGAGGCTGGAACTCAAGTAGCTGCCGTTGAAGCCATCAAGACTGTCGCTGCTGCCGCCACTAGCGCTGAGACCTCAGCAGCAGCGAAAGGCGACGCAAAGAAGACGGGCAAGGGCAAAGATAAGAAGAAGGGCAAGGATAAGAAGAAAGGAAAGGACAAGAAGAAGGGGGAAAAGGGCAAAAAGGAGGGAAAGAAAGAAGAGAATGCGGTAGAAGCTCGCGAGGAGTCTGACACTCCTGATACCGAGGCTGCTGCCGAATCCACCAAGACCGTGGCCGCTGCAGCAGCTAGCACCGAGACCTCAGCGGCGGCAAAGGGCGGTGCTGCAAAGAAAGATCAGGGTAAGAGCGAGAAGAAAGACAAGAAGAAGGATAAGAAGAAGGGGAAGAAAGAAGGCAAGGGAAAGGACAAGAAGAAAGGGGCCAAAGCTGCGGCAGCCGAGGCGACAGCAGCTCACTGAGAAGTCCAGGTTCCAACTGTAAGCTGGGTTTACAAGGTTTATTTCGGAATCACGGACGTAAAATAGCAATGTATACCGATAAATTCATTGTTTATGTCCTTTTCTCAATATTCATCAAAAGTATGAGCAGTCCGTGAATACAGAACGAGCTCCGTCATTCCCCCCATTGGCCCAACGACATGTATTTTACAAGTCTAGATAAGGTTGCTGCCTGTTTTCAACAACCCCATGGCCTTAGGCTGAAATCCCTGAAATAAGAGAAGCCCAGATAAGTTTATAATGTAAATGATTAAGTTTCATTTCATGTATGTCACCTCACTCGTGCAATAGCACCGTGAGATTTGCTAGAAAGTCGCGAAAATGCAGATTTTGTTCCGGGGGCTACTCTATATTGCTCTGCCAAATAGTGTTTTGTATAACGTGACGGTAGCGCTTTAATAAGTCTAGGCTGGGCAAATTGAGACTCGAGCCTGGTGCAAGTTGGGCTTCTTTTTAGTCAAGCTCACGACAAGAGTCAACCTACTCAACTTTGTTGAGAGAGGCGGCGGTGGTGACGCTTTCATAACGTGTCATGGTAATAATAACATGAAGTAGGCTTCCGTCTTCCGCGCAGGTAAAGGAAGAACATCCTCCCAACTACTGAGATCAAAGTAAGTGTGGACCTAAACAGCGAGAGAGAACTGGAGCGACTTCTCCAATCTCCCCAGAGATGGATCTATAGATGGGGTATGCTTGCATGGCCTCGTATACCGGGCATGGTTACCCGCGCTTTTGAACAGCACGAAGCTCGAACGCTGGTAATGACGGCATGATATCGAACGTTTGTCTAGGCTATGAGTTCATAAGAGCATCTGCAAGCCAAGTCATAATAATTGAGTGATAATTGTAATTTTTATACATGATCGACATTATCAGCATATGACGTGTTGGCCGAGGTGAAGTCATCGCCAATTCCTTGGAAAGGTAGTGTTTCTGAATAGCCACGATCAAGACCTTCCCTATCAAAGAGATATGGTCGACTTTATCAATATCAGTTTAAGCGACCTTGTGGCATTCTAAAATGGCCCTGAACATGTTATCATAGTCAAGCACAGTCTAATCCTTCTTGTAGTTGGACGCTGCTGCGTAAGCGAAGACCCAATAGCCATGACACACTCGGGGTTATGCGCGATGCACTGTGTGAAACCTGGACAAGCCTTGTTATGGGTGAATGAGTATTTCTGGATCAACCGGATATTGGACTATCCATGAGTGAGCTTCTGCGATGCTTCTAATATCAACTTGGATGGTAGCTACCGTTCTTAAGATACGGCTTGCTTAACCCTCCACCATAGTTCTGGCACTGTCAGTGCGCGGAAACAGTCCGCAGTCATCTTTCAAGCAAAGAGGAAATGCAAAAAGAGCACCGCAGTTAATGAATACCCTTCGATGCTTAAGGTATTCGGGACATGAGCTTTCATTTCGTAGCTCACGTTGTCATACTCGGATCTTACCGTTGAAACCACTGAAAACTCTTTTCTTTTCAGCGCTCCTACGATGAACTTGGTTTTAGCATTCCAGTCCTTGGTATGGCACCAACAGAAGCCGTCTGCAGACAGATTAGGCGAGCAATGCCCCAAACAATAGTCTTTTGGGTACCAGAACAATAATGAAGAGCTGGTTGAGTTGAAATGCAGAGCTATCGGTGTTGGCCACCATCAGAAAGATTGCTGGTGGTCGAATTAGCTGATTAGTTGCTGCTCTACAACTTATTTAACGAACATCAGTAGGATCTGCACAAGAGGGCATTGGGAATTCTGCTGCCCATCAGCTTTACATGAAGATTGGATCAGCAGTACTGTTCTTTGCAGTTTTCTCACAATGTCCCATATTCAAGCTAATTAAGGATTATTCTATTTTGTGTACAGCACACTAATACATTGATTCAAGTTCGTTTCATATACGTGCAGTTCAATGTGAATAACCAGTTTATTCTCTTATGTTTTCAAAATAGTAAGACACTGACTAAGAATAAACCAATGCCTTCATCCCCTTGGCTATTTATGTATAGTGTGGGGTAGTATTGGTATGCATGGGGATAACTATGCCGGTGGCTTAGTATGGCTGGCCATAGATACCTTTGGCCTGTGAATGCCGTTGAAGACGAGGTTGATAGTAATGATCGTAGTAAATAGAAACAGTAGCCACTCCAACGCTCCAAAGACTGTCGCTGCAATGAGCAGCCCGCAGCCGTTCTCTTCAGCCGGACATTGTTGGCTTCCTATGTTGACAGCCACAGCAATAAAACCAGCTAGCCACGACAAAAAAGCTATAGCTTCGACGGCGAGACGCACATAGCCAACCAGTGCATGATCCGCATAACGGATTCTAGCAATAAGAAAGAAGAAAACGCCCAAAAATGTCCAGCCGGCACAGAACATCAAAAAGCCCCAGGCATCAGGGACACCATAGTAAACATATAAATTGCCAATGTCAAAATGTTCATAGGCAGTATGGCCGCGAAAAACATGGATAGCTAAGCAAAAAGTTAGATTGAGCAGCAAAGTAGTATAATAGGCTACGTTTTACGCACCATGCCCGTCTGTTCCCATAACAATGATTGCAAATATAAGCTGCAGCGCTCTTAGGGCAAGTTCAACTTCTATGTTCATCGTTGTGTTCATAGTCATGATGTTTAGTGGTCCTTCGTGGGGATGTGTTTGTGGGGAAAGGAATGTTTGAAGCTCAATTTCCCTTTGAGAGCAGGGTACGGCTCTCTTTTCTATTATCGAATTATTCTTGAGAGATGATGCTTGGTGCTTTTTAAAACAAAGGTTCTCGTTCTCCAAGGGATCTGTAGTCAATTTGAGAGTCAATTTGAGAGGAGCAAGATGATAGATGCACAAAAAAGCCCTGGAAGAATGAAAGGGGAGGACGACGACGAATAAATACACATTCTGTAGCTGGCTCCTGCGAAACGTACTTGAAGGCGCATTCCCTTTCCTGGTTAGACATTTACGAGATTGTTTTTGGTTAGACAGTTACGAGACCTCTCCCACCAATCAAACTTTGTGCTTGGCTTACCGATTAACCATGTAACGCTCCCCTGAGTTTAGCGAATCAGGACGATTGCTAGATCGAGGCTAGACCCGGCAGTCTCGTACATATCTAACCCTCTTGGACAGAAGTTGTTAATTGCGAAGTCATGTAAGTCAGGCAGATCCGAAGAGGTGCGAATGGTAGAGAGAAGATATATATTCGAGCTGGAGTGCTTCATGACGATGGCTATTCATCTCTCGACCAAACAATACCGTTGAACATCTAGACTATTAGCATCACACTCTTTGTCTTCCCTTTCCGTTCTACAATTTAGTTCTAATACTCCCGAATTTACGGCCAAATGCCGTACTCTTGTCCTCTCCCAAACATTGGCAACTGCACCATAGGGAAGTGCCCCCTCAGCTGCGCTCAGGTGGAATATATACCCACGCTTACCGGTAATGTTCTATATGGTGTTGCCTTCGGATTGCTTGCGCTTGCGCAGCTCACGCTTGGTATAAAGTTCAGAACTTGGGGTTTCATGGTCGGCATGATCTGTGGTCTCGTCCTTGAGGTAGTTGGATATGCTGGCAGAATCATGCTACATGGCAACCCATTTGACTTTAACAATTTCATCATGTAGGATATTTTCTCCCCAAATCTTCCCTCCCACCCAAATTTCATAACAGAGCCTTAACAGCCGCCATAGGTATCTCGTCCCCCTAACGATCGCCCCCGCTTTCCTCGCGAGCTCCCTTTATCTCTGTCTCTGCCGCATAATCATATTCCACGGCCAACAGATCTCTCGTTTCAGCCCCCGTACCTACGCAATCACATTCATGACAAGCGATTTCATCTCTCTTGTCCTTCAAGGGGCCGGCGGCGGGCTCGCAGCTACCGCTAACAACAGCTCTGGGAGCGAGACGGGGAGAGCAATCATGATCGCCGGTGTGGTGTTTCAAGTCATCTCGCTACTTATATTCATGGGATTGTGGCTGGAATTCGTACTTCGCCTGCGCAAATCCAGCGCGAGTGCCAAAGACCCACGTTTCGCAGAGTTAAGAGACACAAAAAAGTTCGCTTGGTTTCAGTATGCGCTCGCCGCAGCTGTTTATGCTCATCTTTATCCGCTCAGTATATCGTGTTGCAGAGCTTCAACAAGGCTTCAATGGGCCCCTTGCCAATAACCAGGTGTCGTTCATGATCTTGGAGGGGCCGATGATTTTCCTGGCAGTGCTTGCAATGACGGTATTGCACCCTGGCATTGCGTTTGGTAACAATTTGCGCAGCGCGGCTTGGTCCATCACACAGTCCAGGAAGTCTGCCTTTGTTGCAACCAATCTCTATATGGAAGATACGCCTTTACAACACAAGCTCAACTCTATGTCAAAATAAGAGTGTGCTTGGGGCGCTAGAAGCGGTTGTAGTGAGGAGGCTGTACTGTGTCATGCAGGGTCTGCTCACTATGGCAGCTGAAACTTTTCTCGTCTAATATATTAGAGGATGTAGTCTCTTATATGCGGCCATAAAGTAGTTTGGCAATCGCTGAATTAACCGTTGAAGCATCGCAGAGGCCTTTTCTGAGCGAAGCTGGTACTCTGCGCATTATTCAGGCCAGGAAGAAAATGCGACTAAACAATTTGAGATTGGATCTTCGGAGTGCCTTGAAAATTGAGGGAAATCAGCACTCAGGCACACCAGGGATATACTTGTGGCTAGTGATCAATTATCGCCGTTAGATAGACCGTTGACGTTTCGAGTGAAGAATTCTGCAGTCAAACCATAGATAGTGCTTTAGATCTTTAGCATAATTAATGATAGAACAATTCATCATAAATTGATGTACTCCGTACGTGTGAGACACTCTCCTAGCAACCCCCACGGCTTTGTCCTGAATACAGCTTTAAGTGTGCCTGGGTATATCGGGCTGGTCATGACGTGGTTAAAATTGTCATAGCCCAAAGGTGTCTCTCCCAGATCGTAGATTCGGCATTCGTCATCGGGCAGAGGCAGGCCATGCAATCTAGAAGTCTCGTCTGGCAATTGTAACTCATTGAGATGCTCTTCTTCCAGCTCAATGACTCGTTTGGCGGTTACGTAGGCGTAATGGCCATTCCAGAGCCCTTCCCGCCGAGGTGCCGATTGCAGCATTTCCAGCGCGCGTCTTCGTATGGTAGGATGACGGCATTTCAGTGCAGTGTAGTACAAAGGTCCTAAGATTTGTACATCGAAAGATAGCGGTGGTGGTACTAATCCTGTGTCTGGCTTGGCAATTTGTTCCGCGTAATGCAACAGCTCTTCAAAGTCGCCGTGGTAAGAGTCTGGAGCGGTTTCACCAGCGGTAGTGCATACTCGTATCCAGATGTAAATAACTTTGAAATGGACCAAAAGTATATTGAGCGCATCTTGGTTTGCTGGGCTGCTAGCCGCCTGCATACGTTGAAGAAGTTCATCTAGCTGGATGCGCCATGCGTCTAGCCTTGTTTGAAGTTTAACTTGTTCAACAAGGTCATCAAAGTCAATTTGGAACGCATCTGCCTTAAGAGTGGCTTTGCCGATGAATCGGAGGCAAGTATCTGAGACTTCATAGAGCCGCCGCCTGGAATCTGTAAGGTCTTTCTGAGGGGAATCTTGTGTAGCTGTAGAGGAGTACATTTGCGGAGTTAGTCTCCCAGTGAGAGAGCACAGCACGTTTAGACGTAAAAACACCGGGACGATATGATCTTCGATGGCTTTACGCTCGTTTGGTGCGATATTGGGCCTCGGATGCGAGATTTCATCGTTTTTATGGCGGAGCGCAGCTAAGATATTGAATCCATTCTCAACATGAAACAAAGTAGACTGGATATTCCCTCTGAGGAGCTCGATACATGTAAATAGAAGGCAGCAGACCAGTGGCACCAAATGTGAGTTAGGGTGTTCTTGAATTCGAACTGACAGGCTCCTCACTGCTGTATTCCACTCCTGATGTGCACTTAGGTTGGCATTAACATAACCTGTCGGATGCCGTAGAGATGATTCGACGTCTTGATAAATGATGCTGATGGCTGATACGGCATGTTGAATTGCTGGCTCAGAGTGTGACAGTTGCAATACCAGCTTGCCCCAGAACTTTGTATCGAATTTTCCATCTAGCTCTGCAGCAAGATTATGGTGGAAGAAGTCGAGGCCGCGATAATTGGAAAGAAACACCGGTTGGGTTTGCGCAGGAGGTAGATATATCGTAATGACGTTTCGAGATTGCGTAGCACGCACGGTATTGTAAACACATGATCGGTTTCCCATGGCGCAACGTCGGCATATAGGTTTTGCTTCATCGCATTTCACCCGCCGCGCTTTGCAAGTGCTACATCCAGTGCGTACCTTGGATGCACTTTCTCGGGTTCTCTTCTGCGCAAATTCCAGACCAGTAGTCATAATGAATGGCGCTGCGACAAGAAGCAGTCTTGTTATTCTCAGAAGGGAAGGACTAAAGAAAGAAGAGAAGTCCAGCCATTAAAAGCTCTTCTTATGTGTACAAAACAATAGAGGACAGCTTTCTTTGCCAATAACCAGAATATCAGGCAGCACAGGAGATGTTAAAGCAGTAAGCATCCCAGAAGCGGGTCTTCTTGTGGCTATGTATTGCACAGCCCGCAGGAATATGCTTGATGATTCAGATCAATAACCGTGGCTTAGCCGAAAAATAATAGAGCTACTGTTAGTTGGTAATCAATACATGACATTTTACAGCATACTGTCTTTGCTGTAAAAGTTTTAACCTAGGCTACCTGAGCTTTGAAGAATGAAGTATTGTAACTAAGAGGTCTTCTAGATGAAAACAAACATATGCACCAGGAAAAAATGTAACGTATACATAGATAAGTAGTTCTCATTTTCGGAGGGCGCAATGCAATATGGCATTCAAAATTCTATCAGGTATCTAGCGATAGCTAAGTTTTTAGCGGTTCCCACACTACAGTTCAAAAAATGGCACCATTAGCAAACAGTTTCAAAGCACATGTCGCATACTAATTTAATACACTATGAACTACATCTGTTGTCTTCTCAATAGAGCTATTGTGTATACTATTATCTAGGTATATAACTCAGTCCATAAAATCTTCAAGTGTAGCATTATTCTTTCATTTAGCACCATGACCCTGTCGAAAAGATTTAACAATGTAACCCATCCCCTTGACTGTAATACTGAGACTGCTGTTTTAAGTTTTGTTAGGAACCATGTCCTTGTTGAAGAGCCTATTTCTGCAGAAATAGCGCCAACCATAAGCTGAAAAGAAGAAAAGTCCAAGTAACAACAAGTGTTTCTCTCCGTCAGGCCTAGTGCCTCTTTAAGCTTGCTAGCGAGCACTGCTATATTAGGTTCTGTCGGAGTAGGCCAGGACATATAGAGGATGATTTGGAGAGCCAAAGCAGTGCCTTGAACAGCAGGGCTTTCGTGGAGACAGAGACTTTGAGTCTCATGATGTAGTTTAGCCAGAAGATCTTCAATTATTCTAATAGCGAGGCTTAGGCCTTGGGTGCAACTTTGAAATGAAGCGATTGACTCCCACAACTGTGCTATGCCATGATATACTGTTGCCACGCAAAGGATTGGATGATTGTCATGCAGATTTAGTGAATTGATGACCTCTGAATGATATACTCGCGGGAAATTGAAGAGATTGTTGATTGAGTCGCTGAGTAATCCATTAGCCTACCAGAATGGAAATAAAACACAAAGGGTCTTACGAACGATAGTAAGAGGTCAGTGAACCATGAAGGAAAATGGAAAATGCCTCGGGCATATCTCTCGCGAATAAGGTGAGTCAACCCTTTCATATGAATGCTCCAAACAATATCGTCGTTAGCTAGTCGTCCGCCAATAGCCATAGTACACACTACCGCGAGAACAGCATCCGTGTGAGCCTGCCTGGAATTCAAACGTTGAATAAGAATGTTGACGGCTCGGATTGAGTGAATATGGGCGTTTTGTTGACGCGATACATCGGTTGCCCAGTGTTGCGTAGTTACGGCCAGAGATGATTGAAGAAGCGCCGGTTCGGATATAAGCATGTTTAACCATTCTGATTCAGCCGGACTGTTGGGGTATTCACTGGAATCCAGGAATATTTGTGACCAGAGTGAAGCAACTATTCGTGGATAATTAGTAATGCTAGCTGTTGCGACTTGGCATATACATACGGAGCCGAATCTGTTGTTGTGGACTACCAGTAGCAAGAGATCGCGCTAGCAGTGAGTCTATGGCGCCGCCGGCCGCAAGAACTAGATAGATTCTCTGTGCATTTCTTGCCTCGGCTTCTGCGATTCGCTGTCGCCGCTTTGCAAAATTAGTTCGCGTAACATGAGCTCTTATTCGCTTGGCTTTGGACGGTGGTAGGCTGGGCATGCCCGTTGTATTCAAGAATGCAAACCTCGTAGAGCACATTGTTGCCTGTTTGTGGATAATCAACTTTCGAAACTAAGATGAGAGACTTTGTAGGAAGGCTTTGGTCTAGTCGTCGAGACTGATTAACAACGACAAATGGATGCTACTAAGCCCTTCTAGGAAAATGAGAATTTATGGGTGTCTTATGCTTGATTGGGAAAATGAGAATTTGTGGGGTATCTCAAGCAAGCTGTAATAGGAAAATGAAGATTTATTAGTGTGGTCAATATCACAAAACTCCACGCTTATCAGTTTGAATCCCTACTGCTTTTAATTCATAGAGCCATAGCTAGTCTAGTATTCCGAAATATATGAGTCAAATATATTAGTCGTATTGCAAATATAGCTCCTATGTAATACGCTCAAATCCGTATTTCCGATTTCTAAGCGGACGAGATAGAAAAGGTTATATATAGCCGTGCAGAACAAGTGTTTTGGCATCCAAAATCTTCATCATATTCAATTGTTGTTGAGAATTTCCCAAGATGGGCAGGCAGTGGATCCTTAATAGCCAACAGGGCTTTGAGACTTCGCTCGAATACCAAGAGAACGTTCTTGAACCAACTGCAGACGAGATTGGTCCTAATGAAGTACTTGTCGAGATTCATGCGGCAAGTCTCAACTATCGAGAGATCCTGATCGCTAGCCCGAATGTACGTCAACACCAAAAGCCGTGAGAATATTCATACTGATATCCTTCAGGGCACACACGTGCCAATCCAAACCCCACTTGTGCCAGGATGCGATGGTGCGGGTCTTGTAAAGGCTGTTGGGTCCTCCGTGCAAAGCCTTCATATTGGCGATCGAGTTGTTACGTATCCAGCGCCCAATGTTGTTGAGTCCCGCGGAGATGGGGCATATGCTGCCATGTCAGACGTCCCCTACATGTTAGGTCAAGGAGCCGACGGAACCCTGCGGTCGGTGGGCATTTTTCCAGAGGCAGCTCTGGTGCATGCTCCCAAGTCTTTGGGGTGGCTGCCGGCGGCGACGCTGAGCTGTAACTGGACAACGGCATGGAACGTGCTCTTTGGAATGGAGGGAAGAGCAGTCGGACCGGAAACATGGGTCCTTGTCCAAGGGACTGGCGGCGTGAGCATCGCTACCCTTCAGCTTGCCGTAGCAGCTGGTGCCAAAGTAGTGGCCACTACATCGACGGAAGAGAAAAGCACTCGCTTACAAGGACTTGGGGCAGTGAAAACAGTCAACTATCGCTCAAACCCTGAAGGCTGGGGCCGAGAATCTCGAAGCTTCACACCTAATGAGAGAGGATTCGATATTGTCGTTGACATAGGCGGCAATCAGACTCTTCCGCAGTCAATGGAGGCTGTGAGAACAGATGGTATTGTTTCAATGGTGGGTCAGGTTGCAGATGATGTTGATCCAGTACCCCTGCTTTCAATGTTCATGCATACTTGCATTGTCCGTGCAGTATTGGCAGGAAGCCGTTCTCAATTTCAGGAGCTCGTGCGCTACATTGATGAGAAAAGCATAGTGCCTGCACTGGATGATGTTGTGTTTGACCTAGCTGATGCCAAAGATGCTTACAGACGTCTTAAGAATAAGAAGCACTTCTCAAAGGTTGTAATTCAAGTCGCTTAATATACCTAGAGCTCAATGGAAAGAAGAGGAAAAGTCTTTACAAACTGGTAAAGCACTTATAAAGAATACATTATATAGAGAGAGAAAAGACAATTTTTAAACTGGAGAACACAATATAATATAGCATTTATAATTCTATATGTAATACAAAAGAATCGTCAACACAAATCATAGACTAAGAAAATTGATCTGGAAATCCGTTGGAGTTGGGCGGAACAGTCCGACAAGCGCCGCCAATACCACTGCCAGCAATTTAAAGGCTAGCAATCTCATTTTGACAATTTTCGTCAGACTACACCAATGACCGACATTTAGATTACAAGTCGACAAAGCTATCAAAAATACCTTACTCTGCAGGCTAATACAAGTCAAGCCGCTATTCACAAATACAAGCTCCTTCGTACTTCGTAATAAGATACGCCACTTTATATGCCCAAAAGGATACGCCACTTTATATGCCCAAAAGAATGGCACTATGATAGTCGCGGTACAGCATTCAGAACGTTTTAAACGAACCTAAACAGCTATGGAGTACTGTAGGCGTTACCAACTTGGAATCAGTCACACAAAATGATATGCGATTGCTCGGAGATTTGGATCTAGAAATGAAAGGCAATTATGGTGGTAAGGCTGCGGGTGTGCTAGCTCAAGCCACTTGCAACTAGCATTAGGGTGTGTGCCAAGTGATACGAATGATTGCTCAAAGAGGGTCAAATCCGAGTAATGTATACTCATGTCACTGCATGTTTCGTATCCGGAAGAGAGATAGAGAGAGAGAAGAGAGAGAGAGAGAGAGAGAAGGGGTGCTTGTCATTTAGTCGATACGTCGGGCGTATTGAACTAAAGCTTCGGGCTTGGGCTTGGGCTTGGGCTTTGGGCTTTGGGCACTTTTTAACAGCTAAAATGGTAACTCCGACCAGGAGCATATTCCAATAGACGTGTAGCATTTTGGAGCATCAACGAGATTCTCTATATGACACATTCAATTGGACGGTACTAGAAATACCTATGCTTGTTGATATGCCGCATTAGCGCCATGGAATCGTGGCAGCTTCTCGCAGCAGCTGGAAGTTTGGCGACTGTAACCATTCCACGCACTAGATCTGAGATGGATAGCGCTGCCACAAGCGGTATTTGAATTAAAGCTTGTTGTCGGCAACTAGGCAAATTTCAAGCCCAGATTTCCCATTAACTGTAATATATGTCTGAGGGTGGAGGTGTGTGAGTAAAGGCGACCGCGATATCAGGCTCATGCAACTGTGTTTTGTGGTCAAATATTTGTTATCCGATTATAGCAAGACTTCCCTTTTCCCCCTGCGGGATAGTTGAATAGCTGAATGACACTTAGTCCATCAAACACAGCCATTGACTTAACTAGCTATGCTATATCTAGTATGAGGGCACTCCGTATCCATGTCACGTCAATGAGGGCTTGTTCTTTACATAGCTCATACCCGAAAGTTGGTGACCTATCTTCTCCCACTGGCCTTTGTTCATGTATCCAGATAACCAAAAGTTTCCCTCATTGTCCTTGCCGATGATCGGGAACGCATTAGGAAGCACCAGGCCAAACTGGTTATTCTGGATGTATGTTGGGAAACCAGGCTTCTTGTTTCCCTCTCCTGGCTTAACAGTCGCTGCTGAGAAGTCCAGTTCGTAAAGTCTTGCTTTACTCCAATTTGAGTATGTAATCATATGCATTCTAGAGCTGCCGAAAAGTGGTGGAAGCTTTACGCTAGACTCACGCCACATAGACGCAAAGGCTTCAACCTGCGCACGCGTGCCAAGCTGCTGAATTCCACTCCGAATAGCAAATGCGACATGGCTTAGAGGCTTTTTAAAGATCTCTTGAGTGTCTAATAGGACATGAATGAAGCCAATGGCATTCGACACGTAAGGTGCGCCTTTGGGAAGCAAGTCTGCTTCCAAAGCTGTCCTCAAGGAGTAAGCATTGTTCAGCACAACTAATCTTTGAGAGTCGTTCGGTAGATGAGAAATAGCCACGCGTGTCCAGAGCGCACAAAGCACATCTCCTTCGGTGAGGAAAGGCTGATCTACTCCGGCACTTACAAGCTCTTCTATGGCTTTCGCCCGAAGGCTTGCGATGAACGAACCCGGAATGCAGACCATGCGATTCTCATGTGTGCGGAAGAAGTCACCAATATTCCTGATTCCGTACTTCGCCAAACCCAACACCGATAGCCGTCGGTTGCTTAGGCCATGTAACTCTGCAGGATTTTTGCCGAGATGTGCCAGTGGGTCGCCACCACCACCATATGGAGGAACAACTTCGTCGTCTCGGCCCTGAAGTATCAACGTCCAGGCGTTGAGAAGTGCCTTCTTTCCCATAGCATCCATGAGCGTATGCGGCCAGTATAGAGTGACGAGTGTCTTGTCTTTGAACGTTGCTATATAAAGTCCCAATTGGGGGATATCCTGATTTAGATATTCGCGCATGCTCGTTGGACTACCCTCGCTACGGATCAGATCTTGGAATTCATCAGGATCGCATACGATAGCCGGCTGCGAGCTCGCTTTGGGTAGCTTCGACGCAAGTGGGTGATCTGCAGCATTGATGGCATAGTCAACGTGCGCGTATGTAAGGCCTGGCCGCTGTTTGGTAAATTCGACTGGCACATGGTATTCGAGGCCTCCATTATGCTAACAGTCGGTTAATGTCTTGCCAAAAGGATCTTGATTATGCCACTTCTTACGTTTCTCCGCAAGCGCGCCCCCAGTTTATGCCAGCCGTCGCGTTTTACCAAGGCTTCGAGGCTTCTGTGTAGCTTCTGAGGGTCCAATAGATCGTCGAAGACAAACATGGAATATAAAATAAAAGCTTTCCAGAGTGGCGTATCATCAAAAAAGCGAAAAGCGATGACCGAATCGGTCGGCACCTTGGCTGGCGTGGCTGGCTTGCCAAACATGTTAAATAGTTGCCGTAGTTTTCTTTCTCAGTCCAAACATTTGACCTCATTCGAGGTATTAATCCAATGATCTTCAGATGCCTATACGGGCTAAAGCCTCTGGGAACTTGGTCGATACTGCTACTAGTACTAGTACTAGGATAACCCTGACAGCTCTGCGTCGTATTTCGTATACCATACATGACGTACAATGCAGACGTTGTAACCTTGGGATCTACTGTGTATTTGGTTGCTTACCGAACGCATAGACGGTAATTAGAGGCCTCTTGGCGCTGAAAAGCACCTGAAGTCGGGTATGCATAATAAGGTAGCTAACAACCGAGATACTTCCTAGCCTCGAATTGCCCCTCCAACGAGTTATTCCTTACAGCAACATACCTCGTTGCACCCGCTGAGAGCGAAGCAGTCAGACTATCCTTTGCCTTCTGGATATAATTGATGGTATTTTTAATTGACAACTTGCCTTCTCCTACCCTGAAATCGCAGACATCATCCATTTCGCTCCGGCAGGTAACCTACCCAGAATTATACGCTTTCTAAATTTGTCTCTCCAATCTCCTCTCCCTTCACCGCCTTGACCAATCCATCTAGCCAGTCCTGATGGCCAAGCAACATTCTGTTAGGCTTCGCTGTGGCCAACCTTGCGGCCGGCTCGCCGATTTGACTTTCCTGGGTCATCACCCTCACTCTATTTCCTTCAAGATCTTCCACTAACCAAGCATGATAAACTTCAATTTTCTCGTTCGTGTCGCCACCCAGTCGTGTGGACCACGCAAGACGACCAGCATGGCCCGGTCCAGGCGAAACTGCCTCTTCAACTAGACACGTCAAGACAGGTAGCCCGAACGTGCTGAATTTGAATACATCGCCCTTCTGCAATCGAGGTCCAGTTTTTGGCTCGGTGATTTGATCGCAATTTCTATAATACGACTGCCACTTTGAAATATCATTTAATTGCTCCCAGATTTGCGTGACTGTGATGTCCTTGACAATGATTTCGTTGCTAACGAAATTATCTGTTGTACCCGGTAGAAACTTGTCGGGCCAGATGATTGCTGATTGCGTTGGTGTTGACATTTTGGGGTATGAGCTTCCCTTTTTCTTCAGAAAAGTAATAAATAAACAAATATGTCTGAATCCGGGATTAAAATGATCAGATGAGGAAGCCAGTCTTTTTATTGCATTTAAATAAGACCTGGTGACTGGATTTGTAAGCCTTGGAGCTGTAGAGCTAATATGCTGCGTGGATGAAAGGGTCCAGTGCTGCTTAGTAATGTACATACCTAAGTTTCCATTGACCAGCTTTATATGGCGTTCTAAAGCTTGTCTTGTAAGTGGAAATATTACTCAAAAGAAGCCCTGCTGTATGGGTGCTCGGCGACGTTTGGTGAACTCGCACTCTCCATATAGTGAGGAGAAATTAATTCCGACAAGCTTCTAGTAAGGCAGCTTAGACCTGCAATTCTTTATCTTTAGTAGAATGAACCTATAATCAGTAGCGTAGAACAGTCATCATACTATTAAAGAAGAAATAACTAGAGCATAAAATATATTATTTTTACTCTATAATCTGTTCAATTGGCCGCGCAGCTAATCGAATTCATGTACAGATACGTTTGCCTACCTTGAAGGAGTGGGGGTTAACTTCGAGGCACAGTACTACATCCTATATACTCTAAATATAAGATCTAGATCACTATAATCTCCCATCTAGGCGGAGCATGTTGATTAACTATACGGAAGCTAGGGTGGATGAATCTGCCTGAGATATTGTCAATCAGATTATTGATGTGCAACATCCGGCTAGTTGATAGTAACTCTCCTATTTGTTCCATTCGGCTATTACAAAAATATGGCTACTCCTGTAGTGGATGGTATTTTACTAGAACTAGAGGTAAAACAAGATAAAAAAAAATTGACGATTACGAATACAATTTGAATTTTGAGACGAAACAACAGCCTATGAACTCTGGGCTGGTTAACTGGATGTGAGAAAAAGACGTGCTCTAAGGCTAGCTGTTGCATGCCAATTTGGCCGTTCAATCAGCGGGATACTTAGTCTCATTTATACACTCTATACAAGTATTGTCCTTTCTCTTGTATTTAAGTAGCTTTTAGGGGCGCTTTGGCTGACTCTCCAAGTGTAATGAGATTTTGCTACGCTGAGGATAGGATCATGTAGCCTATGTATTACTGTTGTAGATACGAAGTGCAACAATTTTCCACCTAGCTTACTATTACAACCAAGATTCTACTGCATGTACAACGCAATTTTCTGTTACTAGACTGTTCGCTTTATTGTGTAATGCTCATATGAAAGCACCATCTAAAACAATGCGCCAAGAGTAACAACATTGGGTAGGTAGTCTTACAATTACTTGTACATTGTTCTTGGTTTTCATGCAATACAGCGACCTCAGTGGGGTAGCAATGCCACTGTAATTCACTGTACCCGGCTTAGATTAACCGCGCATACGCAGTGTGGTCTAAACAGACGATCTACGCAAAAAGCCATTTTGTTACATTCATTATGGCTTACCTGACCATTGAATTGTTGACATATAACCGAGCATAGCAAACTTGGTTAAAGGCAGATAGACAAGTATTTCTCAATTTATCTAAATTATCTATCTCTTCTGTGGGCATTATTATTTGAGGCATGCGCTCTCCCAAAAGCCTCCAGCTATGTCATCCTTGTGTACAGCCCAGAAAGCTGCACTACGCTTTGTCGGCAAGCTGATCGATCGAACTCATCACGGCATATAGCTTCTTCGCACGCTGAGTATCATCTACCAACTTCGTAAACTCTTCCTTTCCAGTACCTTCTCCATCATAACCCCACTCTAGTCCGTATTCCACAACGCCGCTGTCGAACGTGTAGCGCTGCCTGTCCCGGCATAAGCCGCAGAAGATCTCCTTGAACTCTTGCGCGAAATGCATTCGCGAAAATGCGTTGGAGATTTCTTGAAACTCTTCGTCTGTCATGACCCCCTTCAAGTTCGGTAGGTCATCTGGTAGCCCAAGGAGGTGCAGGTTTGGCCCAAGAAGGTCGCCATGAATGCCGTAGTGGACAAGCCCAACTTCGGGTTCCTTCCATGGCGCCAAGGTTTCCATCGTATGCAGCGCAATGGAATCCCAGATAATCTGCATGCGGCGGCCATTCCTGCTCCACTTGGCGTCTTTATCCGGGATTGTGTCAATGAAGTCACGAGCGAGGTTGGCACTTTCGACCTCGAAACGTCTTGTATTCGTCACCAGTCCCTTTGTTTTGGTACAAGCGAGATCGTGGAGAAGACAGCTGACAACAACAAGCTCGGCGCCAAGCACATCGCCCAGCTTCGAAAACTCAGGTATCTTCTTCTGTAGGAGAAGGCAAAAAGCGGCACTTCGCAAAACGTGATTCAAGACTCCGGGGGCCGAATACTTCATGGCATATTCGTAAGAAGATAGCACAATGGGAGACGAGGGAAACTGTATTCCGGCCAAAGGAAAGAAGGAAATGGGTTGGTAGTTGAAGATGCCATGTTTCTCCGTGTTGATTGAAAAGAGATGAGAATATCCAGATGAGTGAAGCTATTACAGAAGAGTGAGGCTACTACAGATGGGCGAAGCTATTATATATGTTTGCGACTGTTAGGAAAAGCCTAATGGCCGAACCCGATGGATCGACGATGGATTGTTCTTTGGTAACTTAGTTTGCGAGACGCCTCGGAGCTTGGGCACATATTAATAATTGGTGGTACAATACTCCGTATCATCACGGCATTCACGCGGAGGCTAGATTGCAGACCAAAGTAGTATAGTTCTTAGTGTCGATGGCTTGTTATGATCCAGCAGCTACCCTCTGGTGACTATATAAGCCGTAAATTGCCTGGTAATCATGGTGTTCGCCACTTTTGTCACGCCTGCTCATTCTAATATTATATATAGTCCTAAGGCCAATCGTCCCATGGGTCATTCCCAGTTGTATCATTGGCCCATCCCATTGTTATCGTTGTCCACAAATCCCGAAATACCGGTGGCTCGTCATCTGCATGACGAGTGGAAAATGGATTTTCATTACCAGCTCCAAGACCAGTATCCCACGTAGAAATATAAGGGTCCATTCTGTGATCAAACATCGGGCAACCCTGAATTCCCGATGACGATGGAATTGCCGCTGCCACCGCTGCCGCCTCTGCAGCGGCCGCTACTGTCTTGATACGTAGCGCGACCCGGCGGTCGTACTTATCCTTAACGATACGCAAGACGACGCGACTGGCAGAGACGGCATCGACTCGAGTATTGACCGTGGTCAACTCAGAACCTTCGCACATATGTGTCAAGAACTCATTAAAATGCAACTCGCTTCTTGCCCAACAGTCATCCCAGTCAGGGAGCTCAGTAAGAGGGAATGAGAGACGGAGGGCGATGATGATGGTGATAACAACCTTCATCCAATCATTGGAAGAGAAGGCAGTGAATGCTGATTGCCCTAGATCAGAGACAAAGTCAAACATCATCTTGATTTCGGCAACGCAACTTTTAAGCTTTGATATTGAAGGGAAAATGTACCCAGAGGGCCTGTTCTTAGATTGCCCCACGCGAATTAAAGGGCAGCCTATAAGATAGATGCGAAAAAATAGCTCCGAGAATTTCACTGGTACTTCTAGGCTCTTAGTTTTATTTCATGGAGCGCAATTTGAGGATACTTACCATCACTGGCAATTCGAGTGAGCATTCGTTGCCGGAGCTCTCGACCTTGGACTTCCAGGCCGAATAGGACAAACTGGCTCTGTTGTTCAGTTGTCACGGTGCTCTCATGTATTGCGTCTGTAGCCGCGTTCGTGTAATTCGTAAATTGTACGAGGTAACTCAAGGCGAAGTCGCCATCGGACTCTGCGCACTTCTGCAGAATGTCACAGCAAGTAGCTGTCCAAGCAGTAAAGGGAGGTTTTACGTCTAGCTTCTTCCAGGCGACCATGAAACTAAGATTCACTGTAAGCAAACGTTCCAACAGTAGATACAATCCTAGTAGAATACGTACTTTGATCCAGCGTAGAACCATGAGAGATATGTGCGGATTTTGTCAAGCTGCTCCTTCGTCACTTCAGAGTTGACGCCGTCTTTCAACTCGGGCAACTCTTGATCAAGTCCCATGTCGCGAACCATATCCCCCGCCATACGGACATACTGAAAGGCTTGCTTATTTTTAGGCCTAAGGTGGAATGGATACCTATAGTTGTAAGTGTTTGTTCATTGGACAAAATTGTAAGACACGTATTACCAAGCACAGTAGATGAGTGTGCCCTGCAGAAGTTCAATGCTCCTTTCCCCGCCGGCCACAAACTTAAGGCCTAAAACCTTTCGAAACTCTTCATCATAGAGACTATGCCCTTGAAGAGTCCGCGATCCAGACACTGCCGCTAAGATCGCCAGTAAAACGAATGGCCGAGAGGCAGCAAGGCTTAAAACCGTGTCTTCGGGCTGAAAGTTAATGCAGGGGAAATGGGACAACATTCTGCCGAATGAGGCCAGTAGGGACTCGGCAGAGTCGAGGTTGAATTGGGGTTTCGCGTGGAGAGATTGGATGGAGTGGCTGTGCGAAGACGAGGGAGTGAGAAAACCTGTCATTGGTGAGGAAGTGAGATCATCAATGTCAGAGTTCGGCTCAGAGGGAAACATGCTCTCGAGGAACTGTGCATGACTATCGCGCAGGGCGTCGAAATTCTCGTCGACATCAGGCAGTGACTGCACGTCAAATTCAATAGTGAACGTCCTTGATGGGCGGCTTGCGGGCAGTGGCTGAGGTTGTGCTGCATCACCAGGGCTGATTATCAAATCAGTATTCATATCCACTCTGGCCCTTGATCGTCAAGCAAGACATACAACTTCTTTCTTCTTCGGCGAGTACGTGGACCTGTTCGTGATATACATTCTCTCTTGGATTCAAGACATCTAAATGTGGACGCGTCAGTGTACGTTGTTTGCTGTCGGCATGTTTTCTCAATTCTTACTTGCGGCAAACTGTAGGCAGTTCGCTCGGCTGACACTTGACCTTGGCCGCTCTGCATGCCTCACATGCTATTGAAACAATCTTTTGTGCGCAGGTAATAGTTTCTATAGCGGGAGAGACGCTATATGCGTCCATCGAGAGGGGTATGTGTTACTGTAGATGCAGCGTAGGTTACCGTAGGATTGTGTGTCGCAATGCCCTTGGGTAGATGGAGATCCTCCAAGGATTTAGCGGGGCTCAAGGATTTCCAATTCGGCGATGCAAAGTAAAAGAGTGCCCATACTGGGCAGGGGCAAAAGATTCAAATATTACAGGCACTGATCCGGGCTAAAGCAGTTGATTACCTAAGTCATCCTGGCATTTTCTCTGCCAAGTTCTTGTAACAGTCTATCACTAGATCTCAAGTGGAGATTTCCCTTTGTGGAAAAGGTAAGACGTAAAGTCCGATCTCCTTCGGCGGTTAACGTGCATTAGACGCTTTCCGTAAAACTCTCTTGGAAAATATGGGTTTAGGTTAAAGTCGACCGCCTCCTATTTACCAATCGTTTTCTCGCGGCCTGGCGCTTATTAATTCTTCAGAACTTGATATCTATTCCGCGATTGACCCGAGTTAGCTTTCTAAGGAGGTGGATGTCGATGGTAATACAGCCCGGTTACAACATTGCTAGCTGGCTGGCTCAAGTGGCAGCCGACGAGTTGGAAAATCAAATTGCATCTGGATATCTTCTTAGTATCTCGAGAAATGTTCGATGATGTCGCGGGACGCTGGTAGCGTCGATGACCGTAGCATGAAGGCCTTAGGGAATCCAGCGCCTCACAGTTCTTGATGTATGTGAGATAATCTTTATATGAGGGGAAATATCGCCTATGTCCATCGCTTAGAGAGCAGCTCATATGGTTGAGAAGGAATGGAAGATCAATGCGGTATTAAGATGGTCTACCAAGGACAACAGATTGGAAGGCTACGGATTGGGTAGGTAACCATCGGGGTGGGACACTAACTACGGCAATGATTTTAATACTTTTACGTGATGCGAGCGCAAATAAGTCACAAATTAATGACTCTTCAAATCACAATGGCCAGTTAGTGTCTCTTGCAACAAGCCAACTCTCTATTCAGTATATTAAGAGCTACAACAAGCCAAGTATATTAATCTGGAGCTGTGTGTGATTTGCTTGGAATGCTGGAGAGGTATATACAATGGCATAGCGAAATAAATCATGATAACCATCGAGAGCCGGCCTGCTCTTTTTGATCTTGAACTACTACGGGCTTGAAAGGGGCGCTGATTGCCTATTAGATGAAATAAGGCGCAATAAAATTCTAGCAAGTCAGGGACAAAGTCATATAGTTAGCTTATCTATCTTCCGAGCGAACACGGAGTTTGACTAATAGCATGGTAGGTGAATCATAAAGAGGATTCCACTAATGCCATTTGGTACAACATGTTTATTATGATGTCAAAAATAATTATTAATCACAATAATTGACCGAAAAGGTGGAACTTTAAGCCCGGATATTTCTCTAAAGCACAGTTTGTTGCAGGCTTTGTATTAGCCATAGGCTGGGCGCTGACTAGGTGTTACCAATCTATGTAGCTGCAAGGGCATGCTAGAACATACTTTCGAGGGGATAAAAAGCTGACGATTTTCTGATAGCATTGTTTCATTGTTCTCAGCATTTACTTTCAATTCCCTTTGCATCAAGTCAATATCAAAATTGCCATGTCTTCAAGTCAGCCTACAAAGTCTATAGCTGGAGTTGAGGTGATTGATACGCTCCTCGTTCAAGCTGCCCAAGACTTCGCTCGCGAACACTTGGAGGACTTTGCATATAATCATGTTATGCGCTCGTGGATCTTTGGTATCATCATATACACACGTCTCAGAGAGAGAGGAGAGTTTCCGGCTATCGACCTGGAGGCTCATGCAGTCAGCGCCATCCTTCATGATATGGGCTGGGACAAAAGCGGCAAACTGGTTTCTGTGGATAAGCGCTTTGAAGTTGATGGGGCCATAGTCGCCCGAAACTTTATAGAGGAGCAGCAGAAATCCGGAAAGACAGCGGACTGGGACGACCGTAGGCTGCAACTTGTATGGGATGCTGTTGCTCTGCATACAACGCCTGCAATTGCGGCGTACAAAGAACCTGTAGTGAGGATCTGCAGCTTCGGAACTGGTGCAGACTTTCATGGGCCAGACAGTGATTCCACAAGGACAATCACATGGGAGGATTTCTATGCCTTGAACAATGTGTTTCCTCGTCATGATCTGGCGGGCGGGATCCGTAATGTTATGTGTGGCCTATGTAGGACCAAGCCTGCAACTACATATGGTGAGTAACCCTTCGCAATGGTTCTGTCATGTATGCAGCTATACTGAAGTGATTTTAGATACATTTATGATGGGTTGGGGCAGAAAGTATGTTGAAGGTTATCAGGAAAAGGAGAAGCTTTGGTATGAGGCTATTGAGCAATCACTCCCATAGCTATGAGCCACTAGCTTCTTATACATGATGAAATGAATATATCAATAGCGTTTTTGTTGCTGCTTTGTATGAGTCATTCTATTTTTCCCTTTGATCAATCAATGTAACTTGGTAACATTACTTAAATATTCTGTTTGATTGTTCTATTATTGGCATTCCATTAAGTATGCTAGTTAACCAAATCTGTATCTAGGCAATGGTTCAGCAAAATCTGAATTGACTCCACCTAGTCTCCCTCCTTCAAGATTACCCTAGCTAGACAGCAAACATATCAGTCAATGACCGAAGGCGTAAGTTCTTCTTGTTCTCTTGTCTCTCATGACATGGAAAAGCCATGTAATGTTCATAGTAGCAGTCTCATATCAAGAGAAACTTTCAAGAAAAGGAAGACCCAAACGTCTTTTCCCTTGTTGGTTGTATGTTCGAACCTGGCAGCGATTTGTCATTGACTCAGGAGTTTATAGGTTAAACGCCGAGAGTGGTCGGGGTCTTCTTCCGCAATAAATAGTAAGCCAGGGCTCTCACTAATAAGAAGCGGCCCACATCATTAATACCCACGACGGTCTACCCGAGCGTCGCCGGAGTTTCGTATGTTGCCCACTACTTGTCTAGGATATGGAATCATGGTATACGTATTCCTCTGTGTGCAGACATGGAAGGCTAGCTCATAGTTGCTCTTATTTCCAGAGGCATCTAAGCAAGATTACGTGGCCAAAAATCATGGCGGACTAATTGGAAACTTGGGCTATAGCCATAGAGAATATAAATATGCTAATAATGCTCTTAACGCATGTGGAAAATGCTTTCGATAACATCAACTTGCCACATATAATCCCCCAGCCCAGTGGTCTAAATTGTCCTTTTAGAGCAAATTTCGGTTCCGGTCCCCTGAGCCTTGTTGGCTTTCTAATACAAGTTTCCAGCTAGTTGAAAGTCAACTACCTGTTCCGAGATGTTGAGCAAGGTAGAAGACAGTATTGGCCCTGGTAGTGTGGAAGAAGGGAGTGAACAACGAGTTGATGATAATACAACTACAAAAAGCCCTCGAATGGATATACCTACCTGGAGATGGGTCATGACCCTAATGGGCATATGCTTCGGAACTCTACTATATGGTAGTTTGTTCTCTCTCTCAATCTTGCCCCCCCCCTTCCCTATTTATTCGTATGTATGGCTGTATTAGTATTAACCGAGAAGTTGATGCCAGGCCTCGACACGACGATCGCCGCCGACGTTCAAGCTTCGGTCTATGAAACCCTCGGGGACATTCAAAATCTTGCGTGGGTTGGGGTCGGCTTTCCCATGGCTTCGGTAGCCGTTATCCTCCTCCAGGGTCGCGCCTACGGTCTATTTGACGTCAAACCATTGATGATCTCCTCAATTGTAATTTTCGAAGCCGGCAGTGCTTTATGCGGCGCAGCTCCGACGTCGGATGCCTTGATTGTCGGTCGAGTGATCGCTGGAATTGGTGGATCGGGAATGTACTTGGGGTAAGCCTGTGTTAGAGAAGAGGTCGTGGTTGGGCATCTGGTGTATTCGGCTAACGTGCATTCAGGGCCCTTACATACATATCTATCTTCTCGACGAAGAGAGAAGCACCGCTGTACAATGCTCTCATAGGGCTCTTTTGGGGAATTGGGGCAATCCTTGGGCCTGTAATTGGCGGCGCATTTTCGGCTAGCGCGGCCACATGGCGATGGGTAAGTAATTAAGCACTTCAGCAAAGCTTATATACATACAAAGAAAGAGCACCAAAGCTAAATTAAAGAAACTAACGCTGAGATTTTGTTTAGGCCTTTTACATAAACCTTCCTCTCGCGGCCCTATTCGCTCCTATCTACTTCTTCGTCTTTCCGTCGTTTCAGAGAAAGAATCTTTTGCTTGTTGAAAAGCTGCAAGAGATCGATTGGATCGGTGCGGTTCTTAATGGGGGGGTTTTTGTCCTGTTTATGATCGTTGTCACCTTCGGCGGTTCGACGTTCCAGTGGAATTCTGGATCTGCAATTGGGCTCTGGGTCGCTTGGGGAACTTGCCTCCTTGTCTACGTCTTACAGCAGTACCTTAGCACCTTGACGACACCGGAGCGACGCATCTTCCCTTTGCATTTTCTTAAGTCTCGAGTCCTTGTGCTGCTATATATTACAACAGCAGCCGTCGCGGCTGCTAACAGCATCGCTCTTTACTACATTCCCTTGTTCTTCCAGTTTACAAGAGGCGATACGGCCCTTCAAGCCGCTGTCCGCCTCCTGCCCCTAATCATCGTCTTTATATTCTGCATTATGCTCGGGGGAGCTCTCCTTCCTATTACTGGACTATATGGCATTTTCTATATCATCGGCGGAGCTTTCGTTATTGTTGGCGGTGCTCTTATGTTTACGATAGATGCTGGAACGAGCACTGCGAAGATATACGGATATGAAGTGTTGCTTGCCATCGGGACCGGTCTGCCTTTCCAAAGCGCCTATGCCGTCGCTGCTAGCAAGGTCCGTGTGGGGGACCGGGCCAATGCCATCGGCTTCATCAATGTGGCGCAGATCGGGAGTATCGCCATCTCGCTCGCCATTGCCGGGTCACTCTTCCAGAATCTCGGCTTTGATCTGCTCAAGACGGCCTTTGCAGACTATAGCTTTTCTGACGACTTTATTCGATCAGCTTTGTCGGGGACCGCATCGCCTATATTCTCCTCCGCTGATCCCGACGTAGTCGCACTCGCAGTTTCGAGTGTGGCCGAAACAATAAGACGCATTTTTGGGGCTACCATAGCCGCCGGCGCTGTATTGTTAATCGGCGGTGTTCATATGCCGTGGGAGAAGCTTGATCTAGAAGTTGTTGCTGGGTAGATTCTCTTATGTAGTACTAGTCATTTGTTTTGCTCGCGGTGTCCTGAGAGGGCGGGGAATCGAGTTGGGAGAAATCAATACTTACTTTCCTACCTGCTAGGACCCAGCGGACACAAACACCTTCAGACACTAGTGGAGGATACCAGCTTGTATAGACCTATCCCCTGGGATTTAGATTAATAATACTACAATTTCCCTTTGTATACTTAAAATATAGCAAGTATAAGCTCTAAACCAGTAACAAAGCTTATTGACGTCCTAACGAATTAGGAGGAAATTCTCCTCAGAATGCGCAATAATGCTCTCGAAAAAGGAAGGCTGAATACTCAGTTGGAAAACGATTTTGCTTATGCTTGCCATTGTAAATAGTGCCTCCTCGAATCGGGGTTTAGGAAACAGTATTAGAATGATAACCAAGTGTTTCAATATATTCAATGAGATAGATAGGACTGATGCTTTGTATTTTACCTTCTTCTGTTACAAACAAAAACATATAACACTTTATACTTGTTGGCAGACCCGCTTTCCTATTCGTAAAGTGCATGACCGGCCACGACGGCGCCGGTGAACCCCGAAGGCCATAACTTTTTAACCTAGGATTGCGTAGGGCCAACTCGATGCTCATGAACATCTGGCAGCAAAGAAGCGTAGATTTAATAGGAGAGTATTTATAATTACTATCCAAGATCTTCGTTGAAAGGCTTCTGATGGCAAGCACGTACTCATGTATACCCTGTTGTACCCCTGGTGTGCTAGAGTGACAGAGTAACTTCGGTGGGGACAAAAGGCGGCCGCACTGCTCTTCGAAAGCCCTGCGTAGTGCACTCAAAGAGGTCAAAGCATGATGTACGGCAGGGTCGGAAGTTGCACAGAGAGTAGCTCGGGCCTCAGCCTCATAATTTATGCCTGTATCATAGTTTGCATCCATGGCGCGAACTGGCTTAATGGTAAAGCGCCTGGAGAGATAATCTACATCTTCTGGACTCGGGAATGTTACCAGAGGCTTGTTGGACTGGTGAGATGGTGTTGACAGACTTGTCGCGTGATATTTAGATCCGATGCCGGCGTTGATTCTAAAATTGGATGCATAACCGTCACAAGTTCTGCCTGAGGAGACGCATCGCATGCAAGCGGGTTTCCTTTCATCGCACTTGACTTTTCGGATTCTGGAGAACGGAAACATTAGCTCTGCAAATCAATGATAGCCATAGGAAACCAATTGTGGTGCCAGAGTAGTTACCTGCACGTAATACAGCTCACTTTGGATTTTCTTGTAGACACAGACATATTTGTTGAGAGACGCTCTGAGTGGCTTTTCACTCAGTAATATGCTTTTTAACTGCTTCAAACAGTGTTGGCGGGCTTTTTGCTGGCTGGGTTGAGCAGCAATAAATGCGAGCAATGTAAAGCACAGAAAATAGACACGTCCTCTATAGCTGCTTATAAGAGTTACAGGTGTTTTTTTTTTTAGCTCCCATTTCCGTATTAATGTCAAGACCTTAACATGTTATGGCATAATGCTACTGACGGGGGGTGTAGCGTTTGGAGTTTAGGAAGGTGAGGGGCTAATCTTAACAGAACGATATTTCCTCTATTTTTAACCAGTAGCCCGCTTGTAGGATTCAGTGCAGCTAAACCACGTATAGAAAAAATGCCGAGCAAACTAATGAACTTCAAATACGTGGAAACTTTGCCAGATAACACTAAATTTATGTAGAACTTTATAGACTTAACCAAGTTTTATAAGCTACTGCTATAGTATACCGAAGCCTGCTTATCTTAGTTCGCCTTATTATCAGTTGCAACATCAAGCACTGTTGTTACAAACCCTTCCATGTTGTTGGCGATAATCTTCTTCACATACTCTCTGTACGAAGCCAGCCCTCCCAAATAAAACTTTGCCCATGGATCTTTCTTGTCTACATTGGTACCGAAAATCCAGCTTGACACGCCCCAAAACAGTGTCGACTTAGCCCCGTCGGTGCACAATGCCGACCACGTCGCCTCTGCTCCAGGCAACGCTTCGATCGTACAATCAGCTCCTCCTAAACTATCCGAATGATGATCAGCAGCAGACTCGGCGGCTTCCACGCACGCCATAATCAGATCCAGTTCTGACTCGATTACTGGAGGGAAATTGGCAAACGGGCCTTGGGGCCCAGAGACGAGGAACATATTGGGAAACCCAGCGCAAGACACGGCTGCGTACGCTGTTGGACCGTCTGCCCAGTGCTGGCTGAGGGATTTTCCGTCACGCCCTGTGATCCGGACGCGTTTGTAGTTTCCATCGACTGCGTCAAACCCTGTAGCGAATATCAGGATGTCCAGATCATGTTTCGTTCCGTCCGACAGTTCCACGCCGGATGGGATAATCTTTCTAATGGGGTTGACTAGCAAATCAACAACATCAACATTGGAACGGTTGAAGATCTGGTAGTAGCCCGAATCACATATGGGACGCCGAGCGTATGGCTCTTTCGGCTTGAGAATGGCAGCCTTGTGTGGATCGGTTACGATTTGGTCAATCTTGCGGCGCAAAAACTTGCACGCTTCTTCGTTGGCTGTTTTGTCGATTGCCAAGTCTCCAAACGCACCAAACATGAATTGAAACCCGTTACCAGCGTCCCAAGCTTGTTGGAAGATAGCATTTCTCTCCGCCTCGTCAGCGTCCATGGTCTTTCGATTGGACTCATTGAGGCCAAGGCCCATGTATGAGTTCCACACGCGGTTCCAAGAACTTTCGTAATCTCTGTTAATATTTGCTCGCTGAGTCTTTGACACTGGTTCTTGGCCGCTGGGTACAGAGTATTGAGGGTGGCGTTGAAAGGATATCAGCTCTCCAACCAGTGGTGCGATCGCCGTCATAATCTGCACCCCGGTCGAACCGTTGCCGACAATTCCAACTTTTTTGCCTTGCAAGGCCAGATCATCAGGCCACCTTGACGAGTGAACAATTGAACCGGAGAATGAGCATATGCCCTGAAAATCTGGATAATGTGGCTGAGATAGCACCCCGAGGCAGTTGATAAGATACCGTGCCTTGAAAGTCTGGTCATTTGAGCAAACAACAATCCATCTGTGAACACTGTCGTCCCATCTGGCCGACTTCATCTCAACGCCAAAATCCATGAGGGGCCGCAGCTGATGCTTGTCAGCGACATGTCCCAAATAAGCCAGAATATCTGGCTGGGACAGATATCGATGGGCCCATGCATAGGATTGCAGGTCTTCTTTGTCCCACGAGTATCGATAGAGATAGCTTTCTGTGTCGCTCATGGCACCGGGATACTTGTTCCAATACCAGGTACCGCCAACATTTCCCGCCATATCAATACAACGCACCGAAAGGCCTCGCTTCACCAGCCTATACGCAGCGTTTATTCCTCCAAAGCCGCATCCTACAACCAAGGCGTCAACGCTCAGCGCAGAGTCAGACATGGTAAGAGTATGTAGTTGAAATATAAAATAATTAAAGGTGCTAAGATTTTCGATTTTAATATTAGTTCTTAGAGATAATTTTAATACTGTTCCAAGGAACTTTACATCTGATAAATACAAAAAAGAGGGGTAATTATGTAATTAAGTATAGTATACAAAGTACTTATTATTATTATTATTTTATAACAGTTTAATTTACTTAAACAAATTATTACAATTTGTGAAAGTTAGTACAGTACCAAGGTAGTGATATTAAAAAGGATTATACTAAATAAAATAATACAACAAATCCTATTCTATTTGATATGTGATATAACCTAGACTGGAAAAGATTGCATCTCTCTTATATTCCACTTTACAAATACATACAACTCTGTACTAGCTGTACTAGTATACTGTATACATAATAGCAAGTAATAAAAGACTGGGATCGAAACACACGCTGTATAAACGTAATAAGCCCATCCTTGTCAATTTCACAAGACAGGCCCAAAGCGTAGTCAATGCTTGTAATGTTTCTTTAGGCTTCGGTAGCCGGGATCTTTAAGAGTGCTAACACAGACTTTCCGCAAGGCGTCGGACCAAGGTCAAGGCGGACATTAGCAAGCACCCTCCTGGCTAAAACTTCCCATTTGGCCACTTTTTCAAGTCATGTTGGTGATCCGGAGTTTGTTATTAGCCTTGAAGTGCATGGCACCACTGGCGCGAGGCTGAGCACCCCAGCCAAGACTACAACTCTCATCAATCTCGGAGCTTAATAACATCCGAGTTGTTGCGGCGCTTCCACCCCAAATTACCGTCCGCAAGCACCAGTTGGCATGTTTAGAGACGCTGGCATATAAAATCTACGAGCTGTGCAAAGATGCAAATGGAAATCATCAAAGAATACCCCTCAGCTTCATCGACAAAAGATCAAAGAATTTTTCAAACGTTGTTAATAAATATTCATTCACCAAATCCCAACGCCCACATTTAAGCTAGTCGTGTAAAGCCCCATCTCAAATATGCGTATTCTAGTCATTGGTGGGGGTATTGGTGGATTAAGTCTTGCGCACGGCTTGCGTAAAGCTGGAATAGAAGTACGGGTTTTCGAACAACAGGTCAGAACTCCTCAACCAGAGCAGAATAACTGAGTTTTGCTAAACGATTTCCAGATTGAAAAGGCTGAGAATCTGGCTGGATATGGCATTCATATTGATCGAAATGGCCGACGAGCTTTACGCTACTGTTTGCCGCTTTCCAACTGGACGCGACTCCAGTCACTCTTGACGTCTGCCGGGACACAGTTGTTTTTTCGTGATACTCAACTTCGAGTCTTGGCTGAGAAAAACGACGTTGACTTAAGTGGGAAATCTGCACAAGAAGTCGAGCGAAGTGGTGTGGGAAGGTTGGACCTTCGCGACGTGCTGATAGATGGGCTTGACAACGGAACAACCGCCGTCATCCAATGGGGACGAGCTTTTACTCGATATGATCAATTCGAAAATGGCCAAGTACGCGCTCATTTTGCTGATGGAACCTACGAAGATGGCGATCTCCTAGTTGGTGCTGATGGTCCCAACTCGGTGGTCCGCCATCAATTCCTGCCGCACATAGAACGCCTGGACCTTGGAGTATCTGCAATCGCAGGTCGATACATTCTAGACGACAAGAGAGTTGGAAGTCTCCCTCCAGAAATGACCAACGGAGCGCTGAATAACATTGTGCCCTCTGGGAGGGGATGGATGTTCATCTCAGCATGGCGATCAAGACCTGCTGACGGCGACGAATCTTCCGCACCTGAGCACTACATAGTCTGGGCCTACATTGCTCCCTCGAGCGATATACCACAGGGTGAAGGTTCGGTATACGGGGCTGAGCTACATGAGTATGTTCTCAGTTCCATCAAAGGATGGGCGCCAGAGTTGCGGGAGTTGGTGATTGGAAGTGATATCTCTAGCACCAAGTGTTTATCCTTGCGTTCGATGCCTATTTTGACATCATGGGAATCAAGCAACGTGACACTACTTGGGGATGCCATTCATAACATGACACCTATGGGTGGCATGGGAGCCAACACTGCGCTCCGCGACGCAGACACCCTTACGCGTTGTCTTATCGATGCTGCTGCCGGAAGACTCTCTATCACTGAAAGTATCAGAACTTACGAAGAGGAAATGAGACTTTACGCGAACGATGCAATCAAGCTGTCAACATATAACGCGATCAACGCTTGCAAAGGAGGTACTACGCAGCGCTTAGTGTTCCGGAGCTTCTTGCGTGCTGCCCAGACCTTTCCTCTTATTATGCGAGCGACTATAGGACGATCGTCGGTAAAGCAAGCATGAAGAAGATATTATAAATTGGTTGTTTGTATGACATGCAAAGGGGTTGGAGATAGGACGGACAGGACCATATCGGTGCAGCAATGGTTAAAAGAATGGGGAAAGCTATAATAAACAATAACATACAATGTAATGATAAACTTGACAATACTCGAGAGCTGCCGGGACACTTTTATAAAGGCATTTGTATAGGCTTCATGTTGTTAAAGTAAGTAGTAATAATAATTCGCTAGCATGTAGGCAAATTTGTACCCATGAAAATGCTACGTACTGAACTATAGAGATATGGGCACGCCTCCGAGCACTGACTATCGTCATAGGTAAGTTTCTGAGCTGTCTCGTAAAGCTGGCCGTTGAGTGGTATGACGAAGCCGCAGCTAGGATCTGCAAATAACTGCGATTCGCTGTTCAAAAAACTGCCCGTGCCAACGCACAACCACACGATTTTTATAGATGCTGGGGATGTAACATATCTATTGTGGTAAACCAAACTGTCATCTGTTATATACGTCCTACCTAGAAACCGGTGGCCCAGTACACTCAACCGTCTCTATCTCGATTACGTGGCGAGTTAAGATCTTCAACTATTATGAGCAGCATTTCGTTGTGAATATTCCACAAAGTAAAGAATCGCTTAATTCGTATGTGTCAATATTAAATAGCACATCTGCATCAAGAGTCATATGACTACCATGTACGTTTGGAGCCCCTGCTTCACCAGGGGAACTTGAAACATGTCTCGTGACAGTCGGAGTTCAAAAATGGCTTCACTAAGCGATAACATAGTCATGAAAAGCGGCTATGTTATTTGTCAGTAATGGTGGCATTGCATGAAGTCAGATTCTTACTACCGTAAAGAACATGATTGAATAATCTAGTCGATCTTGGTTTCATGATCTTTCTATTGAGCGATAGATGATTGTGGATGGAGCCTTCGTCATCTCCAATCCTTGAGGCAATGTCAAGAATAAGAATGTCTTTACCAAAAGATACTGCCCGCACGGTGTTGGTTTGCGGAATATGTTATGTTAAGCCGTTGCCGATACATATTCAAGAGCGGCTTCTTTTTTACATGCCTGGACGATCTGCAATTATAACATTGCCAACTGTTTAGGATCCTGGAACCGGAGATATTGTTATATCTTCCAAAGGAGTTATCTTCAAATTTACGGATATTATCCACAGGCCGAGACAAGTACTCTTAAGGTCATCGCCTGGTAGGAAGATCATCAATATTGTACATAATCATATATATCAACATTCTTAAAGTTTGTTGACTAGATTGTGCCATGCTTGATCTACGTGCTGTAAGCAAGATGGCCAATTCCACTCGCCTTGTCAGTATCGACTTACCGGTCGATACAAAATGATCTCAATGTTAGTTGGCACCCTTTCCATTGCCATATCATTACGCAGCTGATGACAACAATAAGAATGCAAAAGCTGTTCGATTCGATAACTCGGCTGACGCCCATGCCACAGTCAATATATCAATGTAAGGGATCACCAACCAACTGGTTGATCACTAACATTATCCATTCCGTAGTAAAAGTTGGACATTGTATCCTGTTCCGACATGAAGGCAAATCCGTAGTCGTCTGGCCACAATAGGACACCAAGATCACCAAAGGCCGTATTATCATGCAAGACATCCTGAGCTCCGATAACTACGTCCGGAGGTGTAGGCATATATTCTTCCGGAGCTGGGGCATTGCGTGATCGGAGCGTTCGAGTATGCAAGGATGGCGTCGGAATGCTCTCTGCAAGGTGCATGTTTCCCACAGAATCTCTGATCTGGAGCACCACCGCTGCTGGGGCGTAGAGCCCATGTGCACTTGCCTCTTCGAGGACCTTAGAAACACTGCGCGCATAGTGTGCCCACTTGAGAGTGTCGTTGTCGATGATCTGGCTGATTTTGTCGGTTGGGTCAGTGACGCGCTTCTGCAGCATGGCCAACGCTTTGAAGGCATATGGAATGCGAAAAAACGTTAGAAGTGGCAGCGATCGAATATTCTCTGGGCCTATCTTCAACAGAACATCCAGGATGGACTGACAGTCACTGATAAATGACAAAAGTATGCGGGTATAGGTGGGACTGAGTGGAGCGCGGGAGCCAGGCAGAGGAGCGTCGGATTTTGTTGCCAACGATGGTAGACTGAGGCTCTGAACATTGTGGTCGAAGCAAATAACTAGCTCGTGGAGTTTGCTTTTGCACAAGGTAAGATCAATCTCCAGCGAAGCTACTACGGTGAGTTTGTGCATCCCAGTGTTAAGGACAAAGACATACCAGTTAGCAGCTTCGGGTCAAGCATTGCCTCCCATTCTCGTAAGCGCTGTTCGAACCGAGTGGACTTCTCCTTGATATTGATATGCTCCACTACAGCAGGATCAGAGCTCATCTCGGCCTCTGTCTTCATAGCTTCTACATCCTCAGCTATATTGTGCAGCTGAAGCCACGCTACAAGTCGCTGGTCATTTGTGTCAGTGGCATATTGCTTGAAGAGGACCAACGCCACGCCGGTGGAAGGGCTGAAAGATATGATCCTCTGTCGTCGAAAGCTAATCGCAATTCTGCGAAAAGATTAGATAAGGCGGCCAAAGAAACCATGAGTTTGCATACCTTGAACATGTCAAATAAACGCCAAACATTGCTCGATACCTTTCCAGCATGCTGTCCGAGGCATCTTGGGAAAGTTCGGCAATATCTTGATTCTGTGCCTGCCACGATGTTCTACCACCGAATCCGAGATCCATGGCCATTGTGCATGCGGCATGAGACCACTGCGATATATTCAGGTGCTCCAAGTCAGTTGGGGGATGTCCCCATACTGCGATTATCAGAAGAGCCTGAAGCAAGTCAAGGCTTTTGTGACCCTGCACGTGTACTACATGAGCCAGGCTTTTCGTATTTTGCATATGCATATCTTTGAATAGCTGTGGTTCCAACACGCTGCAGCCTGCTGTAATCATTGCGCTTGTTGAATGCGGCCGATATTCCTCCAACGACTCGAGCGGCATGTCGGCCACTGAGCGAACCACCGGGTACTGCGGAAGTAGCGTATTGCAGAAACAGCGGATAAGTTTCTTCTTGGTAGCCGATGTCAGTTTCAACGTTTCAAAGCCGCTTACTGATGAGCTGTGATCTTTGCCATATGAGACGTTGGCTAATCGCCGTGGTGGAGGCACAGACGAGTTGACGGCGGGCAAGACATTTGTGTCTGAGGCTACGAGCCCAGCATTCTCAGTCGACCCAGAGTCTAATGTGCTTTCATATCGGTGGAGACTATTTGTAGAGTGAGGATCATCAGGAGAATCCCTAACGGAGCTACCAAAGAGATTATTCTTGTCGAGATTGTTCATGGCCGCTGTGAGCGACACAATCTTTTCCTCCAGCTCCGTTATGCGCGAGCCAGTGCGGGTGCGCTTCCGGGTCTTTGAGATTTCCTTCCATTCACAATCAATTTTTTGTGCTTGACAACGCCGACACTTGCCGTTCTCTTTGAGCGTGTCGGTATAGCATCGCGTCTTCCTCCTGCGGCAAGCTTGGCAGGCGTGTTTGCCAATGCTGCGAGAGGTCTTGGACGCGGTCATTGCAGCCGGTCCTATTATCCAAGCAACTGATTAGTTATGCGGCACACATGAGATCCCATTGACTCCCTGAGTGTACGAGCAGTGAAGCGGAGGGTAGCTGGTGCCGATGAGACTTCTCCGTTTGAAAAGAGAGGGCCGTCGCCAGGCCTGCCGTGAAGCTCGTCAATCTTACGGGTCTTCCAATTCAGGCGCCGCGCCAACACCCCCACAATTTTCGGTAGAGGCGTACTGTAAGTGAAAGCCCGCTAGAAGCTTGCCTACCTGCATGCTGATAGTTAGATACTTGGTTCATGCCAGATAGTCTCGTGAGCCTCTGATTTCTGTTTTGTTATGTGCTCAAGGCTGTCGTCGTATGGGCGATCAATGGTTGGTTCTATGGTATTCCTTAACGTTGTTGAGCATTTAGCTGCAGGCGATAGTATAATCCTCAGCGTAGCTCGTGTCACATTTTGCAAACAACGCAACAATGCGTCAGCGAAGGATGGTCTAATAATTTCTCTGCGTTGTGTATTTGAATGAATGCAGTCCAATCATGCCACAAACCATGAACGTTTTGATTAAATGTTATACTGTAGGCCTGGTTGAGCACTCAGTGGCGCCGATGGACTCCAAGCTCAAGGGTTTAGATAGCACTGCGCAAGACATTACGTAGAACAGGCGCAGCCGCAAATGACTAATTGATGGGTAATTGTCATCCTTGAAAACATTCTTGTCCTAGCTGCCCGTAGTGGATTGCCCTTTGTGATACGGAGCACCGAGAGTTCGGAGGTTAATAAGGTCCGACATATCTAAAGTTGACTTGGCTTGGCGGGCGGACGATAATAACATCCGTGGCAATGTCTACGGGGTACGGAGCAAGGAGTACACCTTGTCAAATTTACGGACTCCAGAGGCTGAGTATTCAAGCTGAAGACACCAGTATCGGGAGATTACGACGCGAAGGGAGCATATTGCACAGATATAAGACTGCTTATTGCTCCTAGAAAGCCTCGTTCAATAGTTTTAGAAACAAGCAATTGCAGCCTCCTTATACAATCCTATTCATCATGACAAACGCAAAACTACTATCACAGCTGTTATTGCTCATCGGAGCGAGTGCACACACTTTGCATGCAACCGAGTTCGCTCGCAATGCGGGAAAGGCCACAGATGTCTTGTATAAAACCATTCAAGCCATTGGCGGAACTCAAGCGCTGAATGCTGTGAACGGTCTCCAATACCATTCTTCGTAAGTCTCATTTACAATTGTGTGCCACACTTTTCTAATGTGACAAAGGCTCTTTCGAAGTCAGACGCTTACACAGAACTACGATGTTATTCGGTCCGACCAGGGTGTATCCGAAGCTGGCTCTCAGTCGGTCTCCTTTAGCTTCGCCGAAAAGCAGCTGCAGCAGCGCATCGATCGAAAGTATCAGTATGGAGATTACTGGATCTGGGCGTTCCCAAACCTCCAACCAGATATCGATTACTCCATGGTGGTGCAGTCAGGTCCAAATGGCTTTGCATGCTTCAACAAGGGACAGAACTCCTTCTTTGCAGAAGATCCATCTCAGCCATTAGGCTTCGCGGATCCGTTCCTAGCAGATTACCTCATTCACTCAGCGCAGCAGCTAGCTTTGCCGTATTTATTGAAGTCGTTCCTCGAGAACAAGTCCCGTTTAGTCCTCTCCTCGGTAGTCGAGAAGAACTATGGCGCCGAGTTCACTACGCTCCAGATGCCTGGCCTGAATCTTCTTTTACTCATTGATCAGTCCACATTCCTCCCATTTGCGGTCCGGGCTCCGGAAGATCATCTCATCTTTGGCCCTTCCACGAGCGACGTGGTCTTCTTCAACTATACAAATGTTCCGGTTGGCGACCATCAAATGAAATTTCCTCACCGAATCCAGACGCTGTACAATACGGTATCTGTTATAGAGGACTTCGTCATTGATGAGCTCATGGTTAATCCTAAGTTTGAGGCCGATTTCTTCTCGCCATCAAATGCGACCAAGACCAGCCACATGCCCCCACGCTCCAGTTCAGACTACCCAAGGTCTGAAGTTCATGAATTTTTTGAAACGGGACTCTGGGGCGGCCCATTCGGAGACGTGTTCAACTCTTCAAGCGTTCAAGCCGCACCCGTGTTCCCCAACGGTTCCACGCCAGAAATCATGAATTTGTTCGTTGGCTATCCAGACTACATTCAAATGCTGGTCGAGATGGAAGACGGGCTTATCATTACAGATGCCCCTGCATTCCGATCCAGTATCGTTGTCGAATGGGTGAAGAAGAACATGGGAGGCAAAAGAATTACACACGTTGTGCCCTCCCACCATCATCGTGACCACGCTGGCGGAGTCGGTGACATCTTGGCGGCTGGTGCGACGCTGGTGATACCCGAGGTTGCAAAACCGCTGTACGCAAATGTCAACGGAGGAAAGTTCAAGACTATCACGTACAACGAGGAAAAGCCCTTTGTCCTCAAAGATCGCAAGGTGCAGTTTGCATCGTTTTGGCACCCAAGGGCTGCACACGCCGAAGACTGGGTGTTTTCCGTCGCTGCTCCAGCTTGTTGGACGGATGCCAGCTCTGAATTTGCCCTTTTCAATGCAGATGTTGTTAGCCCTAGCTCTGGTCCGGCAACAAGGTGGGACACTGGATATGCCCGAAATTTTCTTCTTGATGCCATCGCCGATAGTATCCCAAGAAGCGCTACTCTAATTGGATCCCACGGATCAAGCGAAATTGGACTTGGTACACAAGACTCACTGGCACATATCGCAGAGCTGGCTGGTGTACTCTATCCCGATCCAAAAACATTGGGAAAACATAAGTGGTGTTAGTAAGAATAGACTTGATAGCCTGGATTTTTTATAAAATGTATACTTGATAAGTTTAGATTTGGACTTGGGTTGGGCTTGTTCCATAATAACTTTATTATAAGAGTTAGGAAATATGCTTAGAAACCCATACTACTTGAACCTATTATATTATACAAAGCCTTGCTGGTCTAGCTACTATTTAGACTATGGCACTAGAATATGTTCATGGGCTTATTTGATGTAGCTGCTACAGCCTTGTTCCAGAAAGAACAAGGCTGCTAGTAAAGCTAGGGATTACTTTATAAAGATAACATGTCTTATTCTGTTCTATTTACTTAGGGAAATATTCCTCTTTTATGTTTAGTAGCTAAGTACTTCCCTGCTCAGTTACCAATCCTAGCTATAAACCAGTCGCAAGGCCAGTTAAATCTCTTTACGCAGGTATCAGCTAGATAAATTATAAGAGTCGCTACGCAGTTGCTATCATTGCTACTAAATTTAGAAAGACAAGCAAGGCTCCTTCAGCTAAGATTACGCAAGTTGGCAAAATCAATAGGACAGCTGAGTATACTAGCCTATGCCGCCAGTGTAGTAGCTGAGTGATACTAATGCATCCGTAGCCGTAGCTGGAGAATCTAGGCCTGGATTGCATAGGATTGTTCAAAAAAATGGGCGCTAGGTGGGTCGGGAGCCATCTAGAATCGGTTAAGGGACAGGGGCAACAAGACTATTGAATACCGGAGGTTCAGCTTATGTAGATCCTAAGTCTAGATTGTGGCGATTATAACATAGGCAAGAGATGGTCTATGCCTTTTTAACAGTTTATTCTTAAAGCGGCCCGGTTCCTCCTTTGATCTTTTTTTTTCCTTTTTACCAACAATAAGGGTTTTTGTGGTTGTTTATTTCCAATCTATTAGCTTGTGATCTGCGCACTAGCTCTCTTCCACGATGGTTGCGCTCAAAGCGGCGTTGCTATGGCTCAGCACTTCAGCTTACGTTCTTGCATTACCAGCAAGTGACAAGGAAGCCGAGGACAAGTATAATATCAATGGCGAGCTCCTTAGCCCTAGCTCCGATAAGAGGTCAAACAGCTATCCAGGTATGTAACAGCCTTATCCTCCTATACCTTGTAAGAGTGTTTTATCGTAACCATTGGTTAAACAACTGGACAGTCTGTAAGAATGACCGAAACTACTCGGCCCTTGAGCGCAACAAGGCCAAAGCCTCGCCATTCTGCTCCACCTACCTCCGCTGCACAAAGACTACAACAGTGACACCCACAATTCGCAAGACCACCACTCGAAGCGACATCAAAACAGCTACCGTTCGGCAAACCAGTACGGTCACCACACAGATAACTACAGTAGCCACGGCTAGAGTGACGGACACGTCTACTGCCACCCAGACAAGGACAATTACTGCCCAGGTCACAGACACCAAGACAGATCTAGCTACCATTACACTCACGGACGACCGAACCAACACTGCTACGGCTCTGGCGACAAGAATAGCAACAGTGGAAGTTACGGTTGACATCACGAAGCAAGTTACTGACACTGTTACTATTGAAGTAACGGACACAATAACCAACCAGATTACGAGCACCGTGACCGAGGAAACAACCGACACAGAGTCTAAAACGGTCACAGTAATGTAAGTATTTTATTAGCCGGACAAACCCCCCTAAAGATTTAATGCTAATCCTTTACTCTAGTTCTACGTAAGCCACCCTTTCCTCCCAACAAACTTTTAGAACAAGGCGACATTAACATTCTACAGCGCCCCGACCCCTATCCAAACCATCACTACGAGTTAGTCATCCATTGTCAAAACATTTCGTAACACATATATTTAAAACTGACTCCCTTCCAAGACAAATACCATTGTTCCATCAATGGCTATGGTACATCCCAGTACAATGTAGGCACTGGCCCAAGTAGTAGTAGCAACTTTGCCTCTTGTAAGGCGTTCTGCTCGACGATATCAAGCGCCGTTAGCTTTGGATACGGCGGCGGGCAATGCTCCTGCTACAACGCTCCAGCGTAAGTTCCCTTTGGCTTTGGCCTCGTGCTCAAGATAATGAAGAGTAACGCTTTTGAAACTATAGAGAAACAAATACGAGGAAGGCAGCCACCCAATACTATTTCTCAGACCTAGCTTGCCCTTCGGAGAATCCCCCTGTAAGTTTTATCTACCCTGCCGCGATCTGGCGGATGATCTTAATCTCATGGCCCTTTTAGCCCACTAAACGCGATGTCACGCATCTCAACATCCCCGACTATATCCCGTGCGATGATCCTCGAGATGTCACCAAGGCTTGCTCGTGCCTCATTACAAAGCCGGCCGCTCCCACTACCAAGACTGCCACCGCCCACCCAAAGACCATCACGGCCACTGTAACAAAGTGCAAGACACTCACAGTTACCAAACCAATGACAATCACAAAGACGAACCAAAAGACTCTCACCACAACCCAGCACCAGACCATCATAAAGACAGCCTACAAGACCACTACTGCCACCCACCATAACGATGCGACGGTGACTAATACTGTTACAAACGAGGTCACTGAGTATAATACTATTACAATGACTGCCTACAACACTATCTCTGCAACAGAATATGATACAGCATACTTTACGAATACCAATAGGGTCTCTCAGACAGATACAGACACTCTCACTGCCACAAACACCAACTATGAAACAATTACCAATACCGTTACTATATCTAAGACCAGTACTGCTACATCTACATTTACCCCTCCCACAGCGACTGCGACAATAACTCAGAATGGGTTCGACTACGGGTCGTAGACTGTGAATTAAGTTCTCCAGTCTAGTTAACAAATTACCAGTAGTAAAAGTAAGAGGCAGGGGGTAAATAGCAAGTGGAATTCAGATTTCCATTTCTCGTTAACTAATGTTAATACCTATCATTATTATTTTTTATTATCATTTATATTAGTAAAGCGCATATACCTATCTGGTTTATTGCACTGCGACAGTCCCATGGAGTACTCGGTTGCTTGACCTGGAATTTCCAGCAATTCCACATAAAGTCCAGTACCTGTCCACAATTTCCAAAGATGCTGTTCCCTTCAGAGAGCACATTTTCCAGCAGACGCTCAAAGAATAGTTGTTGATCTGCGTCAGCCACACAGCCGACTACACAGATAGGCTAGCTCATTTGGCGAGGAGAAATTGTGTCCCGAGTCACCTGAATTTCCGATGACGCTCGGCTCACTGCTCTCCTTATTTTAGTTAGCGAGGGACGCGGTGAAATCTGAGCCTCGAGAACCCGAAATTGCACCAACGCTTCAGTGGCAAATATACGAGAGGCGCACCCTTCATCAGATTGGGATAGTAACTTTGCTTGTGTCAGCTATTGTAAACGATCGGTCAAGGCGATAGGCTGCGAACCTCTGATAAAGTTATGGGGATTGCTTCTATACAGTCGTCGATTTCATCTTCAATGCATTGTATTCTGGTCCAAAATTGCTCATTCTCAATGAGATTTACGTCGTAGACCTTGATCTTCCACTCGTGCGGTTGCTCTCCAGTTGCCAATAGCTTTCATTACCGAGTTATGGCACCCCATGATATGTCAAAGTTCAAAGTTACAACTTAGACCTAGCCATTCTTCATAAGGCAGTTTTGGCTTTTGTTCTGTTGTTACGCATGCCAATATGTCCATCCACACTCATACTGGGGTGTGAAGTGCTAGGTTGCCGTGGTTTTGTTTTCGAACACTTGACTCACCTCAAAGCTAATTAGAGCCACGTCACATGTTATTGCCTCAACGAGATTTCCGTTCCTAGGCCGGAGCTTATTTATGTTGATGGAAACAATAAAATCTCGAAGCTGCCTCAGGGCTTTGGCGTAAAACTCAAGTTCAAGATGGTGGTTCTCAATTTCGCCTTGGAGCGATCGCAGATGTAGCGCTGCGAGGCCCATAGATGCTCTATAAAGCGGTCCATTTTTGCTCAAGAGCCAAAGAAGCCAGCCACGAGGTCATTTTCTGTTTTCAGAGAATGGGCATTGGTAGGGGTGTGGCAAACTGTATATCTTGCAAGGGCCGGGCATGAACATCCCCAGTCTTTCTCAAGATTGGGCGGCGCGTGAACGGTGCGACGTGATTGCCCTGAGCTGAGACGACTTCCTCCGCAGCAATGGAGATGAGAGGCTACCAGACTTGGCATTCACCGAGCTCGACAAGATTCACCCGCATATTCCTCCCATGGATGACCCCTCTCAGCGCACTGAGTCGCAGAAACAGGTCCGCTACGAAGACATAGTTACTGTAGTAAAGAAGCGGGGAAAATCCGGTCTTATTGACCTGCCTGGGTGTGAAGACGCCATTGAAGCTTTGGAAGCAATGCAAGAGAGGATTTGGAGGAATGGATGGCTGAGAATAAGTACGACGTTGTGTTGTTTCTAACCAATTGCAATGTCGCCTTAGCTGACTCGGACGGGAACTATTAATCTTTGCTTGACGCGTTAAGAGACGGCGTCAAATACGCAAATGCCGGTCGTTCTCAGCCCCTTGGAGTTCCCTACATCACCGCTCCAATGGGATCCCTTGCAGAGGAGAAGATGCCGGTCAAACTCACTTTCTGTGGCGCAGCATACCAGGACTCCGATCTCATGAGATACGCCTTTGCATATGAGGCTATATTGAGGCGCCGAGAAAGTCCACCCTTGGCGCCGTCATTGCTGTCAGATGAGATACCATTCCAAAGTATCAGTCCTCCGTTAACCTCCTCAACCCAGTCAGTGTTGAAATTTTGTCGACGAAGTCAATCAGTAAAGAGGGCGATGAACTCGAAGCCCGTTTGATCGCGGTAACTGGGACCTGCCATGTAGCAAGCTCTCTGAGGGCCTTCACTAATGGTGAGCCATCGTCTCCCGTATCCTGGGAAGGCAACAATTGTACGTGGACGGCTCACCTCACTCAGCCCAAGATTGGGACAAATAGCCGTCGCTGGCGAAGGTGCTAAGGGACTAATTCATGATTGTGTATGTCGCAAAGGCTGACAATGGTCAGGCAGCCAGCTCATTGATCTTAGTTGATTAAACCAAGATATGGTTATGGGTATTCTTCTTAATAGAAGACCCAAATATTTATTAAATATAGGAAACTTATTACCTTTCTTAATGGCAGGGGAAAACCTGGACTAGTTCCTATTTGCTTGCATCATGAGGTCCAAGGTGTAACAAAGGGGAAACAGAGTTAACAAATTCGGCTTCCACTGCGCCAATACAAGTGGTAAAGTAACTACTCCGTACAGAACTTCCCAAACACTACCTCTTTATAGTCGTCATAACAACGAGATCTTCTCGCTCTGGGTTTTGTCCTATTCCTAGCTCTAACTGGTCACTAAAGGTAGAGCCAACGGGTAATATCTAGCAATAAATCGAGCAAGATGGTGTAAAATGGCCGTGGGAGGTGCAATCTCTTCCCGCTAATCAAATATATTTACTCTATTCTCTTAGCATCAGATATTACTGCAGACCTTTTTTCCTTTGCAATCCCAAGTCGCTGCTGAGCAACATCACACAATCTGACATTTCCACATTCGCAGTCCCTCTCCCTGATCCAGCGATACGTGATGCTCCACCTATCCTTACGAAGCCTGACCGTCCCGTCTGCCAGAGTGTCTGTCTTTCTCTTTTTAATGCCATGAGTCCAGTGCAGCCTCGCATCCCCAGTCATCTTCATCATCCCCCGCGGCATTAGGTCTATATCAACGCGCTCATCTCCGTTACGAAACTGCATCAAGATTGGCGACCCGATAGACAGCGCGTACAGTTGGTCCCAGGCCTGATGAGCATCAACGTGCGGCGGGATCCCTGTGCCTGGAGGATAGTATTGTAGGCAGACCTGATCAGGTGGTCGAGCCTCCGTTGTGGGGATTAATGGTACGAGCCAGTCGGGAAACTCTTTATATGGGATATTTGGGTCTACACCAAAGGTCATGTAGTCAAATGTGTAGCCGTAGTGTAATGACAGGCGACTGCTGTCCTTTTGGGGCCATTTCAGTTCATTGAGAAAGGTGTGAACCAGTTGCTCCTCATGCTCCGGGCTAATAAAGTCGTCTTGCAAGAAAAGACCCCTAGGCAATCCGGGTCGCTCTTCAAACCCACCCATCCCTGCCATACCAATTGTGAATGGCAGTTCTGTGATGGGTGGTAGTATTATAACCTGTGTGAAAATTTGAACTGTGTACCCCGCTAGTGTAAATGCCGAATACCCTACTACCCAGTTGCTACAGAGACCTTGGGGGGTTAAACTTCGGTGGCTGTAAAAGCTGGAGGGGTAGATTTAGGTAGAAACTGAAATGCCAACTGTGCCCCGGGGCTGGTTCGATAAGACAAAACCTGCACACGGGCAAATATACACCGACCCAAAATAAGACATATAACATCGCTCGGTCATGTGAAATGAGACTGGCCATTTGAAAGTCAAAAGATTACGGCATTAAATTAAATATTCTAGTTACATATCCGGTCACTTGCACTTTGGTTCCGGCTAGGCCGCGTTTTAGAATCGATTTACTTGTGCGAGTAGGTAATAGATAGTTGAACAACTCTTTGAACCTATACAGTCAGGCCCTCTGGGCGCCAGTCTTACTGTTCAGTCAGAACTGGTTTGGCTAGCTTCCAAATACTGCTGAAACTCTGACTTTATTTGTACATTAACTTCTTCTTGTATAACCGCTTCTTCATCCGCTTCTTCGTCCGCTTCTTCGTCCGCTTCTTCGTCCGCTTCTTCGTCCGCTTCTTCGTCCGCTTCTTCGTCCGCTTCTTCGTCCGCTTCTTCGACTCCTCGAAGTCTCTCTGCTAGACGACTAAAGACGGAATTTTCAAACATTCTCATGATTTCAGAGATTGGCCCGTTCTGTGCTTCTGAATTGAACTCTGCCGAATAGCCGACATAGGCGAGCGAAAGTAGTGCGGATAGAGCATGTAGCTCTGGCAGCCGGTCCTCTTCTGCAGAGTCATCTTCCGAAGGCTCCAGATTAGTGGCCTGGGCCATAAGTTGTCGAAGCGGGCACGGATGAAAGCTGGTATACGTGGCTTCAGCAAATTCTGGGTAAGTATGGCCCGCGGAGGTGGTGTAGCTGCCCTTGACAACTCTCAGCCTAGAATGTGGTTGACAGGTACCAGCCGACCAGCTGAAGAGATTCCCAATTTTAGCACACTCTGCTAATGCCGCATGAGCGAGAGCGACAAAGCCATCAAAGTCTTGTTTATCCAACCTGTATATACAACCGCTGAAATGGATGCATATATCAGGCTTGCAGAATAATAAAAGAATTCTTGTAGAACGTAATGCGTCAATCCAGATGTCGAAGAGACACTCATCTCGATTGACAGACACACTCGAAGGATCAATCGCCGTCGCCCGTTGGCGCCAGCCCGCAAGCTGTCGGGCCTCTTCTAGATAGTTGTGCTCCGGCTTGGGTGGTGGCTTCCTAGAGTAGGACCCAGACCCAGCAAGAGTTGTTCTGGGCGCTTTGCCACCTGTGCTTTTTCTTGCGGTTTGCTTAGTTCGAGCCATGATAGGGACCCTTGGGAAATATTGCTAAATACTGAAAGACTGCTGGTATAATATAAAGGGACTTCCTATCAAGAGCCCAAATGCCTCGAGAAAGTGGCCTAAAAAAACGGGCCTTGTGGCTGAGTAGCCCGGCATCTTAGTCAGATAACTGGTGTCGCATTTTTGTAATAAACTGTACACTAGATAGTTAGTATAGGGTAAATTCCCAAGGGATAGACCTAGTAAATAATTCTAGGTTTATGTTAGTAGAGTGGTTAGGAAACCTAATAGGTAATATAGGCAATAGTAAATAAATGTTACTAGAGTGTAAGTAGTGTAAAGCATGTTATAATCTTAATTTTATATTAATAATTAGCTATTTAAGTTATTTAATAAGTATAGAAAAGTAAACTTATATACTTAGTTAAATCTAGGCTTATAAGACTTATAAGATAAGTTATATAAGTTAAAGCTTATTAAGCTTATTTATTAAGTTATATAAGTTAAGCTTAATTAGCTAATTAGCCCTTTAGTTAATTTAATAAGTTTAAGTAGGTTAGCTTATAGTTATAACTATAAGAGCTAGGTTATAATATAATATTCCCCTTTTATTAGTCTTATCCTTAAGGCCTAATTATTTTTAATATAAGTAATTTACTTTCTTTTTAATAAATTCTTTTTTTTTATTTTCTTATAAGATATTTATTTTTTTTTACTAATTTTATTATACTAGTTTATTTTAAGCTAAGATTTAAAAAGTAAAAAATATATAAGAATTTATTTTTATTAATTTTATTTTATTTAGTTAAAATAAATAAATACTTTACTTATAAATCTTTTAAATTTAATTATTTTTTTACTAAAAGTAAATTATTTTATTATTTTACTTATATTAAAAGTTAAAAGGCTTTTTATAATATAAAATAATTATTTACTACTTAGTTTTAAAAAGTTACTTTTTAATATATTTAGCTAAAAAAAGTATTACAACCTAATAACTTATGGTTATAATAAATAAACCTATAGGGTATATGTAATAGAGAAACCTTTAGCTAATATAGCTAATTAGGATTATATTTACTTTAGGAAAGTAAATATTAGTAAATAAATTCCTAATATAAAGGATATTTACTTTAGGAAAGTAAATACTAGTAAATAATAGAATATATATATACTTTTTATACTTACTTAAAGATAGTTTTAAATAACTAGTTATTAATATAAAATTAGAATTATAATATACTTTACACTTTTACTATCTAGTAATATTATTATTATTATTTATATTACTTATTAAGTTTCTTAATTACTTTATTAATATAAACCTAGAATTATTTACTAGGTTTATCCCTTGGGAATTATTATAACCTAATAACTTATAGTTATAATAAATGAACCTACAGGGTATATGCAATAGAGAAACCTTTAGCTAATGTAGCTAATTAGGATTATGTTCACTTTGAGAAAGTGAACACTAGTAAATAGATTTCTAATATAAAGGATGTTTACTTTAGAAAAGTAAACACTAGTAAATAATAGGATATATATACACTTCTTACACTTACTTAAAGATAGTTTTAAATAGCTAGTTATTAATATAGAATTAAGATTATAACACATTTTACACTTTTACTATTTAGTAATATTATTTACTATTACCTATTAAGTTTCCTAACTGCTTTACTAATATAAACTTAAAATTATTTACTAGGTTTATCCCTTAGGAATCTACCTTATATTAACTATTTAATATATAGTTTATTATATATTAATAACTCTTATTTAAATAGTTACTAAACCTTATAGGTAATATGGAAAAAAGAATATAAATATTAACTTTTAATATCCTAGAATATAATACTAATTATAAGAGCTAAGCTTTAAGTAATTACTAGTTAAATAGTATTATTAAATTTAAAGATATATTAATAAAGATAGCTTATAATTAGTAAAACATTTTTTTAAAAGCCTTTAAATAGGAATATAAATAGTATAAGTAATAAGAATAAAGCACTAGAACTTATATAAAAAATATAAAATAAATAATTTAAGATTTATATATATAATAGTAAGCAAATTAATAAACCATTAATAACCTATAGTAATAACTTAATAACCCACTAGGGGTAAACCCCCAGGTGGCACTTATTATAGCACTTATAATAGCACTAGCTATTCCTGTAAATAAGGAACTAGAACTAGAAAAAGTCTTAAAAATTAAATAACTAGAGAAATTTAATAAAAACACTACTAAACTCTACTAATTCCTTAATAAACTATAAATTTACTTTAAGTACTACTATTTAAAGATATTCCTAGAAGATAATTTAGAAAAAAGAATCTAATATATAGGAATATATTATAACAAACTATACACTAGATAGTTAGTATAGGGTAGATTCCTAAGAGATAAACCTAGTAGATAATTCTAGGTTTATGTTAGTAGAGCGGTTAGGAAACCTAATAGGTAATATAGGTAATAGTAAATAATATTACTAGATGGTAGAAGTGCAGAGCGTGTTATAATCTTAATTTTATGTTAATAACTAGCTATTTAAAACTATTTTTAAGTAAGTATAAAAAGTGTATATATATTCTATTATTTACTAGTGTTTACTTTTCTAAAGTAAACATTATTTATATTAGGAATTTATTTACTAGTGTTTACTTTCTTAAAGTAAACATAATCTTAATTAGCTATATTAGCTAAAGGTTTCTCTATTGCATATACTATAATAAACCATACACTAGATAGTTAGTATAGGGTAAATTCCCAAGGGATAAACCTAGTAGATAATTCTAGGTTTATGTTAGTGGAGCAGTTAGGAAACCTAATAAGTAATATAGGTAATAGTAAATAATATTACCAGATGGTAGAAGTGTAGAGCGTGTTATAATCTTAATTTTGTGTTAATAACTAGCTATTTAAAACTATTTTTAAGTAAGTATAAGAAGTGTATATATATCCTATTATTTACTAGTATTTACTTTTCTAAAGTAAATATTATTTATATTAGGAATTTGTTTACTAGTGTTTACTTTCTTAAAGTAAATATAATCCTAATTAGCTATATTAACTAAAGGTTTCTTTATTATATATATCCTATAGGTTTATTTATTATAATTATAAGTTATTAAGTTATAATATAATACTCCCCTCCTGTTAGTCTTATCCCTAAGGCCTAGCCTACTATTTATAAGTAAGTCTAAACCCTTAGTTATATTAAGTAAGTAACTTCCTTTTATTATTATTATTATGCCTAATTATATTAAAAAGTTAAAGGTACTATTAAAGTTGCATTCTACTGCCTATTATTATTCTTAACTAAACTTTATTTATTTATTTAGTTTTAAAGTAGTATCTTATATATAGTGCTTAGATAAGAAAATTTATTATATAGTAGTTAAAGGTATTAATAATTACGCTTATTATTATAGCTTAGGTTATTCTTATAATAATTTATAAGTTCTAATATTAAATTATAAGTATTTCTTTTTTTATTTTTATTTTTTATTACTAATTTTTTAATTAATTATATTACTAAGGAGCTAAAGTATTTAAAGCATTAGAAGGAGCTTGTAAAAGAGGCTTTAGTTAAGTAGTAAAAGAAGCTTAATAAAGCGTTAGGTTATTTAATATAGTTATATAAGCTTTATTATATTCTTTATGATTATAGTATGGAGATGGTAAGGTATGGGTTAAATATTAAGGAGATAGAAGAAGTTAATTATTATAAGGAAGAAGAGTGTTATGCTAAACTTGTAAGGGTTTAGAATAAGGAGGTGCAGATTTTTTATAAGGTTTAGTTTATAAGCAGGGTTAGGGTACTTAACCTCTTCTTTTTTAAGTTAGACCTATTATTATTTCTATTTCTAGGGACTAGTAATATTCCTATAGGATTATTTAAGTGTTCCTCTTAAGTTCTTGTTCTAGGACCTATGAGTTTTTATTATTATTATAACCCTTTTATTTAGTAAGGTACTTTTTTTCTCCTGTTATTTTATTTATTTATATATAAGTTAGTTTTTTAATTTTATATTCTTTCTTAATATCTTAGATAATAATTTTATTTATAATTAGCTTATTTATTTTTTTATCTACTAGTGCTTTTTTAAGTAATAATATATAAAAGATAGTTATTTTAAGTTGCATATTATTAGGTAAGTCTAATTTATAGTTAATTTTACTGATTTTCTTTAAGATTTTAAAAGGTTTAAGTTTTTTAAAGTTTAATTTATTACTTGGCCTATTTATTCTAATGTTTAGTAATTTTTTATTATATAAGTGTTATAGCAGGTAGATTATATCTCCCTTTTAAAGGGTTAATTCTTTAATTCTTATATAGTTTATATATTTTTTTAAGTGTTATTTAAAGAATTTAAGTTAGACTTTAAGTTCTTTTTATAATTAGATTATATCTTCTGTAAGAATGCGTGTATTATCCGTATTTAGTTTATTGCGGGGTAGTCTATAGGCTTCTAGTGTAAACCTATAGTTAATGTAAAATAATATAACTCCTGTGGTTTTTATTATAGAGCTATTATATTATATTTATGCAACTGGTAGTATTTTAACTTAGTTATTTTATTAAAGATTAATATAATATTATAGGTATACTTTAATAACTTAGTTTATTTGTTTTATTTATTTATTTATTTATAGGTAGAATATTATGCTTAATTTATAATAGGTTTTAAGTTTAGCTATTAGTTCTTATTAAAATTTGGATGTAAAGGTACTTCCTTTGTTTAATATAATCTTTTTTAGTATTTTATATTTTATAAATATATATCTTATATAGAGATGCGCTAGGTTTTCTGCTGTGTGTGTTTTTTTATATAGTAAGAAATATGCCTGCTTTAAGAGTTTATTTATAATAATAAAAATGCTATTAAAGTGTTTTCCTATTAATAGATTTTTTAACTTAGGTAAGTTAATAATATGGTTAAATATAATAGTATGCTAGTTCCTTTCTGGAACTGGGATTAGTTATAATATCCTATATGGCTGATGCTTTTTA